ACTGAAATTTTAATTTCTGATTGTACTGTGTGTACGTACAGATACATGTATACTTAGTGAAGGAAAAAACATACATACAGTGTGCATCTTATCAGATTTGACTTTATTATATCCCCTGGCCTAATGCACTGAAATTTCATTAAGTCAGCCAAAAAGATATAGCATTTTACATGTATTGAGGCCACTCTTTTTGCTTCTTCTTTTTATTAATATCCTGTTTCCCATTAATTTTTTTCAACATTTTACCAATTAAAAAAAATGAAAGTGTCTTGATGTCGCTAATTCCTTTGGCATCATTCCTTTGTATAGGCTGCAAACATGTGCATGTTAAGGGCACTAGGTCCTGAAATCCCCTAAAACATTATGTTTTAGATTGTTTACTTAGTCTATTTCAAACATCTGGTTGAAAGGAAACCAACCTAATGTCTTACCGTTCCCGAGAAAAGACAAAAAAACCCCGCTTGTTTACATCGGACATGACGGAGTATGAATACGTTGTTTGTGTCGTTCTCAGTGCACGATACACACGTTGTGTGTCTCGGGAACAGCGGTGACCAATCACCAATGCAAACAAGTGTTTTCTTCAACGTCCGCAAAAGGCGAACAATTTACGAATCAAATCACAACTAGCATCCAAACAGCTCGAACCTGGACCCTGAAATTCGTTCTCGCACGCATAATACAGGAATAACACAAAAACGCCCAATTTTGAAAGGATAGTTGTCTGTAGTTTATCTTTTAAATACTTTGTGTTTGTCTGCTTGTCTGTTTTGTACCCTGTATATGTCTGTAAAAGGACCAATAACCTGGGTTTTGTGTTCAATCTTTATATATATTGATGAAATAAAGATTTTAATATGTTCATATCCTACTTTTAAATGTTATTTCCGATTAACATCATCTCGTTCAAAGTGCGTTTTGTAGCCCAATTGGGCTGTTCCAGGACCTAGTGTCCCATTAAGTAGAACCGGTAGTAGTCCATGTTCACTAGCTCTTCTCCCAATGAAATTTTCTATTTTTAGGTGTATGGTAATTGTATTTTATGCTGAAATGTACTTAATTCATGAATTTATTTATGAAATATAGTAGACAGAAATTGTAACTACACACAATCAACTTATGGTTTGTAAAGAAAGCAGTTTAAAGTTGTATTCCCCGTGCTATTTTTCGAGTTTCATCCTGATAAAAAAAAATGCCACTGCAATACAATACAAAAGGTATTCACTTTTGAAAGAAAAAAACAATCAACGCATGTTTAGTGACTGAATTATGACTTCACAAATATTGAATTACTCGTGGCCCTTTGAATTCTGTTGTCGTGGGATAGACTGGTTCCCGCCCCACAATTTACTATCACGCCATGTTAAGATCCAGCTGCCACACTTCATCACGTTGGCAGGAGACAGACCTTTAGATCCTGCGTAGATCAATACATGACTACAACAGATTGGATTTTGAAAACCTCGATGACCGACTGTCACTGGTGACTTAAGCCTAGTTTCCCTATCGACGTAAGAAACGCAAAGTGAAATGCAAACAGGACTCAAACTGTAACGCAGACACACACATTTCATCCGAAAGTGTTGCCAACAAGTCAGACAGACGCAAACTACCTCGCAGGCGATCGGCAAAGTTGAACACGCTTCAACTTTGGCAACGGTTCCACGCACTGTCTGCGCAGTCTGCGTAAGAGGTTGTGGAATGCTCGAAGGCTTTTCCGTCATTTTTCGGGTACATGTAGCCTAAGGTGTGATGAAATAAAAATGACTATTGTTTCTGTCATAAAATGAGTACAAAAGGTACTTTTGAGAGCTGTTTTTCAAGTCCTGTCATGCCTGTTTTGACCCGAACGTGCAATTTGTGTAAAAGTCGTCGTTGCGGGCAGCAAACAAAACACAGCAAATCGTGACGTAATAAACAGGACTCCCGATGCAGAGTAGCATAAACGAGTCCTGTTTATTACGTCACGATTTACTGTGTTTTGTTTGCTGCCCGCAACGACGACTTTTACACAAATTGCACGTTCGGGTCGAAACAGGACCTGAAAAGTAGCTCTCAAAAGTAACCTTTGTACTCATTTCATGACAGAAACAATAGTCGTTTTTATTTCATCACACCTTAGGCTACATATACCCGAAAAAAGGACGGAAACGTCTTCGAGCATTCCACAACCTCTTTAAAGTCAATATGAAAACCAGGCTTTACACTGGTCTGATTCATGTCATCTGGGATCTACACCACATTGCTTGGTACTGGTTGTCCATGTACCAGTACTTTCATGACACCCAAGCAATAAGTCAAGTCTCCATGCGAATGGAAAATGTGGATGCTTCACTTCCATCCCGTTACCACTACAGCTTCTATGAACTTTTGTATCCATTCTGAATCAATTTGGCCGATTCACAATGCAGTGCACCACCAAGAATCTGTCATGGAGAGTCCATTTTTTAAGTTTACGGTCGACAAAACATGGCCCATTTGAATGAGTGTCAGTACACAACTTGAGCTAATTTGTTAAAGACTGGGGCATAGCATTCTGCCGCCTTACCAAAAAACACCATAGTGATAAAAAAAAAAGGGCAATCAGATGCTCGAATCATACGCTTACGAAACTACTGACCGGAAATTGAACAATTTCAAATGTCCCGCATGGCAAATTTGTCGACCATCTCCCACAATGCACTGGGAAAAATTAACTCTCCATGGCAAGGTCTTGGTGGTGCACTGCATTGTGAATCGCCCCGATTTGAATAGAAATCTATGCGCTCTGGTCCCAGGTTTACAATACCGATAGGCTTATGTTGTCTTGTTTTCTGTTGCAATTGCTTGGCAGCATCGTTAATCTGATACCACTCTGTCATCATGACCCGCGACGATTCGATCTTGTTACTGTCTCCCCAGCTATGTTAGGATTGGGGGGGGGGGGGTACACTGTTCTAGTCATGTGCTGATCTTTGCAGGATGTAAACCTCTCTTCTGCTAACACGATGATGAAGTGAGACAGCTGGATCTTAATGTCGTTAAAGTATGGTTTTGTATGTTTTATTTGTTAATGTAGTCTGCAGCTTGTTAAAGCTATAGTCCATCATTTGCAGCAATCCGAAAAGTAACTGGCATAATTATTGTTGAAAAACAAACTTGGTTGAAAGATAGTAAGGGGACTAAACTCCCTGTGAAATTATTCTTTCTGGGAAGCTGTCATTTTGAAGTAATCAACGAAAGAAGGCATTTCCAATGGTGATTCTTAAGAAGCACCGTAGGAAAATTTAAATTAGTAGTTCGTTTTGTTATTCAGCGCAGCGCGCACAAGTATTGGAACGACGCACACGCGCGCGCGGTTGTTATAATTCGTCGGATCAGTGCGCGACGTCGCGTATAGCTGCAATTCAAAACAATTCAAAATATGATTCAGTAACTTTTGATTTGAAATTGAGATCCTAGAATGCTGTTTTTCTCGGAATATACAGCTGAAGCTGAGCTGAAACTTCATCAGGTTAGTTGTTCAGTATCCTTCATTAGATTTTGAACAGTTTTGTTGCTTCAAACGAACAAAATGCACAAATTACAAATGATGGACTATATCTTTAAGGAGTATTCTGATACGCACAGGCATGAACATCAATTGGAAGAAACTGATGTACAGAGAGAAGTCACATGTATACACACAAAAAAGGCTACTGGTATTCTGGTACATGTACTATAGTATAATTATGTGAGGCTTTCTACTGCATGTACACTATATGTACCCGTATGGTGAGACTTTCTCAAATGTTCCATAGAGGCCCATTCTTGTGTCCTCTTATGTGACAATTAATGACCGACTCAACTTGTCAATTATACTGGTGGTTTAAAGGGAAGATACACCATTTGCAAACATCAAAACACGAAATGATCAAATTATCACGAAATACCTTACTGAATTGTTAGGGACTGACATTCTAAAGCATCCTTTAAAATCGTGGCTCCTGGTGTGCTGACATTTTGAAGAAAAACTGTATTTTTCCAGCGATGGTCGGCCGACCAGCGTTGGAGAAAACTGTTTTTTTTTCCCAACAACTGTTCCTAATTTTTCATATTTAGTTATTCTGACTTTTCTTTGCAATTGATATACATGTACACACCTATGAAGGGGTACAAGCCTGCTAGACTGATTCTCTGACCTTACAATTCCCCAAAGTGAAATAATTGCTCCGTTTCATCTTAAGTGGGGTCAGGGAACCAGACTACAAGAACATGATACGTTTTCTTGGTTTTTCCAGCATCTACAAGCCCAAAACGTGAAACAAGTCAGTTTAACAATATTTTCTCTAACATACTAATCCTCAAATCCATTTGTTTCTGAAAATTCCAGCAAAAGCAAATGATGTACAATCCCTTTAACTACACGTACACGGGTCATTTCAATACATTTTGGGTCCACTTTTTCCCCTGTCCCTGTTACATCTGACATCTCTGATTTTATCATTCCGATGCACTCCTTAATGCAGTCATCCTCCCAGAGTGATTACGAACCAACTTCGTGAGGCATACCACATGTGCATTAGTCTGGCCCCATTTTATTCATACGTCATGAAACATGCGTAGGCAACACAAATACTGGAATTTGTATCCTTGTGGAGACATTCCTTTGTTCTCGTGTACTAAAGTTTTCGACTTTGAAAGTGTAGTTTAAAAATGCTCTTATTTTAACCAGAATGAATTTCCTTCGCTGAAATTTGGACTTAATATCCCTTTTCTAAAACTCTTCCATTTGCGACAGATCAACATAGCTTGGAAATTCCTAGTTTTTGAGTAAAATCTATTTCGCGAAAACATTGTGGAGACATATTCATCTATAGAAATTGCCCTGTGGAGACGTACATGCAATCTTTTGTTTCCTATTGTACACACGTCTCCAGAGGGCACGGCGTATCAGATCAAGTCAATCTACATGTATACAGACTTTTCATTGCAACAGCGCCCTCTAGCAGCAATGCACAAAGCCAATGCACAACACTTACGAGCAGATCCCTGGGGCCGGCCTCCGCTCGGATTGCACTAATTTTAGGAGGTAGACTGCCCGCCTTCAGTCGGTCAAAGGTCACCTGAACAGAACTCTGCAAAGGTTGAAGAAAAAAAAGACAGACCAAAAGACACTATTAGTATTAATTGTGAATCAAAACTGAATTTAACCCTACGGTAACTCCCTAGGGGGTATGCAAAATGGTATTAAAATTGGAGGATTCAGGACTGTTAGGGCTATACATTACAGTATAAAATGGCCTAGAAAAAGTATTTTGTTGACGGTAATGCCCTGAAAATACTGGTAGGTAGGAAAACAATTTTACTTTTTAAATCTTTTTTAATATTTGTCTGTCCGTCAGTTATTGTTTATTTTAGCATGCGTATATACCTTTACTGTCAGTATTCTGTTAATTTGATTGACCAAAAACAAACAAAAAATTGCTGCATGAGAAAAAACTTTTTAGCATCAAAATATAATGTGTTTTGAATGTTTTGCCAAAGGTCGAAAAATTGGCCTAAAAATTCCAGGAAGGTCAGGTTACCTTTAAATCAAAGACTAATTTGTTTTTTATGCCTAAACACCTTAGGCCATATAATTAGATACAAGGGCGTCGCCAAGAATTGCATCCAAAGAATGAAATGCATTGCTTTTTTTTTTAAGGTTGTTCTGCAAAAAACAAAATTATTTTGATGAACTACCTGATGGGACATAAATAAATCAAAAATAGCTCCATGTACAGATGTATGTACGGTAAAAGGTGAGAAACACACATTGTATTTTAAATAGTTAAATAATGAAAAATCAACTGAAACAAATTTGAAGGGTGGTGCTGCATTTTACATTGAATTAAAATTGAAAAAAAAAATACTTTTGCGTCTGTGCATATTTGTAAGCAATAATAAAAACACTTTTCCATGTATTAAAATTAGAAAAATGGGTACCCAAATTTCAGATTCAGAATGTCACAGATGATCCTCTAAATCCATTGTTTGCTGCAATTACTCATAATATTGATTAAGTATTAACGCGAGCCAAATGTTAAGTAGATATTTCATACAGTGTATTGCAACAGTGTGTTACACAAGGCATGTAGTTATTGTAGTACACTGGAAATAGCCATTGCCCAGATGTACCGGTACATGTAGGTGCTCATTTGCATGTAAATGGACACAACTCAATTATCGTCCATTAAGGGTGGTTGTCAAAGGGGGGGGGGGGGGGGAGACAGACATGTATTCAACAAATCGACGGCCAGCCACGTGTACAATAATATTTGACCCAGGTAGAATTAAGGGTGCTTCATTAGCATGTAGCAGTTGCACACAGCAAATTCTGACAATCACCGGAGCGAGTGCGCAGCGCGCAACACACTGACAGGTGAATAAAGCCAATTAGGGGATGAAACACTGCGGCACGGCCAGCCACAAAGGCCCTGACTTTTAGTCCCCTGACAACGGAAATTAGGTCTGGATGTGGTAAACAAAAGCGAGGCTTTGCATCTGAACGGATACGTGTACACGTAGATTTAGCATAGAATCATTCCGTTGTTTCGTATCGCGTATGCAGACGGCCGAACGCATATGCTTGGTTATCGAAACCGTTGTCGATAAAAGTAGTTAATCTAAAATGACAGCCTACGATTTCTTCATTGGCTTCTCTTGTTAGGTTTCTTTAAAGCTATAGTCCATCATTTGCAGCCATCCAAAAAGTAACTGGCGTAATTATTGTTGAAAAACATACTTGGTTGAAAGATAGTAAGTGGACTAAACTCCCTGTGAAATTATTCTTTCTGGCAAGCTGTCATTTTGAAGTAATCAACGAAAGAAGGCCTTTCCAACGGTGCGTCTTAAGCCGCACCGTAGGAAAATTTAAATTAGTAGTTCGTTTTGTTATTCGGCAAAGCGCGCGCAAGCATTGACACGACGCACACGCGGTTGCTATAATTCGTCGGATCAGTGTGCGACATCGCGTAGGGCCTATACATGTAGCTGCAATCGGCTCAGTGAGAATGCGTCTCGGACGCTGAATTCAGGCCCAATTCAAAACATGATTCAGCAACTTTTGATTTGAAATTGAGATCCTAGAATGCTGTTTTTCTCGGAATATACAGCTGAAACTTCATCAGGTTAGCTGTTCAGTATCCTTCATTAGATTTTGAACACTTTTGTAGCTTCAAACGAACAAAATGCACAGATTACAAATGATGGACTATATCTTAAACCCTAACTCCCTAGGCCTTTTTGATAAGATGAAACCTCAATCCCGCAAAATCCTCCATTATTTCTTGAATATGGTTCGTGGAGAGGTGACCACTGCCTGAATCCTGCAAAATCCTCTGGCTTTGACTGTCAATAAGTTGAGGCAGAGCCAGTGACATCCTGGAGCAGTGCGGAGGATTTCAAGTATAATCAAGGACTAAATTTATGCTAGGCTGAGCATAAACAACACAAGGTCCGGCCAGTGTTTCCCCTGCCCATTCAAACGTGAGGTGGCCCACCTCGCTACTTTCAGTGACCACCTCGCTCAATTTTTGCCAATATCACCACCTCGCTGTGAAGATTGGCAAAAAAGGAAATATCAATTGAAAAATTTTCATTTTGTGTAATATATGAGCGTTTTCCTTTACCTCCATGCACATGTATCAAGAACTCACAATTTTGATGTGTTTTTGGAATCATCGCGCATTTTTGTGAGCGCTGCATTCTTTTCAGTTTGCAGACTGCATAAATTTCGTTTCAATCATCAACTTGAAATGTTACCACCTCGCCCAGTTCATTAGCCAGGGGAAACACTGGGTCCGGCCCAAGACCTTGACACATTGCGTACTCCGAAATCAGCAACGCACTTTTGCCATGTAACCTCAATCCTGCAAATTCCTCCAATTTGCAAAAAAGGATTTTGGAGGATTTGGTATGGTTAGGGTTTTAAATAGGCTTACAGGCTGCAGTGCCGTGAGTGGTTTCAATACACACTTGGTTTCATGACCAGAAAAAAAGGATGATAATAATAAATTGATTTTTTTTGCATTGATTGTGCTGTCATCACACAGTGAAAAAAGGTCACTGTAATAAACACGAAAGGATACACAGGGAAACAAATGTAGAGCATTGTGAACAATGGTTTGCATTGTGTATTTAAACCAAAATTTACATGTGAAGCCCAAATGAATGATTGATTTTGCAATGTAGGTAATCTGAACAGTCAATATCTGTTGACTGTAGTGTAGTCGTGGAGAATATTCTACACGCGTTAGGCATTTCAACACCTGTGAGATACAATGACACTATTGTGAATATCTGCGAGTTCATTTATTTGCCCACTCACTATTATTCACACAAATTGCATGACCACGCCCACCCTGTAATCAAATGACAATATTTTTGTGGCCTGTAATACATGCATACGCTGGGTTTTTGTTTTATTTTAATATATATATTTATTTATAATTTATTTAATTTATTTTGTTAAGGGGTGTGCGGTGGGGGATGGGCGCGGGAGGGGGGGTGCATGTTTATGGTATAAATCGAGGGCAAACAATACATAATATGAAGCATCATCAAATTATTGAGGACAGTGAGCCAAATGGAGGACGGCCTTGATTAGAAAACGTGTACAAAACCAACGGGAGCTGTTACAGTTATAGTTAACAAAAGATCGAAGATGGGGAACGATAGGAAATCCTTGATTTACACAATAAACAAACCTGTCCGTGTCTGTGTGTGGGGGGGGGGGGGGGGTGGATGTAACCTTGTTCCCAGGGTCTACATTGTACTTTCAATTTTAGGCTACAAAATGTTTTTCTGTAGGTTGTGAAAGGATAATACGGTAGGTCTCTCTCAAATGAGGTCGTCACTTCCTACAGATCGTCACGTGCATCGTCATTTTGGGCATCAATTTTTTGTGATACGCATCGGCTGCGCAGTATTTCGAAGACATTTCGAGCAACATGCGTGCGTGTTTAGAACATTTTGCCTACTGCACCCATAGCACCTGGTAGCACTGAACAAGCAGTTGTAATTTGCCTATGAGATGGCTGTCTACGTCTATCAGAGTGGTCTACATACAGGCAGGGTGACCGTAAGGTCATGACTAAATTGCTTCAATTTCAGGCAAAACGCGGTTGCGTCACAACGAAATCCGGTTCCCAGTGAACCTAAGCACCTAGCTAGACCAGGCAACCTTTCCTATTTTGCAAGGGTTTGTTTGAAAACAATTGAAGCTTTTGTAAACAAACGTACCATTTTTTTGGCAAATTTGCTGTTTTTCTGTCAAATAACCATTTTTGCAGAATTCTGCCAGAAATCTGCCAAAAAAATCCATTCTGTGAAATTTTCTGTCAAACTCGTTTTTTAACAAAAAATCTGTCAAAGTTAGCTGAAAATCGGCTAAAACGGTCACTATGCCTGTAGGCTTCCTTTTGCAATGTAGTACAAATATTGACTGCTTCGAGAGGTGTGGTAACACTAGCCTAATGAGATGATCCATGAAGCGTTCTTGTTGCTACGTTAGTTTCTATGCTGTGTTTACTTGTATATTTTTTCAGACCGAGGCAGCCATTACGGTCTTTATGACTGCACAGTAAGATAGTAAACATAACGAATTCCATGTGACTCGTTCTCGGCCAATCAAGATACAGAAACCTGTGGGTGAGGTGTTATAACCAAAAGATAGGCCTATTCAATAGATTCTAAAATTTGCTTAAAACTAGTGTCGACCTGGGCAAATAACCAGAAACAAACAATGACTTGTTAATTAAGTTGTGAATTTGTCAACCATCCATACCCCAAAAAAAACATCCACAGTGTGACTATTTTGCATAATATCCAGGATATTTTTACTCCCACCTCTTAAACTGTTATTTCCTTCCCCAACTTCTACCAAGGGACCTGGGTACTGGTACTTTGCCCAAACCAGTACGCACACAAGGTTTGTCCAGTCCACTGGGCCATTGAAAGTGATCAAAATGCGCCCTCAAGTTCGCGTCAGGAGCCCATATATACCTGACCCCAGGCATAGTGTTACATGGAGATTTGCGGTTTGATGCATCCTGATTCAACTTTCACTTTGTTTACCACATCCCATCCGGGCAAGCTTGGCGTTTGTATGCGACAGGTAAAACCCTTGTAATTCACATACAATGTACATGTAGCCGTTGGGCAGTTATGTAGACTTTTTTGGTTTGAGTCTTTATTAGGCTTTTGTATTTTTATTTTTTATCATTCCAAAATGACTTCTACAACCAATCTTTTAATTCTAATGACCCTAGACCTATTCTTGTAAGTATGACTTTGAAAAATATCTTTTGGTAGAAAATGCTAATTTTCTTATTAGACGTTTTATATTGTGATTATCGCAATCTTTATTTACACGTTATGTTTTGTCATCTTAAGCGTCGTGTTACCACAAAAACACCAAAAAATTTCCCTCAAAAACAAAAGCCCTGCCCTCTATCTATGACATTCTTGTTGGTTTTCAAGGAAAGAATGTTGCAACCTGACGCCACTTCTGCAGTTGTGTACAAAGTCTGTGGAGAGTCAAGAAAATGTTCAACGTATTTCCTAACAAAATTGAAAATGTTTATCAGTGCCAGATTCATGTCTTTGTCATCGTAATTTGTGAAATAAATGACCTTCATTGAGATGATATATGAAGAAAAAGTGGCGTCAGGTTGCAACATTCTTTCCAAGAACATCTAGTTGGGTGAACTCCAACATGTCCAATAACATTTAATTCTAGTTCACCAGAGCAGAGGCATCAAAGGAGACCCCTGACAAACTAAAGTCGCCAGCGCAGCCGATGTGCCGTAGGCCTAATTATGAACAAATCATAGAAAGCATCAGCGAAAATAACTTTTACTAACAAAAAAACAAGTTAGTAAAAAGTAAAAGGAACTGGCGCCGGCCAAATATCCACTGCTTCAATTAAAATAAATTATCTGCCATGTCTGCTCATGCAAAAATATGCAAATTAAACTTTAGTGATGTTGGTTTATATTTTTACACTTATCATTATGCACTTTTTACCAATATTGAATATTTTGGCCGGTTGGCGTAACGTAGTAAACAAATCAGTTCGGCCAATATCATGATTGAAAATAAACATAACGCTAGGATCATCCTAGCTAGATTGAAAATACCTACCCCTCGTTTTCTTGTCTGATCATTAAGTGCTTTTAACCAGGCCGTTAATAACTGTCCGGGGGCCTGCGACTGGTGCATATACATCCAAGCAACGAGAGAGTTCAACCACCGGCACGTCTCGGCGCCGGCCTCCCCGGGGCCTCCGGGCGTCTGGCCCGGCGTCGCCTCGCTCCAGCCGCCCCTTCCCGGACTTCCGCGTACGGCCCCGTTCCCGCCGTCCCTGCCGCCACCAGCAACTTTCTGGCCCTTGGGTCTCCTCATTGAGTCGTACCATGACACCGTGGCCACCACCACGGCGGCCAGAACGACCCAAAAGATGAGCAGAACGTCCAAAACGTCGATTTCTCCCGACTGGAGAGCCGACAGAAAGTACGCCGACAGGCCGGCCATTTTGTTGAGCCACTCGGTGATGCCGTGCGTCCACGCGTTGTTGTCAACAGTAGCACCGGTGCCGCTACTTTCTGCTGCTTGCACGGATGACATATTTGGCCAAAACAACAAACCGTGCAGAAGAAATTGTATACACGGGAAGATCGTTTAGTGTCCCGGGGAGCTCGTCTTCAGGCCTTGCAGCGGTCACACTGACATTTTTTATGAGCTTTGCTAGTGGAGCCGGAGACAGAAAAAAATCCTGCTGGAAGAAGTCGCGAGTTTGGCATTCCATGCGGTTCGTCTCATCCTTGGCCTTGCGTGCACGAACGATACGTCCGTCCGTACAGTACTACACAGCCGTTTTGTGCATGTTGTATTTTGTACAACATAAATTATGGCCGCCCGCCCACTTTAATACACATCAATATCGGTACAAATATATATAGAAACATAAAGAGTCTTGTTATTAAAATTATGCGAATTGGGGATTTTAAAGAGAATAGGACACACATTTAACTGACTTATAAACGTCTCAATCTTTGTTTTTTTTTCTGGAAAATATCAAAATCAAAGTCTTGTGTCTTTGTGATAAAACGAAATTGTTAGATATGACCGCAATTAAGTTAATTAATAGTGTCACAAAAAAGTCACAAAAATCAAGTTGACCCATTTTTTGAAAATGACGAAAGTGACCACCTTTAAAGCCAATTAACCTTGTAAGTGTATGAACATTTGAGCGTTATTATACGTTGCGACGGAAGCCAAAAATAAAGTTACAAAAAACAGGTCAATTAATTTGGTTATTCATTATTTGGTAAAGCCATTATTTATACCGCGGCTCAGCGCAGCCACGGCTATGTTAAAAAGCGCCCTCTTTTGTACAAAACTAGCAAGTGACAGGGAAAACAGTTGGGAAAACACTTTATCAAAATTATAGCCACAAATTACTTTTGAGAGAGTAGGGGTTGGAAAATGTGGCCAAAATAAAAACAAATTCGGGGAAAACAGACAATCATTGCGAGCCAAATAAAGCTGGTCTCACTGCCCAAAATTCTACTCAATGGGAGAAAAACACTGTGACACTGTCCTTTTTCATTTGTGTTGTTTTGAAGATGAGGTAAACAATGGACCAGTTAATGTTGCCACCAAGTACCTCAAAAGTCTCCCAATGATCCAGAAATATGAGAATGGCTATTCCGTTGGCATTGTCTAAGTCTTTTCGTAATCTACTCGTAATGGGCCGGATTCAGCCAATTATTGTCAGTCGGCCCGAGTCAGTTGGTCAATCAATGAGTCGGTCAGTGCATCGGGGAGTGAGTCTGGGGGGGAGTCAGTGAGTCGGGGAGTCAGTCGGGGAGTCGGGGAGTGAGTCCGTGAATCGGGGAGGGAGTCAGTCATTGAGTTGGGGAGTCGGGGAGTCAGTCAGTCGGTGTGTCAGTCAGTGAGTCAGTCAGAGTTACATTGTAACTATAACTATATGACTATTAGCCTTTAGTCAAGTCCCTCGTCCCTAGTCTTTTTACGTGTCAGCATCCGGGGTGCGTCACGTGTCCGGGTAAGCGCGTGGGACTTGACTAAATGCTATAGGACTATAGGCTGGCCGTCTTGTACAAGCAATTACTACATATTACAATGTACATCAAAATGGACTTGAATTTCTACAAGATTTGTATTCTTCATTGAAATAAATGAACATAATTCTGCATGCATGGCCTTTCAAATAGTCAAGTAATAATTAATGCCAAACAAGGAAATCAAACCAAACATTAAAGTACATAAGTGTTACAATTTACACTTTTAATTCTATTCCAAATGACAGGCACAAATTCTGTATTCTGCTCTTAAATATCATTACACTTTTGTTAATATTTGAATGAAATTTCTTAAATTCTTTTTGCAGAGCACCTGCGTAAATTTCTGTATTTTACCCATAGAGGGCGCTGTACATAATGAAATTAATCAACTTCCATAAAAATTGTCAATTATGTTAGTTTCTAGAATTGGGCCCAATTTCTCGGCGCTGCTAAGCACAAAAAAATTGCTTAGCACAAAAACTGTCTGCCTTATAAAAGCAGGTTATCAGCCAAAACTCCATGTGGTTTTCATGCTAAGCAAACAGCTGATACTAATCACGAGCAATATACATCACATGGAGTTTTGGCTGGTAATCTGCTTTATAAGTCAGAGTTTTTTGTGCTAAGCAAATTTTAGTGCTAAGCAGTGTCGTGAAATTGGCCCCTCAGATCTTCAAAGAAAAACTACAAGTACATAAAGAGTACTGAGTCAATCAACTTCCATAAAAACTGTCCGCAATTATGATATTTCCTAGAATTGATCTTCAAAGAAAAACTGATTATTTCAAAATTTCGTGTCAAACCATCAACAGCCAAATACTGGCTGTGGCTTTTTAAAAATGAATAAAATTTCAGGAAAACATATTCGGTGGCATATATTCAATGTGGCAGAATCACAATTATTTTCCATAATTTTAGTGCATCATTAAAATAAGCTTCAATTATAATAAAAAACAATTACCATTTTTAACTTTTAAGCTCTACAAATATTGCTCATTTAGCAATCCGTTCCTCATTACTTTATCTCAGAAATCACATTTTGTCACTGAAAAAAGCTAAAAGCATGCTTATTAAAGGCAAAAGCAATAGCAGCACTCTTTCTCAGATCTTGATAAATTACGCCGACTTAATTAGTACTTATTAGGCAAAATGCGTAATTATGACGCTTAATAAAGGGACTGCATCTGTTCTCAAAGTTTGGGAGGGTAGTTCTCGTAGGACTGCAAGGGCGTGCATAGCTGGCTCCTCTTTGTGTTTTTATTTTTTATTACTCTACGACATCATAGAAGACCCTAGCCAGCTGGTAGCGGATGGCAAAAGCGACAAAACTTCCGATGACCTGTGTACAGAAAACACAACTAATATTACCATCTACATGTAATAAGTATGCGATTGTGTTAGGCCTGGAAGATTAATGCAAAGGCCCACCAGGCCTGGATCAGTGGCTTCCAACACTTCTCAAAGAATGTGGCAATGGAGGATTTTTGGAGGAATAACGCCAAACCTCCTCAATATGTTGAAATGGACCGGGCACTTTTTTTGAGGATTCGGAGCCTGTCTACCTGTGAAGTGCCCCTTGATTTTGGAGGATGCGTTGTTTGGAGGTCTAAAGCTGTAACTTGCATTGTTTATGTTTAGCCACGGAGGCATAAATGTAGGCCTTCTAGCATTGTCCAAAGTGGTTTCGTCGTTATTGGGGAAGAGCACACCATACCGTCAGTGCATACACAACCAGCACGCCCGTATCCGTCAATGCCATGCATATTTAAGAAATTCAGCAGATGATTTTGGAGAATAGAGGCAGTATCTAACTTTTTATGCAAAAAGATTGCCAAATCAAATTAAGTTTTGCCCTTCAACAACGTTTTTTTTTTTTTTTTAAACACTGTATACTCAGTGTGTTACCTCCCGAGTGAAAGTTGGAAAAAAATCACTCCGGTGGGACTCGAACCCACAACCTCCTGCTTTCTAGTGCAGACATCTTACCACTCGACCATCGAGCTAACGGGATCGGTTGGCTGGTTCGAATCTGATTTACATAGCAGCGGGTACCGCATATACTATTATAAGATGGAATTTTGCGTCGGGGTGATATAAATCAAATTAGGTTTTGCCCTTCAACGACATTTTTTTTTTTAAACACTGTATACTCAGTGTGTTACCTCCCGAGTGAAAGTTGGAAAAAAGATCCTAGGAGGTTAAGTTTCAGGAAACGTCCTGGTAAAATGCTTCTAAGAAGTTAGGGTTGAAGTATAATACTAGACAGCATACCTGAATTATTAACATGTACGTAGTCAATCTGGGTTCTCTCGTCGGACCGATCAGCCGAAGCAAGAAGTTGATCAGAGTGAAATTGTTGCATTCCGTGTACTCCCCGTTCTCGCCGACGCCTTGTTTTATGTCGATCAGCCGAAACATGCCAAAGAGCTGGATGACCAGCCTGCCTGTAGAGGGGACAAGTAATAAGATTGCTCCTTATTTGCATATGACCTGAGCATCTTTGACCTTCTATAATTTGCATACCACCTGTGTTGGTGCTAGAGATTATGGGCGATTTAAGGTTCATCAAAACTTCTATTATTGTACTTCTTTATAATGTTCAAACTTAAAGCGCTGTTTAAAGATATAGTCCATCATTTGTAATTTGTGCATTTTGTTCGTTTGAAGCAACAAAAGTGTTCAAAATCTAATTTCAGCTCAGCTTCAGCTGTATATTCCGAGAAAAACAGCATTCTAGGATCTCAATTTCAAATCAAAAGTTGCTGAATTATGTTTTGAATTGTTTTGAATTGCAGCTATACGCGATGTCACGCACTGATCCGACGAATTATAGCAACCACGCGCGCCTGTGCGTCGTGCCAATGCTTGCGTGCGCTGCGCCGAATAACAAAACAAACTACTAATTTAAATTTTCCTACGGTGCGTCTTAAGACGCACCGTTGGAAAGGCCTTCTTTCGTTGATTACTTCAAAATGATAGCTTGCCAGAAAGATTAATTTCACAGGGAGTTTAGTCCACTTACTATCTTTCAACCAAGTATGTTTTTCAACAATAATACGCCAGTTACTTTTTCGGATGGCTGCAAATGATGGACTATAGCTTTAAGTCAGAGACAATAAAATTTGAGAAAAACTTACCATCGGAGTTGAAAACTTTAACCCCTTTATCGCGTATCAAATCGGGTTATCGCGTATCAAACTGTAACATCGTCTATAGCCCCTAGACTAATTGACTTACCCAGTATGTTCAAATCTTTGGTCTTGAATTTGGTGTAACTCATTTCCAATTTGTCAGTTTGAGGATTGTACCTGTACAACACAAAACAAAACAAGCCTACATTTGAGATTCACACAAAATATCCGACTCTGGCTAGGATGATCAGGTTGGCGTAGCGGTGATTTCCTTACACTCGATCACTGTGACCCGGGTTCGATTCCCATCCGGGCCTAACATGTGGATTGCCTGATTCCATGGGTTTTCAATAAAATGTCCATCCGGGATTTTCCTCCCACCACTAAAAACTGATAAACGCAGTGTTTAATACCGACCAAGCACGTTTTTATCAAAAAATGAACACTTTTGGTACAAGTCAAAAGTACAAAATTTTCAACGATTTTGTTCAATAGTTTCACTAAATGTTTTTCGAAACACCCCTCTTGCTATACAATGGAGTGTCTAGCTCGCAGGTAAGTTGTAAACGAATCCTTTTATGGAGATTGGCGTGAGCGCATACTGCGCGTTGTTGCGCCAAATGCAGCTGTGGTGGTGCGTCGTGAATTTAGGACTATGAAATACTGACTCACTGGTAATATTGCACATGCCTACGTGAGGATTGTCAACGTTTAACCAATAAAACGGTAAAAGGCACTGAATTTAATAGGAGTCCAAATTTCAAGTAACACTGAAAAAGTGTTTAAGACCAGCCAGCTGGTCTTCATCATCCGTTTAATACCGGCCACGTGACAAGCTCTCGACCAACAGGAATGGGTAAACTGTCTTAGGTATTTATGAATAATAAACAATTCAATCCAAACCTGGGCAGCCGATGTCTCGGGCAGGGAACAAAATGGAAGAGTTGGGGGACGGAGTACAGGAAGTTTAGGACTTGCGGGATGAAGAAAAGCAGCATGGTCTTGCTGAAGTGACCGAGGATGCCCACCACAGCGAAAGTCATCCCGGAGAAATAACAGAACGTGTCGCCAACAAACAAGGCAGAGGGGTACCTGAGACAAAAAGGAGGACAAAGGAAAAAAATGACCCCTTACAATATTCACCATTCTCCCAAGTGACTGATTTCACCAAAAGTTCCCATCCAGCTCACAATCATGCCAACAAAGAGTGACAAGCGTGGCACCACATGAAATGCCCTCCCAATGACTGGGTATAGTTTGCAGGATTCAGTGACCACTGGGCCTTTAAACAAAAATGGATGGGAACTCTCTGATAAGTCAAACGGGCAGGCTATTCATACACCAAGAAGACAACTAGTCAGTGAATGTAGTTACAATCAGAGACCATGGAGCAAATTGTGGGATGTTCCAGTTGTTTTCTTAAGCCTGCGTCACAAAATGGAAGGCTTCATGTTTTTAAGGTTGGTTCATAGAGCTATATTAAATTACTACAGCGCTAACTCCTCATTCTTGCGCGCGGAGACGCTTTGAAGCCACTCTGGGCGCAGACATTTCGAATTTATGTGCGTGTTTGTAGAACACAATCAAAACAGATGGATTGAATTTTAAAAGTGTACTCTAAATGCAACACGCAAGTAGAAGATACGCAAACAACTTAAGTGCGTCATGACGGTTCAAAAAAGGTCACGGCGAAAAGCATCTGCAGCGGAGGGATGCGCACACGTTGCGCTGTTTGCGTAGAGCAAAATGAAACGCTCATTTGCTGATCGTGCGTTTCGATTTTGGGCGTATCGGCTTCGATGACGCACCGGTATGGAATACAAATGCAGATATGCAAATAGCCGTACAAAAGCTGTACAAAATTTCGAGTTTTCCATAGGTTTGTGCACAAACATGGATGCGGCCATCAGGCATTACTTTGTACATCGAGTTAGCGCTCTAGTAATTTAATATAGCTCTATGGTTGGTTGCAAATATCAGGTTTCCAAAATCCAAACCGAATAGTGGAATTCAAACCGAATGTTAAACAATCTGGATTTAAATCCCAGCACTACTACTCACCAATTGTGGTACAGGATTGCCGCGCAGACCGCACAGTAGGGAATCATGAAGTACAGAGAAAACAAATTGATTTCCGGCAAATCTCCTGTAAATTATAAATAATAATATTTTGACATGATATTATTACTTGCTTATGAACAGAAACATGAATTAGTGGACAATTCGTCACTGACACCACGAACTGACAGCCGGTGGTCTCTGAGTTTTCTTGGTTATGAGTGCATCGTTAGTAACGCAGAATTTTGCTTTTCACAAACTGACACTCAATTCGAGAGTCCAGAGAAGGGGAGTCAGGTTTGCGTAGCGGTACTTTCCTTGCCTTCCACCGCTGTGACCCGGGTTCGAATCCCGCCTGGGCCAATATATGGATTGTGTTTTCAGACCCTACCTGATTCCATGGGTTTTCCCCAGAATATTCCTCTGGGCTTTTCCTCCCACCTCTAAAACTGTAACTTCTTCTCATTGTCTTCTCTTTACAGGTTTCTTCAGGCTTGCGAGCTACAGTGCCAAGGGTGCTTTTGAGGAATCCTTGGTTTCATTGCCAGAAATAAATAATATAATAACAATTTTTGTTTTTTGTTTTCAAGAACTGAAACCCGTCTTGATTATTGAATTTCTAATTAACTAAGCATCTATTAAAATCGCAAGCCATAGCTCAAGGCAGAACTCTGAGGTACCCTGTAATATCCTGTATAACCTCGGTAAACCTCAAGATAAACCTCAAGATAAATCTCAAGGTAAAGCTCAAGATACACCTCAGATACACCTCAAGATACACCTCAAGATAAATCTCAAGATAAACCTCAAGACAAACTTCAAGACAAACCTCAAGATAAACCTCAAGATAAACCTCAAGATAAACCTCAAGATAAACCTCAAGATAAACCTCAAGATAAATCTCAAGATAAACCTCAAGATAAACCTCAAGATACACCTCAAGATAAACCTCAAGATAAACCTCAAGATAAACCTCAAGATAAACCTCAAGATAAAGCTCAAGATAAACCTCAAGATAAACCTCCAGATAAACCTCAAGATAACCTCAAGATAACCTCAAGATAAACCTCAAGATAAACCGCAAGATAAACCTCAAGATAAACCTCAAGATAAACCTCAAGATAAACCTCAAGATAAAGCTCAAGACAAACCTCAAGATAAACCTCAAGATAAACCTCAAGATAAACCTCAAGATAAACCTCAAGACAAACCTCAAGATAAACCTCAAGATAAACCTCAAGATAAACCTCAAGATAACCTCAAGATAAACCTCAAGATAAACCTCAAGATAAAGCTCAAGGTAAAGCTCAAGGTAAAGCTCAAGATAAACCTCAAGATAAACCTCAAGATAAACCTCAAGTTACTGCCTGTGCCATTCTGCATTCTCCCCGTACTAATCCCACTTGGGATTAGGAATAATCCTACTTGGGATTAAAAACAATCAAACCAAATCCTCATTATGTTATCCCATGATTCTTACCGGTCAGCTGAATGAGATTAAAGATGATTATGCTGATCCCGATCACCAGGGATTGGCCGGCTTCAATGCCGTTAATCCCAGCCAGAATGTTGATGGCGTTGGTGCAGAAGACAGCCAGCATGCCCATGTATACGTAGTACAACACCCCTGCAATGTCACCGAAAGATTACACAAACAAATCTAACTATTTAATTAGGCTGTGCCTAACACACCGAATATTCGATAATCCACTAATTAACCGAGTGGCATTTTTTTCTGATTTGAATATTCGAGAAAATCTGATGGGTCTCTAGAAGATGAAGACAAATGTCCCTATAATCATACAAGGTGTATGGGCTTCGAGCACAAGCACTCCTCCAACGGCCAGAAAAGGAGAGTTGGGGGAGACCTAGACTGGTTCCCGGTCCATTCACTGCGTATTTCGAAATGAACCAAAGTTATTGGGGGTGGGGATTGGTCTAGGAGACCATCGCAAGTTAAATTTGAACGTATTCACCCGCTGACGACGCTGGGCGCTCATGCAAAGAGGTTGTGGCCAATAGCTTTTGCACGTTCAGCAAGTTCTGCATACTTCGCGCGCGGACCAGTACGGTACTGTACGCTCACGCAGTCACGCTGTGTGTCCCGTCCAAGGGGCTCTCAAAAGTGGTAAAAATGCGCCCTCTTTTGTTGGCGCATGGAGCCCATAGTTTTGTTGTTTGTCAAATGCCACCTTTTTTTATATTACAGTCATTTCACAGGCATGACTTGAAGACTTCCGTAAGGAATAAGGCCAAGTTCGCGCAAGGACTATAGTTGACCAATGGTTAACTAACGTTTGCCCGAACTCTGTCTAGTCGACGGTGGTTGACTAGGCTAGTCGACTATTTGGAACCAGCCTACTGGGGTTGGTTGCTTCGCTGGTAACCAATAGCAGCGCACATTCATAACGCTAGCAGAGAGCCGGGATCCAGAAGTTTTGCGATGACATTTTGACCAGCGTTTGACTAGAGACGTTCGCACGTTGCTATCAGTGCGCAGGCGTAAGGTACGTCACAAATCAACCACTAGTCGACTAATGGTCCTTGCCCGAACTTGGCCCGTATTGGCTCTAATTTCCATCTTTAAAATCTTTCAAATATCAGCTTGTTAGGCCCGTTCTAGATGCCATGCTACTGCTGCGCCGAACTTACTGAAATGAGTGCAGCAATAGCTTGTCCACAGCACGGCAGTTGCTCTAAAGGCTGAACCTAATAGTCGAACCTTAATGCATCTGGAAAAACTGGCCAGGTGAGAGCAGTTGAAGCAATTGAAGCAGTTTAATTCACTCCCGCAGACGCGGGAGGGGGTATTGTGAGCATGCACGTTCCTAAAATGTTTACCCCAACTTCAAATTGAATTGAGTTTGGCATGGCAATGGCACAGCGTTTAGAACAGTGCCGTGCCAGCCCTGTCAACCAAGGATGGTGTCATGCCAAACTCAATTCGCCGAGCCAGATATGGTGCTGAACGACGTGATATAGCCGTGCCGAATAAAAAAAAAAAGTCAAATTAATTCAGGCAATTCACAATGCAGTTCGCCACCAAGAGTTTGCCACAGAGAGTTCATTTTCCCAGTGCATTGTGGGAGAAGGTTGACAAAAGTCGCAGTGCGGGACATTTGAAATTGTTCGTTTTTTTTCCGGTCAGTAGTTTCATAAGCATGTGATTCGAGTATATATGTTTGCCCATTTCTTTTCTTTTTATCAATATGGTATTTTTTTTAAGGCCCAGAACACTATGCCCCAAATTGTAACAAATTAGCTCGAGTTGCCTACTGACACTCATTCACGTTGGCCATGTTTTGTCGACCGTAAAATTGAAGAATGGACTCTCCATGGCAAACTCTTGGTAGCGCACTGCATTGTGAATCGCCCGAATTGAGTAACACCTTGTCTAGAACAGGCCTCAGTTACCTCAGAAATATATTGATGCATACATGATGTTCAGTACATTCAATTTCTGCTGTTACATGGCGCATATGCAAAAATACTATATTCAGATATTTGATTGAATCCAAGAGTTACTGCATGATTCCGCTTCGGGATCCAAAAACTGCCATATGCTCTTTCCCTACACTTTCAACTGCATGGTTCGTGGTTCGAAACCCTTATATGCACACCCACCAAGATTCACGCTGTGGCCCACGAGCTGGTCTAGAGGCTTGGGCACTATGATGGTGGTGGAGCCGATGTTGACAAAGTAGACCATGAGTAGCGGCAGGGTGGCCATAGTGGGCAGCTGCAGCTTGTGGCGCCACCGCAGGTTCAGCACGTCGTCAGCGAAACCCAGGAAAATCATGCAGCAGATGGAGAGCAGCGCGGCGATGAACTCAACAAACTGTCAAAGGAAAGGACGCAAAGAGACTTGATCACTAGTATTATTTTGGGTTAATTAAGTGTCCGATGTCAATTTTATTTTAATTTAATCAGGTGTAAATTTGTACAATTGTGATGAGCTGGTGTTTATTTTGGCTTGTTCACGTGACTCTTGATTTTAAAGGGAAAATACAACATTTGCAAACATCGAAAAATAAAACTTCCAAGTTTTTACAAAATACCTAACTAGGATGTTGGTAAATGACACTCTTAAGCATCCTGTAAAATTATGGCATCTGGTGTGAAGTCATTTTCAAGAAAATGGTATTTTTGTATTCATTTCCAACGGTGGTCGGCCGACCACCGTTGGAAAAACCTAACTATTTGTTCAACTGCTCCAAATTTACCATTTGTTTCAGTCCAAATTGTGTTTGCTATTGGTTACATGTTCATGAACGAGTGCAGGCCAGCTAGACTGGTTCCCTTACCTCACAATTTTTCGGCATCTATAAATTGATCCATTTCAATTTTAATTGAGTCAGGGAACCAGACTACTTGAACATTTTTGTTTTTCTTGGTTTTTCCAGCATTTTCGAACACAAAACTTCAAACATGTCAGTGTAACAATATTTGATCATATTATACTAACCCCTCAAATAGTTCATTTCTAACAAATTTAAGCGAAAGCCAATGATGTACATTCCCTTTAACTTTGAATTTTACAAATTTTATGCTTCTAATAATTTGACGTCTTTGCACACTGGAGAACCCATCTCATGTAAATTTTTATGTGATGAATACTTCTACATTTTGAATGCTGAAGAATCTTGACTTACATGGCTGAACATTTAACTCTGTGCGAATTTAACCTTTATCAAATGGATTAATTTCCACCTGTGACTTGGTTTGCTTTAGTCTGAGGATCAGACACTCATGTGTGCAGAGCCAGAAGTGTTTTCTCAGTAAATGCTTCAAAATTGTCCCTGCTAAATTGGACTTTTTAGGACATAATATCACTTTCTGATGGACAAGTATGGGAATCTTTCCAAGATGCTTGGGCTTGCTTACTCGGTGATGCGGAAAGTCCTCGTAGTTTTCAGCCCTCCACCACGACGTCCAAAACGGCACGGGTATGAACAGGAACATGATGATGAGAAACATGGCTCCAGCTATCACCCCAAGGGACTCGGGACTGTCAAGAAATAAATTAAGAGTAAATCTTGTAGTCAGGTCTCTCAATACACTATTTTTATTAGGAGTAGTAAAACCAAGGATTCCTGAAAAAGGGCCCCAAACACTGTAGCTCACAAGCCTGAAGAATCTTGATGCCCTCAACTGACCAGTGATAAACGAAGGTGGATACATGCTGTGACATGTAAAAGTTCACTAAGCTACAGTCCATCATTTGCAGCTATCCAAAAAGTAACTGATGTAATTATTGTTGAAAAACATACTTGGTTGAAAGATAGTAAGGGAACTAAACTCCCAGTGAAATTATTCTTTATGACAAAGACATGTATGCGGTGCACTTGACATGACATCGACAGCGCACTACCCGTACCCAATGATAGTACAACGTCATCATATATAATTTTTCATGAATATTTAGTTTATTAAATACATCAAATAGGCCTAGTCCCTTACTGGCAACGATCGTTCGACTACTGTAGCGGATAAGGCTGGTATCATGAAATAACAAGATTGCGGGTTCGAATCCTGGTAAAGTGGTAAACTGGTACTAGTGGTAAATAAAGAGGATTGGAGGAGGGTAGAGAGTGAGAGTTGAGGAGGGAAAATAGATGATGGCGTAGCGGTTAAGAACACTGGACTCATGCTCTGGTGTTTCACAGGCAACAGTGGCGTGGGTTCAAGCCTGGGCCCGGACACTTGTGCCCTTGAGCAAGGCACTTAACCATTATTGCTTCGTCCTTCGGCTGGGACGTTAAACTGTAGGTCCTGTGTGTTGTATAAATGCACGTAAAAGAACCCAGCAAACACAATATCGCTAAGAGAAGGGGTTCGCCCCTGTGTTTCTGGCAGTTATCCTCATACAGTATGAGGCCAAGGACGAAGGTCTAAAGTAAAAGTTGGTGTGATCATGGTGTGATGTTTCCCCAGGGATGCTCTGCCGACTAGTAGGCCTATATGATACACTACAGATACAGAACCATGTCATGTGAAAGTCTGTATCTGTATCTGTAGGTGTACGTTGCAAGAAACCAATTCTGGCATCAGAGCAACGGGAGAGAAAGGGTGTTCACTGTACAGTAACTTATTGAGAGAGAGGTCCGCGGCTGATGAGGGATTTGAAGGTATCAACAGAGTCGGCTTGGACCACGCATTCCTCTAGATGGTTCCAGTCAATTATAGTTCTGTTGAAGAAGGAGTACTTGAATTGATCTGTGTTGCTCCGAGGAACTCTGTAGCACCTTGAGTTGACAGCTATGGAGCTTTCAATGGAGTGTGTTGTTGCAGAGTTGAAAAGTGTTCTTGGTCAAATTTGTCTCCCAGGTTTTTTAGATGTAGAGCTGAGATGGTATGGCTGGCACTAGCCCCTTAACCACTTTGTACATGAATGTGAGTCGTAATTGTTTCCTTCTGTCTTGCAGAGATGGTAGTTGTTGATTTTGTAGCATTTTTAAGAGGCAACCGGGCTTCTGTGATCTGTAGTCTCCGGTGATGAAGCGTACAGCTCGATGTTGGATGCGTTCTAGTCGGTCAATATTGGCTTTTATGTAAGGGTCCCATACTGTAGCTCCGTATTCCAAGATTGGTCGTACCAGGGCTAGGTAGGCAGTTCTTCTGCAGTTGACTGGGCAACCCCTAAGGTTCCTACGAAGAAAACCTAAAGTGGAGCCAGCCTTCTTGGATATACTGGATATGTGTGTATTCCATTTGAGGTCCTCAGAGATGTGTATACCAAGATACCGGTTGCTAGGCACTTGATGAAGAACAGTGTTGTCTAATGTGTAGAAACGTGTTGATTTATTCCTAATGCTGAGAATGTTACATTTTTTGGCATTGAAGCGCATTCCCCATTTTCCCGCCCAAGTTTCCAGGTTTTCGATGTCTTGTTGGAGGATGACATGATCACTGGGGTCGTCTATTTGTCGGTAAAGCAGGCAGTCATCTGCGAAGAGACGGACTTTGGATGTCACACTGGCTGGAAGGTCATTGATGTGGCAAAGGAACAGCAAGGGACCCAACACTGTCCCTTGGGGGACCCCAGAGTCGACCGGCACTTCCCGAGAAGCTACTCCTTCCAATACCACTCTCATTGTGCGTTGGGTGAGAAAGCAGGTTAACCACTGATGTAGAGGGCCCCTGATGCCGTAGTTGTGGAGCTTGTGGAGGAGTTTGTTGTGTGGGATGGTGTCAAATGCTTTACTGAAGTCGAGTATGGCAATATCAACTTGCTTTTTCTCGTCGAAAGATTTTAGTAGGTCATGTAGTGTAACTAAGTTGTGTTTCACAGGAATAGCCACGACGAAAACCCATGGTTTAACTGTGTGAGGATTTGGTGATATTCAAGGTGTGAAATGACGTGTTTGTAAATGATATGTTCCAGTTGCTTACAGGGTGCTGAGGTTAGGGAGATTGGACGGTAATTCTCGGTTAGGTGTTTGTCTCCTTTCTTGAAAACACAGGATACATTGGCCTTAAGCCAATCTCCAGGTAGGATGCCGGAGTCAAGAGAAGTTTGGTATATTGCTGCAAGACCAGGTGCGATGTTGTCAGCACAATTTTTCAGCACGGCGTTTGGTAGGTTGTCTGGTCCAGGTGCTTTTGCAATGTTAATCTTCTTCAGCAGTTTAGCTACACCGACTGAGTGGACGATGATACGTGGAATTGGTTGATCTACTTTTGTGTTTACTTCTGGCCCTTGAAAATTTACGTTGGCCCTTGAAAATTGATTGAAAAAGTACAGTGTAACTGTATGTATACTTGAAAAAACTTTCCGAGCCCAACCCAATAAGTAGGTACTAAAAATTAATTAGGCCCTATTTTTGTCCTAATGTTAATAATGTTATGTGTCTCATGAAACCTTAATCATGCACTTACACTTGCACAGGTTTGCCGCCAGGGGGCGCCTTCTTGCTCATGTCTCTCCCACTGAGTCCCGCCTTCAAAAACAGATCAAAGGACATGGGTAACAGCCGCAATGTCACCACAAACCCCACCACGGACATCAGTGCATTCAAAACCACCGGAAAGTACATTTTCCAGTCAAATTCTTCCTCCATTTTGTACCACAAATTGTCACAATATCAGATGCCGCACAACATAGTTTCGAGACAAGATCTGAAAATACTCGCTGTTGAGTGTTGTCGCAAGTGCAACTGATGAAAACTCCAGCTAACGTTGCATGTGCAGTTTACAAAGTTAAACTTGATTAAGTCCTTTGTTGATTTATTTTTCCTATAAAGAGTAAACCGACTTGATAAATGTCATTTGTTCAATGCTTACGTGAAGAAACGCACACAAGGAATTGTCTTTTATTTATTTTACTAGATTTGAATTCATGACAATTCATTAAGATTTCGCAAAGGATGATTTTTCTTGATGCAATTCACTGGTATTAAGACGTAAGACTTGCACATATTTAGCTTTTTCCTGGTTATTCTGTCTGAATCAAAATTAACGTGTATTTGAGCATGGTAAAGTCAATAATTCGCGACTGTGCCTAAGATATAAATCCATCTACACGTTTTTAACAAATTATCGCATTGGTATTCTGCGCACTCGCAGTCTCATACTAACAATCATTACTGTGAACCAGCCAAATCAAAAGGCATTTAAATCGTTTAATCCATGCATCAAAAGGAGATCTATCTGTTACACGTACTGCGTAGGCTTGTTTTCCAGTCGTCGTCGTTATTTAATTTCAATAATTCAGGGTCAAAGATTTGCATCATAATGAGACTAAATAAATACTAGGAGGAAATGGGGAGCAAAATATCTGGTCGGGACGGAGAGAGAGCTAGACTGAGTTGTCCTTTGGGAGGAGTGTATATCCACCGCAATGCAATTTTTCGGAGGTACGAAATTCGAGAGATGTTCTCTATTAGTAAAAAGTGAAAACAAAAAGTTTGGCCTGTACCATGTTTTGTACTTTTGTGCGAAAGGTATTCCTTCTTCCTTCTTTTTCCCCGTGCCTGGCCGCTTTTGCCGTTTTTCGCATTGCTGTCGATGATCATTAAACGCACGGATTTTGACTGACTAGTATTACAGTCTAGTAGAAAAACAATAATGGCAAAAACGCCTGTTGATGTATGTATTTTAGTCCTGTCATCCACCTGTCACGCATGAGTGAGATCTGCTTACTTGCCATGCCAGTCTACGTACAGACGTACGTACGTACTAGCAGGTAGGTCACGTAAAACATCGTCTTCTTGGCAGGGACTACATGGACTAGGACTCAACATACAACTACAACTATAATAAACCGGACCACCAAAGTTTAATTTTTACCATATCATATGCTGTTCATAATGCACCAGGTAGATGTTCGTATTTATCATGTTTATTTAAAGTAAAACGTCATGAACGTAACGTATTGGGAACAGGCATTTCGACTTTTGTTTTGCCGCATGTCGCCCGCTTCAATTCGCGGTCAGCATGGTCAGAGGGCCTCGCCACCTGTCGCCCGCTATACGCTAAAGCGCGATGTCGAGAGACTAATAATTATTAAAGTAGTATTATTATTAGTAAGAGAGGGCTTTGCCACTGTGCAACTCGTGAACACACACACACATTCGTGTTCATACAACTCGTGAACTTGAAGTTGAAGTAGGCTAGGTTTGTTTATTTATGGTGTAAAAAAATCGAGGATTTTCTATTGCTCATCATCGAATTTTTTGCGTGTCCTCAATTTTCCTTCTCAAGTTTCCGTTGGGAAAGATTTCCATATACGAAGTTCACTAATTTTCCTCTGTATTGACTAACAAGCCCCCAGATAGCAATTTCATGTCATCAAAGTCAATTTGAGCAGTGAGAAAATACAAGTATTTTCTTAGAAAACACTTACAAGTTTTCAGTCCAATCTCATAGGGTTTGTACACAGGGTGTTGAGTGAACTTCGTATATGGAAATCTTTCCACCACTTCGCCCACGCGCCACTTCACCCTTGCGCCTGACATATTTTATTTAAGTCTCAAAGACTTGACTGAAGACTAGACGTGGGCGTACATGTAGGTTACAAGTACCACTGTCATTTGTGGAGAAAAGTTCTGCTAAGGATCGAAACGTTAATCATTAATAGGCCCGTTAATTTTGTTGATTTGTAGTATATATTTCAGGTCAATCCGGTGGCAGTGTGCAGCAGTTTTATTCATTTTTTCTTTTCAGATGTTTTCAATAAAGGCTATTCAGGTTGATGTCACGGGGGCACCGGTGTGCTGATGCAGACCCAAAAATGAGCGCAGAGGTCAAATGGCCCGGATTTGTCAGCTTTGGCAGCATGCCATACGATGACGTCTACCTAGAAGATGGCAGCTCTGAAGAAGACGAAGACGAGCACGTTCTGTCAGACTCGCGCAAACCGCTCATGTCGCCGCAGAAACAGGCCAAAGTCGCGCTGCGGCAACCGCCCCCTACTGTCGGCGTTCACCCGCTCATCAAAAAGCGGTTCCTGCGCTGGTTCTACTTCCTTCTGACGTTCATGTTCCTCGGTTTGACGGTCTTTGTACTGATACGGATTGCCAATGATGCCATGCAGCAGACAGTGGGAGGTCCCACCGCCGACCCCAAACCCCCAACGACTTCTGAACACGCCTCTGAAGCTGCTCGAGAGAAAGTCATCCTTCCATGCTCCCGCTTTGACGTCCAGGACGTTTGGGTGCAGAACTTTCCAAAACTGATCACGGAGACTGCGTTCCGATTGGTCGACGTAAACAAGGATGGAGTTTTAGATGTTATCATGGGGTTTTCTACAGGTGAGTTTACGTAACCCTAACTTTCCTCAATCCTCCAAAATCATCTTTGCTTTCGCAAAATGGAGGATTTTGTAGGATTGAGGTTACATGGCAAAAGTGTGTTGCTGATTTCAGAGGATGCACTTATGCTCAGCTGTGCATAAATTTAGGCCTAGATTATACTTGGAATCCTCGGCACTGCTTCAGAATGTCACTGGCTCTGCCTCAAAATACTGACGCTGATTGTCGGAGGATTTTGCAGGATTGAGGCAGTGGCCACCCCTCCAAATACCACATTCAAGAAATAACGGAGGATTTTGCAGGATTGAGGTTACGTCCTAGCAAATACGCCTAGGGAGAATAGGGTTGAATGACTGTCATCACTGCCGAAGTATTCCTCCCAAGAAGTGTCGCTTTAAGTGCAGTGTTCCTGCAAAATGAGACGGAACTGGGCCCCCCCCAAAATAACATTGGGATGATTTTTTTTTAGAGTTTCAGATTGATCGATATTTGAAATCTTTGATGTTTGTATGTCTACCACACATATTTTAAAGAAACAGTCAACACTATAAGGAATATAAGGAAAAAGAATTGGCATCTTTCATTTTTACGGAAACAAAAACTCCAAACTTTTTTTCTAAGTATTTTACTTTTTTGACATCGATAAATGCGAACTTTAAACAGCCATAACCCGCCAACGAAATGTCCAATGTAAAACAAACCGTTTTAATTCATAGGTTATGGTTTTTAATTTAATTCATAGGTTATGGTTTTTAATTTAATTCATAGGTTATGGTTTTTAATTTAATTCATAGGTTATGGTTTTTAATTTAATTCATAGGTTATGGTTTTTAATTTAATTCATAGGTTATGGTTTTTAATTTAATTCATAGGTTATGGTTTTTAATTTAATTCATAGGTTATGGTTTTTTATTTAATTCATAGGTTATGGTTTTTAATTTAATTCATAGGTTATGGTTTTTAATTAATTCATAGGTTATGGTTTTTAATTAATTCATAGGTTATGGTTTTTAATTGCTGGGTTTATAATGTATGTTAGGAAAAAAAACGGTTCTAAATGCTAAAAGAAAAAGTATGTTTTTTAATGGCTAATTTTTCCTCACTGGACTTGTAATGTAATTGTATGTATTGATCTACATGTTCACCTTTTTAAACATATTTATGCTGTAATTTTTTTATCTTTTTAACCCTAACTCCCTAGGCCTTTTTGCTAGGATGTAGCCTCAATTCTGCAAAATCCTCCAAATGGCCTCATGGAAAAATAGCATATAGCCTCAATCCTGCAAATTCTTCCGTTATTTCTTGAATATGGTCCATGGAGGGGTGACCACTGCCTGAATCCTGCAAAATCCTCCGGCTGTTACTGTCAATAGGCTGAGGCAGAGGCAGTGACATCCTGGAGCAGTGCGGAGGATGTCAAGTATAATCAAGGACTAAATTTATGCACGGCTGACCATAAACAACACAAGGTCCGGCCCAAGACCTTGACACAGTGCATACTCCGAAATCAGCAATGCACTTGTGCCATGTAACCTCAATCCTGCAAATTCCTCCAATTTGCAAAAAGGATTTTGGAGGATGTAGGGCGGTTAGGGTTAATGTGTACAGCGCCTAAGAACATATTATGGATCCGGGCGCTATATTAGTGTTAATTATTATTATTTTTATTTATTAGTATTCCTAACTCCTCCAAATGCTTATTTCGACCTCTGCCCAATTCTGTCTCATTTTGCCAGAGCGCCTCACGCAAACGACCCAACTCTCCAGCATGCCCCTCTGAAACATTGGCATTTGATCGGCGAAAATGAATACCAGAGTGCAAACTTTGAGACCCAACCAATCTTTGCATTATGTAAACGGCATAAAAACATTAAAGATGACTTGTTTCGGTCAAAGATTGATCTGATTCGGTATCAAGGATTAATACATCTCCATACTCTAATCAAGAAAGAGAACTGAATGAGGAGGACGTGCGAATCCTATTGGAACGACTTGAAGAACAAGTTTAATAATCGGAAAAGCCCCAGTCCCACATTCACGGTTGGAGTTACGAATATATCCATGGTTTACCAAGAATCAGTCGATCACGATTTCTCTTGGAGAAATCGACTTTCAAAGAATGTACTACGGTTTCAGGACTGATAGCCACGACTGTCTTAACTTTCTTTCACGAATACACCACGGTTTGTCAAGAATATGGACGGATTGTTGAAGAATATCGACGGTGTTATTAAGAATAATGACGTTAACGCCACGGTTGTCTGTGTTTGGGCCATGGATGACCAAGGTTCTCCTACGGATAAAGCGTGGATATTCGTAGTACAACCTTAGCAGAATCCTAGCATATCCGTAGGACATTCGTAGCAAATTCGCAGCAAATTCGCAGAGATTTCTACCACTAATGAGCTACGTAGGTATCTCCAAGAATATGTACGAATAGCCACGAATAACACTATAAATTGGTATGGTTGCCCTACGAATGTCCCACGGTTGCACTACGGATTGATTTTCATGACGATTCACCAAGGAAGTTTCAAACTTCCGTAGCCCTCCACGAATACCCAAGGAAGATGATGGATAACCACAGAGGTACTGAGGATACGGTTCTCCCACGGTTTATCACGAATTTCAAACCGTGGATATCCGTAGCTCCAAACTGTGAATGTGTGACTGGGGCTTTTGAAAATAGATATCAGGACACTTGAAATGACAAGATGAAAATCCCCTTGCCATGATCATTACAACAATGCCGGCCACTTGTAAACTTGACCAATTAAGTTAGCAGAGAGCGATGGTAATTGAGAATAATTAGAATGAAACAGATGGTGACCGATGTGCAAAACAGCACAGAAAATATGCTTATTTATTACATTTGCATGTGTCAGGCATATTTTCATGGACTTTATACGCATATGATACGACCGATCCCCCCAATGAAGGCAAGTGGCTAGGTTTGCAAATAAGTGCAGAGCTGCTTGGTGGAGAATCTATACTACCGTACGTATGACGTTACCATTTCAAGGAAACGACTGGTATTTAAATCAAGCTCTGAAGAAACGCTCTTTTATTTAAGAAAATGAGTACGTATGCCATTAACCCTAACCCCTTGAGCTTTTTTACTAGAAAGTATCCTGAATCCGCCAAAATCCACCAATTTTGTCAGGCAAAAAAAATGTTGGTGTCCTGAGTCCATCAGAATCCACCAGTGAGTCCATCAGAATCCACCAGTGTAGTCCCAGTACCGGTACATACATGTACATGTACACTCTTACACACCAATCATATAGCCAAGGAGTTAAACTGTTGAGATCCTGACTCCATCAAAGTCCCCCAACTGCTCAATATGGAGGTATCCTGAATCCATCAAAATCCTGCAGTACTGCTAGGCTTTGGATGCAGAATCCTTCAAAATCCCCCAACTTTTTCAATATGGTGGTATCCTGAATCCGCCGAAATCCTCCAAAACAGGGGTGTGGATTTTGATGGATTCAGGTACGTTAGGGTTAAAGATTGGTTCCAAAATGTCTGCATATTTCTACCACTCATTTCATATTGCTGCTGGGTGTTTACATTCTCGAATAATTTAACATAAATTGGATTATTTCATCTTGGACTTGATCGAATGTTTCAAAATTTGATAATTTTTGAAACGAACTGATCAACTCAACCATGCACCAGCCTCAACTGGCCGCCAACAGCGCTAGTCAAAAACTGACAAAGGCTAATTAGTATTTATAATGTAAAGAACAGGTGTAGTGGTGGCTGATATTTGATCGATTTCAAAGACGAAATTTGAGCTACATGTAATACATGTGGGCTATTCTATACATTAGGGGGCCAAAGTGGGACACTGCATTAAAAGGGCTCAAAAACTTGAAGTTATTTTAATTATGGTCAACCTTGCTTTTCTTAATATGAGATGTATTTACTTCCATCAGGATGGTAAAGTGCAAGATCCTTAACAACTTCATGTCATCTGGAATATTAAAAATACTAGGCCTTACACGTAACTGGGACACCACAGGACACATGTTACGTGTGAAATTATTTCAATATTACAGATGGTCATATATTTTTTGTTTCTTAGCATTGCTGTCTTGTTGTTTTCTTATCCTTTTATTTAATGGACAGAATTTGTAAAATACCAAAGAAAAGTAAGCAATTTGACCATGAAAGACACTTTACACACTGCAGAATTGGTTAACACATAACAGGGACACGTGGACACCAAATGTTACATGTGAAACCGTAATATTGGGGAGCACCATATCACATCTTCACACATTTATTTCTTTAAAAATTGTATCTCATGTTGAAATTGGGTTAGTACATCCATCTTTTTGACCTAGAGAATGGCATACATGGAGTTAACCTTTTAAGGAGGCAAAAATGTAAATTTTTTGAGACTGTAATTTTTTGTCCCACTTTTTAGCCAGAAATATGAGAATTTTCGGCTTTTAACCAGAACAGGAACTAAATGGGATCAAGATAACAAATTTGTAGGTTTTATCAATGCAACTTTTATTGGAGTTTGTTACACATAAAGTATCATTAACTTTAACACATTTCCTATTTAGTTATAAAACAAAAAAAATTTCTATTGGACCCCTAATTTATAGAATGACCCATGTACATGTGTACATTGTATAGGCATATAGTATTCCTCATGCAAGGTCTCAAATCATGGCGAAAATGGCTTTCAACAATAGTGTGGCATTTGACAACCACACCACTTTTTTTCATCAATTGTTCGAGACCGCTAACATTATTTTAACCCTAACCGCCCTGAATCTTTCAAAATCCTCTTTGCCAAAGTTGAGGAATTTGGAGGATTGAGGTTACATGGCAAAAGTGCGTTACTGATTTCGTAGGATGCACTTTGTCAAGGTCTTGGGCCGGACCTTGTGTTGTTTTTGCTCAGCCTTGCATAAATATAGGCCTGGATTATGCTTGAAATCCTCCTTACTGCTCCAGGATGTCACTGGCCAAGCCTCAACATATTGACAGTCATAGCCGGAGGATTTTGCAGGATTGAGGCAGTGGTCACCCCTCCACGAACCATATTCAAGAAATAACGGAGGAATTTGCAGGATTGAGGCTATTATCTATTTGTCCATGAGGCTTTGGAGTATTTTGCAGGATTGAGGCTACATCCTAGCAAAAAGGCCTAGGGAGTTAGGGTTAATATACATGTGAGATTTGAAGGTTTGCATGGTGAAAGGGTAAAAATTAGTTATGTTGCTGCGTACGGTAGCATCATGTGGCAAAATCTATTTTGTGAGTATGTGTGGTTCTGAAAAGAACCGGACGGTATATACTCAACATTTCAGACAGTACGTTCTGCCCGTGTCCTGACGACGGGCAGAGCATACTGTTCGAAACATTGAGTCCCTCCGGTTCTTTTCAGAACCACACATACTCACAAAAGAGATTTTGCCACATGGTGCTACCGCAGCAACTTATCTAATTAATATACATGTGTGAGACATCCTGGCAAAATGAGGCACAACTGGGCAAGGTTCAAATGAGAGTTGTGGGTATTACTGTTAGGAAAGAGAATACAATTCTGCTTTCGGTGCTGTTTGTTCCACTTTAATCGGACATTCCGTTGACAGGTTACGGATATTTAGGCCTAAAGATTGCATTTGTCAACATATGTCAAACAAGTAAAATACAGAGAAAAAGGCCTGCAAAGTTGTGACTGTTTTGTAGTCGTGAATATATGAAAAGATGGCAAATGTGTTTCCTTAAAAGGCTTAAAACCACTTTTAGTCTACAATTTGTATAGTATTTCTTCAAAATATGTTTTAATTTAGTAGACGTATCAAAGACTATAAATATCAATAAATCTGAAAATTGAAAAAAAAATTGTCACCATTTTTTTTTGCATTTTTCTCCACTATGGCCTGTGCCCATTTCTGTCTCATCCTGCCAGAACGCCTCATGAATTGAAGAAATATTATTCAAATATTTGGTTGATGATCATGTTCGAAATATTTGGTTGTATATATTCATATTCAGCACAGCCCTAATTGCCGCCTATAGATTTTGAAAGCATCAGTTAAGTTCAAAATAATTTTGGAGTGGTATGGCCTTGTGGTTAAGGGCATTGGATTTGTGGTCTGCTGATAATTCTGCAGGTTGTGGGTTCGAGTCCTGCCTGGGGTTATGGTGCGTGTGCCCTTGGGCAAGGCACTTTGTCACTCATTGCTTCTCTCCACCCAGGAGTCAATGGGTACCTGTGAGGGCAGAGATGGTTATTGTGATTGAATTAGCTTCCTTGCGCCTAACAGGCTGCATCTAGCTGTATACTCCCCAGGGAGCTGAGATGGTTTTTGGAATGTTTAATTCGCCCAATGATCAGGGGTAATAATAATGTAAAGTGCTTTGATCTTAGTTTAAAGCGCTATATAAGAACCTGCTATTATTATTATTATTTTATTTTGATGACTTTGACTTTCGGCCTTGTTTCAACATCAGGCGTGACAAGCCAGTTTGCCGACCAGTATCTGGTCTGCGATATCTACTTCAACGGTTCCTCGCCCTGCTTCGGGGGCCTGATGGCCCTGGACGGGCAGACCGGTCGGCAGCTCTGGAGACACTACTCCATGTACGAGATATTTGCGGTCAATTGCAACGTGGACATCGACAGAGACGGAGTGAAAGACTGTCTCGGTGGTGGAAGGGCGGGGGTAAGTTAACCAGTGTTGGAGTTAATGATAATCATTTGGGAGGCTAATCGTCCTAACTCGCAGCTGAGAAGCTGAATTGCAAAGGACGCGGCTTCAACGTGGTCGGGCCGCTGGCACGTAAAGGCGCCTTTGGCAGCCAGCCATACGACCCATATATGACCACGGAGCACAGCCAGAGATCGAAAGTGTTTGGTTTTTACGGAGCGAGGAAAACCGGAGAGCCCGGAGAAAAACCCCCGTTGCACAGGAGAGAACCAACACACAACTTTAACTTTAAAAACAAGTTGAAAATTGACAAAATTCTTACGATATTTTGTTTAACAATTTAATGGTGTGTGAAATTAAATTGTCTCTGTAAATCTTCCCATTGAAGTACATGTATCAGTTGTACCCACCCCGTAAAAAAAATGAAAACAATTGAACAACAACAACAATAGTGCTCTATGGAATTGCAAAACTCAATGAAAAAAAAATTCGAAAAAAACATATTTGAAGATTATTGTGTTTTATTGAAATATAGTTAATTTGTAACAATATTCAACAGTTCAGCATTATTTTTAACTGAAAAATTAATTAATAAACTCAAGTATACAAAAATAATCTATTTGTCCCCTGTCTGAGTACATCCCATGTTGTTTCGAGCCGGTTTCTACTACAGCAAAAAAGTTGGATGAATAATTTTGGTTGTAAATCATTACAAAGTAGAAACTAAGTGATAGCTTTATCTCAGAATTTAAATCCACTTTATGATTGTTAGTTTTATTACGCAAACTGTTGAGTTGTCCAAGATATACATGTACTTCTGTCACCGTGGAATTGCTGATACGGTACATGTATGGTAAACCATCGTTGAATGTGTGCATTCACGTAAAAACATTTCCCCAAGGCAATTTTCACAGTTGCATGACCACATTGTGGTCATGCCGTATGCACCTGCAATGACAATAGAAGTGTAATGATCTCTCCCTATCATAAATCATTCGCTGTTGACAATACTCATGCAGTCACTGACAGAAAACGTTCAGTACAGTACAGTAATTGTGCTGTAAAAATTGACAAAGACTTAGGACACATAGTATGTATTTTCAGTACTGAACAATGAACAGTTCCAGTCATTGACACGGAAAAATTGCTGAATTACCAGTGAAGTTCAACGAACCATAGAATACAATCTGCTTTGCTGGAAAACTTCAATTGCACCTATTGATGTCACAGGTTTACCTATTCCAACTTTTTATAGGTAAACTCGGCCGGTACGACGAGTTCAATGACAAATGTGAACTTGTAAAAGAAACGAGCTACAGAAAAAAATTTCAAGTGAATGCTTCGTAGTGAAAGAAAACTACAAGAACATGATTGTTGTTCGTGGTTTTTCGAGCATCTACGAACCCAAAACGTCAAACAAGTCAGTGTAATATTTGCTATAAATCACTGACATCCCAAATCCATCCATTTCTGAAAATTGCAGCAAAAGAAAATTTTGTATATTCTCTTAAAATGCGTCCTAGCAGTAAATGGCGGATCTAGGGGGTGCAGAGGGGACGTCCCCCCCCCCCCCCCACCCCTCCCCTCTCCTGGCAGTATATTCTCTCTGGAACCGCCATTCAGCAGCTGCACTGAAAAATTGCCTGGGTTAATTTTACCAACGAAAGGGTGAAGACTGGAACTACCCAAACTTGGGTTGTTCTATAACCAATTGTTTGGGTTAGAATTTATGTAAAATTCAACCAAACGTTGTAGTCATACAAGACAAAATTAAATTTGGTCTTTAATGACCACAAGTTTTTGTTGCATTTTGCAGAAATTTTAACCCAAACAATTGGTAGAACAACCCAAGTTTGGGTAGTTCCAGTTTTCACCCTTTTTTTCTGGTAAAATTAACCCAGGCAATTTTTCAGTGTGGTTGCTAGTTTTTGTATGCATACAATGTACATGTACAACTCAGCGTCCAACTATAGTGGGTCCAGTTCTCCTTTTGAAATTATTTCAATAGCTGTATGAGTGTGTTGAATACGGCAAGGCTAAATGCTGTTAGCTATTTATTATATATACACCATAGTACATGTATATTCCTCAGTGGTTTGATTCAGCCGGTCGGCTGGAACAAAAACCCAGGACAGAGAATTGAATACAACTGCTGCAAGTTGCTTTAATGACTTGATTGACCTGATTTTTTTCTCTGTACAATTCAAAAAATGTCAGAGGGCCATAAGGTTCTTTCCTAAAAGGATCTTTCTCAAAGTAACAAACAAAGTTGGGAATTGGTCAACATACAATTAGTGCATACATAGTGTGCAAGTACATGTAAAAAAAAAGATCTTAAAATTTGCTGGAACAGAATTTTCCTAGGTACATGTACATCTGTACCTACATGTGTACATGTACATACAAGTACATGTGTCATGGACCCCCATTGAATTTGTATGGGGGAAAGTTGCATGCAGTTCTAAAACATGCTTAGTTTTTTACTTAGATTTTTCTAAACCTTTAACTTCAACCTAATTTTTGTAAAGGCCTGTTGATTTTGAAATGTTTTATAAAATAGTTGTAAAAGTATTAATATCACCTCTGTTTCTTTTTCAATTTGTTTAATTTGTTTCTGGTAATGAAACCAAGGATTCCTCAAAAGCGTCTTCAGGCACTGTAGCTCGCAAGCCTGAAGAAACCTGTAGAGAGAAGACAATGAGAAGAAGTTACAGTTTTATAGGTGGGAGGAAAAAACCGAATTTTCTGGGGGAACCCACGGAATGCAGTCTGGACAGGAATCGAACCTGGCCCATTGCGGTGGAAGGCAAGAAAAATAACCCATTGTGCCAACCTGACTCCCTTTATAAATAATGAAAGGTTTGCGGAAACACCATGACCGTCTTCAGGAGAGTGCCTAAACTCTCTTTAGTTTAGGCACTCTCCTGAAGACGGTCAGAGCATACTGACCGGAACGTCGAGTTTATACCTCTGGTTCTTTTCAGAACCATTCTCTTAGTTGAGAAATTATTCGCACATGGTGTTTCCGCAAACCTTTCAGTATTTAGTATCTCCACCATGCAAAGCCTCAAATCTTACTTGACTCCCTTTATGTTAATGTTCCTAATAATTATTATTTTTTTTTTTACAGATTTTTGAACTTGTGAGCGGTGCAACGGGTCACCTCATCTGGACATTCCAAAACAAGGAACTTCTGGTGTCCATCAGCAACTTCTACACACCGCAGTTCATCCGCGACGTGGACGGGGACGGGGTGCAAGATATCTTGAATATTCATGGCGGGGATCCGCTCAGAAAACGAGGTATGAAACATTGGAACTGTTGGCTGTTTGACATATTCACAGGGATACCCTGTACAAACCAAATTGAATATTCATGAGTGAATATTCATGAGTGAATGTAAATGATAGACCATTAGTCATGTTAGTATGGGAGGAAGACAGAGTGCATGAATGACATCTTGAATATTCATTGCAGGGATCAGCTAAAAAAAAACAAGGAACATGTATAAAATATGGGCACATTCACAGGGGATCCCTGCCCAAACTGAATTGAATATTCATGAGTGAATTTAAGGGGTAGACCATTCCTATGGTAGGGATACTGAGTGCGGGACATTGAATATTCATACAGGGGATCCGCTCAGAAAATGAGGTATTAGACATTGCAAATGTTGCGTGTGTGAAATATTCACAGGGGATCCCTGTACAAATTGAATTGAATATTCATGAGTAGATTAAACCACGGTCAACATTTGTGTAGAATGTAGATGGGCCAGGACCCAGGGTGTTTTAAATATTCATGCACAAAAGGTTTGATGCATAGCAAATGCTGTGTAATCAGTATATTCATGGGCCCTTCACTACTGAATATTCACGATTAGTGAGTCGACATGAATATTACCATGGCACAATGGTTCCGCAACATGAATATTCACGTCAGGAATCTGCTTAATATAAAACTAGTGAGTAACAGCAAATATCAGGGTAATTGTAGACCCTAGTGATATATCAAAATGAGGACCTCATACAGTTATGGTTAGTACTTGGAATAATCAGCCAAAAAATTCACTTAAGTCCTATTTTGTCAGATCCAGTAACTTGCAGATTATTTTATTTTCTTTTTGTCTTTATATATTAAAGGGCACAAAGTTTCTCATATAGGTATTGTGCTCATCGTTAGCGGAGCCAGCGGCCATGTCATCACATGGATTGAAGTTCCTGACCAGCAAGAATCGTACTTCTCGCCTCAGGTATGGTAATAAAGAGGGCGACAGATCTTGCGAGTTTTGAAGTTCAATCGTCAAAAATTTATTTTTCTTCAAAAATTAGAAAAGGCCCCCAAAAGATGCGAATTTATGCCCAGCTCGGTCACTTTAGCCATGGTCTGAGTGAAAAAATTTCCAAGTCAAAAGTCCATACATATACTTGGTTGAAAGATAGTATACCTGTGAAATTATTCTTTCTGGCAAGCTGTAATTTTGAAGAAATCATCAAAAGAAGGCCTTTCCAACGCTGCTTCTTAAGAAGCACCGTAGGATATTCAAATTAGTAGTTCGTTTTGTTTTTCGGCGAAGTGCACGCGCAAACATTGGCACGACACACGCGCGCGGTTGCTATAATTCGCTCAGTGAGAACGTGTCTCGGACACTTCATTCAGGCCCAATTCGAAACATGATTCAGCAACTTTTGATTTGAAATCGAGATCCTAGAATGTTGTTTTTCTCGAAATATGCAGCTAAAGCTGAGCTGAAACTTCATCAGGTTAGTTGTTCAGCACCCTTCTTTAGTTCTTGAGTACTTTTGGTGCTCTAAACGGACAAAATGCACAAATTACAAATAATGGACTGTACCTTTAACTTTGGGACACTGCTGCGTGCATCAGTGTATATATGAACTGCCAAGTTTTGAGACAGTTGGGCCTTTGCAATTTGAACCTGTTGGATCTGGTTACAGCAGGCAGGCGCCTCTCTCTCACAACACCACTCATGCATGACTGTTGCTCCATTACCCATATGGTATCATAATACACTTGATGAGGCTAAGTGCAAATTTATGGTGATGCCAGGCCGAAAAAAAGAGGTAATTGTTTCTAGTTGTTCCGCTGGGTATCATCTGCGTAATTCAGACAAAGTGCAGTGTCTGGGCCGAACCCAATAAATGCAATTTTATCACTCTGTTTGAACGCTCGATCTTATGTGCATGTGGCCTAGTTGCACCACCAGTGAAGTGGTGCAACTTGGACCCGCAAATATATTGGTTTGAAAAAAAGTGAAACTGCTGCAACTGCTTACTGACTGGATGGACCTGAAATATATAAATCTTAAAATTAATGTGGCCTGACGTTGCGAACTTAGCAAGTTCTTCTTCAGAGGCTAAAACAGAAATGACAGAGGTACATACATTAACATGGGGGTGCACACAAACATGCAGGGCTGAAAGAAGAAACACAAAAGGAGGATTAGGTGTGAAAGGTGTGGAAAGATGCAGGGGAGGGTGGATGAGAGAACAAAGAAACAAAGGGAGATGGCAAACCACAAGGGGTCTTGTGTAAACAGGGGAGGGACCAGAAAGGGGAAGGATCAAAGGTCACAGGGAGTGGGAACGGATAAAAGAGTGTGAGAGTGAAGGGGTGATGTGGGGGGGGGGGGGGACAGTATTGAGGTGGAAAGGGATGAAAGATGGGGGAAGATGGGTAAACACAAACAAGGAAGACCAGGTTTAGGACATATTGGTTTAGCACAAGTTGCGCCAAATTAAGATAATGATCTCCCTCTGCGGCAATGGTCCATGAAGGACCTTGGAATGCAACTGAATCTCAACTTCCTGTGGTAGTTTATTTGCATTGACCCATTACATAACAGCTGTTCGCAAGGCTGTATACATGTTTATTTGGATAGAATCCGGGCACGGAGGGCTGAACTCGTCTTTGGGTCATCCTTCCCAAAAAGAAAAAAAGTTGGCTAATTAGTCCCTGTACTGCTCCAAACCACCTGCCATTTACTCCTTGTACCGCCCAAAACTGCCCTGCCATTTACTCGCCTGCCGTTTGCCTCAAATCGCACCACAGAGCAGCTATAATCCACTTTTTTTTTAAGGCCCTAATAAGCAAAACCCCACACCATAAGGGCTTCGAGCTTCGTGCTTGCATTAGTACTGATCAAGGTATGTCCCCCCACTTTTGAGAAGCAATTGACGCCCCTGCTAAAACCACCTGCCATTTACTCCTTGAACCACCCCAAACTTCCCTGCGATTTATTCCTTCTACCACCCAAAACTGCCCTGCCATTTGCTCCTTGTACCGCCCAAACTTAGGGCTGTACCGGGCCCAATGTCAAGGTTCTGCTTACCTTTACAGGCATGCATCTTTTCCTTGGATCTGCTGATTTCCTCATTTTTTACTTCTCATTAATGTCATTGCAAATTTCAAAAATACTGTACAAAGTCTTGTGTGGTTTGGAGTTGCCTCGTTTTTTTCTAATTTCCCAGTTGCATGTCTGCCTTAAGCAAAAATCCCTGCCCACTGTAACAGAAAATGTTATTCTTTAAAATCCGTCCAATATCATTTTAGTCAGCTACCTTAACTCTCATGATATTCAAAAATTTTGTTTTACCTCAAGATTCAATGTTCGAATATTTGAATATCAAAGTTCAAGTACTCCAATACTGAATTATTCGAAAACGCACAGCACTACCTGGAACTGCCCAGCACCTGTGACATCAAATTTCATTTTGTTGCAACAACAGGTGTACTTTCAGCACGGTGGGAGAGAGATGGTCCTGTTTGGGTCTGGAGGGGAGACTAAGGGTGGGTCACTCTGGGTCATCGCCATGGCAGACCTGCTGCAAGGGGATAACAGCAAGGTAAAGTGGTTTTTGAAACCATGGTTTGTTTCCAGTTTCGCGTCCATCTCCGGCTCTAGATTGATGAAGTTGCCTTAAATGCCCCAAAACCAGTTGGAAATATCTGTGTAATATTGTACAATATACCTTAAAATTATTAAAAGGATTTTGGAATCCCTAATGCGGAGCACTCGTTTATACTGCGCTGCATCGGAAGTCCTGTTATTACGTCACGATTTTACTGTGTTTTGTTTGCTGCCCCCAGCGACAACTTTTACACAAATTGCACTTTCGGGTCGAAACAGGACCTGAAAAACAGCTCTCAAAAGAACCTTTTGTACTCATTTCATGACAGACACAAATAATCGTTTTTATTTCATCACACCTTGGACTATATTATACCCCAAAAATGACGGAAATGCCTTCGAGCATTCCACAACCTCTTTAATGGAAATGTTGTTGATGGAGGCAAGAAATGTGTGGCAATGTACATGTAAAGTCACATGGTATGTAATGCACTAGGAACTTAAGGGGCTTCCTCACACCTGTGACTATACATCACCCCTGCCTCTGGCCCTTTGTCAGGTTTATGTGTCTTCAGGGCCTATGGGCTCCGTGCGCCAACAAAGAGGGCGCCCTTTTACCCATGGGCGGGACATTTAAGCGGTTGACGCGCCCCGTTCTTTGTGTGTGACGCACGTACACCAGGGGATTTGTACTAAGTACACGCAGTAGTACGGCTGCGCGTCACGGCAAAATTGCAGTCAGGCAAGATGGCATCGGTCGGTCACCCCCAACTGTACCGGTACTTTCTTTGCCGGTGAGGGGGTACTTGTGAACGGAGCGGATACGGGTGAGGAGAGAGTTGTATCATGAAGGTCAACAGTATTATTTTGCATTGTGATTTTTCAAGACGGCCAGAGCTTATTGTGCAACCCCACAGGTTACGCAAATCTACAGCGACAGCTTCAAGGGCGTTATGACCCCGCCTGCACTGGTGGACATAACCGGTGACGGCGTCGTTGATATCGTCATGGCGATGTTCAACTCGACCGTCGTTGCCTTCGATGGGCAAAACTACAGACAGCTGTGGAACTACTCCATTCCTGACTCAGAGACATACAGGTACCGTTAAACAGGGGTGTGAAATCTCCGCTATCTAGCGGATTTCCGCTTTTTTGTTCAGCGTGCCACATTTTGTTTTCCGCTTTTTTTCTTCCGATGGTCCAGATTTCCCCCCGCTTTTTCCCCCGCGCGTAAGCATTGATTTTATTTCCGTTTTTTAATTTTCCACTGCCGCCGAACGCACGCGATCCGCTCTCTACAACGTACACGTAGCTCTGGGGGTGCGTGCAAGCGAGTATTCAATGTACATACGATGCCATGTGCATGCATTTTTCAGCTCGAAGCCGCGTGTGTACAATGTATCGTACACAACATGTAAACAGCATCCGGGGAACCAACAGTCATTGCGCTGTGATTGGCTGCAGATAAATATGAATATTCACACATGCGCCATGAAGCGCGTTGGGACTCTTTGCGGCCGTCCCTGTGTCTATGCATGTAGTGACACGCGATGATAACTCACTTTAAACATCGTCTTGTTGCAAATATAAAGCCTTGAAATAAGACTAGTATATTGTCGCCATGCCGCGCCGGTAGAGGGCATCATGCGGGGCAAAGTTTATGGTGCATTTCATTGCATGCACGCATCCTGCTGCGTGTATTCCGCTGCATGCTGATACGTACGTTAGTGTGTCGTTTCAAATGTTTTGAACGTATTTTGACATTATTAATTCCGCAAGATGTCAGTGCAACACAAATGTGTTATTATCCAAAGAGGTTCGGAGTTTGATACGGACATTAACAAGACCGATCCTCAGGTTACGAATCCGTGGAAATGGATTTGGATGGAACACATGGTTAATGGTATGGGCAGAAATTAGGCGACTCGATCAGAAGCCGAGACACGATGTGTATCATCTGCAGTAATGAGTTAAAATATGGAAAACGTGGTCGAATTTCCCAGTTTTCATATACAAGTTGGCCATTTAGGCAGTTTCAAGCCAATATGAAGGAAAAGTTAACTTAAAAACATGCATAAATTGCAAAACATTTTCGACCAATAGTTGGCCCAGGCATGCCAGGAGACTTTAAAATGCACCACAGAGCATCTACATTTCAAAATTTTTTCGGGGCCCTTGGGCGGGCCCCGGACCCCACGCCGTAAGGGCTTCGCGCTACGCGCTCACAGGTTCGGCTATTTACAAGTTCAGCTATTTTCAGCTATTTTTTTTTTACTCCACTCACACCCCTGGTTAAAAAACAAAAAAAAAATGAGTATTAAAGTTTGAATCAAACATGCTCCACATTTACAGGTTCGGTAGGCAGGGCAGTGAGGTTTAGTCCAGCTCCACAAGGATCACGATTTGCCAGTAAAACAGTTCATTTTTAGTCTCTACTCTTCAACTTACAACACCTAATATGATTGAGTACAAAATTACGACATAATTTGTTGCATTAGTTGCAGACTTATGTGTACGCACCATGAAACTTTCCTGAAAATGTGTCATAACTGAAATATTTCACAGCTTGAAATATTGCGCAACTTGCAAAATATAAATGTTGGCGCAAGTGGAATTACGCCATTGCATAAAGTTTCATGAAATCGGCTGCAGGCGTACAATTCATTGCTAAATGGACATAGGTAGAGTACTGGAACATTAGTCAAACGGTCCCAGGTGCAGGTCCTTCATCGACATTAAGCAGCTTTATGTACATTGGTAGAGCACTGGAACATTAGTCAAACGGTCCAGGTTCAGATCCTTCACGACATTAAGCAGCTTTATGTACATTGGTAGAACACTGGAACATTAGTCAAACGGTCCAGGTTCAGGTCCTTCACGACATTAAGCAGCTTTATGTACATTGGTAGAGCACTGGAACAGCAGTCCAGTGGTCACGCGTTCAATTCCCGGCATACAATTCCATAGCTACTTGTACGGTACATTCATAGAGCACCATAACATTTGTCCAATGGTTTCAGGTTCACATCCAGTCATAACATTCCATAGCCAATTGTGCAGCAGTAGAGCACTGAATATTACTCCAGTGGTCAGAGGTTCAAGTCCAGGCAGAGCATTCCAACCGCCTCACAGAATTGCCACTCACGTCCCTGTATCTGGTCACATTTTTCCCCCAGCTCGCCAGGGGTAGCGTACTACAACGATGACGACGTTGCGGATTTTATGGTCGTGTACAACCACGGGCCAGGATACCCAGTCTACTACTACTCACAGGTATAGCAATGGATTTCCATTGTTAAAGGTTTGTCATAAGGCCTATAGAGCGTGCAAGTCTCGCCAGTCCACGTTCACAGTTTTATGTGAGCGTCTTGGTACCAAACACTGACTAGTCTAGTGTCACAGACCCCGTGTTGGAATTTACCCAATTGCTATCGATGTGGTTGGCTGAATGAAAGTTGAAGTCAACGTGTTTAATTTTATAATAATCATCAATTCGCAATATTCTCGGCTTTTAGTCTGTTAAAGTCGTTTCCAAAGAAACCCCAAGCAAACACTACAAACGCCAGACTGTCTGAAATCTTGGGCGATTCTCTGGAATGCAAGTCTTAGGACTGATCTACAGAGAAGCATGGTAAAAAAGTTTGGAAACACAAAGTAGCTATAAACCCCGGAATAGTTACCTCTTTCTATATGAGTATGTGTCCAAGTTGTGGCCATTGACTGACTGGCTGTGGAAGCTTTTCAGTGTTAATGCAGTGTGAATACTACAACTACCTCTTGACTTCCCAGCAACCACGTTACAGTAAAAATATTTCTCACAGAATTTTGGAAATTTCTCAGGAAATTTGGTTTTTAATTAAGTCCTGGGAACCCTGGTGCGCAGTGTAGATCAGCTAATTAATGGGTGTTATTTTCCCTATCCATGCTTCAACAGGTGACTATTCTGGATGGGCGTACCGGTCAGCCGTTGCTCACTTCCCCAGTCCAGACGGCAGGCAGTTCCCATGTCTCCCCCCTGGCTGTCAGCATGGAGGGCCTTGGAAACGACGCCTTCGTCTATTTTGTCTTGGACTGTCTGGGTCACGAGGCTGAGACCAGCTCTTACAAATTTGCTAAAGGTAAAAAAAAAGTCCAGTAGTACTAGCTTTGTACAGGGTGGGTAAAAAAAAACCAGAAACCTAAATGTTAGGACAGTTTTAGTCAAGTTCTGCATGTAGCACTTTCAAAATGTAGAATATGAAAGCCCTATTCATAAGCTTTCTTTTAGTACAAGAATCATTCCAATCACTCATGTACTTTTCAAGTCACGGAATTTTAAACACAACCACTGTACAGTGTTAAAGTCCTGTCCACGAATCACAAAAAAGTAAGTGTTCTTTCAGCAAAACGAAAACAAATCACATAGGGATGTGTGTGAATTGTTTTTGTTTTGCTGAAAGAACGCACACCTTTTTTGTGAACCGTGGACAGAACCTTAAAACGGTGGTTGTGTTTAAAATTCAATAACAGTGTAACCAAGCTTGTCAGGGAACGGCTTCATTAGGGAACACAATCGAACTTCATGCAGTCTTGAACAAAGACTATCAACCAGCCTTACCGTAAGTGTGGGAAACCATTCATGGGAATGTTGTTATTGTTTATGATTGTTCTTTTTGTTTTGTTTTCTTTTTTCCCCAGATGATGAAGAGGTTGGTATTGGTCAGCTGAGTCGTTCCAATTTCTGCAAGCAACGGTTCAACACCAGAGATTTCTCGCGTCTACTCCTGCTCAACAGTCACATGACGCCACCAGGAGAAGAGATATATAATTCCCGTAAGGACTCTGCTATAATCCCCCCCCCCAACCCCTTTGACAAAATACTGGTCCAGATTAGGGTAGGCCGAAATTACCAAATATGCGATCATCCACGGAGTATCAGAAAAACATTTTACAAAATTGAATCTTTAAAGAGGTTGTGGAATGCTCGAAGACATTTCCGTCATTTTTTGGGTATATGTAGCCTAAGGTGTGATGAAATAAAAACGACTATTGTGTCTGTCATGAAATGAGTACAAAAGGTACTTTTGAGAGCTGTTTTTCAGGTCCTGTTTCGACCCGAACATGCAATTTGAGTAAAAGTCGTTGTTGCGGGCAGCAAACAAAACACAGTAAATCGTGACGTAATAAACAGGACTCGTTTGGAGTCCTGTTTATTACGTCACGATTTACTGTGTTTTGTTTGCTGCCCGCAACGACGACTTTTACACAAATTGCACGTTCGGGTCGAAACAGGCATGACAGGACTTGAAAAACAATTCTCAAAAGTACTTTTTGTACTCATTTCATGACAGAAACAATAGTCGTTTTCATTTCATCACACCTTAGGCTACATATACCCAAAAAATGACGAAAATGTCTTAGAGCATTCCACAACCTCTTTAAAAAATGTTAGCTGTCTCAAGAAGATGACGAAAACTGTCCGTGATGTAATTTTATTTGTGGCAGTAAAGAGTTTTTATTTTTTCTCTAATGCCACGTTTTTTGTGCACAGCCACTTTGAACGCATGATTTTGAGAGCTTCCACGAGGAATATTAGTCGCAATTTGCATCTATAAAAGTTGTCAAATATCAACTTATTAGGAAAAGCATCCGATACAAACATGATTTTCATAAAAATAATTCTACGGCCAAATAATTGAATATTCGATCAAATCAAAGTTCCAATAATCGAATGCTAAATTATTCGGAAATGCACAACATTAGTCCAGATACACCTTTTTTTCCCCACTACAACTTTAGTACAAGCTGCTTGCATGATTTTTTGCTCTGGTTTAAGCGTTTTGTAAATTGGGGTCCCTAATGAAATAGATTTTTATGTAATTTTCCCCCTTTTTTCTGAAGTTGATAGAGTAGCGGACGAATATCAGTACAAGCTCAACTCAAGTCTGCTGGCCAAGGCCTACCTGGACGAACACCCTAAAGTACTGGACAAAGTCAAGGAACTAGCCCTGGACATCAATCACGACCACGAGCAGACTGGAAGCCCCCATTCAGAGGAAAGGGGGGATCAGCATGCAGATGGGACAGTCCATTCAGCGAGTAGGGGTGGTACCGATAGCGTGGATTCAGATGGCATGCAGGACTTAGTAAGTTTATGTTTGTTGTTCTTTGGGAAATACCCAGCGTCCCTAAGACGGAGACTTTGCTCTGATTTACAGAGTTTTAATGCCCTGCAGAAGATAAAGTTCAAATATTTTTCCATTTCTGCACAGTGGTGGCTTTTGGAGAATTCAAAAACTCAAGAGAGTTAAGGTTTGATATCAAGGATTTTTATAAATTTTCGTTGTTCTCGGGGAAATTCCCTGTGTCTCTAGGCAAGGCACTTTGCAGTAAGTGGCCGAGCTGTAGTTAAGTCAGGTTTTGCTAGATTGAAGAAGATAGAACCCAGCTGCTGTTACCTTTAACCCTCCTATGCAAACATACTTTCTGTGCCAAGAAGTCCTTTCAGTCAAAATCAATCAAGTGACTGTTTTCAACAGTCAAGAATTCCCAGACTATATAAAGCAGGATTGACTGGCTGTGACTGTTGGTGTAACTTGATACAGCTATGCTTTTACTGTCGTTAATTGGTAAGCCAGCTGTGCCCAGAACTTGCCCGCTTTGTCTGTTCATGGTCTGTTGACTGAGTTCGACTAGTCACAGTGCTTGCTTGACATATGATCTGACTGTTGGTGACTAGCCTGTATTAATAGTATAGCAGGGGAAGTGGATGGAACTTTTGACTGTCTGTGACTGTTAAATAGCAGGAGGGTTAAACGATAAAGTAAAAACAATGGATTTTTGAGGATTCAAATGCTCAGAGAGAAAGGGTTTGTCAAGGAGCTTAATAAATCTCTGTTGTTTGGGGGAAAATTCCTTGTGTCACTAGACAATATACTTGGCAGTGAGCCACATAGCTGTAGTCAAGATGGGTTTTGCAGGATTGAGGAAGGTGGGTCGAAAAAAAATTGCTATTGGGTTCCTGCAGTGATGGATTTTGAGGACTCACATGCTTGGGATTGTCAAGGAGTTTGATAGGGGATCGAATTCCCTGTGTCCCTAGGCAATGCACTTTGCTGTGAGTTACAAAGCTGTACAAATCTGGTTACTTCCTCTTTTTTCATACAGGATGAAGACGATGGGCTTGATCAACAAGACAAACCGACAACCAACAAATTTGCACCCAGGTTGGGGTTTGACGACGAGGGCGAAATGCCGTTCTTCGACCCTGTGCAACCCATCGACGATCAACCAAATCCACTTCCAGAACTTGTCGATTCGTACGAACGTGATCCACAGCAGAAGTATCCGCAGCAGGTGAATTCACAAGATGTTGATCCGTTAGATTTTGATCTTCCGGACCCGTACCTGCAAAATCCTCGTCAGCCGTTTGCCGAATCCCCGCTCGGTTCCGCGCCAGTCCCCGGGGAAGCAGATGTGTCGGACAGTGGACTGTCCGACCAACTCTTGGGCGACCTTCTGAACAAACTTCTACAGGAAGAGCAGTTCGGCAATCTTGAAGATCCGCCGACGAAAAATTGGCGTGGAGATTCCGGTAGCAAAGGCGACCTGCCTCAGTCATTTCCAAGGGCGGGAAATTCCAACTGGCAGTATCAATCACCACAGCGCAACGATCAAAGAAAGAAGCCTTACTTCGCCGACGTGTATGACAAAGATGACGATACTGACAGAAGGGAGCAATACGACAGATACGACGACAAACGGGGTTACGCAGATGATCGGGGACCCTACAGCAGATACGACAACGCGGACAGAGAGGAAGCCAAGGAATTGCTGGACAGCCTGTATGGATCATCTCGGGGCGATTTCCGGTCAAAGAGATATTTCAGGATGAGGCGAGATGCGGATGAGACGCCGAAACAAGGTCATAAACCTCTGTCGCTTCCTGTGGAGTATCTGAACAAAGAACTGTTCATGAAGTACGAAAGCCGCGACGCCGAAGCAAAACTTCTAAACAAACTTCTACAGGAAAGGCAGTTCGGCAGTCCTGGAGATGCACGGAGGAACGTGTATGACAAAGATGACGATACTGACAGAAGGGAGCAGTACGACAGATACGACGACAAACGGGGTTACGCAGATGGTGGGGGACCCTACAGCAGATATGACGACATGAGGCGAGACGCGGATGAGACGCTGAAACGACGTCGTAAAAGTCCGTCGCTTCCCGTCGAGTATCTGAACAATGAACTGTTCTTGAAGTACGAGAGTCGCGAAACCGAGCCAAAGGAGCTGCCCGATGGTGAGCAGTCGCGATCCCAGCAAACGGCCAATCGGGTGGGACCTCACCGACGGTCAGCCAATCACGGACAGCGTAACGCACGCCACGCAGGACCGCACGACGCCGGCGGAGTGCAGCGGCTCATCTCCACAGGAACCTTGGCGCCGGTCCTGCTGGGAAGAGAAGAGATAGACGACCACAGCATCGATCTGATCTTTGCCACCTACTGGTTCTATCCGTCCGACACCGAGGTGAGTTGAACTCTGACCTTTAGCCTTTTGACCTGTGTTGTATTTGAGACCTTTTGAGACATTGTTATGTTATCAATTTGTGAGTGGATCAGAGACAAATATCAGTCTTGCTTTGAACCTATAGAATGTTGTTATTATTATTTATTTCTGGTAATGAAACCAAGGATTCCTGAAAAGGGCCCTTATACCCTTTAATTTCCCTTTAATTTCCCTTTAATTTCCCTTTTATTTCCCTTATATGGATGGTCCGTGACAAGCGAGGTCACTATCAACAATCAAATCAAGTCTTGGCAATATTGGCAGCGCTACCCGGGAAATTCCGAGCATATCTCACTTGCATGCATTAGCTTGAATACAGCGCATGTGAGGTTCGCTCGGAATTTCCCGGGTAGTGCTGCCAATATTGCAAAGAATCCAAACCGAGTCTCAGACAAAGTTGTGTGTGTAAGGGCGTACATTGTTTTCCACCTACCATAAAAGTTTAATATCACTGTCGTAGGGGGTTTTAATAATTTTTTTTGTCTTTTCAGATCATACTTCCAGAGCAACAGAAATGCATCGAAGAATGGATGGCCAAGGAAGCACAACGCATGAACCCTAAAAGTAAGACACACTGAGACCCATGGGGCTGCTATGCTACAGAAATGTCCTTAGCAGCAAAATATTTGCTTTTATATACAAAAAAGTCAGTTGCACATCCAGTCTAGGGGTGCATTCAAACAAAGAACCCAATCTGAGACACCCGCAAGGCATAAGGTCTATCTTACAAGTAACACCATTTGGACGACAGCAGCTTTTAAAATACTCCAAAAACATCATTGTGAATAGAAGTGAATGTTTTTCCCATAGAGCTATATTAAATTACTAGTGCGCTAACTCATGTACAAAGTGATGCCTGCTGGGCGCATCCATTGTTTGTACACAAACCTATGGAGAATTAGACATTTTGTACATATTTTGTATGTCTATTTGCATATGAGTATTTAGAGTACACTTTCAAAATTCAATCCATCTCATTTCATTATGTTCTACAAACACGCACATGAATTCAAAATGCCTGCGCCCAGGACGGCTTCAAAGCGTCTCCAAGCGCAGAATGACGAGTTAGCGCTCTAGAAATATAGTAAAGCTCTACGGTTTTGCCCAGAAACATATGAACTTTACTTCGGAAGTTGAATACAGAAAAACTTGGTGTGGGTTGGGCAGTTTGGAAAACATGGCTTACGTCTCGGAAAACCGTTCGCCTTTGTTGCTAACATTGGCCAGGGGTTGTGGCCAACAGTCCGTCCGGCTTGCGCAAACCAAGCCAATGTTGGCACATGTTAGGATTGTTAGCAAAAGTGGAATGTACCCCAGTTGTGCAACAATGAAGGGGGGAAATCATAAATTCACATAAATAATAATAATAATTTGGGGGCTAATCCTCCTTACTCGCAGCTGAGAAGCTGAATTGCGAGAGGTCGTGGTTAAAACGGGGTCAAGCCAAAGGCATGTAAAGGCACCTTTAAGCTGCCGCCATATGACCCATGCCTGACATCAAAGCACATCTAGAGATCAAAAGTGTTGATTTTCATAGAGGGAGGAAAACTGGAGAGCCCAAAGAAAAACCCTTGTGGCACAGGAGAGAATCAACAAACAACTCTACTCACACAAGGTCCAAGCCGGGAATCGAACCCGGGTGACATTGGTGAGAAGCAAGCACTTAATGCACTAGCCACCCATGCCACCCATGCAAAAAGGCATTGCCAGTCACATTTGACAAGTACCTTTTCCTCTTTTGTAGATGTGTTTTATGGTCTAGACCACGATGCATATGAACACATGGCAACTGATAAGTGCACGGAAGGTAAGTTTGTTTTTTCTCATTTTTTTGGGGGGGGGGGGGGAGGGCAAATAGTACATGGGCCTTTCCATGAGGTTGGCATCATATTGACATCCATAGATGAAGTAAAAGAAATCCCTCAGACATTGAATTGTCACAATGTTTATTTGGACTCTCCTTGTTTTTTTGCTTTTCTCTCATTTCATTGTAAAAATAAATGTTGAAAATTGGTCTGGAGAAAAAGATTAGATTTGTTGAAGAGAACAGGCGGTACATCTTTCACTCCTATTTTCTTTCTCTCCACCCTTTGTCCCCCCTCCTCCGCCTCAGGTTCCACCAGGAAGCAGAAAGAAGAGTACCTATCACGTCTCGGCCCTCTGGACATCTATCCCTTCAACATCCACACCGGTGAGATGACCGTCTACCGGCTGCGGCTGACGTGCCGCTGTGAGGCGACGTCCGAACATCAGCGATGCGCTAAGGTGCTGCCGTACAGTGACCAGCGCTGGGCTGGATACATGGGCACGTACGGCAACAGTCACTTCCGTCCTTTTAAACGATGATGTCCAAAACAAAATCACGTTAGCTCCGCCACCGCGCACGCAGGCAACGACACAGGCATCTTTCCAGTAAGCCAAGTTGACATATCGCTTTAGTCATGTGCAACCATTTATTTTGGATAAACAAAACATGCGCAGTTCTGGAAAACTCCAGCATCACAGTCATTACAATTCAGACAAATCTACTTCACTGAGCTCTTCATATAAAGCTAAAGCTCAATGAATAAACTTTAAAATGTATTTTTTTAAATCTTATACATGTACATCCATCATCTAGTAATGGTCAAGGAGATTACAGACAAGGAGATTACAGACTAGGAGTTTTGGATCATTTCACGCAATCATTAATTACCGTAAATTTCGGAATATAAGCCGCGGCTTATACGTTGATTTTGCCCATGAAAATGTTTACTGCGGCTTATACACAGGGCGGCTTATACGCCAAGCCTTGAAGAATACAAATGAAATTCACATGTATATTTAATGTACATGTACTGGTTTAAGAAGAAATATGTTGCTGAAATGAAATATCTATTAAGAAAGTCATTAACGAACCGAAACCACGTGCCACGTAAAGGTGCGTGCCGAGCGGTAAAAAGTACGGTGAAAGCTGTCTTCGATCGACGCTCGCTTGCAACAAGCCGTACGTGATTCTAGTGCTGCTGCATGCAGCATGCTTTCCCCAGCGGACCACACCATTTGAGGTAATATAGGGGTGTACTATCTTGGAAACAATAATTACCAACATTTCCGCTGTTTAAAAAAAGAAAAAAGACGACTAATACTTTTTATGGTGTCCGAAACATTTCTTTATTCGATAATCAGTTGTTCAACGTCACAATATAATGTATTCAAGAAACGATGTAAACCTCAAAACAGGGACTACATCACCCCTTACAAAATTAATGGATTCGTCCATGAAAATGGCAGCATCGTTTTGACTATTTTCGAAGAAAGTTACGATCAAAACTTGAATACTGCTCGTTAGTAATCACAAAAATTTGATAAGTTTTGAGATAAAAACGGACCTGTATATTTTTAGGACAAAACAAATCAGCATCTGTTGCCACAAAGCAAGATTTGTACGTAGCGCTCCAGTCAGACAACACACGCAATGGGGGAAAATCACGGTGGGTTACATACTCTCTCACGTGCTGCAGGAAAATGTTGTCATAGCCGGCGCAGGCTGCCGCGCCGGGCGATGTATTAACTTTTACGGCCGGGGACCGGACGGGGCAGCCGGCAGCAATTCCCGGTGTTTATTTCTCATCATCAATTTCCACATTTGTTTGTGAGAGTATCGATTGTAAATGATTTGATACAACTTTTGTGGCCCTTTTTATAGCTTCTGTAGTGTAAATGGAACTGGTTCAGAGCATTTTGGCTAGAATTTGGAGGCCTTAGAAAATTGAAACCGCTGCCGTCGGTGCGGCTTATACGCCGGTGCGGCTTATACGCCGACTTCAAATCTTAATTTGCAGATTTTTGCGTGCTGCGGCTTATACGCCGCGCGGCTTATATTCCGAAAATTACGGTAGATGTCATGGTTAATTGGCTCTGTCACAAACATGACATTTTCTCGCACAAAAGCTGGAATTGCCCTACTGTTCATGTTGAAAGAAATTAAACATGAATCAGGTTTAATATAAAGATCTTATTTATGCAAAAATAATGCAAACATGGGTCACAGAAGTTAGAAATTTTATTTTGTCGCATGACGACTTTTAAAAAAAATACCTAAAATTTGGTTGTGGTAACAGTTTTGAGTTACGTTTTATGTGTTTTATTTATATTTATTTCCAACATTTCAGGGTCGCCTTGCAAAAGTTTATGATTATTTTATACAATGCAGAATTCCCCCATTTTTTTTTCAGCAGGGTCAGAATATTTCCCACAGTGCTTGCCATTTTGTAAAACATCTATTCACTACTGTTTTGATATCCAACAAAAATGTCAGTTTCTGAATCATTTCCAACAATTCTTTCATGTAATGTTACAAAGTTTTTTAAAAGTCCATTCCAATAAAAGGTGGTACTTTTCAACTGGGTTATCCCCACAACAATTTTTGTGTCCAAAAACTGGTACCAGCAGCCTCAAAACAGAAACTTTTGGGAAATGTTTTTTTTTTCATAATTAAACAATTGTTTGTCATCACAATAAACAAAACATACAGTACTTCAGAAAGGAACATTTTGTCACAGTTTTCACATAAGAACAGGCATACCGAGTCAGACACAAAATAAGGTATTCTATTTTTTCATTGGGTTGTCTCTATAAGAACAGGATGATGAAAGGAAAGGGCCGGGTTTGAATCCCACTTCTGACACCAAATCCCACTTCTGACACCATTTTTGTGTGTAGGTTTTGTATTCAAAGAAAATGGAGAAATTTGATTGACAATTCAATTATGGACAACTGAGATAGTTGTCTCTATTAGAACAGGATGATGAAAGGAAAGGGCTGGGTTTGAATCCCACTTCTGACACCAAATCCCACTTCTGACACCATTTTTTTGTAGGTTTTGTAACAAAGAAAACAGAGAAATTTGATTGACAGTTCAGTTATGGACAACTGAGAACTTTCGCATTTAGCAGTCATCTTTGATGTTTTTGTTTAATTAACAATGAAATCACAACAGGTGTGAGGATGAAACAAACGAAACAAATGATGAAACACCCTGCTGAAACAAAAGCACACACCTTCAACATGGCTGCCACGCAAAGGGTCTGTTTAAAATGTATTCAACAAATAACTGTACCAAATATAGCTAGTCACTGTTTATACTTTCACTAGAGGGCAGTACGCAGATATTGGGGTCTGATCAATAACTAAAAAAATAATAAAAATATAAAAAAATTGCCGCAAAAGTGGAAGAATCAGACGCTATGACACTTTCACTAAATGTGTCAAAAAATGATTCGGAAGACGCTTTTTAGACTTTAGATTTTCTCAAACAACAAACAAGCAAATTGTTATCTTAAAGCACTCTCTGTAGTATTTAGTATTAAAGGGAATATACATCATTTGCTTTTGCTGTAATTTTCAGAAATGGATGGAATTGGGGGGTTGGAAATATAAAGCAAATATAGTTACACTGACTTTTTGGAGGTTTTGGGTTCGAAAATGCTATAAAAACCAAGAAAAACGATCATTTTCCTGTAGTCTGGTCCCCTGACTCCATATAAGAAGAAACAGAGCAGTTTACATACATTGGGGAATTGTAAGGTCAGGGAACCAGTCTAGCTGGCTCGTACCCGTTCATACGTTTGTAATCGATTGCAAACAAGTGCAATGGTCAATTGGGGCCAGTATTTGAAAAAAAAGCCAGTTGTTTCCAACGCTGATCGGCCGATCAGCGTTGGAAATTGATACAAAAATACCACTTTTCTTGAAAATGACAGTATACCAGGTGCCATAATTTTACAGGATGCTTTAGACTGTCATTTACCACCATCCTATTAAGGTATTTCGCAAAAACTTGGTAGTTTTATTTTTCGATGTTTGCAAATGTTGTATATTCCCTTTAATATAAAAAGTTGATCACCCAAAAAACAACTAGTATTTTGTCTTTCATAATTGAAACAGTAAAAAGTATTCAGTTTAATACTAGATGGTATATGACGACAGTACAGTATTGGTATTTGGTAAAGGTAGCGTACTGTGTTAATATTTCATTAAAATATTGAGCAGACCAAAACTAACAGTTTTTTTTTTTCAATTAATATAGTAAAAAGTATTCAGTTAGGATGGTGAAGATTGGAAATACAGCATTGGTAAAGGTATTCTTTTTGTATATTTTTGTGGTGGTAGATATTTATTTGGAATTTTTATTTTTGTACCAAGTGTGGATTTTGCATTGAACTCATGGGAAATTTGTAAATTTGTGTGACTTAATGAGTTGCCCTGCTAAATGGCTTCAGATTTCATGAAATAATTGATATTCAAATCAAAAACAAATTGATTAATTTTATTCAAAGATGTAATTCATTGGAATGTAAAACAGGGGAATTGTCTGATTTTGCTTGTTTGTGTTTTTTTCCCCGTTCAACAATGTGTGGCTTTTTACAAGCCAAACAGAGTAGTAAATGTGGAAATCGTATAACTGAGAGGGACAAACTTAAAAATAATGTTAACTTTTACCAGAAAACTGCGTACCCATTCTGGGTTTATTTATTTATACAAGCAGTACTTTCAATGGGTCAAATTTGTGTAGTTTTTTCCCCTTTCAACAATGTGTGGCTTTTAACGAGCAAAAAAGAGCAGTAAATGTGGAAATTATATATGCATAACTTAGAGGGGCACACTTCAAAATGTTAACTTTACCCAAAACTTGTGTAACCATTCCAGGTGTATTTATTAAATACAAGCAGTACCTTTAATGGGCCAAATTCATGTATATATCAATGTCTTTTTCTGAGGTGGCTGACCAGCTGATATTCTGCACAGCTCTGAAATCATGCATGTAAAGTGACTGTCTACGCAAATGTAAAAAAAGTAAAGTCTGTCATGAGCCAATGTGGCCCATCAGGCCGGCGTTTATCTCCTGTTTCAGTAGCATGAAACAACTGAGAATATTTCTACTTCCCCTGGATGGGATGCTAGTCAATCGCAGGTTACTCCCCAGCTAATACCGGTACCCATTTATACTCCTGGGTGGAGAGAGGCAAGAAGGTTGAAGTGGCTTTGCCCAGGGACACAGCATGTGACCAGCAGCTGGATTCGAACCCCTGACCCTCTGATCATGAGTCATGAACCCCAACCACTAGGCCGCACTCCCTACAAATGTGGCATTTGATAAAAAATGAAGTTGAAGGTTTAACGCTGCGAGGGAAACAGAACTGTAGATTTAATAATCTGATAGGTGTGTTCGGTTGGTAGAGGTATTATTGCATAGATGTGACAAATAATATCGACCAAAAATATGGTGCATGTAGTTATTAAAAAAAAATAACAGCATATTTTCAGGTTTTTGGGGGGTTAAATTGGGAAAGGAAAGGGTATAACTGTATTTTAATGGATCAGTGGCAAAATTTGGCGTTTATTGACCAAATAGTAATTAAAGAAAAAAATAATGACAAAACATGTTTCTCTTGTCCAAACGGCTTTTCTTTATTTTGACATCAAAGTAGAAATTATAATTAACATTTCTGCCATGCCTTTGTTCCTCTTGTGAAATACAAGAACTATCTGTCATTTGCTTATCAATTGCAACTTGACAACAATCGGCATCCAAAAAGTTTGCAATATACATGTACATGTAGTGCCCGTTTTGCCTGTATTTTGTGTACTGAAGGGTAGGAAGGGGTGAGAAATACGGTCTTAACCCCCCCCCCCCCAGCCCCACCTCCATTTGTCGTTGCATCTGAAGGCTTGTTCGTGTGGAGTGCTGTGGCCTTGTGGTCTGGGGCATTGGATTCGTGGTCTGCGGGTAATTCTGCAGGTTGTGGGTTCGAGTCCTGCCTGGGGTTATGGTGCGTGTGCCCTTGGGCAAGGCACTTTGTCACTCATTGCTTCTCCCCACCCAGGAGTAAATGGGCTCACATACTCGAGAAGCAAAGTACTTGGACTTAACAATTTGATATCACACTCAATCATCACACTACTCGTAAAATCGAGTAATTTAGTTTTGCATGAAAAAAATCTCCTCTCTTGGAGAGGCACATGCTTGTGTATTATCGATACTAAACGAATAGTACCAGGCTGTGGATCTGATCGATTTCCTTTACCTAAGATTTTAATTGTTCTTACTTAAGTACCCCATAAAGTACTCATACTCAGAGACCTGTCCAAGTACTCCTTCTCATACTCGGAGGTCCAAGTATGCGTATTTGTACTCGGAGGTCCAAGTACTCGGACTCGGCTTCACAAAACGTTTAAGTCCAAGTACTTAGACTTGAGTACATGTACTTGTTCTCTCGAGTCAACGTTAACAGATGCGAGTGGTAGTCGATAGCTTGTTACTCGGCAGCAGTGATGTAGTGCCTTGATGCAGGGCCTTGGCCTTAAGGCTGCCTTAATGCTGGACTTTAGGGGCCTTGGCCTCGAGGCTTGAGGGCAAAAGCCTTGGCCTTGGCCTTGGCCTTGGCCTTGGCCTTGAGGGATCAGGGCCTTGCAATTTTGAGTCAAGGCTCTTCAAGGCCCATAGATTTTTTCATTTTCCAGATAAATCTGTTTGAAATTTTGCTGTTACCATTTTAATCGTGTTACCATGGAGGAGGGAAACACCCTATAGATTCGTGTGTTGGGCACACTTTCACTTTTATGACATCACATTTTGTTACCATTATAGTAGATTTGCTGCAACAATATTCTGTACACTTGTGGGGCTAATGAGATGATCACTTAAATTGCATACAATTATGGAATAGATCTGATTGGTTGTATATGTCTCCCTGATAAGTGCTAAAGATTTGCATGTATCTGTTTTAGATAATGCTAATATTTCTGACCATGGTGGCCCAGCAAATAAAAATTTCCCAAATCAGTTTCTTGGATCCCCCTTTTGTTACACTTGGGAGAATTGTGCGTCAATATAGAAGTAAATCATTATTTTATGTTCATGAAGACCCGAACTTATACTTTAATAGATACAATGCAGTCACAAAACAGTGTATGCGAGCATGTTGATTGCAATTAAAGACAAGTTGTTCTTCTTAATGAGCGATTGGTGATGATGTGTCATGTGACTATATTTAGTTCTATATTAGTGGTCATTTTATAAAACGGGGCATTGGCCTTGGCCTTAGCCTTGAGGGTTAAGCCTTGGCCTTGGCCTCGAGGCTTGAGGGTCAAAGCCTTGGCCTTGAGGGTCAAAGCCTTGGCCTTGAGGGTCAAAGCCTTTGCTCCATCACTGCTCGGCAGTACTTTGTACTCAGATTAAAGTACTCGACTACAACACCGGTGGTTCTTCAGACGACGGCGTTGGCACTTCACTTCCTCGCTGCTTGTCCCCTGATCAGGTCAGCATATATCCCACCTCTCTTCAGCAATGCTTCATGAGTTCCCAACTTGGAAAAACAAAACAAAACAAAACAGTAAACTGAAGGAAATTATGGAGAGAGAGAGAGGGATTAACTACAAATCTTTGAAATAATCCAGTCGTTTGCGGAAATTACAGGAATATTTTATGTCCTACCTCTTGAATTCTTCCGTTGTCGAGTACTGCAATGAGATCTGCGTTCCTGATGGTGCTCAGTCTGTGGGCGATAACAAGGACTGTACGACCTGAAAATTGGTAGAATTTTGTTTGTAAAACTTATTTACTGGAGACACACAGCATGAACTGTAGTGCCACAGCTTTTCCTTTGGAAAGAAATGTCAGTTTTTTGATTTCAGGAATTTGTTCCGTGATAATCGTTTCAACCATGAAAATGTATGACAAGCTGTAGGTCTATCGATTCTATTCCGATTGATTCAAAAATTGTTCCTCTGTTTTCTCCAAAGCACTTTTGCTATCTGTTGTACAAAGCAACTGCCCCATGACGGTTTATAGGAACAATAGCTAGCAGAATGCTTGCCCCATTGAAGGAGGCCTCTGTGAGGACCGAACAGTGATGCGTGTTTGGAATGGTCAGTATCCGCTCCGTTTACAAGTACCCCCTCACCGGCAAAGAAAGTATAGTTGGGGGTGACCGACCGACGCCATCTTGCCTAGCTGCAATTTTGCCGCGACGCGCTGCCGTACCACTGCATGTACATAGTACAAATCCCCTGGTGTACGTGCATCACACACAAAGTACAAGGAACAGTGCGCGTCAACCAGCTAAATGTCCTTTCCATAGGACGTCGTTGCTAGGTAAAACGGCGCCCTCTTTCGTTGACGCATGGAACCCACAGCTGGCCTACATTAGGCTTGAAGGTAACAGTAAGCATGAGGTCTTAAAAAGTTTGCCAAACTGGCCTTCCAAATGCAAAAACTATTTCTTCTTTTATTGCAATCTTGACCACTTCCCTCATCCCTTCCAGATCAGGCACTTCACACTTGACGTACCTTTGGACACCTTATCGATCGCTTCTTGTACGACTCTCTCAGACTCGGCGTCGAGGGCGCTTGTGGCCTCGTCAAGAATCAAGATGGAAGGGTTCTTGATCAGTGCCCGAGCTATTGCAATCCTATGAACCAACAACAAAACAATTGTACAAATTAAACCAATTAATCAAACCAAATAAGGGGACGTTTACAATAATTGTCTGCATTTCTTGCAGACTAAGTCCATCTCTTGGTAGGAATCTGAAATGTGACGAGAGAAACCAGTGCTGATATCAAAATCACTTTGAACAATTTGCATGTGGTTTGCATACAATTTGCATATAATTTGCATACAGCAGCCATATTCAGCAATGCAGGACTCCAAAGATGTTAGTGCGAGTAAATAAAATGGTCGTTCTTTGAAAATCAGTCATGCATACAGGCAATTCATTTCGGCAATTCGTCTTGGACCAAGACTCACTGTACCTGTGCTTCCGCCCTCCAGAAATTGTCACCCCTCGCTCTCCTAGAACAGAGTTGTAACCCTCTGAGAAACCCAATGTAATACAATGTAATACAATGCAGTACAATGTAATACGATGTAATACAATGTAATACAATGTAAAACGAATATCAATAGGTAAGACTGTACCTAATTTGCTTCTGTCATGTACCCCTCGCTCTCCCAAAGTATTGTCTTCTGGGAAACCCAAAGTAATACAAAGTAGTACAATGTAATACAATGTAATACAATGCAGTACAATGTAATACGATATAATACAATGTACTACAATGTAATACAATGTAAAAATAATATCAATAGGTAAGACTGTACCTTTGCTTCCGTCATGTACCCCCTCACTCCCCCAAAGTAGTGTCTTAATCCTATTGGAAACCCAATGTAGTACAATGTAGTACAATGTAATACAATGTAATACAATGTAATACCACATACAAGTGTCAATGAGTATACCTTTGCTTTTGTCCTCCGGATATTGTCACCCCTCGCTCGCCCAGAACGGTGTCGTAACCCTCTGGGAAACCCAAAATGAACTCATGAGCGTTGGCGAGGGCAGCTGCCTCCAAGACCTGCGAGATGCAACAATTGACCGATTAAGAATCCTGACCGTTTAAGGATAGTGTGTTTAATATAGTTTCACTGTACTGGGGCGCATTGGAATAAACCGTCTTTAAATCTGTCTGTGTGCCAAGATAGTCTGAATGCACTGGCCGTCAGTCGGTCTATAAGTTAGACCATTGCAATCACACGGTCTAAGAATTAAAATCTTTAAAATAGCCTGGTTGGGGCTGGGTTTTTTTTATAACGGTTTATAATTGGGACTTCAGTTTACTTTAATATGTGTGTTTACTGCATCGAGCGAGTATCTTTTCCGGGATAGACTGAATCTACTAAGAAAATCACGAAACACTGAGTCGCAAAGCAAATAAACATAACCTCAACATACAATCTTATCTTCAAGCAAACTTGAGTCCTCGATCCTGATTGGTCGATCCATGGCAACAACAGTGTGATAGTATACCTAAAGAGCTCGGTCGGTACCACTCTCCGTGTATCACGCTATTCCACCGCTGAAGAGTTCGTGTGCCGCGTGCATGTTCCATCTGTACTGTGCATCAAGTTTGCTTGAAGATAAATGTGTTATCCCACTCGCAGAACACGGAAAAAATATAGCACGTCTTGCGTCCCACATACCTTTGGCCTTGTGGTATGTGGGAAGCAGATGCACTTCACATTATTCCGTGTTCCACTCGCGCTCGCGGGATATCTAATATAGTTGCTGTTTAACTCTCTGTGATTTTTGCTATAACAAGGCCTTGCAAGGGCCCCAGGAAGAATGCTTCTTAGACAACTGATGGGGTTAACCAGGTAAAGAAAGCAGGAAAATTAACAAACAAAACTTACCTCTTGGTCTGTGGCCTCTGGATTGCCGTATCGGATGTTCTCCTTCACAGTTGTGGCAAACAGTACAGGTTCCTGACGTTTAACAGAAATAAAATCTTGAATATTATACCACAACAACAGTCAAAACCAATATGGTTATAAAATCCAAAGACACCAAGATCAAGATAAACAGAGGTGTGTACGGAGCAAGTGCCGAGTGGTCAGCCATCATTTTGTCGCTCAAATGCCAGCAGCTGTGGTTTCAGCCGTGCGCAGAGATCTACAGCTCTCTTTGTTACGGACCAAAACATTCTGACTTGCCAGCAGTAGTGTGCGGTTACCAGCGGCTTCAGGCATCCACATTACAACAGCATGTTCACTGGTACCATGAGCCCAGGTCCACGTGCGGCTTGACTGGCTGCCCTACCTGATTGATGAAGCCGATGGTGCGGCCTCTGAGCCGGCTGGGGTCCAGCTCACGGATGTCCACCCCGTCGATTGAGATTGACCCTCGACCTATGTCGTAGAATCGCTCCAGCAGCGAGGCCACGGTGGACTTCCCTGCACAGATTCAAGAAATGTGCACGCAACAATAATCGTAAGTCCATACATGGCCACAACGAACGAGAGGGGGCTTACTTACCACATTCGAGCACAGACATATAAACACATAGACTGCCAGGTCCTATTCGAAACTACACGCGCATTCCGTGATTTCGCGGCACCCGACTAAAATCCAACTATGGGCAAATTCGCCTCTCGGTATAGGGATTTTACACACACCCAAACTATTCCATTAAAAAAATACTATGAAGTTATTTTTCGATTGTGAAAAAAATCCCTTGTGTACTTAGTATGATTGAAGTAGATTAAAACACAATAACCTGCACAACTTTTTCACCCAGATTGTGAGTAAAACAGCACTTTTTAAGCTCAAAAATGTACGTCCTGTATGTAAATGTGTGTACTGTACTAAGAGCGTATCTGCATTGAACGCGTGTCGCGCAAATACGTGCGCTGTAAACAAGCGTTTTGCCGAAACTTTTTCGAATCACGGTTTTATGCGCACGACTGGCGGTCTATAGGTCTGTGCACTCAAGAGCCCAAAGCATTGTCCTTGAGAGTATAGTAAAACAAGAGTGTGTGCTCTTGCTGTAGTTATTTCTGCTACAGCCGCTGCAACTGTCACTGTTTTGTTTTTCCTGCTGCTATTGCTACAGATTCTAGACCATTTTCATGTTGCGGCCATCTTGATTTTTTTCCCATTTAAATCAACGTAACCAAAGCGAGGCTGGAAGGAAACATAGTCTGGTTCCTTTTTGTGCAAAAACATTATCTGTCAGTACTGTTATTGGATACAGGGAACATGACTGAAATGGTGGCATTGTTGAAATTGCTGCCACTACTATAAACCTACCTCCACCGGACGGTCCACACACAGCTACAACTTTACCTGCTGGGATACTCAGGTTGAAATCTTTCAAGACTACCTGGTAACAAACAGAGGTCGGAAAAAAATCAGATGTCATAATAAACAGGCATGCAACTGGGAAGTCACAAAAAAAAGAGGAAATTCAAATCTTTCCAAGACTTTGTACAGTGTTTTTCTATTTTGAATGGCACACATGGGAAGTAAAAAAAGAGGAAATCAGCTGATCCGAGGAAAAGTTGCATGCCTGAATATATTAAACCTATTTCTTTGTTAGGGTCAGAATGTCTGAAATATCACTTATGAATACGCACATTTCAAAAATCTCATCTTTAAAAAAGAAATTTAGACATTTTGGGTTATAGTTCAAGATTTTCACATCTAAAAAAAGATATTGTTTTTACTTTTTACATTTTCCTTGGGTTTTACCTGGTCCGGCCTTGTTGGGTAGCTGAAAGTCACGTCGCTGAAGTGCACGTTGCCGTAGAAACTGTGATACAGGATATGTTTGCCCCCCTTGAGAGGAATGGTGGGTTCCAGGTCCAAATACTAGAATACAAAAAAAAGACAACAACTTTGAGAAAGTAAACATGGACATTTTGGTACAAACATGCCAAGCAATAAGCACTTAAATTTGCTGAAATTATTCCGTCTGAAATGGTATCGTTCAGAAAAAACAATCATTGATGACGGTTAAAAAAAGTGTGCCCACGGCCACACTTATCACAAAAAGGTTCAGTGTTCTTTCAGCAAAACGAAAAGAAATCACACAGGGATGTGTGTGAACTGATTCGTTTTGCTGAAAGAACGCACATCCTTTTTTGTGATCCGTGGACAGAACCTTAAAACGGTGGTTGTGTTTAACATTCCGTAACTTGAAAAGTACATGAATGATATGAATGATTCTTGTACTAAAAGAAAGCTGATGAATTGGGCTTTCATATCCTAGATTTTGAAAGTGCTACATGCAGAACTTCAATAAAACAATACTCCCGACATTTGGGTTTCGTTTTTTTTTACTCACCCTGTATGTATGAGGTGAGGTATTGACAAATACAAGGTGTATGTTAGGAAAGAAGTACCAGTACTTTCCACAATCCCCCTGTGATAATTTGAAAACTGCTTTCCAAGCTACGCATCTATCATCACGCAGGCCCTACCTCAAAGACGCGGGCCCCTGCACTCGTGCCCCTGATAGCCTGGCCGAACAGGATGGAGATGCTGGCCAACGATCGCTGGATGGTCTGTGAGGCTACCAGAAAGGACATCAATTGGCCGGCCTTCAAATCCCCACTGGCCAATAAGTAGCCGCCGTGGTATATCACACCCACTATGATGCCTGGGAAAAGAAACACAACAAAACAAAAATGACTTTCCAAGACATCCTTAGCAGTGCGGTATTTCAGCACGCACAGGACTAGATAGTTGACTGCACAGTGATTCCACGAAGCGGGCGCCTTTTACACACACCAATTGTGCCCTTGAGCAAGGCACTTCACCATAATTGCTTCATCCTTTGGATGGGACGTAAAGCCGTAGGTCCCGTGTGTTGTGTAATCCAATGCATGTAAATGAACCCAGTGACAATATCGCTAAGAGAAGGGGTTTGCCCCAGTGTTTCTGGTCTCCTGTATAAACTCCCACGCGGAGTATTTAGGAGAAGAACCAACCAAGACAAGAATCTGAATCTGCATACGGTTCCTCGACCAGGTTGGAATAGAACGCCCTCTATCAGGGGAACATATGCGACATGCCTGTTGCATAGGCTGTGCGTACAAAGGCTTTAAGCTTGTGAATTACCCCACTGCGAATGCCTTGCGCCAAGCCTACTTCAGTATCAGGGTTTTGTTCAGGCCACTTTTGAAAATAAAACAGATATTTCCAATTTGCACCTAGGCCTGTCCCTGAAACAAAACTCAGCTTTTTTTATTTAATAGGCATTTTTCTAGCACTACCAATGTCATTCACATTTTGAATGAGACACCAAGAAAAACAATAGCTGTTTCGGCTGAATTGACCTATCGCCGTTTGCGAGTTAGCCACGCCCCTTAGACAACCCTATGAAGTTTTTATACACTAAGTCTCATTTGTCTCATATTTTGCGCGTTCCGCGTCCATTTTGTATATCATATAATTGGACAATACATGTATTTCATAAGCTGCGTTGACTCGATTCTAACGCGATTCTACCGCGATAGGTCAATTGCCAAACAGCTATAAGTCAACTCTTTTTCTCTCTTTTTGAACTCACCGTTGAGAGCCAAGTTGCTGAGTCCCTGGAACAGCCCAATCCCCAGGCCGAGTTTCTCGTTGAGCTGCCTGGACTTGTCAATCTCGTGGCAGTACAGCTCGAGCTCCTTGTCCTCCATCGCGAATGAGCGAACCGTCCTCATGTTGCCTAGCGCCTCATCGGCGACCGAGGTCCCCATGGCAACCTGACGTAAAAATACAAATATAAAAAAGAAATTGACTTTAACTCTTGCAGATCCTTAAAAAAAAATACTAGGACATTTTGGAGGACGGAGGAAGGTAGATTCAAGACACTACAGTAAAATGCTAGAACTAGAAAGACCACTGGAAAACTCGACATTTTACTACAAACCGTTACGGGCATGCCATCACTGTGTACTCTCACTGAGGCCCCCTTCAATGGGGAAAGCATTGTGCAAGCTATTGTTTAGAAAATCCGCCACGGGTAACAGCTGAAGTTGAGTGGGACATCTGTGAATTACTGCGATAGCATGCTCGGAATGATCTATATAACTAAGAATTCCCTTGCTTTGGCTCTTGAATTTGATTGACATATATGCTGAGCATTGGTGGCTGCAAATCGCTACAGCAAAAGACTGCTATATGGGAAAATCTCAAGTGAACCATGTGCTCTTCACACAAAAGAAATTCTACGGTATTTTTTCACATTGGGCTTAAGAGTTTGTCCTTGTGTTCCTACGTGGTGGATTTTGGAAGACTCAAAATGTAGTGTAATGACTATTAACCTTAACTCCCTAGCATGATTTTACTAGGAACCATACCCATCCTGGCATATTCCAACACCATATGGGAAACTGCACGCACATATTTCTGACTTTGTTTCTGGAGGTGTGCCAACCCAATGTAAAAGACTGTCAGTTTAGGGGTACTGCACCCATCCTGACAGATTCCAACAAAACATGCTGCTGGGGTTTGATGGGTTGAGTTCTGTTAGGGTTGAAGCAAGGAGTAAATACCAACATTAGACTAGCAAATTGGGCTTCATTTAATGGTTCTGCTTACCCTAAACGAAGATTCCTTTAGGATTAATAATAGTAAGAACAGAATTCTACGGTTAACACAGCCCACTGGGCCCAGATTCCAATATTGGCTCAGCGAAAGCAGGTCACCGGCCAGAATGTCATGAGATGTCTATTGCTCTTGACTGGTTCCCCGCTGATACTTGCTAAGCATGTATTTTTTTCACTAAGCATTATTTCAGGTAAATAAGCAATATTTCAACTTCAGGTAACTGAGTTCTGCGAATTTCCAACCTGCTCCTGGACTTTGCGTGACAGCGATCGCAGCGAGGCTCCGATGCCCGTCCCCACCAGCACCAGGCCCGGCACCACCATGATGAGTAGCAAGGTCAGCTTGGGTGACAGGACGTACATTGCCGCGCCGGCCCCAAGGGTCTGGGTGAAACCGCGCAGGCCCTGAGCTATGCACAGCTTAAAGGCGCTCTTGAAATCCTGCACGTCCGCCGAAAGTCTGTCCACAACAAAGAAAGAAATCAAGCACTATATTTAGGGTGAAATTCAATATTAGATTCAAATCAGCCAACCGATCCCGTTAGCTCCGTGGTCGAGTGGTAAGACATCTGCAATAGAAAGCAGGAGGTCGTGGGTTCGAGTCCCACCCAAGTGATTTTTTCCAACTTTGACTCGGGAGGTAACACACTGAGTAAACAGTGTTTATACGTCGGTAAAGGGCAAAACCTAATTTGATTTACATCACCCCGATGCAAAAATCCCATCTTATGAATAAAAATTCAAAACACCGTGCATTTATGAATAATTCAGTATTCGATATTAGATTTGAAAGTTCGCATGGTGAAGAGAGTCTATGGAATAGACCCAGCAAGCGTCTATGATATGTATGCAGATTTCCAACCTGGTTTCCAATAGTAAGCCCTGGATAGAAAACTTTCTTCATGTATCCTGATTCGATACCACAATGTGCTAGTAATGGATTTATATCGTGTAGTTGGTGTTATTGCCAACGTGCATTATGTATTTTCACGATCATTGTAATTATAACGTCCTCGCCTTCTCAAAAATACTCCTTTCCTTTCCAGTTTGCTCAGTTTGCTTCACAATTTTTTCGATTTTGATTTTTTTCAATATTTCGCTTTAAAACAATGTACTTAACCATTTTGACATGTTTCTGTTAGCAAAACATCATTAATTTTCAAGTTACATTAATGCTGCAAGGGGCAGAAATCTCAATAAATGCATTTTGTGTTTTCACGAAGAGCCACATACATTTTGGCCCTTTGAACGCGTACAAAACCCATTGCACGGAAATACGTAAAAGTAGGTCAAATGAGATTTCCGTTTTCACGAAGAGCCACACATCTTTGTTACATTTCAGCTGCGCGCGCGCACTCACGTTGAACAGAAAGGTCAAAGGAAATACACGTTGAACAGAAAGGGCCAATATGACGGAAACCTGAATTTGCGTTTTCACGAAGAGCCACATATCTTTACTAATTAATTTCCACCAATTAACTACTGAATTAAGTCTTATTACCGGGTTCATGTAAAAATTCAGCTCTCGTAGAATCGTGTGATGGTTTCTTTGCTGCACAAAGTTGTTGTAAAGTGGTATTATTTGCAATTTAAAATATGAGAAATCTCTTTTGCGATTAACTCGAAAATGCCTTTTCTTCAAAATCCACATATGTGGCTCTTCGTGAAAACGGTGACGATATTAATATCAAATGTGATTACTGCATATTGGCGGGCCAGATTGTAACATTTTAACTTAAAAAAAATCATGCTTTCATAACTCATGGCGCGACGAATTGATGCTGTTTTTACCCCAGACACCGCATGCAAAAAACAAACGCTAAGGTAACGCACATGCAGGCACCAGACTACTCCTCATTTGCATACGTGTTCAAAAATCTTGAACATGCAAATGATCCAATACCAGGGTGAGAGAGCAAGTAGTGGTGGGCGCGTACTGCTCGACACCCTGGGGACGAGGTTGGTGAGACCCGAACTTGGAGGGCCTGCGAGAGGTCACAAAAGCGCCCTCTACTGTTGATGAACGGACTCTCGGCCCCCAAGACCATACCTGTTGATGAGTTCTCCAGTGTGGTGCGAATCGAAGAATGCAATGTCTTGCCTCAAGAGGGCAGCAAACAGGGCCTCTCGCATTCGGACCGCGGTGCGTTCGCCGACCGCTGACAGGAGGGAGATGTAACTGCTGGTGCACAGGGCCTGCAAATGAAACAATTATTCAGATTGGTCAATCAGTAATCACTTGAGGTTCTTTCAAATGACAAACAATCATTGTGATTGGTCAAAGCCTGGAAATGAAACGGTTATTCTAATTGGTCGATCAGTAGTTACTTGAGGTTCTTACAAATGAAAAACAACCATTGTGATTGGTAAAATGCCTGGAAATGAAACAATTATTCTGATTGGTCAATCGGTAATCACTTGACGTTCTTAAAAAAAATAATCATCTACAAACACTCAAGACCCAACATAAATATAAATATTTACCTGCAGACAGTAGGCTATTATGAGCTTCACTGCCGGCCCGCGGATTTCCTGCAAGTAATTCCCAGAATGCTTTGCAGCCTCGGCCACCACCTGCACCATGTTGCCGAGAAGGACTGGGATCTGAACGTTGATCAGCGCGGCGGCCAGCGCACTCTGTGTAGAAAAGCCATAGTCAAATGCATTAGTAAATTTGTATACCATATCCTTTTACCCTTTACTCAACCAACTTTATAAATACTGTATACTCAGTGTTGTCCGAGGGCTTGCGTGAACAAAATTCACAGGCTTACTCATGACTCCTTGCTGGTTTAAATCTCATATAGCAATGGATACCGAAACCAAATTGTTTACAGGGAACAGGGAGATGTAATTTACATTTTGGGTTTTGCCCTACATTGACACATTTTTTTTAATAAAAAAAATCAGACCTGTATGTGGTGTAATTCGCCAAACAAAATTAGAAGCCTTTTTGCGGTGGTGCTTAAAGACAAGGCACACGCGCATTTTGGTAACCCTATCTGCTCCGTTCACAAGTACCCCCTCACCGGCAAAGCAAGCACAGTTGGGGGTGACTGACCGACGCCATCTTGCCTGACTGCAATTCATTTGCCGCGGAGCGCGGCCACTGCCTGTACGTAGTACAAATCCCCTGGTGTACGTGCGTCACACACAAGGAATGGTGCACGTCAACCAGCGAAATGTCCCGGCCATGGGACATCGTTGTTAGGTAAAAGGGCGCCCTCATTTGTCGGCACAAGGAGCCCATTGGCCGAAGGAGTCCAGAGTGTGTATTACCCGAGCGCGACTCCCCACAGCCTGGTGCCACTGTAGAAAATGGCTGTCACCGAGTTAGTCGATACATGTACAGTTTTATTGCTTGTCCAAGACTGATTTTGGATTTTGTTCTCCTATACTAATGCAGCCTAGAAAATCTTGTCAAGCCTCCACCGTTGTAGAGGGTTGTAGAGGGGGCTATCAACGAGATGAATCAAATCCAGTCTTGGGAATGTTGGCACTGATAACCTGAGAAATTCCAAGCGTACCTCTCGTGTTGTATTCAAGCTATGCCTGTGCATGAGGAGGTCAGCGGCATGGGCGTCGCCAGGATTTTTTCTAGAGGGGGGAAAAAATTTTTTTGGCCAAAATGCTTGTATTTCTCAACACATTCTCGACTTATCAGTTTTAGAGGGGGGCAGGGACATTTGCCCCCCCCCCCCCCCCACCAACTCATTAAATTTACACCACTTTGTCTTCGCGCCTCTATTTCTTTTTTTTTTCTTTTCTTTTTTTTCTTCCTTTTTTTTTTTTTTTTTTGCTTTTCCGGGGGGAGGGGGGGGGGAGGGGGGGGGGGGGGGCAAGTGCCAACTCCCGGCTGGAAGAGACCCGGTGGCCGTCCAAGATCATCTTGGATGGCCTAGCCAGATTTATTACATGTGGAATGAGGCTGTAGGACGCCGGGCACAGGAGATCGGCACGACGGACCTATGCTGTCTACGCGGATGAGTGAGTGAGTGAGGTTTGCTCAGAATGCGGGTATCAGTGGCAACGTTCCTTAGGCTGAGATTTGTGAGATTACCTCACGTGTGCACTTACGGTTGAACGCATGAGGTATGCTCGGGAATTCTTGGATCCTGCTGCCAACGTTCCCAAGATTTAATTCATCATGGTGATAGCTCCTTCTACTGAACCACCGCGACAGCTTGACTGTGCGTGCCAAAAAACAGAACCGGCCACATTAAGGAACAAAATCCAATATGGGCCAAGATTGTAATCTCCATTTGACTCACCACAACCGCAGCCACCAGGTACCATATATCTGGCCAAAGCAGCCGCAGAAATTTCCTCTTCTGAAAGCGGGGATGCTTGAAATCTCCCGAGTCTTTGTAGGCATTTTTGTCCAGGACACGCGAGCTTCCTTTTGTTCTTATTTTACAGTCTGCTGCTACGCCCCACAAGCCCCAACTCAAACTGCCTCCGAACAGAACAGCACCTACAAACAACAAGCATTAAAGGTATAGTCCATCATTTGTAATTTGTGCATTTTGTTTCGTTTGAAGCAACAAACTTGCTCAAAATCTAAAGAAGGGTGCTGAACAACTAACCTGATGAAGTTTCAGCTCAGCTTTAGCTGTATATTCCGAGAAAAACAGCATTCTATGATCTCGATTTCAAATCAATAGGGCCTAGTTGCTGAATCATGTTTTGAATTTGGTTCTCACATGAGCCGATTGCAGCTACGCGATGTGGCGCACTGATCCGACGAATTATAGCAACCGCGCACGCGTGTGCATCCTTCCAATGCTTGTGCGCGCTTCGCCGAATAACAAAACGAACTACTAATTTGAATTTCTTACGGTGCGTCTCAAGAAGCACCTTTAGAAAGGCCTACTTTTGCTGATTTCTTCAACATGACAGCATGCCAGAAAGAATAATTTCACAGGGAGTTTAGTCCCCTTGCTATCTTTCCACTAAGTATGTTTTTCAACATTAATTACGTCAGTCACTTTGTGGATAGCTGGAAATGATGGACTGTAGCTTTAACAATTAAAAACTTGTACGTCCCTCTCTTGCTGTGAAATTCAACAAAGCTATCCTGGTAGTCAAAATCAATCGAGTGATAGTTGAGTGCTCCCTGCCTTCATAAAGCAGGATTGACTGGCTGTGACCGTCTATGCAACTTGATACAACTATGCTTTCACTGTAGGAGATTGATAAGCCAGCTGTGCTGACCAGTTACTTACCTGTTGATGGAAATTGAACTAGTCCCATTGCTTACAAAAATATAATCTGACTGTTGGTTCCCAAAATGTGTGTAAATTATGGGAGGGGAAGTGGACTGGATTTTTGACTGTCTGTGACTGTTCAAGCTTCAGGAGGATTTTAAGGCCTGTAAGCAGCTCTCAATTATAACAAAGTCAATGTACATCAGATTCGAACCAGCCAACCGATCCGGTAAGCTCGGTGGTCGAGTGGTAAGACATCTGCACTAGCAAGCAGGAGGTCGTGGGTTCGAGTCCCACCCGAGAGATTTTTTTCCAACTTTCACTCGGGAGGTAACACTCTGAGTATACAGTGTTTAAACGTCGGTGCAGGGCAAAACCTAATTTGATTTAAAGTCAATGATGTTACTGTTCTAGCAGTGTAATTAATCACCATGTTTTAATACTATCCTTATTTTAATTTTTTTTGTGAACTACAATGTTAAGTGAGCAACCCCCCCCCCCCAAAAAAAATCAAAGATCACAAGATAACTTGTGGAGAAAACTGATCAAAAAGGAAATTACATACCTGTCGAAAGGCGAGGTAGAAACTGATAAGAAACGCCTCCAGATTTCGGTCGGCATGTTTGCAGAAAACGTGCCCTCAGCGCATGGTACACCCGTGTGGTTCTGCAACAGCAGACCTCTAACGGCCGAAAGACTTGAACATCTGTGACAAATCTAAAGCAAAAATAAGTTGTTCAGACATTTTCCAAATTTTAAAACAAACATATAAGGCATCAGAGACTGGCTGAGACACAGACTTGCTGTTGTAGTGCTGGGGAAAAAAAATGCAAAATAAAAAAAAAACTCTTAAAGCCAACAACATTTTCCAAAATCTCCAATTAAGGGGATGATCAGGTGCTGAATATTTCAACATTTATTAGCCAAGATTGGAGTCTCAAGTTTAGATTTTCAGCTTTTTTGGCATCTAGAGAGTGGGGCTGAAGTTGGAACAAACAAAAGTTTCCCTGCACATTTCCAACTCTGTGGAATTCATGAGGGGGCAATTCCAATGTAACTCATCTTACATTTGGAGGGGGTCTTCTGTTAGTCTATAAAGTGAAAGCATTCAGGGTATTTTTCTCACAGAATATCCCTTGAAATTGATTAACCTAGGCCTACAAAGATAAACTCAAAAAGGCCAACTAGTAAATTTATGTTGGTTTGAATATAGTTTTTATCGGAAGGCCTATATTCACGTTACACCAAAAAAAATGGATTTTTTTTGGGGGGGGGGGGTAAGGGGGAAACAATTGATAGGCGCATAACTTAGTCATATTCTACATATTCCAACATTTTCTTAGCATTTCCGGACAAAATTAATAACATCCTCGATCGAGATGTAATTTTTTTATTAATATAAATATTATGTACAAAGACTGACAATTTGCCTCTTTATATTTTCACTTACGTTAATATAATTATAAAGCATGTTATTTATGTTGTCCCCAAAAATTATATTTCAACCTTATCCTATTTTTTTTATTCTGCAAAGAAAGTGCACCATTTTTGCTAGCTTGAGTAACTCCAGCTGACATGCTCCATATTCATTACATGTGAATGAATATGGAGCATGTCAGCTGGAGTTACTCAAGCTACATTTGTGCATTGATTGTGTAACATGTGAAGCCGGTTTTATTTTTACCTGCTAGATTCTACATTAAAACTGCGTGCGGACGACTTTATCACACGAGCTGTTGTGCGACAAGTGGGTTGCAGCTTAAATGCCAGACGAGCTGAATTATTTGAAATTAAAATGTTCATTTTTTACTAGAATTTCATGCCAAAAGTTTTTGACTTAAAAACGCCGGCAATTTCCACACAGTACTGCATTGGTCTGAAATCCAACCTTCTTTCAACCTAGTATAGCACACTGCATGTAATTGGCGCCAGACTACACTGAACACAAACTCTTAAAAGAAATATACACAGACGTCAATTACTTTGCACAGTATCTTTCTTACGACCAATCTGCATGCCGAATGCCGGGAGCCCGTCTATTTTTAACGTGAGTGCAAAATCCCAATGCAAACGCACGCTTGCAAATTTGGGGTTTGAAATCATTACTTTTTGGGAGAAAACATTGTGGAAAATAGAGATTTTAAGAAAATATTTCGTCAGTTATCAGCAGGGAACGATGAGATACGGAAAGGTTTACCGGCGGATGGCCGGTGGGCCGCAACAGAGGCTAAATTTGTTGCGGCATTTTATCACGGCACTGGTGAAGTACGAAAGGTTCGAGGCTCCGTACGCCAAGGCACACGAGACTCAGAAATATGCCGAGAGGGTAAGACACTTAGTTAGACAGTGGGCTGAAAGTTGGGGGGGGGGGGAGAGCGGGGGGATTGGGAGTGAATGTCGAGGGGAGAGAGATTATGATGAAATTGAAATTGAAATTGAGATTAGTCAAGTAAGTTGACAAAGGAATTGCGTACCAAACTACTGTAGCTGCCCTTTCTGTCATTTTACAAAATGTTTTACTTTTAATTTGGAAAGAATGTTGCATCCTGACGCCATGTCTTTGATTGTCATGATTGTGTACAAACTCTATCATGTTTATCACTCTATCAGTCGAGTACATTTTCAAAGTATTTTCTAACTAAATTGGAAATGTTTCTCAGTCCCAGATTCATGTCTTTTCAACATTTTGCAATGACTAGTACTGACCTTTATTGAGATGATATATGAAAAAAAACAGTGGCGTCAGGTTGCAACATTCTCTCATTTAATTGTATTTGAACATGTTGAAGCGTGAACCGGTCACACATTTTCCTAGTCCGAAAATTTGGGACTCTCAATACTGTGTATAAGAGTCCCAAAACTTAAGGTATCCATATCGTGCAAAACTTTGTGCTGCATGATAAAACCAGTGTGAATCAAATTTGCAAGCTTCTTACTCACTGCAGTTTCTTCAATAATCCCCGAAACTTCTGCCTAGCAAAGTTGCTGTTGTGAGCATTGCATCACCAAAATTTCAGCTTTTAATTCTAATTTTGCAGAGAGTTATCGAAATCCATACGTGAGACATCACATTGATGTGTACTGCAATGCATTGTGCAAAAAGACTCCTCAGCTATAACATTTTCATCGTGTAGATAAAACAGCGCCCTCTTGTTGATCTGAGTGAATGCAAAATGTTTCATTTTTTAGCAGAGGGCGCTATGTTCATTTGGCCATTGATTAAAAAACAAGTAAGCTGCAAGGCTCTTCCTACACCTACCCAGAATACATTGGGAATCACACACCCATTTCCAGAGCATGGAGATTGACGTGGGTGGTTTTTGAACTGCCAAAACCTTGCCTTAAAATTGGATTTAAGGTCTCAAATTTTGCAGGTGACATGCTTGCAACTATAGCATTTTGATGTATGTGTTGTGTTGGCATTAATTAGCCAAATGGTGAGTAAAAAAACGTCAGTAGTAATTTTGCACGTTTTCATGCACTCACGGTCCCAGTCTGACATTTTCCCCAATCTTGTAACGGCACTTCCTCTGCCATTGGCATTGTCTGCATATGCTCATTTATAATTATACAGCCATACAGGTACACATTATAAGATAATAAAGGAAAGAATTTCATATACGGACTTCACTTTTTTCAATGAGTTTTGAAGTGTCAAAAAGTTACGTTCTATATGGTTATTTCCTCTACTTTCCCTCCTCAACTCTCGCCCTCTCCTTCCCTCTTCTTGTCTCTTATTAATCAGTTATTCACTTACCGAACATCCATGAGAATCGAACCAGGAGAGCCCTCGAACTGTCATTATTAAACACACCAGTCCTACCTGCTGAGACCATTTGATAAAGGTGCCCGATGATGTAAGACTAATGCTTTGACAAACATGCTACGACTTCCATAACTGTCGCCATTAAAAATATCATTTCCTTATTGGAGCTTGTATTAAAAAAAGTGGGTGCTCTTTCTTGTCTGTTTTTCCAGCTGATTAACATCGCAAAGAGAGGTGACACGGACGAGGAAGCCATGAAGATCGCTGACTATTGGCTGTCGGTGAGTTCACCATCAACATCTCATATGTATATAAGATTTGAGGCTTTGCATGGTGGGGTATCGGTATCGTTTCGGTTTGCGGTAACACCATGTGGTAATAACTACTGCTTAGAAGATATTAGTTCTGAAAAGAACTTGTCCTGCTTATTATCAACTTTGCTAAGTAGTTTTTTGTTCTGATAAGAACAGTCCTGCTGTAAGTTCTTGACCAAAGACAAGTTCGTTTAGAACTTACAGCAGGACTGTTCTTATCAGAACAAAAAACTACTTAGCAAAGTTGATAATAAGCAGGACAAGTTCTTTTCAGAACTAATATCTTCTAAGCAGTAGTTATTACCACATGGTGTTACCGCAAACCGAAACGATATCTCATATGTACTCACATCGGCGTTCCCGCAGTCATGGACAAATCCTGGAAAATCCTGAAATTTAAAGCTGTCATGGAAAGTCACGGAATTTTGTTTTACAAGGAGTAATGGAAAGTTGATATTCCAAGACAAATGTAAACCCCCTACCTCCATCGGGGTGCAAGAAACAGTTTTTGTATGTGTTGTGCCAGTGTACATGTATGCACATTTAAAGGGAAGATACAACATTTGCAAACATCACAAAATGAAATTATCAAATTATCACAAAATACCTTACTGGATTGTTAGGGAATGACAGTCTAAAGCATCCTGTAAAATCGTGGCTCCTGGTGTGCTGACATTTTCAAGAAAAATGGTATTTTTCCAACGCTGGTCGGCCGACCAGCGTTGGAGAAAACTGGCCTTTTTTCAAAAACTGCTCTGATATTTTCATAATTAGTTATTCCGCATTTTCTTTGCAATTGATTACACACATAGGAAGGGGTACAAGTCTGCTAGACTGATTCTCTGACCTTACAATTCTCCAGAGTCTATAAATTGCTCCGTTTCATCTTAAGTGGGGTCAGGGAACAAGACTGCAAGAACAGGATTGGTTTTCTTGGTTTTTCCAACATCTACAAGCCCAAAACATGAAAAAAGTCATTTTAACAATATTTGTATAACATGCTAATCCTCCAAATCCATTTATTTCTGAAAACTGCAGCAAAAGCAAATGTTGTACATTCCCTTTAAATAGTGACCCTTGAACAATTGATATAGAGGATAATAGGGTCCACGATAGAGCGAAGGTGCACTTTTGAGGTGTGTGTACAAAGTAATTCTGGGTAGGAGATCTTCCTAAAGAGTTTGTATAAATAGGGACCAAGGAGGTTGATGTTTGAAGGTGTGTCCCTGCAGTTGTGAAAAACTGTGCACATTCTGTGTATAGTCGACTCTTGTTCACATACACTGTTAATACAAAATTCTGGTTATAACAAACATAAAGCCTTGGTCCCAACTGTGCTTTACGTGCACAATGAATGGGACTGTTGTTCCTCTTAATACAAAATTCTGATATAACAAACATTTTTGGCTAGGTCCGGCTGACTTTGTATTAAATAACAAGTGTCTACTGCACATGTAAGGTGCAACACCCACATGCAAAGAGTGAGAAACCTACCCTCGGCTTTGATAAGATACTCAGATATGAAGATCAGTTTCGGAAGGTAATAATGGGTTTTGTACTTGCGTATTCAAAGATTTCATATAAATGAACTTATTTTCAACAGGACAAGAAGCAAATCCACAAGCTCTTTAAAGTCTTGGCGCCCCGCTTCAGGGACCAGCAGAAGAACTACACCCAGCTGCTTCGCGTTCCCGGCTTCAGCGGAGAGGGCAACGTGGCCATGGCGTTCCTAGAATTCCACGGGAACCCGTACCCGCCGCTCCGCCCCGTCAAAAAGAAGAACCCGGACTGGATCGTGAACGTGCTGCTGCGCGAGGCGGTGCAGGAACTGAAAGCGTCCAGGGTCCTCGCAGAGGGGCGGAGCCGGCCCGAGGAGGGCGTCATGACACAACTCGGGGAGGCGCTGGACAATTTGCGGCTCGGGGAGTCTCCTGAGGGCGCCGTTGCAGACGGCCCCGGTGCGGACCCACAGAAAGATGGAACGCCAGTATGATGGAACGTGTCTGTGTATTCGGATCAGAGACTTTCTAGGGAGGTTGCGTTGGAACATTTTGTACAAAGGATTGGGAAAGATAGTGCCAGGGATGGGTGGGATATTATTGGTTATCCCACGAGTACGAGGGGAACACAGAATAATGTAGCACGTCTGTGTATTTGGCCTCATGGATGGCATATGGAACACAGTACATTTCCTGCATTCGACCGTTTCGACGAGTGCCAGTGAGACGACAAATGTATCTTCAAGCAAACTTTGACGTTCAGTAAAGATGGATTGAGAAGTACGACGTTAACTTCAACTGATTTCTTCAAATCAAATGTGCACAGATACACACACTTTCAGATGGTTATCTCATTACAAGTGTGTGCAGTAGAAGTAGCCCATAACAGCACTGTGTGCACCCATCTTTGTAAACACCGGCAATCGTGGACCACCTATTGTCACTAATCCTCATTCCTTTCTTTGTACTCTTTTTAGCAACAGCTCTCATTGGTTTTGTACACAAATTTCAAATGTGGATGTTCGGTCAATCGTTGATACTTCATTCACGCCCTAACTTTTTTGTCCCTTGTCCATTATTTCCGGTGTTTACATACGGTGGTATGTGGAACATGGTATATGGCAAGATATACAATGGATTGTTGCCATGGATCGTTGCCATGGATCGTTGCCATGGATCAACGAATCATTATCAAGGATTCAAATTGCTTGAAGATAATATATTTTTGGTGCCGACTATAGACCCTTTTTTTCTTGACGTCACAATAAATCCATCCCTTTGTTGTTACGTCTGTTAATTATACTGCACAGAAGTAGTTTGACATAATTTGTTGAACCAGTGTGCATCTTGGGAAAGATTTCCATATAAGAAGTTCACTCAACACCCTGTGTACAAACCCTATGAGATTGGACTGAAAAATTTTAAGTGTTTTCTAAGAAAATGCTTGTATTTTCTCACTGCTCAAATTGACTTTGATGACATGAAATTGCTATATGGGGGCTCGTTAGTCAATACAGAGGAAAATTAGTGAACTTCTTATATGGAAATCTTTCCTGCATCTTGTATGAAAAAAATCCACAAACAACTTCTTGAAGTATTTTTCTACTCGCTATGCCTTTATTAACAGATCCCTTCCCTAGTAGGCAAGTCCTGCAAAATGTTACCAACACCGAGTTGTAACAAGAGTAGTTGGTGAGGAGTTTTTGGCACCTGCATGGCGGTGGCAGCGATTGAGGTGTATTGTGGTGAAGATGATTAGGAATGTCTTTCGTAAGTGGAAATAGAAAGGCCTCCTGCAAATAACTTTAGTATGTTCTTTTCAGAATCACACATCTTTCCAAAAGATTTTTCTACATGGCGTTACCGCAAACCTTCACTATTTTTTACAAGGTTTTAAAAAGTGACGTGAATAAAATACAAATTGTCCATAACTCGGTCGCCAGATGGAATTTACAAAACAGGGTTGGTGAAAGCCCTGTTGCACCCCTCAAAGCAAAAGTGGCACAGACCTTTCCTCAGTTTGGAATATGGTTTAATGAGACATTGATGTGGACCAAACCACTCATATTTAGGGGGAGGGTTAATTCATTTAATATTAAAATAAATCAAAATAGTCCATTGTGTATAACAGTCGTTACTGGTATTTTGCTGACAAATAAACTAAACAAAATAGAAGCGATAAGGGATTCTCAAAGTACTTTTTTTCAAATATGAAATAAAAATTAAATAAGGCAACTGACGACTTGTTTTAAAGAAAAAGGGAGTTTTAGGCCAAACAAAAAAAAGTCTCCGGTTTCTGGTATGGAGCTCTCCCAAAAAGTGGTGCGGCGACCCGGCTTTTTTTTTTTTACCTGATTTTTTTGCTTCAAATGTCGGCTGATGACTGCAAATGGTGCCCGACTAAACTTAGTGCAAATATATGGGAGTCCAGAGAGGCCACATAAAGCTTATTCTCGACCATAACCCAATCTAAAAACACGTTAAAATTGTGCAGCAGCAGGATGCCAGTCAAACCAGTGAGTTTGGCGGTTGTGAGACATCATCTTTCATTGAAAATAAAACCCTTTTCATTTTGCCGACGCGCATTGCTACGGGGACGCGCGCGAATACCAGAAACCGGAGACTTTTTTGGGGGGGCCTTAGTCTTGACTAAATGGCCTCCTTACCTAAACATTAATATCATGATATATTATACAAAATTTAGAATTTAAGACATAGTTGCTTTTATACACAGTGGCTCCTAAAATAGTAAAATCTTTCCGTATGCTATTGACCATATGCCAGTTTTCCCCTTTAGACTAGTATACAGATATATCCCGGTTTGATGGTGGATAGTCAATACTATAACACCTCGCCCACAGATTCTGTATCTTGATTGGCCGAGAGCAAGCCACATGGTAGTTGCTATTTTTGCTATCTTGCTGTGCACAGCCAATATTTGTATATTAGCTCCCCGAGGTACTGGAAGTTGACAAACTAGTTCCCTCAGCGCACTTCCGTATTAGGGGGAGCTAATATAACCTATCCACCCCCGAACTAAACCGTGATATATTTGTATTACTACACCTCATACATTTCACCAAGACTTTGTCGAGTTACGTACATGTATCAGCTTTCTCAGCAAAACGTTGCCTTGCATATGCAACCATGCTATGTAGCAAGTGGAATATCTGTGTGTGTGGACACTCCCCGCGCGACAGCTCCACAAAAGCACATGCGTAGTAGACCATCGCACAGGTAACCTTTGCGCTAGCGGACTGCGCATGCGTATTTACCCTGTGCATGAATCCTTGCGTGCGAACTTGATCAATTGCAAAACTAGCGACTTGCACATGACGGTGAATGGAACAGTTAGACTTCATGAATACGTATGAGGTATATTAGTGTCTACATGGAGTTTATCTTCAAATATCCCAGTGTTTCGTTTGTTAGATATTTTAGGGGGGAAAAAAAACACAAGATGGACCCTCCGAATCAACTATTTTAGTGAGCAGCTTTGACCCTTTTTATTATCCAAGATGGCGGCTACATGTTTTTATGACTTCCAGGCCCCACGCAAGTGTAAAGCGCATGCACTTTGCTAAAGGACCCTGTGTGCGTGAACATTAGAGGGCGCTTTGTCACCAGTCGCGAGAGCTCCAGGGGAGGGACATACTGGAAGCGCATACTGGTTCAAGCATGCATTGCGCGAAGAATGTAGGACTAACATTTATCTGAATGCGCGCAAACCCGTAGGTTTTTTTGCGTGAGCGACAGGCACTGTCAGTAATGCACTCAAATGAGTCCTTCCCAGTGGTCTCCCCCAACTCTCTCCTTGTAACCGTTGAGGGGGTACTTGTGCACGGAGATCAAACTCAGGTAAAGAAGTCTGACATGTCCAAACACAGCCAACAATGCACTGGTCGACAACACCTGCACGTAATGCCAACCTGTGGCACAGTTCAGCAGGGTACCGATCACTTTCAAATTACTCAGACATGACAGGGCTGCGCGCGGTCGTGGAAGTTCACGTTCAGACAGAAGATACTCTGGTCAAAGTCACTGGAGCCAAGCTAAACGAAGGACTTCCCAAATCATCGCAAATGTTATCATCTTGGTAATACAAAGGGTCGGCTTTCAACTTGGTGTCCTAAAACACCTGAAACATTTTTTTTTATCTTCAAATTTTTATAATTGTGCTTTTGCGGACATCTTTACACAATTTCGTACTTCTCCACAAGGACGGCCGCATCCGTGGAGTACTTGACCGGCTGCTCACTATCCAGCGTTAGTACATCCGTAACCTGAAGGGTTAAACGACAAAAACAAAAATAAGACTTAGCAAGTTTTAGTTAAGCTGGTCCCAGAGCTCACAAAAATTCTATTCAATTGAATCAAAACAGCCACAGTGGAACGCTATAACGAACATCGCGGGATCCACAGAAATTGTTCGTAATAGCAGTCGTTTCGTATAGCGATTGTAAGCCGCTGGTGCGCCGATAGCTTAAGGCTGGGTGGCTTGAGGTTTTCACATATCACAGCACCCTCTTTTGACAATTGTTATGGTGAAGTGGCATTTATCACTCCGCAGGCGGAGTTGCGAAACTTGTCCACGATTCATCTTAAACCTACATCAACTGGTGGCTTTTCCCTTCTATTCCTTGGGGAAATAATAGCCACCTGTCACTCTTCAACATAAAGCCTGATGTAAGCAATGGTCGTTTGACGTTGGGGAATTAAAAATGGCCCAAATAGTCCTTGATTTACGCCATAGATTTAGGTTTTTTTGCACTGACATTTTCAAACAAAAATGCTCAGTGTGTTTTGTACACAAAAATCGGGAGCCAAGGGTGATGTTCGGTATAGCGGTGTTCGGTATAACGGCGTTTCACTGTATTCACTGGAAGACTTTACTACACAATGGGGTGATCCTATACAATAGCACTGCCCGGCTCTCTTCACCAGTCCACAACAAGTATAAGTCAAACGTGAAAGCGAGTCAGTCAGCGAGTCAGGACACTAGGCTGGCTCTCTGGGACCAGCAAAAAGAGGAGTCGGGATTCAAGTCCAAGTTTGGAATCAATTTGATTCGATACTGGCTCAGAGTATAACAAGCATGTTGAACACCATTTTAGCATATGGGTTTTTGTCTGTCTCGTTTTTTTACCTGGATATCACAGTATGACTTCCGTGAGATGAACGCGACCGAGACAGGGAAGAAATCGTCGGGGTGTCCCCCCACGCTGAACTCCAGGCTGCCGTTCTTGTTGGTGGCGTCGATCACCGGCAGCGACCACTCCAGCACGCTGCGGCGGTGGTCGTAGCGCGAGTTGCCGTCTATCTCGCCGACAATGGGGGCGCCAGAGCCGGACCTGTGAGCGCGAGAGAATGTCCAAATTTTCATTACGGATTCAGTGCTTCATCGGCACTCAAGAAAGTTGCAGTGCACAAATTGGTCCGAGTGGGCACCGTGGGCACCGCGCAAGGTACACACGATTATATCCTATATCGTCATTTGTCATAACATAATTACATAATGGAATTTTTTCCCGCTAATATCAGTGAATAATGCCTTGTTGCAAAGTATATTGAAATGTCTAAGGCATATAGGATCATTTGCATTTATCCCAACAGAACCTAGCCAATAATTATCAAAAAGCTTACATGGATTATAGATCAAACTGGTACTAAACACCCCTTGAAATTATTCCGTCTGGCTTGCTGTCATTTAGAGGAAATCAAGAACAGGCATGCAACTGAGAACTTGGAAAAAACGAGGAAACTTCAAACCACACAAGACTGTGTACAGTGTTTTTCAATTTGCAATGGCATTCATGAGAAGTCAAAAACGAGGAAATCAGCAGATCCGAGGAAATGTTGCATGCCTGCAAGAAATGTAGGTGATTTCCAACAATCAGTCGATTGACTGATTGTTGATTAGTCCATTGACTGATTGTTGGAAGTAAAGAGTTCTATTAACAAATTCGTGCTTCATGATCAAAAAGTTGTGCATGGTTTTCATAAATTTCTTTTCAACTGAAACATGAACAGCTTAATATGTTTTGAGTGGTGTCATTATTGGAAACGAACTAATGCATGGAAAAGCAAACGATCCTATGTGCCTTTAAAATGGCTTAGCAGATTGCTTACATTAATGGAATAGTGATGACCACATCTTGTAGTTCCATGTCTTCTTGTTGCAATTCGTACTCAATGTTGACGTCACAGCCGTTCTTGTTGTTTTCAGAGGGCCAGCAATTAACTACGAGGGGAAAAAAAGGAGAAAAAGTGTCCATTTTTAATAAATGTGGCATAGTAGGCCTGCGTTGATTGGTCAGTTTCATATATTCGAATTATTCTAATGGTCCAGAATCCTTCCATTTTACCAGCAAATCGTGATCGTCATGGAGCCTGTCGTTGCACCATTTATCACGGTTGATACAAGACACAGATATCTTTGTGTTTTAAGTAAATGAATAGCTATTTTACTTGTGACAGAATCTTTAGTGTTGCCACATGATTCTGAAAAAAATCGGACAAAATTAATTTTTTCAAAATGGCGGGCGGAGGTGATTCAATGAGTGCTTCGTGACCGAAACAAGACATATACAAACAGCAGTCAAAAATGCTGTTATTATCCTCGGCCAAGACGTTTAGATTTTATTAAAACGGGTAGCTATGCTACGTTTTGTAAAAATCGATCGTAAGTTTATTGCACAGCTGGCAACAATGCAAGGTTTAACTTAAGCACTGTTTCGTGAAAACGGCTGTAGGAATAAATCAACCCTTTGATTAATCAAAATTTTAACGAAAAAGAAATCAATCGATCTTGGAAGACAACCATATACTTGCTAGCGCACGGCAAAGTATTTTTGTTTGAAGAATTAGGATCTATATTAGGATCTGAAGATGTTTCAGAAACAAATTACGTCAAATACAACGGGACGCTTTTAGTGATAAAATAGAGAAATCCCTTCTCTGATTTGTTAAGAAAAAAAAAGTCATCAGCCTCTTTCTATAAATTACAATTGGCCAGAGTACAAGTTGGAATTTAAGTTGAAAATCCCCCCCCCCCCAAAAAAAAAATTCAAAAGAAGAAGACGAAAAAGATGAAAAAAAGAGGGAAAAACAAAAGAAACAACAAATTTAAATTTACTTGATAGTGGCATGAGGCTTTCGTCCTGGGTTGTTAGTCTCCATTTCAAGACGCCAACGTCGGTGTTCAGTGGGAAGGGCTTGGCTGGATTCTTCATGCTGATATAGGACTCCGACTGGAAGAGTTTCTTGTCTACGTTTGGATGAGTCTGGAAAAGAGAATACCAAGTGGCATGGTGACCATTGTGTCTAGTTCCCAAAGGAAAATCATAGCGTTTGTCAACACTTCAACAGGCATCAATCTATTTTGTGCATGAGCCTCAATAAAATAAGAAGAAACTAATAATACTACTAATAAAAATGTGGTGCTAATGTAGCGCTTTCCAACAAAGTCTGAAAGCGCTTCGCAATTATTTTGCCCTGTTCAGCGCAATCTGGTCTCTACCCTCACAAGTCCCCATTCAAATTCCAGGGTGGAGAGAGGCAATTGCAGTAAAGTGTCTTGCCTAAGAATGCAAAAACCATGCTTCCTGTCAGGGTTCGGACCAACATACCAGCACGCACGATTTGGACACCGTAACCATTCAAAAATGGCGCTCCGAACTAAGCCCCTTTTTTATCATTATTAATTTTGGAGGGAAAACCACCATAATTCCACTAATGAAAATCAGTACTGAATCCCTAGTGTAAATAAAAAGGAATTTATACATCTTGTAAAAATTAAAATCTTCCACAAATATGGGCATGTCAAGTGACATAAAATTTGTTATGAAAAGTCTGGAATCTTTTCTTGGGAGAATTGAATTGTTACTGGAAATCAATTCTTAAAATTTGTTTTTAGAATCGAATCTATTCAAATCCAACCTGAAAACGCCCAGGCCTCATTTCTATCCCACCTTACTTTCTCAAACACTACAATTAGTCATAATTTTGATCGATAACAACCCTGAAGGGGTAACATATGTTTTTTGCAAAATACGTGCGTAATATCGTTTGTCTTCTACGTGGAAAAGAAACACGTTTGGCTCATAAATATGTACAAAAGTCTAATAAAAATGGCGCGGTCTTCACTTACCAGTAGCTGCGCTCCCTTGTCATCATTGTTTGCGATGCCCACTTTGATTCTTCCCACCTGGTCGTTCTTGTCCGTAATATTCAGTGCAATCAGTCCGTGCACGTCAAGGGTCTGTAAACCTCCTTCCCGGCCGGCGGTCACGGCCATCTTCTCCTCAATGCGCAGGTGCACACTGTGGGAGCAAGGTTACAATCAAAAGTATAAAGGCCTGGTGACAATGTGCACAGGCACAGGATTACGACTTGGTGACCAAAAAATTGAATTATGCATGCTTGTACTATGGCTGTGCATCGGAACTGTGTACTTGAGTAACCGACTGCAGATGTCAGGAACTGGTTCCAGATTATGGAATCGGGTACCAATAACCGACTTGACATCTTACTTAGTAAGTTCTCAGACAATGACAAAGAAAGGTTTCGAAAGTCATTCGTAGAGAATTTTCAAAATGGAAACCAGGCTAAATGAAAAACAAAACAGATTCACGTTCATGAAGCTTGCGAAAATACAACTTATAACTTACGTGCAGGCCTATTGACCAAGCGCCGTTTGCGAGTTAGCCACGCCCCTAAGACAACCCTATGGAGTTTTTGTACACTAAGTTTTGTTTGTCTCAGATTTTGTGTGTTCCGTATCCATTTGAATATCATGTAATTGGACGATATTTCACAAGCTGTGTTGACGCGATTCTACCGCGATGAGTTAATTGAGCTCACTGTATGCACTTGTGTCTTGTTGTATCAATGCACTGATGTGGTAGCATTATTGTGCAGAACTTTATGGACAATCTGTACAGCACCTTCCGAGATTTAAATTTTGGGGCTGGGTTTCTGTAACGGGAACCCGCTTTTTTTTCTTCAATCGGGTACACGATTCCTGCACTACTTGTAAATGCGCACTCCTACCTTGTACGTGCTCAGTACTGTACACACAGCCGTGTTTTACTATACTCTCGAGGACAATGCTTTGTCTTTTCCTTGTACGTGCTCAGTACTGTGTATACATGTACGTACCGTATAATGTGGCATAGTTTGAGTATACATTGTAGGTTTCATACGACGGATTGGGATTTCGCCGTGTGTGTACATGTGACCAGAGCCGGGTAAGTTATGGCAGTGATGCGCGCCCGCTGATGATGCACAGCCTTGGCATCAAGGCTATACAGTTTGTGAAAACAATGTGAAATTCTGGCTTTAAGACTCATTTGGCAGAATCTGGTCACACAGTTTTTTTTCTGTTTTAGTTTGGGGCGAACTTCACGTCAAAGTATCTTTGAGACATACTTATTAGTAAGAAGCAAAACAAGTCAAAGCAAGTTTAGAAAGCTGGTCCCAGAGTGCACACCATTCTACTCAATTGGTTCCGAATGGCTATTCATTGGAAGTCTTTTCATGCATCTGGTCTACACACTGGACCAGATTTACCCCATTTATCAGTGTTATGGTGTGATCCTATACAATAGCACTGCCCGGCTCACAAGTGACAATCAGTGAGTCAGTCAGCGAGTCAGTCAGTCGTGACATAGTAGAAAGAGGACACCCAGGCTGGCTCTCTCGTTGTTCTCCAACTTATTAAAGGTCGGTGCGCCGTCAAAAAGCAAAGGGGGAGGGGGGCGCTATATGCTAGGAGGCACTATTTGCAGATGAACATGCAATTTATGTATGGATAACAGCTTTCAGGCCATTTCTAACACAGTAACACTAACAGTTAAGTAAAATACTGGCTCAGCATCATCTTTTTTTAATACATCAGTGACCAAGGGACTCTGAGGCAGTTTGGCCTTGAGACTTTTGACCTGATGGATTGCTGCAATGGGCAGGCTTGTCAGTTTGACAAGTGTTGCATGTTACTGCTTTTGGCAGAGTTTCTGGCCAAAATATACCCTGGAGGTTAAGGGTAGTCCTACTTGTTTGCCTTTTTTATTATTTTTTTCTTTTTTTTATTAAAGCATGGCGGGCAACTTTTGAAGCTTGGGGGTGCCTCTGAAAGCTTGGCGGGACACTGCTCTCTAAGACCAGAAAAAAACTTTCCAACATCTCCTCGTGGAGTAAACTGCCATACCTTTCTTTCTGGCTGGCCGGCGTGCTGGTCTTGGCGATACTCGCAGACTGTTTGGATTTGGTGGAGGAGGTCATGACGTCTTGCCCCTCGGTGCGTAGCTTGCTGACGAAGCTGTCCACGTCCTTGGTCTTACTGCTCAGCTTCATGGCTTTGCCCGTGCCGCTGGACCTGAACGTCAACACACACACAAAAGTGAATTTTGATCCTGATAAAATACAGGGTGAGTCAAAAAAAGCGAAACCCAAATGTCGGGACCATTGTTTTAGTGAAGTTCTGCATGTAGCACTTTCATAAATCTAGGATATAAAAGCGCAATTCATAAGCTTTCTTTTAGTACAAGAATCATTCAAATCACTTATGTACTTTTAAAGTTACGGAATTGTAAACACAACCACCGTTTTAAAGTTCTGTCTGCGGATCACAAGAAGGTAAGTGTTCTTTCAGCAAAACGAAAACAAATCACATAGGGATGTGTGTGAATTGTTTTCATTTTGCTGAAAGAACGCACACCTTTTTTGTGATCTGTGGACAGAACTTTAAAACGGTGGTTGCGTTTAAAAAGTACATGAGTGATTTGAATGATTCTTGTACTAAAAGAAAGCTTTTGAATTGGGCTTTCATATCCTAGATTTAGAAAGTGCTACATGCAGAACTTCACTAAAACAATAGTCCTGACATTTGGGTTTCGCTTTTTTGACTCGCACTGTATATCATTTTAGTTACTACTTCAATGATCTAAACGAGAAATTATTCATCCAACTTTTTTTGCTGTAGTCAAAATCGGTTTGACGTACTCAGACAAATGGATTTTTGTGTGTAAATATTACAGGTTTTACTTAATATTGAACACTGTTAGGAATAAACTATATTTCAATAAAATACAGTTAATAAGCTCCAAAACGATATCCATGTTTCATTTGTGGCATTTGAATTTTTTTGAAGTTTTTGCATTTAGGTCTGTAATTCCGTGGAATTGCCCATTTGTCATTTTCACTTAAATTGTTATTTGTCACAAAAGTTAACCTCGGCATCGGTCTCAGTTTATTTCCTTTTCACTGTCACCAATGGCACGAGTTCTCAACTGAACGTCATCATGAATCTCATCATCAATACTATTTTCGTCACTGTCACTTACTTTATCGGGGCAGCTGAGGGCCTGGGTTTCTCAGCTGGGAGATCGGACACGACGGGCGTGATGTCGCCGCCGCGCGAGGACGAGCCGAAGCCCCCGCTGAAACCCACGCCTCGCCGGCCGCTCTTCTCCGCTTCCCGTCGGCTGCGCTGGAGTTCCTTGGCACGCCGCTGCATCTCTTGTTTGGCTTCTCTCTCTTGGGTCTACAAACGAACAAGGAAACCGTTGGTCAAGTCCATCACAAGCTATTCAAAGGCATATATTTTGCTTTTCATGCATTTTGTTCGTTTCCAATAATATCCCCACTCAAAATCCAAAGTGGAACGTTCAAAACCTAACCTGATGAAGTTTCAGCTCAGTGGATATTACACTTTTCAAACCATGAAAAACAACCATGCACAACATATTTATCACGAAACACGATTGCGTCTATAGAACTCCTTATTTTCTAAAATCACTCAACTGACTGAACGTTGGAAAGGACCTTCTAAATGCTTACAAGACAGAAGGAACAATTTCACAGGATATTAGTACAAGTTTGATCTTTATTCGTTAATCCTAACCGGCCTGAATCCTCCAAAATCCTTTTTGCAGATTGGAGGAATTTTGCAGGATTGAGGTTACAAAAGTGCTTTGCTGATTTCGGAGGACGCATTGTGCCAAGGTCTTGGGCCGGACCTTGTGTTGTTTATGTTTAGCCTAGCATAAATTTAGTCCTTGATAATACTTGAAATCCTCCGCACTGCTCCAGGATGTCACTGGCCAAGCCTAAACATATTGACAGTCACTGCCACAGGATTTTGCAGGATTCAGGCAGTGGCCACCCCTCCACGGACCATATTCAATTTGCAGGATTGAGGCTAAATATGCTATTTTTCCATGAGGCCAATTGGAGGATTTTGCAGGATTGAGGCTACATCCTAGCAAGAAGGCCTAGGGAGTTAGGGTTAATTACAAGGTACATACCAAGTGTCGTTAGCAACGTACCTGTCTGACGGCTTGGAACACTTTTTCCTCGTGCGAGTCCATCTCGGTGAAAGTGCGGATCTGGGCAAGGTTGACGTTCTCCCGGTAACCCAGCGCCACGATCTCGTCGAAGGCGAAGATGACCTCAAACGAGTGGTCTAGGATCTCCGATTCCTCCATGGCGCGACAGTACTCGGGAATCTGAGGATTGGTCAGAGGAGGAGGGAGGGTGAAAAGATTTTTTTTTACATTTTTGGCTCATGAATGTTATGAAAACTAGGACTTCGTGTATGCATTTATGCAGATTATACTGTCCGAAATGTTGAGATTTCCTGGTTCTTTTCAGAACCTCACAAACTCACAAAAGAGATTTGCTACATTGTGCAACCGTCAACTTAATATATTCTATAAATTTAGGGTCCACATTGTAACATTTTTTCTGTCCCTGTTACCTCTTAATTTTTTTTTTTAATGTGCCATTCAACTAACTCCATAGCATGATTTATTGGGAACCATACCCATCCTGGCCAATTCTAACACCAAATATATGGGAAACTGCACAACACATATTTCTGACTTTGATTCTAGAGGTGTGTCCTAAAAGACGTTTAGGGGTACTGTACTCATCCTGACAGATTCCAACAAAACATGCCGTTGGGGGTTGATGGGTTGAGTTCGGTTAAGAATGATGCAAACTTACGCTTGACCTAGGGGGGATTTCGGACTTTGTCAAGGTCTTGAGCTGGACCTTGTGTTGTTTTTGCTCAGCCATGCATAAATATATCAATATATGCAGGATTGAGGCTATATGCTGTTTTTCTATGAGGCCAATTTGAGGATTTTGCAGGATTGAGGCTACATCCTGGCAAAAAGGCCTAGGGAGTCAGGGTTGAAGACTAAATTGTAATTACCACTCTGGAGAAGAGCCTGAGCGTTTCCAGATCCTCTAGGATGTTGCTGGTCTTAGTGGTGATGAGCAGCATGTATAGCTTCTCCAGGGGCTGGTAGACGTAGCGCACGCTCTCTGTCTCCACGAAGGTGTGCTGCTTGCCCGTGTTCATGAGTTTAGGGAAGGCCGCTAGGAGGCCCTCGATGCGCGCCCGGGTCATCTCCACGAACTGACGGGAGAGGAGGGGCTTACCGCTCTTGGTGCAGACGGCTGCCGCGAGGAGCACCTGGGGGGAAAAGAGAACGGAAAAACTTGTAGGTTTTCAAAAAAGATATGAATTTGACATCTCTCAGCACACTACGGTCATCTCTTTGTATCTTCATGCGAAAAAAAAGGGGACAATTTTAGCCTGGGCATGAACATGTATCACATGTAGAAATCAGCCTGTACGATATGGATTATGTCAGCCGCGTTTTTCGCAAAAAAAAAAACCCTGTATCTGTGGTTGTAAAGGCACGAAAGGGACACTGTAGTAATAAATAGGTATGATACTATTTGCCTTCAAGCAATGACTACAGCGTCTGCAATGAAACACAGAACAACAACAACAGGTTTAAAGTCACAGTTCTCTAAAAAATATATTGGGCAATTGTTTTTTCAGTACTCAAAACATTGATCTGAAACTGTACATTTTCGTTGGCTCACAGACATCAGAATATCATGAACATTTCTGAAGTGGAGCTCACTTGTCTAATTTGGCTTGTTACCGACATGCAGTTGGATGCACAATCTCTTCTGCCTGTATTTTCATCACAATTTCTATTTTGACGTTGTGTACATTTACGAAATGGCCGATCGATGTGGATTTCACACGAAGTTTATGAGAGATTCCCGATTGAAAAAAATTCCACGCGGTGCATTTTTCATCCATCAGAATGTACGGTAACAGGAAAAAAAGGAGTTGGTACTTTCGCCCGAGTCAAGAAAAGTCCATGAAGTCGGGCCCAAGTGCTATGATCAGATTGTCCGTGGATAAGTACACAGAGTTATAATACATGTATATACGCACCGTGAATGGACCTTGGGCATTGCGTCGCATTTTTAGCGATATATCTTCAGGACTTGTCCGATTTCATTGATTTTTAGGTGGTAGGCCTAGGGCCAATGATGGGTAAATTTTATTTTTGCAACCTGTGACTGTAATTTTTAAAGTTACGATTGTATAACTTTGGCCGTCATGTCGAGGTCTGTTGTTTTTGTACACAGGGTAAAGTCAAGTGACAAAAGAGCCCAGTGTTAAGTCTTAAGCATGTTAAGTAAAGATGTTAATTTTAAGGCAGTGGATATTTTGTCGGAGACGGCAAACCTTTAGTAAACGTTAGTTTGCCGGATATGCACTGAACATGCGCAGTTACTGTTTTTTTGTACTTAAACATTTTCCGGTGACAAATTTCAGTCTGGCTCCATGCCAGTATTATCGTTGTAAACTCGTATTCACAAGATGGGATTCAGACCATTTTATAATTTCGGACTTTATTTCCCTTTTCAAAAAAATCCTCCAGAGCCACAAATCTGAAAAAGAAAATGTAATACTCTGCAATAAAATATTTGACTTTGAGACATGTTAAAATAATTAAAGAAGAATATTCTTATTTATTTGGGGATGGGAAAAAAACCTTAAAAATGTGGCGGGGATAGGGATCGAACCCGAGTCATCCCGCTCACTAAAGCCTTTGCTTAACCACTACACCAAACGTGCTTCACAACTTTTGGTGGGAATTTAATACATCTTATAATTCAGCCCTATCTTAAAGAGTACAGCGCCCTCTGTTGATATGGATTGCCGCCGGCAAACCTTTAGTAAACGTTAGTTTGCCGTCATTACCTTCGGCAAAATATCCACTATCTAATTTTAAAGGGGTATTTTTTTTGTCACGATTTTGCACACTTTTCAAAAGTGGAAGAGGCACACAGACCATCGTGTGCACTCAGCTCACGCTCACCCCTTACTCCTCCTCCTCCCCCCTCTTGGGGCGGGGCTAACATTAAACAAAATCTGTTCAATCTCAGCACAACAAACAATTGCATAAACAACAAAAAGAGAAGACAAATAAATTTTCAAAACTGTGCAAACCGGATAATCATGTTAGTCTATGTATTCTAAAATTAAACGTATAAAACTAGGAGTGTGAAGCATTCAAAAAGTTAGGCCTCAAAGTGTTGTAACTTCGTAAGTTCGTTCTGTCGGAAATAGACGGATAACAATCGGTTCAATATCAATAACCACAGTGACAGGTGGTGTGTGCGCGCGTGTAACATTAATGATCAACACCATATTTCCAAACAAAACAATCGATTCTGGCGTAAAGCCTTCATGCGGTTGCAATTCTAATCAACAAATGAACGAAAACAAAACCCACTTTTCATACCATTTTGGAAAATGTGTTGAAAAAAGCTGTTTATGAAGGTTATTTTGGGTTGAAAACAAGTGAACAAGACTGCAGCGCTGGCTTTGGCCACGTATCTCGTACGAGATTTCTACAATTGGACAACTGAGGGCGGGCTACTCTAAAATTGTGGGCAATCAGCCTTGTTCTCAGGGTTGTAATAGCAAAATAAAAAATCTAACCCCGAACCTTACAAAAAGAGTACACTTTTTCCGAAGCGAGATCACTGGTGCGGTATACGAGGTTGTTACGACTCGCGTTCGAGAACGCACGTGAAACCGGTGTGTGTGCTTTGCTTACACTTTTTGGTCAATTTTATTTTAAAAGTAACAGTTGTCATAATTTTAGAAGGTGCATTGGATGTTCGACAATGGCAGACGAAATAGAAGGCGAAGTACCAAATGTGATTCGTGTGGGCTCTCGAAAAAGCGAGGTATTTAGTAAAAAAAAAAAGGGCAATTGTACTTGGCATTGTAATTGAAATAGCCTGCATTTTATGATTCAAAACGACAGAGGGCGCTTGGTTATTGAAGTTTACGTACTTAAATTTGATGCCCCTCCCCCCCCCCCCATGTGTGCACAATATGGGGGCAGTGAACCAGTTGAATTTTATATTATTTGTAATCCTAAAAAAGTAGATTTTGTTTTTAAATTGCTATTTTCTTGTACATGCATGTTGTAGAAGAAGGCCAAAACATGCTAAATTATTATTTTTTATTATTTATTAAGAATAAGACGTCAACCGCAAAATAGAACCAGGCCTTACAGTCACTGACACTGTTAGAAAGCTAACGTTACAATTTTGCCATGTTTGCGGGAAGAACATTAAGAAAATGTTGATTGTTGAATAGGCCTACAATTTTTTTTTTTAAATTTAAAAAGTAGGTGGCCGGGACGAAAAAGAAGCAGGCTGGGACAAGAAACTGGTTTATTTTTTTACTTGGCCAAAAATAAATTAGGCCTAACGTCACTTCACAAATTACAAATTATTTGCGGCCTAGCTGACAATAATTTTGTTCAAACAAGGTAGAATGGTCCCCCACCCACCCACCCATTAAGAATCTGTAATGTTGGGCCCGGGACCCAGTCCACTTGTAAAACAAAACTTATTTTTTAATTACAACAAATTAAATCTATTGAAGAGCGTGGACATAACTTCTTTACAAGTCCCCGACTTCCCCATTGTTTTGTTTTTCAATGTTTTGTAGAACAATGTTAAATTTTCAATTTTTTTTTTCAGCTGGCTCTCATTCAAACCAACACGGTGATAGAAAGGCTGCAGGAACTGTCCCCGGATCAAAAATTTGAAGTCGGTAAGTGATCATGGGTAACAATTAGGTCAGTACTGTTCTTGGGCAAGACACTTTATTGCAATTGCCTCTCTCCACCTAAGACTATGGATGGAGACCTGTGAGTATAGAAACCTGACTGCGCTGATCTCAAAGCTGCCTTGCATCACAAGAAGGCTTTGGAAATTTTCAGGAAAGGTTTAGGAAATGTTCACAGTCAACAAAAATTTGCTTCGAGGTCTGATCCGAACTCTTGTGATGACTTGTCATGACTTGTGATGAATTGTAATGGGCTTGTGATGGACTAGTGATAGACTTGTGATGGACTTGTTATGACTTGTGATGAATTGTAATTGACCTCTGATGAACTTGTGGTGACTTGTGATGACCTGTTATGAGTTGTGATGAGTTGTGATTTACTTTTGACAATCTTGTGATGGCTTGTGATGACTTGTGATGAATTGTAATGGACTTGTGAAAGACTTGTGATGGACTGGTGATAGACTTGTGATGAATTGTGATGGACTTGTGATGAACTAGTGATGAACTAGTGATAGACTTGTGATGAACTTGTTATGACTTGTGATGACTTGTGATGAATTGTAATGGACTTGTGATGGACTTGTGATTGACTTGTGATGACTTGTGATGACTTGTGATGGACTTGTGATGGACTTGTGATGAGTTGTGATTTATTTTTGACAATCTTTTGATGGACTTGTGCCAGACTTGTCATGACTTGTGATGGCTTGTGATAGACTTGCAATGACTTGTGATGGACTTGTGATGACCTGTGATGACTTGTGATTGCTTGAGATGCATCTGTGATCCATCAAAAGGATCCTGATCACAACACTGTTTGTTTTCTCTCTGCAGTCACCATGGAAACGATCGGAGACACAATCCAAGACAAGCCGCTTTCCAGCATCGGCATCTCCAGCCTGTTCACCAAGGAACTGGAGAGGGCGCTAGCCGATGACAAAATCGACATGATCGTCCATTCCCTGAAGGACCTGCCCTCCGTGTTGCCAGACGGTATGGTGATAGCGACAGTCTGCAAGTACGTATCTGTATAAAGTTTTCAAATTAAAGCTATAGTCCATCATTTGCAGCCATCCGAAAAAGTAACTGGCGTATTATTGTTGAAAAACATACTTGGTTGAAAGATAGTAAGTGGACTAAACTCCCTGTGAAATTCATCTTTCTGGCAAGCTATCATTTTGAAGTAATCAACGAAAGAAGGCCTTTCCAACGGTGCGTCTTAAGACGCACCGTAGGAAAATTTAAATAAGTAGTTCGTTTTGTTATTCGGCGCAGCGCGCGCAAGCATTGGCACGACGCACAGGCGCACGCGGTTGCTATAATTCGTCGGATCAGTGAGCGACGTCGCGTATAGCTGCAATTCAAAACAATTCAAAACATGATTCAGCAACTTTTGATTTGAAATTGAGATCCTAGAATGCTGTTTTTCTCGGAATACATAACAGCTGAAGCTGAGCTGAAACTTCATTAGGTTGGTTGTTCAGTATCCTTCATTAGATTTTGACCACTTTTGTTGCTTCAAACGAACAAAATGCACAAATTACAAATGATGGACTATATCTTTAACACAAATATTCATTCTTGTGTAAACCCACTTTTGCCCATAGAGTTAGCACCCACACTTCAAATACCTTTGAGGTAATCTTCTGTGGAGTATTGAAAACACTTCAAATCACTGCACAATTCTTTTGCGTGGTTAAGCTCAGGGCAAGCAGGCAGATTCAGTCATGCTTCACTGCTCTCCACAGTGCTGTTTTCTTTGTGTGCAGTGATCGACTCTGTGAGATTACTTCGCCTGAAACTGACCTGCAGGGTTTTAGTGTAACATATTGCTCTAAATAAATTAACCTTCTACTAGGAAGGATAATGGAACACATATTTAAGTTAGTGCACGCGTCAACCTATTTCAAAACTGCTCAAGATTGAGCCTAAAATTATGGTGATTTTTAATTTTTGTTCTGCGAATTTGCAGACGAGATGATCCCCACGATGCATTGGTGCTGAGCAAAAAGCATGCTGGGAGAACTCTGGAGACGCTCCCACCGGGAAGGTAAGTTAACCCTTACCCCCTAGGCCCTCTTGGTTTGGAACCATCCGCAATCCTGCAAAATCCTCCAATTGCCACCATGTAAAAATTGGTTTCAGCCTCAGTCCTCCAAAATCATCCGTTATTTCTTGAATTTGTTCAGTGGAAGGGTGACCATTGCCTCAATCATTGTCATAGTCATTGTCATCGTAGCTGTCGCCATCACTGTCATTTTTATCTTCATTGCCATTGTCATCATCGTCATTGTTAATGTTAATGTCATCAGTGTCACCATCATTGTCATGGTGATTGTCAGTGTCATTGCCAGTGTCATTGCCAGTGTCAGTGTCATCGTCATTTTCACTGTCATCCTCGCTGCCTTTGCCGTTGTTACTGTAATTGTTAATGTTATTGTCATCGTCATTGTCACCATCAGTGTCACTGTCATTGTCATCTTCATTGTCACTGTCATTGTCATTACAATGATATCTTTTAGTGTCAAAATCAACAACATAAACATCGTAGTCGTTGTTGGAATGTCATGGCCAATGTCATTGCCATCAATGTCATTGTCAATGTGCTCATTGTGACAGTTGTTTTCAAGTCATTGCTTTATTTCTTTTGTCTCCTATAAAAATGAACTGGTTTTATCCCTCATTTTTTTCCTTTTGACAGTGTAGTTGGCACAAGTTCTGTGCGCCGTGTAGCTCAACTCAAAAGGAAGTTTCCACATCTGGAGTTTAAGGACGTTGTATCCTTTACAAGAGTCCTAGATAGTGTGACAACCCGCTAGTGGAATGTTTCAGTCAGTTAAGTACCTGTCCAGGTATCTGTTCATGCCAGTTAATCATCCTTTTGTTTGATTATCCACAGACAATTAAAACATTCAATCCTGTTCCCCTGACTATTTGTGGTAGGCTAGTCACAAATAGTCAGATCATATTTCTTGTAGGCACTGTGATGGTCAAATTCCATCAACAGACAAAAGCAGGTGACCGGTAGGCGCACAGCTGGCTTAAAGCTATAGTCCATCATTTGCAACTATCCAAAAAGTAACTGACGTAATTCTTGTTGACAAACATACTTGGTTGAAAGATAGTAAGGGGGACTAAACTCCCTGTGAAATTATTCTCTCTGGCAAGCTGTCATTTTGAAGTAATCAACGAAAGAAGGCCTTTCCTCCAACGGTGCCTCTTAAGACGCACCGTAGGAAAATGTAAATTAGTAGTTCGTTTTGTTATTCGGCGAAGCGTGCGCAAGCATTGGCACGAAGCACACGCGTGCGCGGTTGCTATGATTCGTCGGATCAGTGCGCGACATCGCGTAGCTACAATCGGCTCAGTGAGAATGTGTCTCGGACGCTGAATTCAGGCCCAATTCAAAACATGATTCAGCAACTTTTGATTTGAAATCGAGATCCTAGAATGCTGTTTATCTCAAAATATACAGCTTCATCAACTTCATCAGGTTAGTTGTTCAGCATCCTTCTTTAGATTTTGAGAACTTTTGTTGCTTCAAACGAACAAAATGCACAAATTACAGATGATGGACTATACCTTTAACAATCTCCTACACCATATCGTCGTGTCCGTGCAACAAGGTCGTATCTCCTAAAATGGGCCGTTTCAGAATGTTAAAATGTCGTATCTCACTTAAAACAACCCGGATGTACACACAAAGTCAATGAACGTCAAGATACGACCTTTTGCACAGAGCGTATTCGCGCGAGATACGACTTTGTTGTAGAATTGAGTTACGACCTTGTTGCTTGTATGTTGGCTTATAGTGTATCCCACATGCAGAACTTTTTATGGGTGATTAGGAAGTGCTGTGTTCTGGAGATGTCTACATTAAATTTGAGTCCTGATTTCATAAATGACCTTAACTCGTCTCAGCGCGGTAATCTGAACACAAGGTTGCGTAAACTAGACGAAGGCGATAACTACACGTGCTTGATCTTAGCGGCAGCTGGATTGCACAGAATGGCATGGGAACACAGAATAAGTCAGGTGAGATACCCAACTCCCTCCCCTCTTCTGAACATCCTCCACGTCACAAACATCCTCCGAACTCCCCCCTACCCCCTCCCCTTACCAGCCCAAACATCCGCCCCCCTCCTGAAATTCCCTCTCCCACCCCCCCTACCTGCCCCCTCCCCCAGCACCCCCCCCCCCCCCCCCCCCCTTGAACGTATCTGAGTGTCAACGAAATCTGTGCGGTTAACTTGTTACGGTTTCAGATCCTGCCTGTTTTTGGTCATGTTTATTTTTAGCCATGAAGCGGCTACCTGACCTAAGATTTGTCCATTTTTTGGGGTCTTGGATTGGAACCAGACTAGGAGAAAAACAAAAACAAATGAAAACTATAGGAAAGTTTTACAGATTCTGATTTAAAGAACAAACACTCCTCCACTTTTGGCACGCAGTCCTGATTTGGGCTCAGACCAGTCATTTCCAAGTATTTCATGTTTTTATCCATGGTATAATTTTTAGGTTCTTCATCCCGATGTCTGCATGTACTCCCCGTGCCAAGGCGCCATGGCCACCGAGTGTAGGTCCGACAACCCACGACTGATGCGGTTTCTGTCCACGCTACATGACCCAGTGACGCTACTGCAGTGCGTCTGCGAGCGGGCCTTGCTGCGGACGCTACAAGGGGGCTGCAGTGCACCGGTGGCAGCAGACTCGCAAGTCGCTGACGGAAAGGTACACCATAATCGAATAAAATAGAATCATACGGTACTTTTAGAAAGTAAAAAGGGATCACGCCCAAAGTCACGATGCTAGCAACATAAGCAATGCTATATAAGCTTTGAATGCAGGGTGAGATAAAGTAGAAAGTAATCTCTTCTTGGAAGAAGTGTGGTTCTGAAAAGAACCGGTTGGTTGAGTGTAGAACTCGACGTTTCGGACAGTGTGCTCTGCCCGTCCTCAGGAGGGTGAATGATGGGCTGTGGATGAGGTTGTGCGTGTTCAGTGGGGTGTGACTGCTGGATGCTTGTGCCCTGGGGAATGCCTCAGCACTGCTGCAAACCTGGGAAATAGTGAACAGGAATCACTCAAAGAGGATACAGCTTTTTTAAAATAAACCACAAAGGGAAACTGACTAGGTGCATTATGATAAGTTTTAAAAGTTGAACAAAGGAATTGACTGGGGTGGGGTTTGAACCTGTGACCTCTGGATTACCATTCCGGTGCTCTACCAACTGAGCTCCAGATCCAGCCCTATATCGGGGGTTCCCCGATTTGTCAATGAATCATAGCCTTCCACCTCTTGTGACTCGCGTTCGAATCCAACCCAGGCTTGTCTTCTCTTTCATGATCCCCGAAAGATTTGCACAGTTGTTCTTGCCTCGCTGAGTTAGATTCCTGGCGTGGTCCACAAGTGGATTGGGTTTTTTTCAGTCCCTGCTTGATGCCGTGTGGTTTCCCCAAAATATGCTTCTCGGGTTTTCCCGCATCTATAACTGTAATTTCTTGATAGTCTTCTCTGTATGAGTTTCTTCAGGCTTACGAGTAACAGTGCCTAGGAGTGCTTATGAGGAATCCTTGGTTTCATTACCAGAAATTAATAATAATAATAATAATAATATCCGCTGGCCTTGCATTGAACATGGCCAGACAGAAACCCCAATGTTTCTTGCACTGATCGAGATATAGACTCCGTGCACTAGTACCCCCTCAACGGTTCCTAGAGAGAGTTGGGGGAGACCACTGGAAGGGACATTCAAACGCATCGCTGATGGCGCCCGACTCTCACGCGAAGATTCCACGGGTTTGTGCACATTCAGTATAAAACTGACTAGTAGTGCGCACGAAAAGCATCATAAGGGCACGAACCAGTACGCGCATGCAGCGTGTCCCTCCCACTGGAGCTCTCGAAAGGGGTCACAAAGCGCCCTCTATTGTTCTTGCACGGAGTCCATTGGTTTACAATTGTCTGTGAACATTCCTAGGCTTCTGTGAAATATCCACTGTATTTTTTTGTTCTTTGCAGATAAGATTAAGAGCAGCAGCATTTAGCCTCGACGGTTCGGAGTGTGTAGAAGAGACGCAATCGGTTGCCTTGCCTCCGAACTCACTAGAGAAAGTGGTACGCATCAGGCTGTTTTATAGCATAGCAAAAGGGAGGGGGGTAGGGTGGGGATGCTGCTTAACACTCCCCTGTGTATAATGAAAGTTTGGGACCATCCAGTTCTACTGACATACCTAAATTTACGCTTTCTGCCAAAAGAAAAAAAACAGAAAAAAATCTCCATGATCATGCAGTTTCCAAAAAAAGGGCAAATGGTCATGTTATATTCTGCCATTTCTCCCCCCCCCCCCAAAAAAAGATCAAATTGGCTGTAAGGTTTATCAGAACTGTAACATGTTTAAAAAACAGTAACCAAACGGGAATGATTCATACCAGTTTGATGCAGCAGCTTCAAATCAACGCACTGTAGCCAAAAGTTCATGGCTCTGCTTACCACAGAATTCCGTGCTTACGATCACCATCCCGTGCTATCCTTAGTTTCAGGATGTACGCATGTGCAAAAGCCAAAATACCTTGCTAACCTGTGAAATACGCTCACTGTAAGCATGGAGTTTTCTGCTACGGTAAGCAGGGATTGTCGCTGACGGTAAGCAGAGCCGTGAAATTGGGCCCATGTTTCTACCCTCACAGGTACCATTTATACCTGCGAGTGGAGATGCAATTGTCGTAAAATATCTTGCCCAAGAACACATTCTCTGTGCTTTGTGTCTGCAAATTTCTTCCAAGTTTTACTTTCCAAGATGCAAAGCCTGATAATGGAATTCACATTTTACGGTAATCCAATGGTCTCCTTTTGTGCCCTAATTTATTTTTAAAAAATTAAAAATAATTGTATTTTTTCATCAGGAGCCCTCGGACCGCACCGATCCCTTCCGACTCTACTCCTTCACCGTTGCCCCCAACCTATCCCATGATGCCTTGCAGGCTGCCGAGCAACTCGGGTCCACTGTTGCCACGGCGATGCTCAAAAATGGCGCCGACAAGATCCTGGAAGCGGCCAAGCAAGAAATTGAGGCGAGACGGAACAAGCAGGACTGATGCGTTTTTAGCATGGTTATTAACCTATCTGTGTTTGTATTCCAAGCTTGAGCGTTATCCAAACTGATATTGGCTCCGTGCGCAAACAAGCGAGGGCGCTTTTTTACCACTTTTGAGAGCTCAGGGGAGGGGACACACTGCGTGCACGTACTGGTTCACTTGCGTATGGCACAAGGTGAAGTACGCACGGCTTATTTTATTCACAATGTGCACAAAGCCACTAGCGTTTTTTTGCGTGAGCGTCAGCAACGCGTAAGAATGTCCCTCCCAGTGGTCCCCTAACTCTCCCTTTCTTACCGTTGAGGGGGTACTTGTGCACGGAGCCCATAGCATAATGTGTTACGCACAATTAGTAAAATGAGAATTTCAAAGTGCTTAGTCACGTGCGTGCACTCAGTGTTGGCGACTTAGGCCAAGTTCGCGCAAGGACTATAGTTGACCAATGGTTAACTAACGTTTGCCCGAACTCTGTCTGGTCGATGGTGGTTGACTTCGCTAGTCGACTATTTGGAACCAGCCTACTGGGGTTGGTTGCTTCGCTGGTAACCAATAGCCGCGCGCATTCATAACGCTAGCAGAGAGCCAGGATCCAGAAGTTTTGCGATGACATTTTGACCAGCGTTTGACTAGAGACGTTCGCATGTTGCTATCAGTGCGCAGGCGTAAGGTACGTCACAAATCAACCACTAGTCGACTAATGGTCCTTGCCCGAACTTGGCCTTTCTTGGACCCAACGAATGAGGATTAAAAATACTACTCCATGTACAAGTTTCACTACTGCATTTTGCAAGACATTCCATAATATTCATGAAGCCAAGAATGAAGAATCCAATGATACAAAATGAAATCCAGAATTTATTTTCTCAAAAAACAATGTTATTATTGGAATAATACAATTCAAATGATACACATTTTTTCATTTTCAATTTTAAGGTTTTTATGTGGGCAATATGACACTTGTTGCCTTGGCAGGACAATCTCATTTGTGCAAAATAGTCTAATAATGTTTTACATTCAAAGAAAGAAAATTTAGAAGATTAAAATAAATATTTAACACAAGTACACTCTTTTGTTTTTATAATGTTCTCTAAATCTACACATGGAAAGAGATTAATTACAAAGTAAAATGTACAGGTATTATGTTTATTTAAGCATGCATAAAACTACATGTAGGCTTATTATAAAAAAAAAGATGTATTTTTACTACTGAGTACTGTAGGTCCTCACAAATTGAAATTTAAGAATTCAGGTTTGTACATGTAATTCATATAACTATTAACCGATCAGCAGTGTGACCGTTTTAGCCAAATTTCGGCTAACTTTGACATAATTCTTGTTAAAAAACGAGTTTGACAGAAAATTTGACAGAATGGATTTTTTTGGCAGATTTCTGGCAGAATTCTGCAAAAATGGTTATTTGACAGAAAAACAGCAAATTTGAACAAAAAAGTGGTTATTTGTTTAAAAAAAGCTTCAATCCTTTCAAACAAACCCTTCCGTAATGGGACAGGTTGGCTGGTCTAGATGCTGAGGTTCACTGGGAAACGGACTTTGTTGTGGCCGGATCCGCGTTTTGCCCGAAATTTTCCAATAATTTCACAACATCTTTATGTGACTAGATTGTTCTTATGTAATTTGAATCTTAATTAAGACAATACTACCAATCTGCAGGTGATTTTAAGTGTTTATTAGTGTATTTCGAGTAATTCTGGGGGAATTTGGCAGATTTTTGATAAATCTGACAGATTTTTGATGCACATTTAGCAGAATTTGGCTCTGACCTTACGGTCACCCTGCCGATCAGTTACTCTGGGGCGCATGGCCTAGCGGTTAGGGTTAGACTCGCATGCTAAAACAGTGTGCTAATGTCATGCCACTTTCGTGGAAATATGCGCCATCTTGTTCAAGGGGCAAAACGAACACACGTTGCTGAGCAAGCTCACGTCTAGCAACGCCTGTTCTTTTTGCCCCGTGAACAAAGATGGCGCACCGTGAAAGTGCTTATTGAGTTGATAGTCTTTGTCCAAGACTGTATTTAGATTTTGCTCCCTTACTGCAGCCGTTACTGATGACCAGCGAGCGCGATAAAACCACCGTGGTGGTTGTGGGCACTATCAACATCAGTCTTGGATGAATGCTAATTCTTTTTACATAATTTCCCATTCCCATTCGCAGTGTAAACTTTCTATTGCAATGTACTGTGCATGTATGTACATGTATTGGCTCTGGACAGAATGTATTTACTAGCAACATAACAAATCAAAAATCTACGTCTCAAAAAAAGTTCTAGTTCTAATTAAAATAAGATACAGTATACATTTTATCATACATTTTACATGTTGGTGAATAATTGAATTATGGATAAATCAGGGCATTTAAAAAAAAAATTATACACTGAATACAAGGTAATAAAAAATAATGTGAAAGACATGTGACTGCCTATGTGTGTGTTTTAAAGGGAAAATACAACATTTGCAAACATCAAAAAATAAAACTACCAAGTTTTTACGAAATACCTTACTAGGATGTTGGTTAATGACAGTCTAAGCATTCTGTAAAATATGGGACCTGGTGTGAAGTCATTTTCAAGAAAATGGTATTTTTGTATACATTTCCAACGGTGGTCGGCCGACCATCGTTGGAAAAACCTAACAATTTTTCAACTACTGCTCCATATTTACCATTTGTTTCAGTCCAAATTGGGTTTGCTATTGGTTATATGTTCGTGAATGGGTGCAGGCCAGCTAGACTGGTTCCCTTACATGTACCTTACAATTTTCCGGCATCTACATGTATAAATTGATCCATTTCATATTTAGTGGAGTCGGGGAACCAGACTACTTGAACATTTTTGGTTTTCTTGGTTTTTCCAGCATTTTCGGACACAAAACCTCAAGTATGTCAGTGTAACAATATTTTGATCTATTATACTAACCCCTCAACTAGTTCATTTCTGAAAATTACAGCGACAGCCAATGATGTACATTCCTTTAGCCATAAACAGAGCTTATAGCAGAAAGACAGCATTTAAAAAAATCAGATTCCAATCACAAAACACACAAAACTGAAGAGGAAATTAGGCACTGCACATATTAGTTTTGGCAGTGCAGTTTCCAACAAGAAGAAACATTGTCCAGTACTGCTGATTTTAAGTGAAACAACTATCAAAATAAAATGAAATATTTGAAAGATTTTTGAAGTGAAACCGTGTCCAAAGAAAGCACATCGCATTTATAAGCAGGGGTGTGAAATCTCAGCTTTAAAGCTGATTTCAGCTTTTTTTGTTTTGGATTTCAGCTTTTTTCCCTCACTGGCTGTGTACAAAAGTATAGGAGATTTCCAATGTTCAGCTTTTTTACACCTTTTTCAGCTGTTTTTATCACTATTATCAGTGGTCACTCACACCCCTGATAAGGCATTAATAAATGCTTCAAATAGTTCATCCATTGCTATTGGTCAAGAACCTGTCACATGGGTTTAAGACCAGTCTTAAAACAGTGTGCGAGACGCTGCACTCCGCCCCACATGCACGCAGTATGCATACCGTGTGCACCGGCTACAACCAGGTACCGGTATTTGAGAACCACTGCTTAAAGGGAAAATACAACATTTGCAAACATCAAAAAATAAAACTACCAAATCATTTTGAAATACCTTGCTGGACTGTTAGTGAATGACAGTGTAAAGCATCCTGTAAAATCATGGCACCTGGTATACTGTCATTTTCAAGAAAAGTGGTATTTTTGTATCAATTTCCAACGCTGGTCGGCCGACCAGCGTTGGAAAAAACTGGCTTTTTTTCAAATACTGGCCCCAATTGACCATCGCACTTGTTTGCAATCGATTACACACCTATGAACGGGTACAAGCCAGCTAGACTGGTTCCCTGACCTTACAATTCCCCAATGTATGTAAACTGCTCTGTTTCTTCTTATATGGAGTCGGGGAACCAAACTACAGGAAAATGATTGTTTTTCTTGGTTTTTATAGCATTTTCGAACCCAAAACCTCAAAAAAGTCAGTGTAACTATATTTGCTATATATTTCCAACCCCCAAATTCCATCCATTTCTGAAAATTACAGCAAAAGCAAATGATGTATATTCCCTTTAACAGAGATGTTGGCACATGATGCGCAATGCACATCACAGAAGTTGCCTGAACATGGAGTAAAATCGTTGGAAGTTGGTCAACTTTTCGACTTTCTTGGGGATAATTCTGCTCGGCCATTATCGGCAGCCAGGCCCCTAACCAGTTTTAACCACACATTTATACCGGTTCCACCGCACTATTGTCCCCTTATTACTACATGTAGAACACAAGGCTCTAGTAATTCTTTTCAATAATATTATAGTGGAACACCTTTATAACAAGGTCCTTGGCACTTTACATGGAAAGATTCCCATATCTGGCCGTCACTTGTCACCCTGTGCACAAACCCTATAAGACTGGTTTGAACATTTCTAAGTGGTTTCTCAGTAAATACTTCAATATTTTCCCTGCAAAATTTGACTTTTAAGGACATTATTATCACTTTCTGATAGCGGTCACTGAAGGGAAACATTAGTGGTGGTCAGATATGGGAATCTTTCTCTTTACAAATTACCTTGTTATAACAGGTACATTGTGTAACATGCCATCAGCCTGGCATTTGGTCAGTATCAAATCAGGGCACAAATGGCTATAGTGCGCATGCGTAAGGTATACTGCCCCTAGAGTGGTAACAAGCATTTTGATGGACATTTTGAAAAAAAAGGGTGATAACACCCAAAAAGCTGCCACCGCTGCAATGCTATCACATATTTTCCAACTCTGGAGGTGTATACCTTGCCAAAAATCGCTTTGACGATTATTCCCCTCATTTGATACCAGTGGCCAACATTTTGGACCGAGGCTGATGGCCTATTATCAGTAATGGAAAACAAAGAAAAGCAAAGACTTGGGACCTAAAATTGTCCTTGTTATAAGCAGGATGTTGTATTAAAGCCCGAGTCCATCATTTGCAGCTATCCAAAAAAGTAACTGGCGTAATTATTGTTGAAAAACATACTGGTTGAAAGATAGTAAGGGGACTAAACTCCCTGTGAAATTATCCTTTCTGGCAAGCTCTCATTTTGAGGAAATCAACGAAAGAAGGCATTTCCAACGGTGCTTCTTAAGAAGCACCGTAGGAAAATTTAAATTAGATGTTCGTTTTGTTATTCGGCACAGTGCGCACAAGCATTGGAACGACGCACAGGCGCGCGCGGTTGATATAATTCGTCGGATCAGTGCGCGACATCGCGTAAAGCTGCAATTCAAAACAATTCGAAACATGATTTAGCAACTTTTGATTTGAAATTGAGATCCTAGAATGCTGTTTTTCTCGGAATATGAAGCTGAAGCTGAGCTGAAACTTCATCAGGTTAGTTGTTCAGTATCCTTCATTAGATTTTGAACACTTTTGTTGCTTCATACGAACAAAATGCACTAATTACAAATGATGGACTATAGCTTTAACATTGCTCTCATTATCAGGCTTCGACTGAATGACATGTACATTTTCACCAATTCGAAGCACTGATGCTGGACCTAAATTTTTGTTTATTATATACAGTACATGGAATCACATTACATATGCTTACCAAACAAAACAGCACTGGAATGGTAGTTTACTTGACATTATAAAGTGTAGATATTTGGGATAGAGTCTGTCTGTTGGACCGTCCGTCATAGTCAGTCAGTCCATGAATGATTGACAGCTCCACGGGGAGTCAGTCAGTTAGTCAGTCGATTAGTCAGGTGCACAGGGGAAACTAGGCTAGCTCTCTGGGACCAGCAAACATGACCTTGTTTCATAATACCTCACAGGCAGAGTTGTAATGACTCGAGTCCATGACTCGACTCGAGTCCGACTCGAGTCAGGCATGCAACTGGGAAATCACAAAAAAAGAGGAAATTCAAATTTTTCCCCCAGACTTTGTACAGTGTTTTTCTATTTTCAATGGCACACATGGGAAGTAAAAAAAAGAGGAAATCAGCTGATCCGAGGAAAAGTTGCATGTCTGGAGTCACAATTTTTGGTGACTCGACTCGACTCGAGTCCCCAAGGGTAAATGACTCGACTCGACTCGAGTCACTGCAAGCAAATGACTCGACTCGACTCCAGTCCCTCATCAGAAGACTCGACTCGACTCGAGCGAAGGCTAATAAGACTCGAGTCCCAAAAATAAAAGCACAACTTTGCGAAAAGTATTTGCAATGACTTGCGGTGCAAAATTTATGCTCACTTCGCTTTGCGAATTAGTCATGTATAAATTTACAACGTGTCACAGACTCCCACCTCATGGTTCTAGAACGCACAAAATACTATCCAGGAACCAGATTTTCTAATTCACTATTTCATCATTGGCTTTAGGCGATTTCTTATAAAGCTCCTGGATTCGAATGCTGGCTAAACTTATGGCCTCCTTTTATACATTTTGGTATATAATGTTCAAATATTCGTGACTCGAATTGACTCGAGCTAAATATTTGACTCGACTTGACTCGACTTGACCTTTGGACCTAATGACTCGACTCGACTCGAGTCACTTCTTTAAAATGACTCGACTCGACTCGAGTCACAAAAATCAGTGACTCGTTACAACTCTGCTCACAGGACAATACAAATCATTTGGACAGTATTCGTTGAGTCCTTTACATACTACGCCAAAGAAAGTACCCACCCATGCCCACAGCATCATAAGCCTCATTTGGCATGTTCTGTACTCACAACACTTGTGCTCCATTCTCAACTAAGCTCTTGGAAAAACAGATAAATTTACAGATAAATTATTCCATGAGATCTTTCGGACTTGTTGGACAAATAAGTAGGAAAGAGTAGAAAAGAGTAGGAATTTCAAGAAAAAATAGGAAAAGTAGGAGCAAAGTTTAAAAAAAGGGGGAAAAGTTGGAAAAGTAGGGCATGCTTGAAGGCCTGTCAAAGTGGACTGAAACAGGCTATGTCTGAATTTCAAAAATTCTTTGCACTTGATTTCTTTTTAACGATGATGCTGTACAATAAACCACAAGTAAATTTTATGAACTCTCGGAATGATTGTGATTACGGAATCTGCTTGTCAAATCTCAGATCCCGCAGGCTGGGTATTGCTTCGCAAAGTCAAAAGCAAAGTCAGAAGCAAAGTCAAAAGCAAAGTCAAAAGCAAAGTCAAAAGAAAAGTCAAACGTAAAGTCAAAAGCAAAGTCAAAAGTAAAGTCAAAAGCAAAGTCAAACGTTATGTCAAAAGCAAAGTCAAAAGCAAAGTCAAAAGCAAAGTCAAAAGCAAAGTCAAACGTAAAGTCAAAAGCAAAGTCAAACGTTAAGTCAAAAGCAAAGTCAAAAGCGAAGTCAAACGTTAAGTCAAAAGCAAAGTCAAAAGCAAAGTCAAACGTTAAGTCAAAAGCAAAGTCAAATCAAAGTCAAAAGCAAAGTCAAAAGCAAAGTCAAAAGCAAAGTCAAAAGCAAAGTCAAAAGCGAAGCAAACGTCATAATGTCGGATGCAAGGTGCAAGACAAACTGTTATTCACTTTGTTACTACATGTATAAAGGTTGCTGACCATTCAAAGGCCAATCCACGCCAGAACAGCCTCTTTTTGAACCAACTGTGCAAAAGGCACACGCATATATGTGTACCAATCATCACACGTTGGTGGCCAATTTGTTTCTGGTGGCCTGGGAGATTTCTGAACCCTTCTCTGAGCCCGCCTCGCTGTAACGGCGACTACCTTCTCCATAGGAGTAGCCGTCTTCGTAGCGATGGTCATCGTAGCGGCTGTCATTATAGTGACGGTCATCGTTGTCATCATAGCTGCGGTTGCCGTAGCTGCGGTCGTCGTCATAGCGAGTGTCGTCGGCGTAGCGCGGGTCCCTGGAGTTGTACTGCTTGACCTCGTTATCGTGCATGGTGTCGTTGTAGTGACCATCGTCGCTTTGGTTGCGGCGGGCGTAGTCCTCTGATCGGTCGGAATGGTACGAGACGCGGCCGTCACTTTCTCTCTGATTGGAAAAAAGAAAAAAAAGAGAGTATTAGGCCCCCAAAAAATAATAAGTCTGTCTCTGGTCAGCGCGCGCGTCGATTTTAATCATGCGCGTCAATTTTTTTTTTTTCCAAAATGTTCCGCGGTAGCTCCAACAGCCGCACCTCCTCAATTTTTTTTTTACCAAAGAGCACCAAGGAATGGGAAATTGCACCAAGGCAAATGATCGAGAGCACCAAGGCAAATTATGGAGGACACCAATGTACATGAGGACACCAAAAAAAAAAGCAAAAAAGTACCCCACCTTGTCTGTACAATCCAAGCTTGAAGAAAAAAAAAAAAAGCAAAAAAAAAAAAAAAAAAAAAGCCGCGTCCCCGTGTCAATTCTGGAACTTTGGTCTGACCAGAGACCGAATATAGTTGTGATTGGCTTCACCTGATCAGCTGCTGTGTCCTTGTAGAAGCCATGCTGCAGCGGATCCAGGAACTGCTGCTGAGCAATGCTTGCCTGGCCCCATACTGTGGCCTGGATCTGGACTCGGTGGATGTGCTGCTTGAGAGCACCAAGGGTGGGAGGCAGCTTGTCACTTTCAGCCATATGCTTGCAGAAAAGATGCCATCGCAGCTCAGGGATGCTTGCAATCTGGATGCCCTTTGGCACGTATGCAGCACAGACGAATGTAGCCAGCGTTGACAGCAGCACTTCAGTGACTTCAGCGGCATCTGAAAGCATCTGCAGAGCATTGATGACTACACCGCCTGCTTTGAGGTAGACTTTCAGCCAGGTTGCCTTTCCTATGCGATAGAACCTCCCAGTGTTGTCTGCCCCCGTGAATGCGTGGAAGGCTGGCAAAGCCTTTGCTCTTTCTGGACCTAGATCTGTCCATATTGGCTGCACTTGGACCACTCCGGAAGCCATTGACATGGACGTGTTTCTCAGCAGAAGGTCATAATGTGCTACGACCAGCACCAGAACATCAGTGTCTGGGGAGAAGACCACCAACTCTACATCAGGTGGGTTTCTCTGTGATGCCAGCACTGCATGATAGATTAGCAGCGTGTCCACCTCTTCGTGATTGTTGTCCTCGATTAGCAGCTCGCTGACAAGGACACGCTGCTAATCTATCATGCAGTGCTGGCATCACAGAGAAACCCACCTGATGTAGAGTTGGTGGTCTTCTCCCCAGACACTGATGTTCTGGTGCTGGTCGTAGCACATTATGACCTTCTGCTGAGAAACACGTCCATGTCAATGGCTTCCGGAGTGGTCCAAGTGCAGCCAATATGGACAGATCTAGGTCCAGAAAGAGCAAAGGCTTTGCCAGCCTTCCACGCATTCACGGGGGCAGACAACACTGGGAGGTTCTATCGCATAGGAAAGGCAACCTGGCTGAAAGTCTACCTCAAAGCAGGCGGTGTAGTCATCAATGCTCTGCAGATGCTTTCAGATGCCGCTGAAGTCACTGAAGTGCTGCTGTCAACGCTGGCTACATTCGTCTGTGCTGCATACGTGCCAAAGGGCATCCAGATTGCAAGCATCCCTGAGCTGCGATGGCATCTTTTCTGCAAGCATATGGCTGAAAGTGACAAGCTGCCTCCCACCCTTGGTGCTCTCAAGCAGCACATCCACCGAGTCCAGATCCAGGCCACAGTATGGGGCCAGGCAAGCATTGCTCAGCAGCAGTTCCTGGATCCGCTGCAGCATGGCTTCTACAAGGACACAGCAGCTGATCAGGTGAAGCCAATCACAACTAAGGTCCTCCCAGCCCCCAAGGCCATCATTGAGATGGTGAGATGCCAGTACAGAGCAGACTGTTCAACATCTCGATGCTCTTGCAGGTCCAAGAACTTATCATGCACAGACCTCTGCCAGTGCAGCACCCAGTGCCAGAATGATGAGGACTCTAGGAATGACATGTTGCCGACCAGTGACAGTGATGATGATGATGTGTAAAGATTCTGCTATATAACAAAGATTTTGTTATACCACACTTATTTTGTCATGCTATCATGATATTGAAGTTGTCCAAGAAGCTGCCTAGACCATTGCTAGAGGTTTGACTTGCTACATGTAGAAGTTTTGACCCATTTAAAAAATGTATTATAATGGAATGAACATGAAAATCTGCTTTGTGGTTATGTTTAGCTGAGTTTACTTTATACCACTGGCTTCCTCACCCCTGAAAATGTATGTTTAGCCGTTAAAAGCATTACTCTAGGAAACCTGGATGCTGAGATATTGAGAAACACCAATTTTCAAGGCAGCCATTTTGAAAATCCAAGATGGCCGCTTGGTGGTTATGTTTAGCTTATTTTACTTTGTACAACTGGCTTCTTCACCCCTGAAAATGTATGTTTAGCCGTTAAAATCATGACTCTGGGCCACCTTGATGCTGAGATATTGAGAAACACCCATTTTGAAGGCGGCCATTTTGAAAATCCAAGATGGCCGCTTTGTGGTTATGTTTAGCTTATTTTACTTTGTACCACTGGCTTCTTCACCTCTGAAAATGTATGTTTAGCCGTTAAAATCATGACTCTAGGCCACCTGGATGCTGAGATATTGAGAAACACCCATTTTGAAGGCGGCCATTTTGAAAATCCAAGATGGCCGCCATGCATGCTTCCGGCAAATTGTAAACATTGGTTTTCTGATTGCCTACACCACACAGATTCCAAAAATGTATAGGTTTGCAAATCCCCCAAAAAGTTAACGAAGTTCAATATCTGGACATAGTGAACTTGACTATATATTTTTTTTGGCCTTATCAGTCAGTTTTACATACACAAGAAAAATTGACTGTTGTACATGCTAAACCAGATCATGTTTATGGGTCAGTTTACTGCACCCCTCAACATTGGAAAAGCACACATAAAGATGCCAGGGGATTGTGCATATACACATCAGTTGGAAGATAAGTTAAAAAAAAACCACTCAATTAACCTGTCCATTCAGGAATTATGTTTGGAAAAAGAAATAGAACATAACTTGGCCGGTGTTAAACACTATGTTTAAGGCCGGTTGGAGTCTGGATGCAGATTCCAACTGGTCTTAAACAAAGCGTTTAATACCGGCCAAGCACATTATTCCCATTCATAATTACTCTTTCGGTAAAAAAATCTGAACTTTCAGTCCAAAAGTCGAAACAAGTCAAACATTTTAAATTTCCAATGATTTTGTTCAACAGTTTTACTTCATGTTTTTTTTAAACACCCCTCTTTCTGTAATATGTCCTTCTCGCCAGAAGACGTGAACAACTCCTTACATGGAGATTGGCGTGCGCGTCGTGCGTACTGCACGACGTGGCACAGAACGCAGCTGTGCCGATGTATTGTGAATTTAGGACTTTGAAATACTGACTCACTGGTATTATTGCGTATGCCTACTCGAGGATTGTGAACATTCAACCAATGAAAAGTGTTTAAGACCAGCCAGCCAGTCTTTATCAACCATTTAAAACCGGCCAAGTGACGGGCCTTCCACCAATAGGAATAAGTATACCTAAGTAACAGGCATGCAACTGGGAAGTCACACAAAAAAAGAAGGAATTCAAATCTTTCCCAGACTTTGTACAGTGTTTTTCTATTTTCAATGGCACGCATTGGAAGTCAAAAAAGAGGAAATTAGCTGATCCGAGGAAAAGTTGCATGCCTGAAGTAAGTCTTAGGTATTTATGAATTGAAAATAAAAATCCAGGAGTGTACTCTTGAGTTTGTGAGGTCAGAATTTGCAGATTTTGGCAGTTTACTACAAAGAACCCCAATGACACTTCCCAACTGAAAAATAGTCAAGTTTTTTTCCCCAAATAAATAAATAAGTAAATAAATAAATAAATACAAAAGCTCTCTCATAACTGCACAATCCTTCAAAACAACAGTGCTGTGTAAGTGAAATACTGCCTTCTATCGCAAGATATTTAACCTTTTCCATTCTTGGTACAGTAATGTATTCAACATTTCTTTAACTTTACCTTACGGACGATGGGTTCGGAATACTCGTTATCAGGGTATCGATCTGGGTAGCGCCCATCGTACGAGTAGCCGTCCGACTGACGCCTGGGTGCTCGGTAGTGGGGGTCGTCAAAGGAGTCCTGGCGGCCTCGGGTGAACTGGTAGGGCTCAGCGTAGCGCGGCTTTCCCGGGGTGCTGGGCGGCGTGGCATTGTAGTCGTAGCTGTCGGAGCGCGACTTGCTGTCGTAGTCTTTGTCGTCGGCGTCGGTGAGCTTGCGGACGATCTCCAGCTGGACTTTACCCTTGTTGAGGGACGTGGCTTTCTTCCTCCCTGGATGTGAGATAGGAGAGATGGCTTAGGTCAGAGTGGTGATGGGGAAGGTGACGGTGGTGATGTAAATGATGATAGGTGAGTGGAGTGGTGTGGTGATTATTGCCAAAAATACTGTGAGTGATGAGAGGTGGCCTATCCCCACTGCCCCCATCACCGGCCGCAAATACCAAAATCATGCAGTCAAAGAAGCTGATGGCTGCTTTCCCCTGCCCCCCCCCCCCCTAACACCCTTAGCCCCACCCTTGAGCTAAAGCTAGATCAACCCCTGTGATGGTGACGATTGTGATCGAGATGTTGACGGTGAAACTGCTGATGGTCATAAAAGTGTTCCAAGGTAAACAGTTATATACTCACTCTGCCATTTTCTCCGGCAGTAAACCATGACAATGATGGTCAAGATGAAGATGACTGCAGCCGTTCCGATGACAGCGATTATAATCCACACAATCAGATCCAAATCTGGAGAAATGAAACAAACAAAAAAGACCAGAATCAGTATGAATGACACTATAAGCCCCAGGCACAAAGTGTGAGGTGATGTGGAAGGAGATCATGTGAGGTTTTTTGTGGAGGGCACCATCTCAGGTGCAGTGCCGGGCCACTATGTGAAGCACTACAGAAGGCGTCATGGGAAATGCTGTGTAAGGCATTATGCATAAGGCACCATGATTTGAGAAGGGCATCACGAGGTGCCAAGGTCTGTTGCGAGGCGCTGTGTGGTGAGGCATCATGTGAGGTCCTAAGTCAGTCTCAAAGTGAAGTGCTATTTGAGGTGTCATAGGCCTATTTGAGGTTTGCAGCAAGGTGACCAGTGAGGCGTTCTGTGAGGTTCTTACCTTGCTGGATGAGAGTGATCAGCAGGGACACGTCTCCAACCTCGTTCATCATGGTGCAGTTGTACACGCCGAAGTCAGCGGTCAGGACGCCGTCAATCGTCAGCTCACTCATTACACCGCCGCTCACCTCACGCTTTGTGGCTGAAAAGCGGCCCATTGTCCCTGCAGTGAAAAAGAGGGTTAGAAAACTAGATGGAATGCAGGGAGTAACAAAAATGTTTGGCTTAAATTTATAAAATCCATGCAAGAACAGTAGATGGCTCTTCGTGACAACGTTTTGAAGCCCATTGGGTGGAACACATCTCGTGCAAAGACAGTCGTGTTTTACAGAACTCTCGAGGACAAGGCATTGTCTTTCCCTTTGTCCCTTTAGTATATACATGTAACACTCTCCCATAGACTAAGCACACAAACCAACGATCGAGGACCATTTTCCAGAAAAGATGAACTCTTGGGACAACAAAGAATCTGTCGTTCTCCCTTTGTCTGTCTGTCCTCTGTCTGTCTGTCCTCTGTCTGTCTGTATGTAATTCACATACATACTGGTTTGCGCATGTAAGGCACGTAGTTCACACGGCCAATTTTGTTCTGAATGTGCACAAACAAGTTGGGCCTTTGCATGAGCGTCAGGCGTCATCAGCAACGCGTTGGAATGTCCGTTCCTGTGGTCTCCCCCAACTCCCTCTCTGTGTGTGCAGCTGTTGAGGGGGCACTTGCGGGCTGACTTGGGCCTTATGAGGCACAAGTGAAACATGAAAATCTTTGTTTTAGGCAGTTCAGCACAATTCTAATCCTTGTGTCCACACATACAGGGCTGTCTAGCTCTTGCTCTTGGCAAAAGCCAATAAGATTAAGAGCAGCTTCTATTCCTGGCGATCAATTTACATACCAGATTGGTTTTTGATATGACTTGTGAATTTTGAATTTTGATTTCCTTTTTGACTGACTTGTTATTGACTAGTGATTGATTTATGTAAGCATTGTGATTAGACGTGAGCCTGAACTGAGATTTTACTTGTGATGTAGATGTGACTGGCTTGTGATTGACTTGTGGTTGACTAGTGATCGATGGTGATTGACTTGTGTTTGTGACATACATGTAACATGCGACTGACTTGTGACTGTCTTATGATTGATTTGTGATTGGCTTGTAATTGGCCTGTGATTGGTCCGTGATCGGCTTGTAATTAGATGTGTGACTGAACTGAGATTTGACTTGTAATGAAGTTGTGAGTGGCTCATGATGGACTTGTGATTGGCTTGTGATAGACTTATGATTGACTTGTGACTGGCCTATGATTGGTTTGTGATTGGCTTGTAATTGGCCTATGATTGGTTTGTGATTGGCCTATGATTTGTTTGTGATTGGCTTGTAATTGGCCTATGATTGGTTTGTGATTGGCCTATGATTGGTCTGTGATTGGCTTGTAATTGGCCTATGATTGGTTTGTGATTGGCTTGTGATTGGCCTATGATTGGTTGTGATTGGCTTGTAATTGGCCTATGATTGGTTTGTGATTGGCCTATGATTGGTCTGTGATTGGCTTGTAATTGGCCTATGATTGGTCTGTGATTGGCTTGTGATTGGCCTATGCTTGGTTTGTGATTTGATTACAACCCGGCCCACCTTCCTCTAGCTGTTGGTCATCCCAGGTCCAGATGACCATGAACGGATCAGGCTTGGTGTCGGTGAAGCATTCCAGGGTGGCCTCACTGCCCAGTTTGGCTTTCTGCTCCCTAGGGCTGCTGATCTCGGGAATCGCTGTAAATGGGCAACCAAAGTTTTAAAAATGGTATTACCTCATGTTTTCAGGGTTCAGTTATATTAAAAAAGAAGCACTGACATTACAGGGCGAGTAAAAAAAAACGAAACCCAAATGTTGGGACCATTGTTTTAGTGAAGTTCTGCATGTAGCACTTTCAAAGTCTAGGACATGAAAGCCCAATTCAAAAGTTTTCTTTTAGTACAAGAATCATTCAAATCACTCATGTACTTTTCAAGTTTTTTGAACACAACCACCGTTTTAAAGTTCTGTCCACGGATCACAAAAAAGGTGTACGTTCTTTCAGCAAAACGAAAACAATTCTAGCACATCCCTATGTGATTTGTTTTGGTTTTGCTGAAAGAACACGGAACTTTTTTTGTGATCCTTGGACAGAACCTTAAAACGGAGGATGTGTTTAAAATTTCGTAACTTGAAAAGCACATGGGTGATTTGAATGATTCTTGTACTAAATGAAAGCTTATGAATGGGACTTTCATATCCTAGATTTTGAAAGTGCTACATGCAGAACTTCACTAAAACAATGGCCCCAACATTCGGGTTCCTTTTTTTTTTACTCACCCTGTATATTCCAATTTCTTGATGGCTTTAGTGATCACTTAGAGATCCAGGAATCCACTATTATATCAGTGGGCTAGCTTGTGATTTACCTTTGTGATCTCTAACAACACTTATTGGACTCTGATACCTAGGGCATTGCAGAGCCAGTGTTGAACAATCTTCAGATAACAAAGTCATGTCCAGCTGGCCATAGTTTATGATGGGTTCGAACCCGGCACGGTGGCGATACAGACAGTTGCCCACATAACTCTCCCCAACTAATTGCTCATTGATATGTGCGTATTTTACAAAAACACGTAACATTGTCGTGTAAGAAAGTCACGTTTGTGTAATTTAGACACAAAACTCACCGCTGAAGTCCAGACGGCCGTAGCTCATGACGGATTCGAACCCGGCACGGTGGCAATGCAAACATGGGTGCCCACGTAAATCTGCCCAATTTATTACTCATTTATTTGTGCATATTTATAACAATGTGCGACATGATAGTGTTACAAAGTCACATTTGCGTAATTTGGCCTAAAAAACTCACCGTTGATGTCCAGACGACCGTAGCTCATGACGGGTTCGAACCCCGGCACGGTGGCGATGCACACGTAGGTGCCCACGTCGCTCTGCCGGACCAGGTCAAACTGCAGCGTCTGCATGGTGCTCAGGGTGGCCCGGGAGCCCAGCCGCGTCCACTTGATGGTCGGGGCCGGGTTGCCGTCGGCCGAGCAGGACATCTGAGCGGGGCCTTCCTCGTCGACAGAGACGGAGACTGGGATGTCAAGGAATCGCGGTCCGTCTGAAGATGGAAAACAAAAGACATCAAATTAACCACAAATGGAGACTGACTGGGTTCAATTTGGGGTTCATCTGTGAAAGACAGAACATTGAATTAAGCACTAGGGGAAATCGACTAGGGAGTCACGATATCGCTTTTCGCAATACAACATGTATTGCGAAAATAAGGTCATGATACAGTATTTCCATAATTATATGGTTAACGGAATAATTTGTGACAGTTATGATTTCTGTTCACATACATGTCTCCAATAACTTAATAAGATGTTAAAAAAGCTGCGCATGGGAATTGTTTAACTCTGGTTAATATAACAGTTAATGGATTACTCACACAGAACCGGGGTGGTCAAGCTACCAGAGCCTGATCCAATGATGTTTTCAGCAGTGCACGTGATGGAATTGTTTAACTCTGGTTAATATAACAGTTAATGGATTACTTACACAGAACCGGGGTAGTCAAGCTACCAGAGCCTGATCCGATGATGTTTTCAGCAGTGAATGTGATGGAATTGTTTAACTCTGGTTAATATAACAGTTAATGGATTACTCACACAGAACCGGGGTGGTCAAGCTACCAGAACCTGATCCAATGATGTTTTCATCAGTGCACAAGATGGGAATTGTTTAACTCTGATTAATTTAACAGTTAATGGATTACTTACACAGAACCGGGGTAGTCAAGCTACCAGAGCCTGATCCAATGATGTTTTCAGCGGTGCATGTAATGGACGCCATGTGATCTTCTTTGTTAATAACAAGTTCAATCTGATTATCTGCAGCACCTGTGCATTTCAGTTTAGAAAAATAAAATTGAAAAAAAAAGGCCATCAGATCCCAATTTCAAGCCAATGAACTGGACTTGATTACAATTGTGCTCTAAACGTTAATGTGTCCAAAATCACTTTATTCGAGAAAGTCTGTAATTTTGAAATTTGTATCCTGCCATAAAATGTGATGCGTTCAAGCTAAATGAGTCGTTTGTCAACCCAAGTCAAAAATTGTTTTATTACAGATTTGAAAAGAGCACAGTCTCAGCATTACTGCTGTGAAAATCGCATGCTGATACCATGTTCAGTTAAAAAATTATGGAAGTCGGAACACCAAGAGATGTGATGAAGTGATGTGATGAAGTGGCCCTATTTTGGCCTGTATCTCCAAATGAAAATTCCCGACAAACGACTCATGTAGCTTGATTGCATCACAAATGTGTACTGCTATGGAATTTTGTGCACGGACAGTGGATGACGGTTCACTTTCAAGAGCCCAGAGGACGAGACACACAGTGTGTGCATATTGGTTTGCATGCGTATCAACCCAAGTACGCACAACTAATTATATTCTGAATGTACAATGAACCATAGCGTCTTTGAATGAGCCCCAGGCGCAGTGGTATAGCCAAGGGGGAGGCCTGGGGGTTACATCCCCCACAAATTCCCAGTGCCCCACACGTGCCCCACACGTGCCCCCCCCCCCCCCACCAAAAAAGTGAAATGTGCCATTGTCCTACTTGTGTCTATGTTTTCTTTAAAGTAGAAAAGTAATGTTCATGACCAAGGGCGGATCCAGAACACAATTTGGGGGGGGGGGGGGGCCAAAAAAATTTTGGTCCCCCAAAAAAGTGGGTCAAAAAATTACGGCGTGGGGTTCGGGGCCCACTTAAGGGCCCCGAAATTTTTTTGGATTCTAGATGCTCTGTGGTGCGATCTGAGGCAATTTCTGACCACTTTAACCAATGTTTTTTTGAGGAAAAGATGGTGGTGTACTCATTGCCTGCCTTTATTGCGATGTCACATAAAAAAAATTAAAAAATTGGTTTCGTTTTGGGGGGGGGGGGGGCATGGCCCCCTTTGGCCCCCCCCCCCCCTCCCCCCGGATCCGCTCTTGTTCATGACTAGTTTTTAATTCATTGCTAATTCCCTTCACCTTACAGATTTAAAGGGATAAGAACAAACAAAAAATATCGTCCAATAAGGTCCAGCCCCCACTCCCACACCCCTCTAAAAAAAAACCTCCTGGCTGTGTCACTCACCCGATATTGGCTCGCCATTTTTGGCCCACAAGTAGGAGACTTTCCGAGGGTTTGCATCCACCACACAACGGAAGATGACCGAGGTGTCTTCTCGGATTGGCGTATGGGATGCTTCAACCACCACAACCGGGGCATCTAGGGAGCAAAGAGTGAATACAAGAAAATATGAACTACCAGTGTTGTAGTCCAGTCCTTCACAAATCCATCACAATGCCGGTCATAAGTAAATCACAAGTCCTGTCACAAGTCTGGTCATAAGTAAAAGCAGGTGAACAATAACAGGTATTCATTTACTCCTAGGTTGGGAGACGCAATGAGTGACAAAGCGCCTTGCCCAAGAGCAGACACACCATAACCCCAGGCTCGGCTCGAACCCACAACCACCGAATTACCCGCAGAATTATGAGTTCAATGCTCCAGACCGCGAGGTGACAAGTGCTCCACTTATTGCTCTCAATCCATGATCCCCGGAACTGTCCAAGCTTCAAACTTACGTTGCACATCCAGCGTGATTCCCAGGGTCTGGGGCGCGGCCAGCGCAATGTGGGAGACCTGGCACTGGTAGACGACGCTGTGGTCCGCCACGGCCGGCCTCAGCGTCAGCGCGCTGGCCACGTTGGTCAGCTTCCCCGAGGGGTCGCCGGTGGCCGGGTGCCAGGCGCGGCTGTAACTGGCGGCCTGATTGGCGCCGGCCCGCAGCCACACGATCTCGGCCGGCGGGTTGGCACTGGTGGCCTCGCAGGTCAGGTTGGTAGGCACGCCTACCACCACGGACAAGATCGCGTCGCTGGGACGCAGGGTGGTGGTGGATGGTGCTCCTGCAAAACAGAACAAAAATAGGATTCACATTAGCAGGGGTGGAGCAAGACCAATTTGAATGGGGGGGGGGTGGTGGTGTGCGAACACAAATGTACTGGAATTTACTACCTTACGGAGACATGAACACAATAGGGAACAAAAGATTGTATACGTCTCCAGAAGAACATTTCTATAGATGAATACGTCTCCACAAGAATTTCACGAAATAGATATATGGATTTTACTCAAAAACTAGGAATTTCCAAGGTAGGTTGATATGTCGCAAATGGAAGAGTTTTAGAAAAGGGATATTTAGTCCAAATTTCAGCCCAGGAAATTAATTCTGGTTAAAATAAGAGCATTTTGAAACTTCAATTTCACACTCGAAAACTTTACTACACGAGAACAAAGAAATGTCTCCACAAGGATACAAATTCCAGAATGTGTGTGCTGACAGAAACTGTGCTGGAAGGTAGACAGTTTTTTTTTGGTCATCAGGACACTGCAAAATCAAAAAGGAGGGGGCTGGACACCAGCTGACTTCCGGTGCATTGTTCATTGGACAGGCCCAGGTTGTTGGCTGTAATAGTTATGCCATTTGCTTGGACAGGATGATTATTTTGATTATATGATCTGATAAAAAAGATGGGTGACTGGAGCGACTTACCATCTTATAGAAAGTCTAGTTTTGGTAAAAACAGTCCACTTATAATCATTTGGAAAACGATAGTAAGTCTGCACAAGAAGGGTCATTGTTTTAATTCCTCCAGAGGGAAATTAACCAAGTTATGTACAAGTAACAATTGGATTTTTCATAAGTGGTTCTTAAGGGGAATAAGTTTGAAACTAAGTGAGCAACTTATCTGCCTTTTTTTTTAGCATTACTTACGTTATTTTTTTCATATAAGATTGAAAAAAGAAAAGAAATTGGCATTTAAAAAATTTACATTAAAAGTGGAATTTTATAATCCATGCTTTTGATACTACCGGTACATACACTGTACACATAAGTGGGCAGGCCTTTCTCGGCAGCATTTGATCCATGCAAATTTGGCAACCAAGTCTTTACAAATAAATTTCACCTGTATCATAGTTTTCTTTCATTTACATGTAACTCGTAAACTGCTGAAGCACTAAAATCGTTTTTGTCTCGAAGCACATACCTGTGCAGCCTTAGCTGCATTTTGTTGCACTAGGATACAAGAAGGCCTATTGGGCATTGTTAAAATTATAGGCCCCATCTAAAAAAAGTTTTCGAAAATGGCATGCAAATGTAAAGGTAATTTTAATTTTTAAACATGTGTTCACCGTGCTTGTTTCAAGTTTTATCCTGAAAAAAAAACAGATTCCTTTTCTAAATTGTTTGTTAAATAGCAAAGAAAGGATTATTCACTTTTGAATGAGACATCAACCGAATAAAAACATCAGCCCACATTTAGCTAATTATTACTAAAATGTCAAATTACTGGCTGCCAGACAATAATTCCATTCTTGCAGGGTCAGCAGGTTTCCGCGCTACAATCAGTATTGATTATGTACATGTAGGACTGGGAGCCAATTTGCCGGGAATGTGGCCCCCCCCCCAAAAGTTTTTTTCCAGAGGGTTGCTGACGTCCAAAAATGGAAACAAATATATTTTTCTTTTGCAAAAAAACCCTAGAAGTTGAACATTTCATTAATCAGAAGAAACAAATAATTATTTGAGAGCACAGGAATCACAACTTTAAATTTGGAACGTTGTGGAATATGAATATTCACGTGATATGTTTTTAATAGAGAAAACTATCTGCCAACAAAATTTATAAGTTACTCCTTTAAAATCAGATCTTGACATTAGACTTAAGAAAAGACCCCAATGAAACTCTGTGCAAATAATATTGACATTCCCCACAGCAGAAACAACACTTTGTCTACAAGAATTTGGCTGTGTGATTATACCAAGCTATCCAGGGTCACCAGAGGTCAGCGGAGGTCATCAAGGGTCAAGCGAGGGGTTATCAGGGAAGAGGGATTCAGTTTGTTGGGTTTGTGGCTGAGGGTCACATTGCAAGCTGATGGGTTTATCAGTGGGCGAGGCTTAAGAAATGTCTGGTTCTTATGTAGATGGATGGCTTTAATGGGTTTTTTTTTGTTTCTTCGTTTCAAGGCTATTTTTTTTTAAAAGGCATACCGATACATGTACATGTACAAATGTAACCTAGCAAATTATTATCAAAAGAACTTTTTCATTTTTTTTCATTCATTCTTCATTTCCAGACTGTGGATGGGGGTCCCCAAGAAGCAATTGCTTGTCGAGTAGGGATCCCTACTAATATTAATTGACAATTACTGTACTTGTGTGTATATGAACAAATTGTATTAACACTAAATACACATACAATACGACAATAGAATAAACCAGAAAGGACAGAAAGTCTTGTAACCCTGTGAGAATATGTAAATGAATAGACTACATAGAGTTTATATACCCAGTTAGCAGTTTGGCCCTACATTTGAAAAGATTCCATCATGTCCATATATTTTTTTTATAGAAACATCTAGGGAGTTCCAGATTAAAGATTGTAAAACCATTTTGTAAACACCCCGTGAAAGTATTTTGTGGAATTCTGTAATTTAGGGGAAATCAAGAAATGTAGGTGATTTCCAACAATCAGTGAATTGACTGATTTGTTGGATTAAAGAGTGCTGTTGATAAAATTGTGTTTAGTGATCAAAAGGTTGTGCATGTTTTTTTTCCCACTGTTTTCTAGAAAAGTGCACCATCCACTCAGCTGAAACGTCAACAGGTTAGGTTTTGAACATTCGTCTATTGATTTTGCAGGGTTCGACCTTACCGGTGGTCTGCTGGCCAAATGCCAGTTGAATTGCCGGCAGACCAGCTGAAACACCTTGCCAAGTGGTCCGGCTGGCCAGCCGAAAAAATCTGCGTCAAAAAAATGCTTGTTGTATTTATTTGGTTTCTTACTTACATTCGCTATTTTTTTCAAAAGAAACCTCCGTTATTAATGTCACGGCGACTATAATCATGTGCGTAAACCCAGCTCAATGCGGCGATGACTGGTTCCCGCCACGCCAATTTATAAGACATCATGATGAAAATGCGGTAACTAGTCTGTGCACGGCTATGCGATCGATAGCGCTAGCATGGCTATGCATTGTGCAGACGCCAGGCACGTGCTCTGTCAACTGGTCGAATTCGACATCGTAAAAATGCCAAGAAAACACCGATGGAGAAAGAACATTTTTGCAAGTTAATTTACAGAATTGATCTAGCTTGTCTGTGTATGTATTTTCTGTGATCAAGAGTTCATTTTGAGATCGCACTACTCGTATTTGGAGTGATACATGCCGTGTGTTTACCGAAATTTTTGACCGTAAAAACGGCTCTGTCTGCCCATGGTGGGCCGCTCGCCACACACGCACGCATCACACACCTGGGAGTTTTGGCCATCTCCCCGCGTCTTGACTAGCGTTGTGCATATGGTGCGAACGACCTGAATTTTCCATTATTTTTTTAAATTATCGAACGTAAATATATATATTGACAATAATTAAAGGTAGGTTTTATTCACTTTTTGTTGCCATTTCCTGTATAGCTTTCGTAGTGCAATGAAAATAGTTCAGGCTAAAACTTCGCATATAATTGAATACCCCATTCAATCTGCATAAAAAAAATTGGCACAAAAAGAGAAGAATTTCCGACCGACCGACCCTATTTTTGAAAGGCATGTAATCGGAAGCAGAACTATTTTTTTGGCCTAATTAAGGTAGGTTTTATTCACTTTTTGTGGCCATCATTTTGTGTATATAACTAAGCTTTCGTAGTGCAATGAAAATAAATCAGGCTAAAACTTCGCATACTGAGGCCTAATTGAATACCCCATTCAAGCTGCATAAAAACATATTGGCAAAAAAAACCCCCAAAAATCCGACCGACCGACCCTATTTTTAAAAGGCATGTAATCTGAGGCAGAACTACATATTTTTTTGCGGCCTCAGATCATGGAGGAAGAAAATAGACCTCTATTGCTCAGGTGACATGATGACATGGGTGTTGACTATAGTCTAATTATGACTTATGTGAAACTGATTAACTGGTGGGTACACGCTGTATAAGACGGACCAGTCAAAAACCTGGCGGACCAGTCAAAATTCTAGCCAACTGGTCCGGCTGGCCAGTCAAAAAAAGAGTTAAGGGCAACCAAATTTGTTGAGTGGTGTTATTATTGGAAACGGACAAAATGTGTAAGAATAAGCATTATTTAGCATTATTTAACATACTTTTTATGATGAGCCTGGCTCTTCTGGATGCGATGCCGGGGTTGTCTGTGGTGGGAGTGGCCTGGCAGTGGTACTCCCCATCATCCTCCAATATGACATTCTCTATCTGCAGGTTGTACTCACCCAGGGACGTGTTCCCAACAAAAGAATATCTGTGGAGACAGGGTTAACAATATAGGGATGGACGGCATTACGTTATAATCTGCCGAGCCGATGAACACATCTTTTCATTAGTTTGTGAGTTTCATTGGTTGCTACACGTGCAGGGTTCGACCGTTATTTTTGTTCACTAGCCAGCCGGGCTACTGAAACAGACTCTTAACTAGCCCGCGAGCATTTTCACAAGCCCGCATGTTTTTCTTGAGAGTGTCTCATAAGCAACAATGTGTAAATATAAAATGTGTATCTTGAGGCAATCTTGTCAGTGTTTTTAATAAACAGATCAAATAATTTAACCCTAAACAGTTAAAAGAAAATTAGACACAAATTGATACAGGTTTGCTTTCTGAATTTAATGATTTATTTCTTCCTGTCCTTTCATCTTTGCCGTAGTCCAATATAATTTGAATCGCCAGCCGGGCTACCGTACTTAAGAAATAGTTTGACTAGCCCATCGCTGTTCTGACTAGCATTGGATAGCTAGCTACCGCTAAAGTTGAACCCTGATGATGTGTTACCATTCAGCACTCCAGACTCAGGAACCATTTCACTTTAAGTAAATACATTTGGGAGCTACATAACCTAATATAACAAATTCAAACACTACTCCGGGTTGACCAAATTTAGTTTACGGTAGTTTGCAATCAGCTACGGTACATATCGGTGAATAAGAATTATTTTCCTGAGTGACAAACTGGGGATCATCCCACAAGAGGGTGCAAGTCAAAACGTATTTTGGGAGGGAGAGCTCTCAACTGAAACCTTGATTTCCACCATTTTCTAAAATAAAAAACACCCTGAAATTTTGACAGGGTGCTTTTTTAACTTAACCTGCTTCAGATTTATTGCATTCTGGTTCCTTGAATTGGCAAAAATACTTTCTATTTTTGAGCAAATGGTATAAGGACTTAGTCCAGTGGATATTTCGACTCAACTTCTAGCAGGGAAAACATTTTCACAGTCCAGAAAACCCGAGACTGCAAAATCAAATGTGGTGTGCCTTATCAGCCCCCTACTTCCAGGGGCACTTAGTCCAAATATGAAAGTGGACCACCGCTGCGTAAGCAAACAGAACTCGCAGATATGAATATCGTGAGTGCCCCGGAGGGTGATTGGCTCACCACGGGAGAGTTCTCATTGGTGTTGGAGTCGGTTAGGATTTGAAATTGGAGGCCTGACATACAACGGTGTCAGCCACCTCTGTGTAAACGACCCCGGCACTACAGGCGAGGGAAAAAAAGACAGCAGTACATTGGTAACAACGTATTTCAGAGAAACATGCCTTTTCAGGGAATTTCTTTTTTTCAGTGTACTTTGAAAAAACAAGGGTTGGAGGTTAAACCTTTTTTTTTTGGCTGCATGGTCAAAAAGGGTCAGCCTACTGTAGTCCTCTTCCAAGGGCGGATCCAGAACACAATTTTTTGGGGGGAGGGGGCCAAAAAAAATTGGTCCCCAAAAAGTGTGTCCACAATTGTTTTGGATTCAAGATGCTCTGTGGTGCAATCTGAGGAAATTTCTGACCACTTTAACCAATATTTTTTTAGGAAAAGATGGTGATTTACTCATTGCCTGCCTTTATTGCGAAGTCATCTAAAAAAAAAATTGATTCGTTTTTTTTAAGGGGGGGGGGGGGATTCTTAGGCCTAGTCTAGTATCAAAGAAATCAAGTTTATAGTGATCGATTTTCCAAAATTTTATTTCAAAGATTATTGCAATGTTGATAATTTTGTCATTCAGCATCAACACGTCCGTCTCTTAGTGAAAATGGTTGAAGGTTTAAAAATGGTACCTTTGTAGGCCACTAATGTCGAGGTCCGCATCACTGGCAAAGTACCCGTCCCCCTTGAACCAGATGAGGTTGCCTGACTTCTCTGACACAATGCATTTCAGGACGACTACTGCTTCGCCGATCACGACGGATGTGTCGCTGGGTTCTTCTTGAAAGGACTGGGCTGCCCATGCTACAATTGGGGAAAAAAAGTGGGTGGGGGGGGGAATCATTTTCTACGTCAGGAAACATTCATTTTATTTATAAGCATAAATATCTCTGATTGTCTCTTTTCGGAAGAGCTGGGGCACAGAATCTGTCCTTTCCCAGCTAAGTAAATAAAGAAACAATTTTAAACAAAACAACATCAGCTAGAAAAGAAAGAAAAACCTGTCCATTTAAGCATTACATTTATAGTACATATTGCATGAAATCCTAACATTTGCTGGAATATTAGGGCAGGGCCCAGGAGAAAATACCCAAGAAAGTGTGATTTTAATTTATATTTTCTAAAAAATAAATTAAAAAAAACCTGTTTAACTTTAATGGAGAAAACCAGTTTTTTTTGTTTTATAAATTTTTCTTGTACATAAAAAGTACATTTACTACGCAGGTACAAACTACATGTGGGTCAGTTTAGAAATTAAGAGTCCCTTTTTTTCCTGTCCATGTTACATCTGACATCGATGATTTCATATTTCTGGACGCACTCCTTAAATGCAATTTTGTCCTCCAAGTCCAAGAGTGATTATGAATGGCAAACCACCTATCCAACAAACAAACGAAACGATTGAAACTTTAAAGTAATTCTTTATTAAATACTTAACACATCATTGGCTTTTGCTGTAATTTTCAGAAATGAACTATTTGAGGGGTTAGTATAATAGGTCAAATATTGTTACACTGACATGTTTGAAGTTTTGTGTTGGAAAATGCTGGAAAAACCAAGATGCTGGAAAAACCAAGTTTGGAGCAGTAGGTGAAAAATAGTTAGGTTTTTCCAAGAATGGTCGGCCGACCACTGTTGGAAATGTATACAAAAATACTATTTTCTTGAAAATGACTTCACACCAGGTGCCATAATTTTACAAGATGCTTTGGACTGTCATTTACCGACATCCTAGTAAGGTATTTCGTAAAAACTTGAAAGTTTTATTTTTCGATGTTTGCAAATGTTGTATATTCTCTTTAAATGGCAAATTGCAAAGTTTGGAAATAACAGAAACAGGAAAAAATGTCACACTTTGGATAAAATGACTTGGATGCAACCATGGAGGGATTCCTTCCTCCATGATGCAACTCATCATGCAAGCATAACTTGGTCCATTTTATTTCTCCATTGTCCAATCATGAATTCCTTCCTCCATGGTCCAATGGTGTAAAAAAAAAATCAATTTGCTCCAAGGTTTTGAGTTTGAGTTGATCCCCTATCAGCACTCAACCTAGTGGAACTGGTGTTGACCACAGGCAATGGTCCTTGAGGAGAGTGAGCAATTACCAAGAAGTCCCCTAGCCTATCTATCCCTGTTGTCAACTACAATAAACAAAAGACTCCCCTGTAATAAACAAGTGAACCACTGTCTCATCATTAGTACTATCCTACATGTGGATACATGTGTATACACAAGTGTGTCTGCACATGTACTGGTAGGATGTCTACAAGTTTCTGGTAACAGCTTAATTTTGAGCAGAAAATGAAATCGTAAATATTTACTGAAATATTCTTCACATTTTTGACCCTTTGAAAATAAATTTGTAAAAGAGTACATATTTCATCAGTCCACGTCCACTTTTTCTTTGAACGTCTTGGTACCAAACACTGACTAGTGACTAGTCAATTGTAATGCTTTCTTTTCTTTCGAAATACCCATTTATTCTATTGCCCTTGATTGGATGGGCCCAGTCAGGACAAAAAAAAATAATCATGCCCCCAAAAAATGGGAAATTACACACGTTTCGGTGCCCGGATGTGCTGTATTCTTGTAAAATCTTGCAGACTTTTTGAGGTAATGAGGTGAACTATTTGCTTCGCATTAAAACATAATGCTCACTGAATGAAGTGATGATTTCAAAAATTCGGTAGAAAAAGTCAAGATGAAGTGGAGAAAATTAACAATGCGGTATGCCCCACCAGCAACATCACTTTCTTTTAGCACGCCCACTTCAAAGGGTTGAGGAGATGACAAGAGACTTTGAATAAACAATGATATAAACAAGGGAGGCAGCATAAACAAACGGGTCAGTTAAGAAGGAAACTACTACACGTTATAGTTAAGTTAGGCCCTACCTGGTTCTATCATGAGTTGAAATTGCATTGCTTCTCATTCTTGAATTTACTTTATGAAATAAAACAGAGTTGTTGTGTGTGCGTATAAATCTTGAATTGCTGAAGTTTAGCACACAAAAAAGACAACAAAAACAATTTCCCAGACAAACCCCCAAATGTAATTGGTTCCTGCTATTATTTGGAAGTGAACCTTGGGTTACATAAGTGCCCTACAAAATAATCCATGCACTCTTGCCCAAAAAAAATACAGCTACATGTAACAGTAACAAATTTTGTTCACATTTTGTACTTGCCTCCTTATCATATCACTGTTTACTTTAAAAAAACAACAACAACAACAACAACAACAACAACAATGACATTGTATTCATGAAACCATGGAGGAATGCTCTTAATCTTATTCCTCCATGATGACACAAGTCACCAAAGGTACCGTCTGATTGGAGTTTCATTTTTATTTAGGCAGCTTGTTTAAATTAATGTAATTTTGTTTTGACATTTTGAAATTTTTTTTTTGTACCACCCGAATGTTTTCAAATTCAATGAAAACATTTTAGACTAGAATTGAAACCTTCTTGTCATTTTCAAAAATTAACAAAATTTTCCCAGAAAGTGGTCTTCAAAAATGCCTTCCAATTTGATTTTCTCCAAATAAGGGGAATTCATAAATTATTCTATCTCGGCTGTAAGGGCTCAAATGTACTTAAGTAGGTCTACTGGGAAAGTTTTGAGAAAAAAAATTAAAAATTCACAGGCCTGAAGCACTTCAAGTGAATATATGCCATTACTTCTCAGGTATCCGATTTAATGTAAAAACCAGCAGACAACACTTGTTAAGTTGATGATCATATTTTCCTGCTTCAACGCCCAAATGTTATGGTGGTTGCTTAGTAGCGCTTGAATGGCTATTAGGAATTGGCTGACTAATCACCCATGCCCCCATCTGTTTTCTAGATCTGCTTTTTTTCTGTGGGGTGGTTTCCAGATTTTTAGTGAATTAGTGAATCACGGGTAAAATATTTCTTGAGCGGGTGGGGCTACCATGATGATGATAATGAGAAAACAGGCTGGAATTTTTTGAAAACTTGGCATTGACTTGCCAACCACCTTTTAAATTCAACAGTTTTTTTTAAGATCACTACCGAATGCTAGTTTCCATAATTTTTCAAAGTTGTCACAAAAACATGATTTTCCTTATCTGAAAATGGAAAAAAATACAATGTTGCATCAAATACTTTATCAATGTTGAAATCTGATTACATTTATTAAAATGATTTAGAATTTTTAATGCAATATGGGAACTAAATATGAAAGCAATTTGACATTAAATGATGACAGATTTGTGAAGTGAACTATTCCTGTTTTTAACCAGCTTAACCACATTAAGTTGATTTCTTTTTGAAAACTGTGACAAACTAACCAAACATGTCCATCATTCTTCATCAATAAAAAACACTTTCACAAAAACAAAACCCAAGAAACAAGATCAGTATGTGGAACACAAATGAAATACTTTGAAGAACAAAATGATGGCGAACTTACTTTCCAAGAGATCCCTGCATGCAAATTGACTATTATTAATACACCACATCAACCAACACAGGAAACAATTGAGGCTTGTTCAAGAATTGTCCAATATCCTGTGAATGTGATTTCAATAATTTACTGCATACATGTAGTATTACTAGTAGGATAGTTGACGATTGTGAAGGTTGTGAATTGTTGTAGAAATTTCAACTGAAACAAAATTGTTTGTTACATTGTATCAATATTTGTTGTATTTTGTATACAGTGACATGCATGACACTGACAGTTTGTTGATCACCCACAGAGTTAAACTTTTTTTCTAAAAAGCATGATCATGATAAGACAAGTAAAAGTAATGTCGGCAATTTACAATCTACAGAATAAGTAACAAAATGGAACACTTGTAACAAAACCCAGAAAAGGTAAAATTAGACAACATTTCGGGCCTAGGCTAGGCCTACCATGCCCACCATACCGTCATGACAATGTTTTTATTTTAATCCACTTCATTTTTTTCTAATTTAAACAATTAAAAATATGGTCGTTTTATTTATTATCAACGTGATGAAGATACCCGAGAATGGCTGAAGTTTCTTGACATACTTACTTGTCGTAAATCAGTGCTTGCACCTAAATATGGTGGTGACAAATACAAGGTTTAGTTTGAGTTGTAAAAAATGGCTCACCGTGGTACGAGAACACACTCTGCGCAAAGGCCACCAGCAGAAGCTGCACAAATGGACACCGTCGATAACGAAAGACACTGACTTTGGACGCCGCCATTTCGACCGAAATTTACTTCACTCTCTCCCAATTTGCGACGACAAACTAAAGCCAGACGACTACCAAATACGTTAGTTTTCAAAAAGACAACTTTAATGAATAAAACATGTGCCAATTTAGTAAAACACCATCCGCTTTCCAGAAATCGTCCACTTCAGACTTCACATGCCGACGCCATATCGATCGTCTGCAACTTTTAGGATTTACATATAATTAACATAAATCAAGATTACCCCATTCGCCAAGAATGTTTATTTCGTTCCCAGAATACCTTCCAACGTGACATTAAGAAGTCTCGAATAGAAACTTAGTAGTCATAAATATATTCTTAAGTATAGAAATCTCATCAAAGACATGTTGTTCTTAGAAATTTCAAGCAAAAGTTATCGAAATTGTTAAACTTCGTAAATCGACAAAATGGTATTCTGACAGACGTAGGCTGACTGAGGTGCAAAGTTGACGCGGCTCAAATTTCAGATTTGCGAGATGTTTATGTGTGACGTGTACGAGGTATATCATCAGTGCTGCCCGTAACCGAGTTTTTTTAACGGAAAATTGCAAGCTGAATCTTCTTGAATTGACTGTCTTCTAAGGGTAAGTTTCCTATATGATTGATGAAGTTGATAACATTGCCAACGAATTTTTCTATGAAATTTATCCCTCAGCAGTCGGTGTGTAAAACAGTTGGCGAAAGGAGGACTCTGCGAAGTACAATATGCGGTGGATCGTTTGACCGGACGTCCCGCGAAACCCGTACGCAACCCCGTTGAACGTTGATGTCGACTGGGGTCTCAAACTCTCAAACCCCGTTCGCCATGTTCGAGTTCGTTTATTTGTGTCGGTCAATATGGCATAAGGAATCATGTTATTGCAACGTTGTGCCAGGACTGTATATGTTCACATTCAGGAGAATACCTTTTCATTAAGTCAGTTCTTCATTAAACTTTTAATAAGCATGATTAGAAATTTTGATAAGGCCCCCTTTTTATTATTAACCTGAAATTTACATTGTAAAAACCTCTTCTGTTATTGTTAAAAATTATAAAACTCTCCATCTTTACCTTTCAGTAAAAATTAGTCGAAAGAACATTTTGTTGAAGCATAAAACGATGTCGATGGTTTACATTTAATAACATAAGCATTGATAAAGCATGTTTTTTCTTTAAAAAAAATATATCTTAGTATTCTTAGAACTTTAGTCTTTAGGCCAATCAACATTGATTTTAGGTTTTCATCTCTCAAGATTGAAAAAAAAAACGGTTTGGAGGGGAATTTTTATTTTATAAATTGCACTTCTTCACATTCAACATTGTTCAAAGTGAATTGAGGGGAGGGGACAACATCATGTAAACTTTAAAGAAGACAAAACCAAACATTGAAACTACTTAGGCCAAAAAAAACCAGTTCTGCTTCTGATTAGCCCACATGGCATTTGAAAACAGGTTAGGTACCGGTAGGCCTAGGTAGGGATATATTGTTTTTGACATACACGTGCAACATCATCGGTGAATCGAGGACAGGGACCAAATCGAGGACAACCGTGATTAGAAAATATGTACAAAACCAATGAGAGCTGTTGCGAAAAAGTACAAACAAAGGAAAAGGGAAGAGGAACAAAAGAAAATCCTTGATTTACACCATAAATAAACGTGGGTGGAGGTGTCTGTGTGTAGTAAAGTGTAAAAGGTAGTAATTGATGATTTTTGGGGCTTTTTCCTCATCCCCCCCCAAAAAAATTCAGGGTAGGTAGGGTAACCGGAAGCAGAACTATTATTTTTTGGCCTTAATATTACTGATTAGTCATCTGTTTAATGACCTAGACATTGGGCGCTCTAGTGATTGCCTTTCAACCGGCAGTAGGCCTACTTTGTCCCTTGCCTCTGGAGCAAAAGTCTCTCAGTTGCTATTAGTCTCAGTGGAATTAGTCTTGGAAAGCCTGAATTATGCCCTTGAAATCTCATGGAATTTAAGTTAATAACAGGCATGCAACTTTTCCTTGGATCCGCTGATTTCCTCGTTTTTGACTTCTCATGAATGCCATTACAAATTGAGAAACACTGTACAAAGTCTTGTGTGTTTTGGAGTTTCCTCGTTTTTTTCTAAATTCCCAGTTGCATGCCTGTAATTAGAGTCCTGTGGAAAATTGGGGGGAAAAACCCTGCATTTGAAATCCTGTTTCAACAGTCAAACAATCCAACTACTGTATTGTGGGGGTAAATACTATGGGTTTGTTTTTAAAGGAAGTGCTGACCAAACAGGTTGAAATTGATTCTATTACATCAAAAAATAAAACTACCAAATCATTTTGAAATACCTTGCTGGACTGTTAGTGAATGACAGTGTAAAGCATCCTGTAAAATCATGGCACCTGGTATACTGTCATTTTCAAGAAAAGTGGTATTTTTGTATCAATTTCCAACGCTGGTCGGCCGACCAGCGTTGGAAAAAACTGGCTTTTTTTCAAATACTGGCCCCAATTGACCATCGCACTTGTTTGCAATCGATTACACGCCTATGAACGGGTACAAGCCAGCTAGACTGGTTCCCTGACCTTACAATTCCCCAATGTATGTAAACTGCCCTGTTTCTTCTTATATGGAGTCAGGGAACCAGACTACAGGAAAATGATTGTTTTTCTTGGTTTTTATAGCATTTTCGAACCCAAAACCTCAAAAAAGTCAGTGTAACTATATTTGCTATATATTTCCAACCCCCCAATTCCATCCATTTCTGAAAATTACAGCAAAAGCAAATGATGTATATTCCCTTTAAAAACATTCTGGCACAGTCTCCCATCCCCTAGCCAGTTTTATACTTGAAATAGCATGTATTTCTAGATGCTGGACAAGGGGCTCATTGCCTCTAGTAAATGTCCCTTCAACTTCAACTTCAACTTCAAATCATAGAAGCTGTAGACTTTATGCACCATACAACTAGTAGACCTGTTTTAACCCTCCTTGCTTGCAGGTGTCACCGTTCAGTGTGTCATTTTTGGCACCCAGGTGATGATTATAGCCCAGTGATAGCTCAGGGGTGTTCCCTGACCTTACTGGCAAATTGCTTCCAAGACATGAATTGAAATTGACAAGCTAGTTTCGGAGCATCATTTAGTGTTGCAGGGTGCCAGAAAAGCTACAATGATCACCCATGTTTTGGAGTAACTGTATTTTTGGCTGGTTCCAGAGTGTCAAGCTAGTGTCCTCTATACATAACTGACTAACTGAGTGGCTGATTTACTGACTGATATTGATAAGCCCTTTTCACACTAGAGCTTCTCAACCCGGGTTGAACTCAAACCTGGGCGAACCCAGTGTTGCTCTGGGTTGAGTTTTTTATTTTCCAACCCCGCGTTTAATCCCACATCGTTTCACACTTGTTTCATGCAAATCAAGCTTATCATGCTCAGTTACTACTGTTTTGAACCCTGGCAAGAATTTCAACCTGGGTTGAAAATCTCAACCCTGGTCTGGAGCAGGATTGAGTTCAACCCAGGGCGAAATCAATCCCGGGGTTGACGCAGGGTTTGATGCAGGGTTGACGCAGGGTTGAAATTCTTTAAGTGTGAAACGATGCATGTTTTCAACCCTGCGTCAACCCGAGATTTGTCTAGTGTGAAAAGGGCTTTACTTTCAAGTGAATGGGCTAAACCTGGCCCACTGCTATCAGATCATCAGATGCATGAAAAGACTTCCAAGTTCCAGTGAATAGCCATTCTGTGTCAATTGAATAGTTCAAGTTTGTGGGCACTTGGCCCAGCTGTTGGCTTGCTTTGTCATCTTTTAGTGTTTCTATGATTGGGTCGATCCTGACTGAAATATTTCCAAACTATCCTGAGTGACAATCTCATCGCTACTTGTATGAATAGAAATAAAACATTAAAAAAGTGTACATGGGATCATTTGTATTTATCCCAAAAGTAACATGTACCGGTACTGAATTATTATCCAAAAGATTTATTACATGAAACATGTACTTGAATAAAGGATATCAACTTTTACTGAGCAGTTAGCAGCTTTCACTACTTCAAGTGTATTATGCTGAGCCGCAGGGTGAAATTACATACCAAAAAAATATGAACCCTCCAAAACTAGGAAAGTCTAATACAGATGTACAGTTGATCCCAGAAGGCACAAAATTATATTCAATTCGGGCGATTCACAATGCAGTGCGCCACCAAGCGTTTGCCATGGACAGTCAACTTTTCAAGTTTACGGTCGACAAAACATGGCCCATATGAATGAGTGTCAGTAGACAATTTGAGCTAATTTGTTATAGATTTTGGAATAGCGTTCTGCCGCCTTATCAAAAATCACCACATTGATACAAAGAAAAGAAAAGGGCAAACATATACTCGAATCATATGCTATATGAAACTACTGACCGGAAAAACTAACAATTTCAAATGTCCCGCACTGCGAATTTGTCGACCATCTCCCACAATGCACTGGGAAAAATGAACTCTCTGTGGCAAACTCTTGGTGGCGCACTGCATTGTGAATCGCCCAAATTGATTCAGAATGGCTATTAACTGGAAGTCTTTCCATTTTTCTGCTCTGCACAATGGGCCTGATTTGGCTATTTGCGTTACGGGGTGAATCCTGTACAATAGCACTGCCCGGTTTTCTTCAACAATCTACAACCAGTCGAAGTCACAAGTGACAGTCAGTCAATCAGTCAGATAGGTTCATAGAGGACACCAGGTTGGCCCTCTGGGACCAGCAAAAGATGAAACAAATCACTTCCTCAAGTTTTCTTTCCAACTTCCTTCTCATTACATATACTGTATGGTATATGGTATATTTTATTCACATTATCACATTGTAACCCGAAGGTCAAATTGCATGATAATTTACAATATTAAAAACATCAAAATCACAGTAAACATGAATTAAACAAATTAAGAAAAACCCATACAGGTTGGTTGAGAATTTAAAAAAAATTTTTTTTTAGTACATTGCACATACCTGTAGATTTGTCTGCCTCAAATCTTTGAAAAAATTTAAAAAGCTGCTCACAGAGAATACTTATAGATAACTGGTAAAAGTTAACACGGGCTGTTTTGTTATTAATCAAAATGCGAGTAATAATCTTGCACAGATTTGTGGTGGCTCCAATTATAAAAGGATTATTAAAAAGCTGTTCACAGAGCAAAAGATTCTACTTGTTCAGCAAGCTGATGAAATAGGGTATTGGGCTGTTTTTGAATCGTGATGTCCTGGTGCGAAAGTGGGAAAAATGATGTGCATTACGCAGGTTGCGGTCGTGAGACTCCCGTCTGGTAGGAGGGAGAAGATCATTTGTACGTTCTGAATTGGCAAGTCCTTCGGCAAACCTGAGACAATGATTCTCCCTCCTATCAGCAAGAGACTCAAGCCCGCAGAGCTGCATTGCATCCGCATACGAAGTATAGCGCTGTGCCAAAATGGTTCTGCATGCACGTTTTTGCAGGTGCTCCAGAGTCTTCTGTATGAACAGTGCAAGTTGACCCTACGCATCTGTTGTTGTTCACTTGACTTTGGTCACGTGCAATGTATGATAGAGTAATTTTATTGTTATTTCACCAACAGTTTGTTGTGATAAATCCATGAAAAATTGAGCACTGGTTAAATTATAAGTTTATTGATCAGCATTTTCTCCTTGTTAATTGATGTACACTTTTGTAGACTACTGAGGGCCTGCAGAATTCATTTTCGCATTATTGAAAACTGGAATTTTTGTCTCTGCAATTTTCTAGGTATAATCCATCGAGCAGTGTGGAGATTGGGACTCGGAAAGTCTTGAAAAGCTACAATGTTAACGACACGCATTGGTGCAAGGCATGGATGTCCCCGAACCCTCATTTTGCTGTTGCACTTTGGGTTGGCTGTCGTCAGCATTGGTAAGTTTCAAAATAGTGGAGGGAGAAAAATGGGGTTTCAAAATCCATTTGCTCTTTTCTTTCAAAATCCGGTTGCTCTTTTCTTTTAAAATCCGGTTGCTCTTTTCTATCAAAATCTGGTTGCTCTATTCTTTCAAAATCTGGTTGCTCTTTTCTTTCAAAATCCGGTTGCTCTTTTCTTTCAAAATGTGGTTGCTCTTTTCTTTCAAAATCCGGTTGCTCTTTTCTTTCAAAATCCGGTTGCTCTTTTCTTTCAAAATTCGGTTGCTCTTTTCTTTCAAAATCTAGTTGCTCTTTTCTTTCAAAACCTGGTTTCTCTTTTCTTTCAAAATGTGGTTGCTCTTTTCTTTCAAAATCCGTTTGCTCTTTTCTTTCAAAATCCGGTTGCTCTTTTTTTTCAAAATCTGGTTGCTCTTTTCTTTCCAAATCCGGTTGCTCTTTTCTTTCAAAATCTGGTTGCTCTTTTCTTTCAAAATCCGGTTGCTCTTTTCTTTCAAAATCCGGTTGCTCTTTTCTTTCGATCTCCGATTGCTCTTTTCTTTCAAAATCTGGTTGCTCTTTTCTTTCAAAATCTGGTTGCTCTTTTCTTTCAAAATCTGGTTGCTCTTTTCTTTCAAAATCCGGTTGCTCTTTTCTTTCAAACTCCGATTGCTCTTTTCTTTCAAAATCTGGTTGCTCTTTTCTTTCAAAATCTGGTTGCTCTTTTCTTTCAAAATCTGGTTGCTCTTTTCTTTCAAAATCTGGTTGCTCTTTTCTTTCAAAATCCGGTTGCTCCTTTCTTTTAAAATCCAGTTGCTCTTTTCTTTCAAAATCTGGTTGCTCTTTTCTTTCAAAATCCGTTTGCTCTTTTCTTTCAAAATCCGGTTGCTCTTTTCTTTCAAAATCCGGTTGCTCTTTTCTTTCAAAATCTGGTTGCTCTTTTCTTTCAAAATCCGGTTGCTCTTTTCTTTCAAAATCCGGTTGCTCTTTTCTTTCAAAATCCGGTTGCTCTTTTCTTTCAAAATCTGGTTGCTCTTTTCTCTCAAAATCTGGTTGCTCTTTCTTTCAGTCTCTGGTTGCTCTTTTCTTTCAATCTTTGGTTGGTCTTTTCTTTCAAAATCCGGTTGCTCTTTTCTTTCAAAATCCGGTTGCTCTTTTCTGCCAAAATCCAGTTGCTCTTTTTTTTCTTCCAAATCCGGTTGCTCTTTTCTTTCGAAATCCAGTTGCTCTTTTCTTTCCAAATCCGGTTGCTCTTTTTTTTCAAAATCCGGTTGCTGTTTTCTTTCAAAATCCGGTTGCTCTTTTCTTTAAAAATCCGGTTGCTCTTTTCTTTCAAAATCCAGTTGCTCTTTCTTTAAAAATCCCGTTGCTCTTTTCTTTCAAAATCCGGTTGTTCTTTTCTTTCAATATCTGGTTGCTCTTTTCTTTCAAAATCCGGTTGCTCTTTTCTTTCAAAATCCGTTTGCTCTTTTCTGTCAAAATCCAGTTGCTCTTTTCTTTCAAAATCCGGTTGCTCTTTTCTTTCAAAATCCAGTTGCTCTTTTCTTTCAAAATCCAGTTGCTCTTTTCTTTCAAAATCCGGTTGCTCTTTTTTTTCAAAATCCAGTTGCTCTTTTTTTTTCAAAATCCGGTTGCTCTTTTCTTTCAAACTCAGGTTGCTCTTTTCTTTCAAAATCCAGTTGCTCTTTCTTTAAAAATCCGGTTGCTCTTTTCTTTCAAAATCCAGTTGCTCTTTCTTTAAAAAAATCCCGTTGCTCTTTTCTTTCAAAATCCGGTTGCTCTTTTCTTTCAAAATCTGGTTGCTCTTTTCTTTCAAAATCCGGTTGCTCTTTTCTTTCAAAATCCGTTTACTCTTTTCTGTCAAAATTCGGTTGCTCTTTTCTTTCAAAATGTGGTTGCTCTTTTCTTTCAAAATCCGGTTGCTCTTTTCTTTCAAAATTCGGTTGCTCTTTTCTTTCAAAATTTGGTTGCTCTTTTCTTTCAAAATCCGGTTGCTCTTTTCTGCCAAAATCCGGTTGCTCTTTTCTGCCAAAATCCAGTTGCTCTTTTTTTTTTCAAAATCCGGTTGCTCTTTTCTTTCAAGATCCGGTTGCTCTTTTCTTTCAAAATCCAGTTGCTCTTTTCTTTCAAAATCCGGTTGCTCTTTTCTTTCAAAATCCAGTTGCTCTTTTCTTTCAAAATCCGGTTGCTCTTTTCTTTCAAAATCCAGTTGCTCTTTTCTTTCAAAATCCGGTTGCTCTTTCCTTTCAAAATCCGGTTGCTCTTTTCTTTCAAAATCCAGTTGCTCTTTTCTTTCAAAATCTGGTTGCTCTTTTCTTTCAAAATCTGGTTGCACTTTTCTTTCAAAATCCGTTGACTTGAGCAAACTTTATGCCAAAAAAAATGTTTTCACTTGAACAATTCTTTTGTGCTTACATCGTAACAAACTGTGCCTCAAATGGCATCACATCAAAAGCACTTTACAAATTACAGTTGTCAGAAAGGGCTCAACTTTTGTGTCACTTGTCAACGAACAATAATTTCTTTTGGCTTTGAAAAGAAAATCCCTTTGTGTTTTGAGTATTATTTTAGTCATAATACTTCTTTAATAATAAAAATGTTAAGATTTTGAGAGTACTTTTTTGTCCCACTTTTTAGGGAAAAAATGTAAGAATTTTCAGCTAATTTTTTAACCAAAACAGGAACTAAATTGGATCAAGATAACAAATTTGTAGGTTTTATCAATGCAACTTACTGGAGTTTGTTACATATAAAGTATCATTAACTTTAATCATATTTAGTTAAATTAAACAAAAAAATCCACAATTTTTTCCTAATTTATAGAATGACCCATGGTTAAGCCCATTTTCTAATGTAATGTAAATTTGTAAATTAGAAATGGATTTTATAGTATGATTCATCTGAATAAACACGAACATATACCGGTACGTACACTAAACACTGCACATGTGCGTGTACAATTTATTTTGCCTTTGTTTAAAAAAAAAAAGTTGGTTTGAAGTTAATAATCAAGATGGTTAAAAGTTATTATACAAATAAACAAATCCTCCTGTGTTTAAAAACCACAACCACTCTGGGAGCAATTTGTTGATGTTTAGGGTTCAGTCATGTTGCTGTGGCATGGTTGACATTCCTGAAAGTTGATTAATTGGGGAAGGGTCACTCTGGAGCATTCCATGCTTATCAGAAGAAAGGGGGATTCAGTTGCCAGTGGAACTGGTATCAAAGATGTGTGACGTGAGCTTTTCGAACCAGAAATATTTAAAATTAACATTATTATTCTAGTAAAAGGTTAAGGTACGTGAACCGGTACAGTGTAGGTTTTAAACATCTCGTCTCTATTGAATTTGTCCCGCCGTTTTTTTGGCGTATAAACCATTACTACCGGGTGTTGTCACTTTCTACCCCCCTCCCTGTCTGCCAAGTAGTAGGGCCCATTTTTGATGGCAAGGCCAGACAATTAATGTAGCACTTGTCATTCAGCTGGGCTGGGTCATTGCTCTGCAGGGGGGTGTCAAGCCAGCTGTGAAATTGCCAGTGGTTGGTATTATCAGGGACTGCCTCAGAAAATCTGATCAGGAAGGTGTTTCTGTCTTTCTATAAAAAAAAAATGGGTTTTTGTTTTTAAGTTTTTGAAAGTGGTTTGAAAAAGTGTGCCTGCAGGCACAGGTTTTTTAATAGTTTTTTAAACAATACACATGTACGTGCATTAGCAATGGAATCCAGTTACAATGAATGAGACCCCAAAACTTATGCATTATATTTCTCCATGATTATATATTCTCTGTTTTCTCAAAAAGTATAGTATCCACTGAGCAGACATTCAACAGGGTTTGTTTTGTACCCTACTTAAAGATAGTGTCCATTATTTGTAATCTGTGCATTATGTTCGTTTGGAGCAACAAAAGTGCTCAAATTGTAAAGAAGGGTGCTGAACAACTAACCTGATGACGTTTCAGCTCAGTGAATGCTGTAAGCCTATATTCCGAGAAAACAATATTCTAGGATCTCGATTTCAAATCAAAGGTTGCTGAGTCATGTTTTGAATTGGGCCTGAATTCAGCGTCCGAGACACGTTCTCACACTGAGCCCATTGCAGCTACGCGATGTCACGCACTAAACCGAATTATAGCAACTGCGCACACATGTGCTTCATGTCAACGCTTGTGCGCGCTTCGCCAAATTAAATACGAACTACTAACGGAAATTTCCAAGAATGCGTCTTTAGGCGCATCGTTGGAAATGGCCTTTTTTCATTGATTTCTTCAAAATGACAGCTTGTCAGAAAGAATTCTTTCACAGGGAGTTTAGGCCCATTACTATCTTTCAACCAAGTATGCTTTTCAACAATAATTATGTCAGTTAATTTTTGGATAGCTGTAAATGATGGACTGTTATTTCGTTTTATTTTATTTTACCAGGGTAGCCCCATCAGTTGTCAATGAATTGTTCTCCCTGGGGGATTGTAGCTTTAAGATTGTGAGCAATTTTGTTGTTTGAAACGGAAAAATAATTCACAATAAGAAAATGATCCTGTAGATGTATGTACCATTAAAGGGAATATACAACATTTGCAAACATCGAAAAATAAAACTACCAAGTTTTTACGAAATACCTTACTAGGATGTTGGTAAATGACAGTCTCAAGCATCTTGTAAAATTATGGCACCTGGTGTGAAGTCATTTTCAAGAAAATGGTATTTTTGTATACATTTCCAACAGTGGTCGGCCGACCAGTGTTGGGAAAAACCTAACTGTTTTTCAACTACTGCTCCAAATTTACCCTTTTTTCAGTCCAAATTTTGTTTGCTATTGATTACATCTTCATGAATGGGTGCAGGCCAGCTAGACTGGTTCCCTTGCCTTACAATTTTCCATCATCTGTAAATTGATCCTTTTTATCTTTTGTGGAGTCAGGGAACCAGACTACTTGAACATTTTTGTTTTTCTTGGTTTTTCCAACCTTTTCGAACACAAAACTTCAAAAATGTCCGTGTAACAATATTTGATCTATTATACTAACCCCTCAAATAGATCATTTCTGAAAATTACAGCAAAAGCCAATGATGTACATTGATTCCCTTTAATGCTTGATTTTTCTTTAATAACTAATTTTTGTAGTGCATGGTCAGCCAGGTTTCGCCCAGGAGCCGGTCGACACCACCGTGGCAGAGGGGGGTGAAGCCATCATACACTGCGTCATAGATAACCTGGACGCCAGCGCCAGGGTGCTATGGACCAAAGGGAGCACCAACACACCGCTGGGACTAGACAGGGATATGCCAGGCTTCCCGAGGTACACCATCATAGGTGAGTTTAATAGCCGTGTTCAAATCTCAGATTTTTTCTTGCGCAGTCTCGCGGAAACTAACTGTGACTCACTGTCAACAGTTCTTTGCATAATTTTTAGCTGTGCATTATACACGGTGAGTAAAAAAACAACACGAAACCCAAATGTCGGGGACATTGTTTTAGTGAAGTTCAGCATGTAGCACTTTCAAAATCTAGGATTTGAAAGCCCAATTCATAAGCTTACTTTTAGTACAAGAATCATTCAAGTCATGGATGTAATTTTGAAGTTACGGAATTTTAAACACAACCACCGTTTCAAAGTTCTGTCCACGGATCACAAAAAGGTCTTCTTTTAGCAAAACCAAAACAAATCACATAGGGATGCACGTGAATTGTTTTCGTTTTGCTGAAAGAAGGACACCCTTTTTTTGTGATCAGTGGACAGAACTTTAAAACGGTGGTTGTGTGTAAAATTCCGTAACTTGAGTACATTATGAGTGATTTGAATGATTCTTGTACTAAAAAGAAAGCCAATTAGTTGGGCTTTCATCTAGATTTTGAAAGTGCTACCTGCAGAATTTCACTGAAAAAAATAGTCCCGATTTTTGGATTTCGTTGTTTTTTAATCACCCTGTAGATGACAGGTTCTCAGCAAACTTTCAGTTCAGTATACATCATTGCTAAGCAATTTTTTTATGAGTTATGGAAATTTGGTGTAAGAAGCCCCACATAGTGTAGTTTTTTTAACCCTAACTTTGTAGATTGTGAATACACATCTAAGGGGTTTCAAGTTTCTTCTCGCCAAGTTGACCACCTCATAACTGGTTCCCATGTTCAAGCTGGTTCCCGTTCATTCTTTTCAGGTGACCCCGCACGCGAGGCCAATCTGCGCATCGTTAACGCTCAGTTGGAGGACGACGACACCTATCGCTGTCAAGTTCCCGGACTCCGCTCTGATGAAGTAACACTGACTGTCCAAGGTGAGGAAAGAGCCAGTCTCTGCAAGCGTTGTATCTTTCGATATTGCGGTTGTCAAATCACACTAAAAATTACTGTTTTCCCCCTGGTAGTTGAAAGCCTTTTCTTCTAAAGGCGTTTTCACCCGAGTTGAAATCAACTCAGTCAAGCGTGAGTAGAACCTTGTCCGACCGAGCACATGGGCGTCGCCAGGATTTTTTCTAGAGGGGGCAAAAAATGCTTGTATTTCTCAACACATTCTCGATTTATCAGTTTTAGAGGGGGGCAGGGACATTTTGCCCCCCCCCCCCCCAACTCATTAAATTTACACCACTTTGTCTTCGCGCCTCTTTTTTTTTTCTTCCTTTTTTTTTTTTTTTTTTTTTTTTTGCTTTTCCAGGGGGGGGGGCACTTGCCCCCCTTGCCCCCCCTCATGACGCCCATGACCATGCATTGATTGACAAGGCATATCATTCACACTTTTAGTTTTACACCTTTGTGAACCAGGCCGGCTCTCAATTTTGTATTTTCTAACTGGGTAGATAGAGCTTCTCAACCCTGGTCCTGACCAGGGGCCAATTTCATAGAGCTGCTTAAGCACAACATTTGCTTAAGCACAAACGTCTTGCTTAAAAAAATCAGGTTACCGGCCAAAACTCCGTGCGATTGTTATGCTAAGTAAACAACAGCTAAATACCGGTCACAAGCAATGTACATCACATGGAGTTTTGGCCGGTAACCTAGTTTTACTAAACAATGTTTTTTCGTGCTTAAGCAAATTTTCTGCTTAAGCAGCTCTATGAAATTGGGCCCAGGGTTGGATGTTACCCGTGTAGAGCGATGGGCCCATGCAGAAGCCGTGTTGGATTCTTGCTAGTTTGAAAGGCTTCCTGGAATCGGGGTTTGGGAACTTCCCGACGGATTCCTACGGGATATGGGCCTTGTGGGGAGGTGTAAGGATTGTCCGATCGAGCTTTGGTCGACAAGGCATATCGTTCACACTTTTACACCGTTGTGAACTAGGTCGGCTTTAGATTTTGTATTTTCTACCCGGGTAGAGCCTCCCAACCCTGGTCCCCCAGGGTTGGATGTTATCCGTGTAGAGTGATGGACCCATGCAGAAGCCGTGTTGGATTCTTGCTAGTGTGGAAGGGTTCCTAGAATCGGGGTTTGGGAACTTCCCGACGGATTCCTAAGGGATATGGGCCTTGTGGGGAGGTATAAGGATTGTCCGATCGAGCATTGGTCGACAAGCATATCGTTCACACTTTTACACTGTTGTGAACTAGGTCGGCTTTAGATTTTGTATTTTCTGCCCGGGTAGAGCTTCTCAATCCTGGTCCCATCCAGGGTCGGATTTTTACCCGTGTATAGCTCTGGACCACTGATCTTTATATAAAGACTGGATAGCTAATAAAGAGCCGCACAATGAACGAATTTGACGCCATATTGGTGAGACCGGCTGGTGATCTACAAAGGACAAGTTGCCGTTTTTATAGACAGCATGATTTCTTTTGTAATGTCGCAGTTCACTTGACTTATATTTTGACCACCACCACTGACCAAGGTTAACTACAATTTTTTAACGTCGTGGTTACTAAAATGCCGCAAATATCACTTTTTCGGCGTTTTGAAATAATTATTACTACGGAAATGTGTCCCTTTTAGAACATCATAATATGTGTACGTGATCAAAATGCGCGTAAACTGTTGATACAACGCGCGCGTATTTACGCGTAGAACGTTCGTATTATACGCGGCCATCTTCGTAAGACCGGGGGCGAATTGGTCAATATGCAAAGTCTACTGTGTGAATGTTGTATGCATATCCGCTATCCAGTCTTTATATAGAGATCAGTGCTCTGGACCTGTGTTGAAGTAGTGTTGGATATTTACAAATGTAAAAGAGGTTCCTGTTCTCAACATCTTGGTATTCAGCTTGGGTCCATCACAGATATATTTGGAGCCAGGACCCTCTGTCAGAACAAACTGCTCATTTCTATAAAACTTGATTGAGAAAATCTCTTGTGTTTCTGTCGTTTTGTCTTCCTCGAACCCCAGTCCCCCCGGACCCCCCGACGATCGACGACCACGAGAACGGCACCCGGATCACGGTGGACCCCCCGGCGGCCGTCACCTTAACCTGCCGGGCCAACAACGCGCGCCCCGAGGTCGTCATCACCTGGCTGAAGAACGGGGAGCCCGTGCTGTACCTCACGCCCACCACGGTGGTGGCGGACGCCGGCGACCCCCTGGGCAAGAAGAAGAACCTGGCCAGTACCCTGATGCTGAACCCGGAGAAGGAGGACAACGGGGCTGAGTACAAGTGCCTGGTGGAGCACCCGGCGCTGATCAGGCCGTACTTTGTCACGGTGGTCGTGAATGTCCGATGTAAGTCTCTCACTTATTCAAAGAAGTAATGACTTTAACCCCTTCCTTACCATGGGTGCTTTTTGTCGACCAGGAACTACCCCCCTGCTGCTTACCATAGGTGACTTTAGTCGACAAGGAAACCACACACAAGACAACCTCAGCACAGATTTAGTCACTGCTTTCCAGAAAGCTGGCATGTTGATATGTTTGGCCGCCCGTATTGCATCAACCATATACCAGCTGAAAGAGTGTTTTTGGATCGTGCTAATGGTGTAGTTTATTTAAGACAATTGAAATTATGTCCATCATAAGCATATGTGACCTGTTCTGTCAAAATCAGACTTTTCTGGGCATAAGGTCAAAAATGAGATTTTTGCATATTGTAAAAACATGTACTTTTTCCTTTTAATAGGTGGTTTAATTTTTGAAACCGGTCATTCCTGGGCAGAGTTATGCTGTTTTGAAGTTCATTGTGTCGAAAAGTAGAAAATACAGAAAATGGCCTCGAACGTCACAAAACAGTAATTTCTTTAACTGATATACCTTAACAAATCATCAAAAATACTATATTTAGAGTTCAAATTAGGGTTTCAAACTTTTATAGTATATTTAAGGCATGTTCAGGATTACAAATATGCAAAAATTTCAAAATTGAAAAAAATCACCCCACAGCGTTTTTTGGCCCTATCTCAATTTCAACCTCTGCCCAGAGGCGTCTGCTTTTGACAGAACAGGTCACATATTACAAATATCTGCTCATAAGTGTTAAACTTGCACGTTACTTCACAAGTAAATCACGAGTAAATTACAAGTCCTGACAAGTCCTCACAAGTCCTCACAAGTCCACACAGGTCCCCACAAGTCAATTCACAGGTCTGGTCACAAAATGGCTGAACAATCATAAAAGATTTGTCTTGGTGACAGTTCATTTGAACAACTTGTGACTCGACTTGGGACTACATGACTTGGGATTTTACTTGTGAGGACTTGTGATGGACTTGTGAGGACTTGTGAGGACTTGTAAGGACTTCTGAGGACTTTTGAGGACATGTGAGGACATGTAAAAACTTGTGAGGACTTGAATTGTGATGGACTTGACTTTCAAACTAATATCAACTGTCCACTTGGCAATTATTTCAGGCCAAATGATATGAAAAACGTACATTGTGACTTTAAATATTCCGTCGTTTGACCATTCTTTCAGTTCCACCTGGTCCCCCGCTGATCACTGGTTACCAGCAGGGTGTAGCGGTACGACAAGGAGACGTGGTCGCTCTGGACTGCGCTTCTAGAGGCGGTAATCCACTCGCTGAGGTAAAACAAAATTGGTCGCAAGTTCGCAACTAATCACTCTTATCATGCACATTGCCAATGATAGGCTTAGTACGCACATTTGACTTGGGAAATGCATTTTGAACGACGTATCCTGGCACGTGACCATTGTACAAGCAAGAGGCTCCCCTTCAATAAAGAAACCATTGTGCAAGGTTTTATACAAAGCAACTGTTCTGTGCTTAGGACTGATATCATGTACCCTGTGAAATTAAACCATAATACAGGTATTAGGCCATAAAAAAAATATTCTGTCTCTGGTCAGACCAAAGTTCCGGAATTGGCGCGGCCACGCGGATTTTTTTTTTTTTTTTTTTTTTTTTCTTCTTCAAGCTTGGATTGTACAGACAAGGTGGGGTACTATTTTGCTTTTTTGGTGTCCTCATGTACATTGGTGTCCTCCATAATTTGCCTTGGTGCTTTCGATCATTTGCCTTGGTGCAATTTCCCATTCCTTGGTGCTCTTTGGTAAAAAAAATTGAGGAGGTGCGGAAATAGAGGGCGCTGTTGGAGTTACCGCGGAACATTTTGGAAAAAAAAAAATATCGACGCTTATGATTAAAATCGACGCGCGCGCTGACCAGAGACCGACTTATTTTTTTTTTGGCCTTATACATAACGGTTCTCATATTTCTCTTGTACTTCATTTACCTGTCTCTAATAACAGACATAACTTCTAGCGCCTTGAGTACCTAATTATTGGAAGATACATGTGCTTTATAAGAATTCGGTATTATTATTATTATTATTATTATTATTATTATCTAATTTGGAAGAAAACTGACTTTTGAAGGTAGTTTCAAGATGGTGTTTCCGCAGCCACACTTTTTGACGTGTGTCAGCAACTGTAACGGAGTCCAGTTGCGAGACCCTAAAGATTTTGAATAATTTCTGTTTTCTCGAAATTTATAGAATCAAATGAGTTGAAACTTCTACTACACATTAGTTGTAATACACCCTAATTAAGATTTTCAGCAATTTTGTCGTTTCAAACGAAAAAAAACAAATGCACAAAAAAGCTTGTTATGCTATGTCAAGTTCCTTGACTTTAATGCCTGCCATAATGCAGTCCGCGCCTTATTTCTCTCGAAATTAGACTACGGCTGCTGCTTACTTAACAGTATCTCAAAGAAAGATCTTTCTCGTCTTCAACGGCTTCAAAACAGATGTGCTAGGCTCATTTTCCAGATGCCCATTTACACACATATATCTCCCCTTCTTAACCAGTTACACTGGCTTCCAGTTGCACAACGCATTCAATTCCGTACTATGGTCCACACTTACAAATCTCTCAACTCCTCTGCCCCTGATTACCTCTCTTCTCTTCTCTCAATTCGAACCGGGTCTCACTCCCTTCGCTCTTCTCATGGGAAATCTCTTGTTGTCCAGAGGACAAATAAACTCGCAGGTGATCGGGCCTTCTCTATTGCTGCTCCCCGATTGTGGAATAGTCTACCCATCCCTATCAGAAACTCCGATACTGTGCCAACCTTCAAGAAGGCTCTCAAAACCCATTTTTTTCTCCCCACACCATAGCTGGTCGTACGCCCTTGTTGTTTTTCTGTTGTTCTTTCTGTAGTTCTTCTTTCTTTGTTTCAGCGCCTTGTATCCTTTGGCAATTTGGCGCTCTATAAATCCAGTTATTATTATTATTATTATTAATCAACTGATTGAATTTACCAGGTGTACTGGTGGAAAAACGGCGTCCAGATGGACCACTCCTACATCACGGATGGCGCGGGTGCGCGCAACACCCTCCCGATAACGGTCGGCTACAGCGACAACAACGCCGTGTACAAGTGCCAAGTCAGCAGTGTGGTGCTCCCAGAGCCGCTCACCGCCCAAGTCCAGTTCACTGTCTACTGTAAGTTCAGCAGCCACTTTCACAAAACTTTGCGTAACCTATGCCATGCGAAGGTTAGACGCAACGGTTACGATGTTCGACTCGTGTGCCGTGGTACATGGGTTCGAATCCTGACCGTGGGAACATTGCGTAACATACACCATGCGAAGGTTTGACCCAACGGCTACAGTGTTGGACTCGTGTGCCGTGGTACATGGGTTCGAATCCTGACCATGGGAACATTGTGCTTGTGCTCTTGAGCAAGGCACTTTACCATTATTGCTTCGTCCTTTGGATTGGACAGAAAGCCGTAGGTCCTGTGTGCTGTGTAATGCACGTTAAAGAACCAAAAGAGAAGGGTTTGCCCCGGTGTTTCTGGCAATGGCTGCAACATGCGCTGCAGCACCTAGCAAATGGGTCTCGTATGTTCATATACTTCATTTACCTGTCTTCGGTTGCATTCTCCCCCTGCACTTTGTATCCTTTATAAATACGGTTATTATTATTATTGTAAAAAAAAATTCATAAATAAATAGCTGTGCAATGTTGTAAAGACATTAAACATTTTAGACCATAACAGCTTTTCAGTGGCTGTTTGTGCACGATTTCTGAGAAGTCACGAAATAGTTAAATCCCCATCGCCGGCAGTTTATAATATACAGTGGACAGTCGCTATAATGAACGTTGCGGGATCCACAGAAAATGTTTGTAACAGTTTAGCCATTTTAAGCGGCACCCTCTTTTGACCATTCTGGCAACTGGCATTTCTCACATCCCACAGCCGCACGTGAAGTCGTCACGAAACTTCAACAATGGGTGGCTTTTTCCTTCTATTCTTTGGGGAAATAATAGCCACCGGTTACTCTTAAATATTCAAGTCCGATGCAAAGCATGGGCCATTTGACGTTTGGCGATTAATTAATTAAAAGTGGCCCAAATAATGTTTAACCTATAGACGATGTTCGGTACATTTTGTACATGAAAACTGGTAGCCCAGGATGATGTTCGGTATAGCCGAATGTTCGGTATAGCAGCGTTCCATTGTACATTTGTCCAACTTGCCATCAATTCGAGCAAAAGTCATTGGCATTATAAGTTTGTTTACAGGTGATTTTTTTACGTGTTGTTTTTCCCCTGTAGTCCCGCCTGCATATGTGAACATTACGGGTCACGAGAATATGGTGAACTCTGGAGCTACGCTAACACTGCAGTGCACATCAGGTAGGACATATTGAAATGAGTAGTGATTTCAGAACTGTTATATTCTATTTTTAAATCTATTTTTCAAGGTGAAACTTGAAAACACAGGGTCAGTAAAAAAACAACAACACAAAAACCCAAATGGCAGGACCAATTTTGGAACGAAGTTTTGCCTGTAGCATTTTTAAAATATAGGAAGCCCGATCACAGAGCTTTCTTTTAGTACAAGAATCATTCAAATCACTCATGTACTTTTAAAGTTACGGAATTTTAAAGTTCTGTCCATGGCTCACAAAAAAAGGTAAGTGTTCTTTAAAAAAAAAAACGAAAACAATTCACATGCATCCCTATAACAACTGTGTATGTTTTGCTGAAAGAACACTTACTTTTTTTGTGATCCGTGCACAGAACTTTAAAACAGTGTTTGTGTTCAAAATTCTGTAACTTGAAAAGTACATGAGTGATTTGAATGATGCTTGTACTGAAAGAAAGCTTAAAGGGAATATACAACATTTGCAAACATCAAAAAATAAAACTACCAAATCATTTTGAAATACCTTGCTGGACTGTTTGTGAATGACAGTGTAAAGCATCCTGTAAAATCATGGCACCTGGTATACTGTCATTTTCAAGAAAAGCAGGTTTTTTTGTATCAATTTCCAACGCTGATCGGCCGATCAGCGTTGGAAACAACTGGCTTTTTTTTTCTAATATTGGCCCCAATGGACCATCGCACTTGTTTGCAATCGATTACAAACCTATGAACGGGTACGAAACCAGCTAGACTGGTTCCCTGACCTTACAATTCCCCAATGTATGTAAACTGCTCTGTTTCTTCTTATATGGAGTCAGGGAACCAGACTACAGGAAAATGATCGTTTTTCTTGGTTTTTATAGCATTTTCGAACCCAAAACCTCAAAAAAGTCAGTGTAACTATATTTGCTATATATTTCCAACCCCCCAATTCCATCCATTTCTGAAAATTACAGCAAAAGCAAATGATGTACATTCCCTTTAATGACTGGGTTTTTATACCCTAGATTTTGAAAGTGCGACAGGCAAACCTTCATTCAAAATTGGTCCCGCCATTTGGGTTTCTATTATTTTGTACTCATTTTGCATGGGGAATACATCGTTCACAAATTTTTCCTGGATTATCCGTGTATCACAGCCAACAGCAACCCCAGCGCCTCGATCTCCTGGTACACCGGTGGTCAGCAGGTCAGCTCCTCCAACGACGTGGTAGTCCCCGCCCCCAACGGGGGGTTCATCACCTCGCAGAACCTGACCATCACCGTGATAGGCCAGACGGACAGCATGGATTACATGTGCCAAGCTACCAACCTGGAGTTGTACGAGTACGCCAATGCGGTGGCCACGGTCAACGTCATGTGTAAGTAGCATTGTATGTCAAATTGTACGTAAGGTGCACTTTAAAGGGACACTGGGTCCTAGAACAGCCCAATTGGGCTACAAAACGCGCTTTGAACGAAATGTTGTTAATCGGAAAGAACATTTAAAAGTAGGATATAAACATCCACACAACTATCCTTTCAAAACTGGGCGTTTTTGTGTTAATCGTGTATTATGTGTGCGTGAACGAATTTCGGGGTCCACTTTTGCGACCCCAAAAATTGGAGCTGTTTTGATGCTAGTTGTGATTTCATCCGTAAAGTGTTCGCCTTTTGCGAACGTGTAAGAAACCCTATTTTGTGCGTTGGTGATTGGTCACCGCGCACTGTTCGCGAGCACCATGCTGTGTTTATATGGTACGTACATTGACTGAAAGTGAAAACGACAGGAAAAGCATATTCATACTCCATTGACTCCGATGTAAACAACCGAGGCTTTTTTTTCATCTTTAGACATTAGGTTGGTTTCCTTTGAACCAGATGTTTGAAATAGGATTAGTAAACGATCCAAAACATAACATTTTCGGGGATTTCGGGACCTAGTGCCCACAACGCCAGAATCAACATGAAAAATAACGATGGTGATCACCGTGGAGTACTGTCAGTGCGCAACAGCACGGCACCAACCATGAACCGTGTATGAAAATCGCAATTTCTAACCCAAGCAACTGTTCAAAATTTGTTTTAAAAATGTCATTAGAATTAAGAGAAGTCTGCTTTAGGTTGAAAGAGTCATTTTGGAATGATGAAAAAAAAATCACCCTTGACTCCAACTTGATCAAAACTAAGCGATTCAGCGCGGTATTGCACATTCACGGTACATGCCGGTGATGGCGATCTTTAGTTTTCGTGTTGATTTTGGTGTCATTATCATCATTTTACCCCCAAATTTCCTTCAAAAATTCACAACCCTGCCCTCTGTCTTTGACATTCCTGTTTGTTCTTAATGTCGACAACTAGTTTGGTAAGTCAAATGAATTAAAGTGGCTTTTTATTTCTTATATGTTAAAGAGGTTGTGGAATGCTCGAAGACATTTCCGTCATTTTTCGGGTATATGTAGCCTAAGGTGTGATGAAATAAAAACGACTATTGTTTCTGTCACAAAATGAGTACAAAAGGTACTTTTGAGAGCTGTTTTTCAGTTCCTGTTTCGACCCGAACGTGCAATTTGTGTAAAAGTCGTCGTTGCGGGCAGCAAACAAAACACAGTAAATCGTGACGTAATAAACAGGACTCGTTTATGCTACTCTGCATCGGGAGTCCTGTTTATTACGTCACGATTTACTGTGTTTTGTTTGCTGCCCGCAACGACGACTTTCACACAAATTACACGTTCGGGTTGAAACAGACATGACAGGACTTGAAAAACAGCTCTCAAAAGTACCTTTTGTACTCATTTTATGACAGAAACAATAGTCGTTTTTATTTCATCACACCTTAGGCTACATATACCAGAAAAATGACGGAAATGTCTTCGAGCATTCCACAACCTCTTTAAGCCCCAGTCACGCATTCACGGTTTGGAGCTACAGATACATACAGTTTGAAATTTGTGATAAACCGTGGGAGTACCGTAATCATCCTTAGTACATCCGTGGTTATCCGTCATCTTCCTTGGGTATTCGTGGAGGGGCTACGGAAGGTTGAAACTGTTCCAAACTTCTGTGGTGAAACGTCATGAACATCAATCCGTAGTGCAACCGTGGGACATCTGTAGGACAACCATACTAATTCGCAGTGTTATTCGTGGCTATTTGTACATATTCTTGGAGATTCGTAGCTCATTCATGACAGAAATCTCTACGAATTCGCTACAAAGGTCCTACGGATATGCCCGAATGTGCTAGGTTCCCTTACTATCTTTCAACCAGTTTGTTTTTCAACAATAATTACGCCAGTTACTTTTGGATGCCTGCAAATGATGGACTATAGCCCAGTTTAAGGGGCTCTACACTAATGATTACCATTAAAGACTAACTCTGTGTGCGCATGTGACTACTTTTTTTTTTTCTTGACAGATCCTCCCGGGCGGCCGCTCATCTCGGGCTACGAGGAGGACGAGGAGGTCAAAGCCGGCAACCTCCTGCGGCTGACCTGCATCGCGGTGGGCGGCAACCCTCTGGCCACGCTGACCTGGCAGAAGAACGGCGAGGAGCTGGAGGGGGACTACGGCACCAGCGGCCAGCTGGCCACCAACGAGCTGCCGCTGATCCTGAAACAGACCGACAACAAGGCCAACTACAGCTGCAGCGCCTCCAATCAGGCTACCCCGACGCCGCTGGTCACTCAGGTCTCGCTGGATGTACTCTGTAAGTACTCGGAGGTGGATCTACATAGGGGTGGGGGGGATCAGAGATTTAAGGGGGAATAGGGCCACAGAAACATAAGAGAAAAACAAATTTCAAATGTTTCATGTTAAAACCCCACACACAGCAGTTAACTCTTTCAGTGCCCGCGAAATTTGAAAAGTTTAACCCTAAAGTGCCCAACTTCGAGCGTTTTTGTTAATTGTTCGAAATTCTGTAAAAAAAAAAAGTAAATAAGTTTTACTCACTAAATTTGTTGTTGTTGCTCTCTGGTATATCCTTGATATATTGGAAAGTCAAAAGTAGTGACAAACATAGTGATACACCCTGAAACACTGGCCTGAACACAGGGGATTTCCGCACTTTTTGCAGAAAATACGAGATTTAGTGCTGCGCCCTCTCGCAAGAACTCGAATGAAAAAAAAATAAATACAGGTCGTACATGCATGAAAATGGAACCATTAGAAAGAGCGAGAGCGCCCCCTTTTGATAACATATTTACTCTACCTCGTACATGTACGAGGTTTGGCAATTTTAAGTACGAACATTTACGAACATTACCTCGTACATGTACGAGGTTGGCGCTTTTGTACTAACAAATATACCTCGTACATGTACGAGTTTGGTACTGAAAGAGTTAACGTAAGGCACTTCATCGAAACTGACTGAGCGTTCTGTTGCATAAAGTTCATGTTCTTACCTATCACTCGGGCATTGTTAAGAAGGGCGAGAAATCGTGGACCGGACGGACGACATTTGCACCAGTGCAGCAAACTCTACAACATAATATGGAATACATGCGCAACTTGTGTTTTCTTCTCGTTTGACTTCTTAGTTCCACCTGAGAGAGTTTTCGTGACTGCCGAGCCCCCTCAGTCAAGAGAGGGCGACAGAGTGCTTGTCAAGTGTCGCACCGCCAGCAGCAGTCCAGCCAGTGTACTGTCCTGGTGGAGGGACGGAGTACCCATAGACGGTAAGATTTTTTTTATTTTTTTTTTCCTTCTTTGTTCTTCAGAAGTAATGGACACCATTCACAAATAATGTGTTTTTACCGATTCAAGGAACAACAATGCAATAAATCTATAGGTCGCCATCTTCATAGGAAAATTACAACTGCACGTTCAACAGCATGAGGTGCGTGTGCGCGCAGTGTGCAAACTGTTCTAAACAGGCATGCGTGTTGCTCGAAATTTCTTTGAAATACGACGCAGCTGATGCGCATCACAAAAATTTGATGCCCAAAATGCCGATGCACGTGGCAATCTGTAAAAAGTGACGTCATTTGAGAGAGACCTATTAACAAACTAACCTAACATGATATTTTGACCGTTTCATATTTTTAGATGTGTGCAGTTAGATTTAGGTTTTTGTAATATGGGTATAAAAGTATGATGAAGCTGATGCTGGCCTGAGCCGAAGACGAGAAACATCATCCCCGACCAGCTCCCTTATAACCAGTTTTAAATGTAATGTGTAAAACTGCTGCATAACACTATTTTCCTATTCATAAATACATTTTCCATTCTGAAAAACCCTACAAGAATTTTAAAAGAGTTATTAAAAAGCTTGATTTCATTTCAACATTTCGTAACATATGTGCATAGACTTTGATCTTTTTTTGATTTAAGTGTTTTTATATTTGTAAATGTCACTTCTTTACTAGGCGGTGAGGCTGTCGTCGAGCCGTCGGATAACAGCGGTTTCTCCACCAGCAGTGAGTTGGTCATCGAGAACGTGTCGCTGTCCGACAACGGTCGAGTATTTCTCTGCCGCGCCAAGAACGACCTGATCGTGGAGGCCGTGAACGACGGCTTGATCATGGACGTCAGATGTGAGTAAAATCCATTGACCAAAAACCTATTATATCATGTCTGCGATACTGTCATTGTTTCAGTGGTCTAGAATGGCCACGTGTCTGGACAATAAAAAGAACCATTTATTTCATATACACTGTGTTGTATATAAATGATCTCATATACACTGCGTTGCACCTCATATACACTGCGTTGCATATAATTTTCACTGCGTTGCGCGCATTTGTAGTGCATGCCCGCGCTGCTTGCAACTGAGAACTGCAACCAGTCACGTGTCTGGCAGGAAAGCTCGCAGTTATCCAAGGTTACGGGTTTATAAAGGGCATATCCCTCACCATAGCAGTCAACAGTCGTTAATAAGAACCCAATTGGAACCTGCTTAACATGCTTAGAAAGCAGGCTTTCAAGTTTTCCTACTTTTCCTACTTTTTCCTATTTTTTTTTACCTAGCTTCTACCATACCTACTTTTTGTTCTAGAAATTACTACTTTTTATTACTTTTCATTACCTTGTTGTCCCACACCTCCGAAAAAAATGAAATCTCATTGAATAATTTTTATAACAGTGTTGCGCACTGTCATTATGTTAAATCACACAATGAAGGGCTTGGGCGCAGGAGTACTGCAACTGTACTTCCAAGAGCTTAGTTGAATGTTTTGAGTACGGAACATGAGGCTTATGATGCTGTGGACATGCGTGGATATCAACAAAAACTACTAAAAGCCCACAAAAGTCCTACTTTCATCCTGATTTTGTCCTCCAAAGTCTTACGTGTGTCCTGGTTTTGTTTTTATTTTGATCGTACTGTTCACTAACTTTTTCACCTGGGTCTGCTTGAACGCCTGTGACATAGTACGCTGTTGGAACATACAGTGTTGCATTGGAAAGGTGACCCACATGCACAGTAAGTGAGGCCTAATGGTTCGATCTTTTGTGCGACCATCAAAGTCTTAAGATTTTGCGTCGGGGTGATATAAATCAAATTAGGTTTTGCCCTTCACCGACGTTAAAACACCGTATACTCAGAGTGTTACCTCCCGAGTGAAAGTTGGAAAAAATCACTCGGGTGGGACTCGAACCCACGACCTCCTGCTTTCTAGTGCAGATGTCTTACCACTCGACCGCCGACCACGTCGGTGAAGGGCAAAACCTAATTTGATTCAACAAAGTCTTTCTATAAAGTTGCAAATACTGTTTTTCCGGCCACCAGTCAAGCCCCAGATCAGCATCGCCGACCAAGTCACCATCAGCACCCGGGAGGGACCGGGTCTACAGATCCTCAACTGCACGGCCACGGGCAACCCGGAGGCCTTGACCTACGTCTGGCACCAGAACGACGCCCCCATCGCACTGGAAGGGAACACCCGCTTCACTGTCAACGAAGCCGGCTCGCTGTTTGTCCACAACGCCACCCGGACGGAGGTGGGCAAGTACATGTGCGTCGTCAGCAACGAGGAAGGAAGCAGTAACATCACGATCACGTTCAATGTACAGTGTGAGTATTGAGTAAAGTGACTCGTAGCAATGCCATGATCATGCGAGTTGTGAGTGTACGCAGAGGTGGGCGAGTACATGTGCCGCGTCAGCAACGAGAAAGGAAGCAGTAACATCACGATCACGTTCAATGTACAGTGTGAGTATTGAGTAAAGTGACTCGTAGCAATGCCATGATCATGTGAGTTTTGAGTGTTTAAGAGTACGCGGAGGTGGGCAAGTACATGTGCCGCGTCAGCAACGAGGAAGGAAGCAGTAACATCACGATCACGTTCAATGTGCAGTGTGAGTATTGAGTAAAGTGACTCGTAGCAATTCAGTGATCATGTGAGTTTTGAGTGTTTAAGAGTACATGTGGGCCATCAGCAATTAGGAAGGGAGCAATAACATCACGATCACGTTCAATGTACAGTGTGAGTATTGAGTAACGTGACTCGTAGCAATGCCGTGATCATGTGAGTTTTGAGTGTTTAAGAGTACAAGGAGTACATGTGTGTCATTGGCAACGAGGAAGGAAGCAGGAACATCACGATCACGTTCAATGTACAGTGTGAGTATTGAGTAACGTGACTCGTAGCAATGCCGTGATCATGTGAGTTTTGAGTGTTTAAGAGTACATGGAGTACATGTGTGTCATCAGCAACGAGGAACGGAGCAAGAACATCACAATCACGTTCAATGTACGGTGTGAGTATTGAGTATTAAAAGTGACTCGTAGCAATGCCGTGATCATGTGAGTTTTGAGTGTTTAAGAGTACACCTAGTACGTATGTGCCTTGTCAGCAACGAGGAAGAGAGCAGTAACGTCACAATCACGTTTAATGTACCGGTACAGTGTGAGTATTGTAGCAATGCCTTGATCATGTGAGTTTTGAGTTCTGAGTGTTTATAAATACACGAAGGTGGCAAGTACATGTGTGTTATCAATAATGAGGAAGGGAGCAGTAAGCATCATGGGCACATTCAATGTACAGATTGATTATTGAGTAAATTGACTCGTGGCAATGCCGTGATCATGTGAGTTTTGAGTTTTTAAGAGTACGCGGAGTACATGTGCATCATCAGCAACGAGGAAGGAAGCAGAAACATCACAATCACGTTCATTGTACAGTGTGAGTATTGGAGCAATGCCTTGATCATGTGAGTTTTGAGTTCTGAGTGTTTATAAATACACGGAGGTGGCAACTACATGTGTTATCAATAATGAGGAAGGGAGCAGTTAGCATCACGGTCACATTCAGTGTACAAATTGAGTATTGAGTAAATTGTGACTCATAGCACTGGTCTGATCAAGCGAGTTCTGAGTTCTGAGTGTTCATGAATACATGGTCGGCAAGTACACGTCAGTAACAAGGAAGGGAGCAGGAATATTACAATTAAAGTTCAATGTAAATGAACATTGTGAGTATTGAGTACAGTAACTCATAGCAGTGTTGGGATCATGCGAGTTTTGAGTGTTGTTTTAATGCATGGAGGTCAGCAGGTAGCGAGGAAGGGAGCAGTAACATAATGATTGAATTCAATGTACAGTGTGAGAATTGTGCATGAGTTTAGTGAGTGATAGTCAATGTTAAAATGTGAGTGTTGAGTGTTTATAATGAGTGCTTAAAAGTGGCAAAGTATGTGTTTCGTTAGCACTGAGGAACGGAGCAGTGTATCTGTATGCTACTGCACAAACGCCTATGGTGGGGCTATCACGTGCAGGTACGTGTTCAACAGATCCTTTCAGTCGTCGGGAATTGGGTCTTTTGTTGAAAACGATCTGTAGTAAGTTTGTGTGCTTAGTCTATGGGAGAGTGTGATATTACAGGGACAAAGGGAAATACAAAGCATTGTCATCGAGAGTATAGTAAAACAAGAGTCCGTGTACTGAGTGTGAGAAATGTGTAAGCATTATCATTGGTAATTTCAACAGTAGTGGTGTGCATTGTGAGTTTTGAGTATAGATTCGTAGAAATATGTGTTAAATTGGTTTTGCTACACAGACAGTACATCATTCAAACTTCTCTGCGAACTTTACCATTTGTTTCAGACTCGCCCATTATCTCCACCGGCGACCAGGTCGTCATCAACCTCTTCTCCATCAGTGAGCTGGCCTGCGAGGCAGACGCCAGCCCCAAGCCCGAGGGGTTCATCAGGTGGTCGCGGGAAGGGTTCGACCTGAGCGCGCACCAGACCGAGTACAGCGAGGGCCGAGGGATCCTGCGCATTCTCAACGTCTCCAAGGCTGACGGCGGGCTGTACACCTGCACGGCCGACAACGGCATCGCGCCGGCTTCTACCAAGAATATACAGGTGGTCGTGCAGTGTAAGTGGATGGCCCTGCCCCTAAACCGGAGACCGGACCTCATATGAGGACAAGCAATGGCCCTGTGCTTCTGATATCTTATTGGCTGTGCCGCCTCTCCCTACGTCTCATGCACACTCGCGTGGCCACGTGTGGTCTAACGATAGAGCATAGAATTCACAATCCTGATCGTGAGATTGTGGGTTCGAGCCCCGCCGTGGCCATGCGTGTTGTGCCCTTGAGTAAGGCGCTTTACCTCAATTGCTCCTCTCAACGCAGGTGTTAAATGGGTACCGGCATTATTCAATGCTGGGAAGGTAACAGACTCGTTGTGGAGGAGGTGTGGCGATCCCCCACTGTAGCATTTCAAGACCCAATCACTTTGAAAGAGAGATGGGCACTCCGTTCCTGTGAACACAGGTTCATCCCCTATGCATCATGCTTCACCCTATTAGTCACCCTATTGACCTAACTTGCAAAATAAAAAAACTCTGGGGGGAAAAAAACTTGAGGCAATATTTTTGTTGTCTTAATTTTGGCTAAATATCATGGCGTTGATACCGAAGCGTTGAAGGAACACAATCAATTATACAAAATTATATCTCAAGATAGTAACTCGCGTACGTTACCGCCTCAGGTAGTTACCGTACTTTCTCGCCGCCGTGACTTATTATCCCGCCATGGCAAGGTACAATCTCGCACCATTGAGATAGTATCTCCCCTCAGCAAGATATTTACTCCCCGCAGCGAGATAGTAAGTCGCTGCGGAAGGATACCAATTTGAATTTTTGTTATTGCTTGTGGCCCGTCTACGCTTCCATACGTTGATTATGCAGAGTTCTGTGACAGGTCTTTATTACAGCAAAAAGTGTTTCAAAGTTGCACTTTGCACAGTTTTAAAAGGAGAGGAAGTTCTCTTGCGATTTTCTCCATATCTTGTTTTTCTCCAACATGGAAATGCCCGTCTCTTTGAAAAAATGGCTTGTCACTTTTATAGCACTTTCCACCAAAGCTAGGTCTCAAAGCACTTCGCAGTTATTAACCCTGTTCATCAGGCCATGAGACCACTTTTCAGCAGCCAAGATCAGCGCAATCTGGTCTCTACCCTCGCAGGTTCCCATTTATACTCCTGGGTGGAGAGAGGCAATTGTAGTAAAGTGTCTTGCCCAAGAACACAAGCATCAGTGCAATCTGGTCTCTACCCTCACAGGTACCCATTTATACTCCTGGGTGGAGAGAGGCAATTGTAGTAAAGTGTCTTGCCCAAGAACACAAGCATCAGTGCAATCTGGTCTCTACCCTCACAGGTACCCATTTATACTCTTGGGTGGAGAGAGGCAATTGTAGTAAAGTGTCTTGCCCAAGAACACAAGCATCAGTGCAATCTGGTCTCTACCTTCACAGGTACCCATTTATACTCCTGGGTGGAGAGAGGCAATTGTAGTAAAGTGTCTTGCCCAAGGACACAAGCACCATGTTCCCCGTCAGGGTTCGAACCCATGTACCACGGCACATGGGTTGAACACCACTGGACCACGGCGATCCACAATGGTGACGATTTTTCTTTTTTCTTTTTTCGGTAGTCGTTCCGGAGATTGACCGCACCGTCCCCAACAAGGTGGCCCAGAGCATCGGCCAGTTGGCGGTGCTGCGTTGCCGGGCGGAGGGCGCCCCCGTGGTCAGATTCAAATGGTTCCAAGGAGGATCAGAGGTCAGGCATGAACTCATGAATATTTATCACACTATGAATTATGCATATCTTTTTTTCGTAACACCATGTAAATAGATACATCTAATTCACATTTCAACAAATCACAGGTTTCGTAAATGGCAAAGCTGTTTCTAATTCAATTTCTAATGTGTTTGGGTTTATTTTAATATGCTAAGCAACTTATGGATCTTTTTTCCATAAGTTTTTGTGTTCTACCAACTACCCTATGTTGGCGGTTCCCCATTTTGTCAGTGTCTTTGTTCAAGGGGCGCTAGTCAGAAGCCATAAACCCGTATATGCCATGTAGCCAGGGATCACGCCCAAAGTCACGATGCTAGCAACATTAGCAATGCTGCAAACCTGGAAAATAGCAAACGGGAATCACTCAGAGAGGATACAGCTTTTTATTACAATTTTTTTTTCTAATACATGTAAACCACAAAGGGAACCTGATTAGGTGCATTATAATTTATTTTTTTTTTTTAAAGTTGAACAAAGAAATTGACTGGAGCTGGGTTTGAACCTGCAACCTCCAGATCGCTGTTCTGGTGCTGTACCAACTGAGCTATCCAGCCGTAGGATCATTAGTGTTTGTTAATTATGCATCTTTATATGCCACCCAAGTAAATCCTTGTCATTTGATTGGAGGATTGTAGGTCACACGGCATTCATTAGTCCAACCATTGCATGGCCTACGCCATAACCGTGCATTTTTTGGTTCCATTCACCGTGCATTTTTGTCCCATCCCTTTTGATCTATTACACACCGTGCGCACACTAAGACGCGCCATATAGCATGCGTTATAGCAGTAGAAAACTTGCCTTTGAAGTTGATGCAGTTGCTTTAATGATTTTGTTGCATTGTTTTAAGAACTTACAATGTTAATTTTCATTATTGTCAGTGATTTTAAACCTTAATTGTATTGACTTGAACAAGCTGAAAAAGTAGTGGATATGGTACCATTTTGTGAGTTTTGTTTGTTCTTAAAAAGTTTTATCCTCCAAATGAATGACAAAGATCTACTTGGATGTTGTATAAAACAAATAATAAACGTTTTGCACAGTGCACGTGCAGTGGTGAGAATATTTTCATTCGTTGAAAGATGGAATGTTGCATTCAACGAGGCGAAGTCGAGTTGAATGGAATATTCCATCTTTCAACAAATTAAATGTGAAAATATTCTCACCATTGCACTCATAAACATTCATTATTTGTATACTATTGCTGTGAACAGGTGAACGTGACCAGCGACCATTACACGTTTGACACGCGTCAGGATCTGACCTACTCCAATCGCTACGAGAGTCGTCTCTACATCGGCCCCGTCAACGAGGTCTTCGACTACGGGACCTACGTCTGCAAAGCTTACAACGATCTCGGCGAGACCACTGTCTCTGTCCAGCTGGAACAAACCAGTGAGACCTTTTAGAACTTCTATTTACTGTAGAATGCAACTTCTATTCTTGCGGTTTGGCCGGGTTGTTGGTTGGGATGAGTAATTCAGTGACCCGTGATCAGTGAACCACCAATCGGATGATAGGGAATGGAACTTCTATTCTTGCTGTTTGGCCGGGTTGGGTTTGGGATGAGTAATTCAGTGACACGTGATCATTGAATCACCAATCAGATGACAGGGAATGGAACTTCTGGTAATCCTTACTTTTAGGACCCCGTTCCTATATAGGAAGGGAAAGACTCACCAAAACAGTTGACTAATAAATGACACTCAAAATTGACATTCTGATACTTCTTGGCACATCTGAACAATTGGCAATGACACCTTCTTGACTTCTAAAGACTGCTTTAGCCTGCAAAAGTCACTTTGGTACTGGACAGACATCTGCAAAAGTCAGTTTTGAACAGAACTCGTAAAAAAATAGAGGTGTCCTAAAAGTAAGGATTACCGAACTTCTATTCTTGCGGTGTAGCCAGGTTGTGGGTTGGGATGAGTAATTCAGTGACACGTGATCAGTGAATCACCAATCGGATGATTGGGAATGGAACTTCTATTCTTGCGTTGTAGCCAGGTTGTGGGTTTTGATGAGTATAATTTAGTGACCCGTGATCAGTGAACCACCAATCGGGAATGGAACTTCTATTCTTGCGGTGTAGCCAGGTTGTGGGTTGGGATGAGTAATTCAGTGACACATGATCAGTGAACTACCAATCGGATGACAGGGAATGGAACTTCTATTCTTGCGGTGTAGCCAGGCTGTGGGTTGGGATGAGTAATTCAGTGACACGTGATCAGTGAACCACCAATCGGATGACAGGGAATGGAACTTCTATTCTTGCGGTGTAGCCAGGTTGTGGGTTTGGATGAGTAATTCAGTGACACCTGATCAATGAACCACCAATCAGATGACAGGGAATGGAACTTCTATTCTTGCGTTGTAGCCAGGTTGTGGGTTTGGATGAGTAATTCAGTGACCCGTGATCATTGAACCACCAATCAGATGACAGGGAATGGAACTTCTATTCTTGCGTTGTAGCCAGGTTGTGGGTTGGGATGAGTAATTCAGTGACCCGTGATCATTGAACCACCAATCAGATGACAGGGAATGGAACTTCTATTCTTGCGTTGTAGCCAGGTTGTGGGTTGGGATGAGTAATTCAGTGACCCGTGATCATTGAACCACCAATCAGATGACAGGGAATGGAACTTCTATTCTTGCGTTGTAGCCAGGTTGTGGGTTGGGATGAGTAATTCAGTGACACGTGATCATTGAACCACCAATCAGATGACAGGGAATGGAACTTCTATTCTTGCGGTGTAGCCAGGTTGTGGGTTTTGATGAGTATAACTTAGTGACCCGTGATCAGTGAACCACCAATCGGATGACAGGGAATGGAACTTCTATTCTTGCGGTGTAGCCAGGTTGTGGGTTGGGATGAGTAATTCAGTGACACATGATCAGTGAACTACCAATCGGATGACAGGGAATGGAACTTCTATTCTTGCGGTGTAGCCAGGTTGTGGGTTTGGGATGAGTAATTCAGTGACACCTGATCAATGAACCACCAATCAGATGACAGGGAATGGAACTTCTATTCTTGCGGTGTAGCCAGGTTGTGGGTTTGGGATGAGTAATTCAGAGACACGTGATCATTGAACCACCAATCAGATGACAGGGAATGGAACTTCTATTCTTGCGGTGTAGCCAGGTTGTGGGTTGGGATGAGTAATTCAGTGACACGTGATCAATGAACCACCAATCAGTTGATAGGGATTTATTCAGGCGTTGTATAATACCGTATACTCTGTGAAATTATTCTGCCTAAAATGGTATCATTTTGGGAAAAAAGCAATCATTGAAGGTGGTTTTAGAACATGCGCCCGCGGGCACAATTTTTTTTACATGCCTTAGCAATGGAATCCACTTACAAAAATTGTGCGTACGTTTTCTCCATTTTCTCAAAAATGGAGAAAACCGAGCTGAAACTTCAACAATAGTTTTTTGATTTCCCTTTTTAACATTTTGAGCAATTTTGTTGTTTCAAACAAAAATGCACAGAAAGTAAATGTTCCCTTGTCGGGAAATTCATAACAGAATTTTGACCCCTGGAAAGAATCGCATATTGATTAAAAAAAAATGTAGGAATACCCCAAGCCTTATTCATACTACATATTTTGTACTATAAATCAATGTAATAAGCAGATTACCTCATCAATATGCATGACATATAAATATGCATGGTGTATAAATATGCATGAGTTGTATAGTTTAAATATTCATGTTTGTTCCTCCTTGCTCCTAGGTGCACCGGAGGCGCCCTTTGACCTAAAAGTGGACCAGATCCAACACAACTCGGTCAAGCTGAGCTGGAAACCAGGTATAGAACAAACATGCAGGAAATGAAATTACGCTAAGCAAAATTTACCTGCTAAGCTCAAATGAGATGAAGGTTTACAGTCGCACCATGTGACATCTCCTTTGTGAGTTTGTGAGGCTCTGAAAAGAGCCAGGAGGAAACTCAGCATTTCGGGCCGTATACTCTGCCTGTCGTCAGGAGACTGGAGATTATTCCATCACCATTCCTCCAGGTCGCCTGCTCCGAGGCCTCGTCTGCAAATTACCAATATAAGACTTGCCTAGTCTCTTCACTTGACATTGGAGCCTTGCAATATGAGCAGTATATACAGCGTGTGTCAATAAAAACGCAGGATTAGAAACAAAAATATTAAGAATATAAACCACCCCTATTCATCATAATGTTAACCCTCTTTTCACAGTACCTTTCCTTCTCTTCACTATGCTTTTTATCCCAGCTCATTTGGACAATCCTGTCCAGAGATAGAGTACATTGAAGAAGGGTTATAAATTCCAAGCTGGTCTGATTTGTGAAATCACACATACCTAATGAAAGGTTTGAATTCAGTACAGGTGAAAGTATTTGTGGATCACAAAGAAGGACATGTGTGGCAGGATTAGGTTTACATATCCTTTAGTCCACAATCAATGTTATTTGATATGTCAGAGACGACATTCATGATGCTTTGAAACAATGATAGTCCAGTTATTAAATTTAAGTGAAACTTATCATCAGTTGTTTCAAAGAAAGTTTTGTTCTGGTTTAATTGTCTTCAATGCATACCTGCATTGTACATAACTGGTCGTTGTGTAAAGGTCATTGAATCAGACCAACCCGCTTCAGAAGGGCTTCACAAAACTTGTCATAACTTTTGAACCAAAAGTCCAAATTCCACCAAACAAAAATCTTGTCAAAGATGAAATTATGGACAATCAAATCCTTATCAAATTAGGCACACCAGTAGCATAATTTTCTCAGAAAAAAAATCGCTTTGAATCCTGCGTTTTTATTGACACACACTGTACATGTTGTATCTGTTTTAAGTTTTGCAGGCATTTTTAGTTGAGTGGTTTTTTTTTTATACATTTTTTTTTGTTGGTTGTTTCCTCATCCACAGGTTTTGACGGAGGCCGGCCCCAGACCTTCCAGGTGCGTTTCAACCAGAAGGGTGAGCTGCAGTACCAGTACGTGGACGTGGTGCCGCCCAACGCCACCTCCTACGCCGTCACCAACCTCAACCCGGAGACAGACTACGAGTTCACGGTGCGAGGACGCAACGACCTGGGCACAGGAACCTACTTCCTGGGTATCGTCTCGGCAACAACCAAAAGTATGATCAGAAAACCAGAGAATTAATGGACTCTTTTGCTAAAATAAAACACCCAAAGGTCAAAATGGGAGAGGAAAACTTGAATTTGTTGAAGGGTTTCAAAAGGACATCTCTGGCCAAGTTCGGGCGACGACCATTAGTCGAGTAGTGGTTGATTTGTGACGTACCTTACGTCTGCGCACTGATAGCAACGTACGAACGTCTCTAGTCAAACGCTGGTCAAAATGTCATCGCAAAACTTCTGGATCCTGGCTCTCTGCTTGCGTTATGAATGTGCGCAGCTATTGGTTACCAGCGAAGCAACCAACCCCAGTAGGCTGGTTCCAAATAGTCGACTAGCGTAGTCAACCATCGTCGACTAGACAGAGTTCGGGCAAACGTTAGTTAACCATTGGTCAACTATAGTCCTTGCGCGAACTTGGCCTCTAATGCTTGGTGTAAAGCATCCTTAAAGATGCGATGCGATGCGAGGGTGCAGCCTCACCTACACCAACTCGGGACTTGGTCGCCGCCCTCCACTCTTCCCTATGCAGCATCAGGGTCCTCAGCTCCCCTGTGTCACTGAGACCAACATCCCGTCGCAGCGTGTCGATGTACGTGGCTCGTCTCCGCCCCCTCCTGGCAGTTCCATGAGTCGGCTCCCACAGGATGGTGTTGTCGGCTTCAGCTAGCTCCGGGTGGCGGATGCAATGGCCTGCCAGAGCCATCCTCCTCTCCCTGATCTTGTCCGAGATGTGTGAAAGGCCTCCTGAATGTCTCCTTTATGTTTTAAAGTTGGTGGCAGTGGTGGCACAGTGCGTAAAGCGCTCACCTCTCACTGCTGTGGCCTGGGTTCGAATCCTGGCTCGACTCGTATGTTAGTATAGTTGTTGGTTGATTCTCGCCTATGCCACGAGGTTTTTCCTCCCTGCTGTGAGGGTTTCCCTCCTGCAAAAATCAAAACTGTCGTTCTCTGGCTGTGCTCCGTAGTAAGCCAAGGGTCATATGGTGGCAGCCTAAGGCGCCTTTACATGCCTTCGGCTGGACCATGTTGTAGCTGCGTCCTTTAATAATAATAATGTTGGGTATTTATAAAGTGCACGTATCCACCAGGTACTGGTGCTCACGGTGCTACGTCATTATTACCCCTGCTCATTGGGCACATGAAACATTCAAAATACCATCTCAGCTCCCTGGGGAGTATACAGCTCGATGCAGCCTGTTAGGCGCAAGGAAGCTAATTCAATCACAGTAACCATCACTGCCTTCACAGGTACCCATTTACTCCTGGGTGGAGAGAAGCAATGCGTGACAAAGTGCCTTGCCCAAGGGCACACGCACCATGACCCCAGGCTGGACTGGAACCCACAACCTGCAGCTTTACCAGCAGACCACCAATCCAGTGCCCTTAACCACGAGGCCACAGGACAGTCCTTTGCAATGCAGTTTCAGCTGCAAGTAAGGATGATTAGCCCCTGAAATTTATTTATTTATGTATTATTAAGTTGAAAGGTTGAAAATTCAGAACTTAAGCGGAATTATTTTGTTCTCTTTTTTTCTCCTGTAGTTGCACCAAGTAAACCTATCGCTCCGGGCCCAACAGGTAAGAATCAAACGCACCATTGATATTTTATAAGATGGAATTTGTGTCAGGGAGACGTAAATTTTAAATTTGTTTTGTTGCCCTTTGTCAGCTTATTTTATAAAATGTACGGTTGTGGTACCCGCTGCTACATCAGACTTCAACCAAATAATGAAAGGTTTGCGGAAACACCATGTGCGAATAATTTCTCAACTAAGAGAATGGTTCTGAAAAGAACCAGAGGTATAAACTCGACGTTCCGGTCAGTATGCTCTGACCGTCTTCAAGAGAGTGCCTAAACTCTAAGAAAGTAAACACTTCAGTAGCAAAAGCGAAATCGGTGAAGTGTGAAGCTGCATCCTGTGGGAACCATTCCAGAACCGTTCTCTTAGTCGAGAAATTATTCGCACATGGTGTTTCCGCAAACCTTTCATCATTTAGTATCTCCACCATGCAAAGCCTCAAATCTTACTTAGACTTCAACCAGTTTTCACTTAGTCACTTTTCAGACAAATTACACGTTTTGCAACCTCCCCCCGCCCCACCAAAAACCAAGGGCGGATCCAGGGGGGGCCAAAGGGGGCCTAGCATCGCAATAAAGGCAGGCAATGAGTACACCACCATCTTTTCCCCCAAAAAAATTGGTTAAAGTGGTCAGAAATTGCCTCAGATCGCACCACAGAGCATCTAGAATCCAAAAGTTTTTCGGGGCCCTTAAATTTTTTGGACCCACTTTTTTGGGGACCAAAAAAATTTTTTGGCCCCCCCAAAAAATTGTGTTCTGGATCCGCCCTTGCCAAAAACGCAGATGTGCTTTAAGCCACTCAGTTAGATGTCCAGAGTCACCTTGAAAAAAAGCTTTTGGAGGGACCCTATTTACAAAAAAAACACACCTAAAAAACAGTACTCTTGCAGCAATAAGCATCATCTTGGTATTGGATATAGTGATGCATTTTTTGTCTCTGTCTTGGCAGGTATCCTTGTCGGCAACATCCCTCTCTACCTATTCCTCCTGGTCACCTTCCTGAGCCTTCTCAGCTGTGTCTTCATCAACATCTTCCTGGTCTGCTGTCTGGTCAAGCGACGTTCCTCCAAGAAGCGAAACCTCGGTGAGATCAAAGCGATGGGAGAAATCGGAGATGTCAAAATATGGTTGACCTTATTTCTTTTATCATTTCGGTTTGCGGTAACACCATGCGGTAATAACTTCTGCTTAGGAGATATTTAGTTCTGAAAAGAACTTGTCCTGCTTATTATCAACTTTCGTTAAATAGTTTTTGTTCTGATAAGAACAGTCCTGCTTTAAGTTCTAAAAGATCTTGTCTTTGGTCTCAACGTTTCGACTAGCCTGCTCTAGTCATCGTCAGATGACTAATTTCTTTTCAAACCGACCAACGTTTATCCAACCTCAGAGAAAGTTCCCATTCAGCCATTAGTCATGACAACAAAAAGTGACAAGTGAGGTGCCGCGTGGAATGCCGTCCGCGATGATTTGGTATAGGCAGGGGTGTGAAATCTCAGCTTTGAAGGGAGTGTACAACATTTGCTTTTGCTGCAGTTTTTGGAAATAAATGGATTTGGAGGATTAGTATGTTATAGCAAATATTGTTGAAATGACTTGTTTCACGTTTTGGGCTCGTAGATGCTGGAAAAACCATGTCGTGTTCTTGTAGTCTGGTTCCCTGACCACACTTTAGATGAAACAGAGCAATCATGACTTTGGGAAATCATTAGGTCAGAGAATCAGTCTAGCAGGCTTGTACCCCTTCACAGGTGTGTAAACAATTGCAAAGAAAACACGGAATAACTAATTATGAAAAATTAGGAGCAGTTTTTGAAAAAAAGCCAGTTTTCTCCAATGCTGGTCAGCTGACCAGCGTTGGAAAAATACCATTCTTCTTGAAAATGACAGCACACCAGGAGCCACAATTTTACAGGATGCTTTAGACTGTCATTCCCTAACAATCTAGTGAGGTATTTTGTGATTATTTGATCATTTCGTTTTGTGATGTTTGCAAATGTTGTATCTTCCCTTTAAAGCTGATTTCAGCTTTTTTGTTTTGGATTTCAGCTTTTTTCCCTCACTTGCTGTGTACAAAAGTATAGGAGATTGCCAAAGTTCAGCTTTTTTACACCTTTTTCAGCTGTTTTCAGCTATTTTTATCAGTGGCCACTCACACCCCTGGTAGAGTTTGTAGGATTGAATAACCACTGGGCCATTATGAAAACACTCCAGAGCTGTATTGTTGAAAAATGGGTGGGAAAACTTGGATCAGTCAAATGGGGCAGGTATTCATATAACAAGAAGAGCACTAGTCAGAGACCATGGAGCAAATTGGGGGATGTTCCAGTTATTCTCTTTAATTTGTATCACCAAAATTGGCAGTTCTAATTTTTTTTAGGTCGATTTTGAATATCCGGTTTCCATGGTTTCCGAAATCCAAACCGAATAATGTAATTCAATCGAATTTTTAACAAAAATCCAGATTTTAATCCCACCGCTATGTATTAAACCCAAAATAAAAAGCCCTTTTTTCAGAAGTACATATCACTTGAAATTTAGGGTCAAACTTTTGTCCTGACAAATTCGCTTATGGAGGAAAAAGCAAAGCGTACCACGTTAGGGACCAAGCCACATTGTGAGACATCAACATGCCTGAATGATTTTACCCACCAACACATAATTATAATCACAATTAATGGTTTCTTTTTTTTTTTTTCTTTAGCGAAAAACTCGGACGTCAAACTGAAAAAGATTGAAACCGTGCATTCGTAAGTAGACTCCCCTTGGTGTTTATGTAGAAACAGAAAACCTCATTCTAGTTCTATGTCCTTTATTTGCATAGTCAATTTCTGCTGACAAACAGAGCATAACGTTTGAAATGTTGCACAAAATCAGTTCGTTTCAGAACCACAATGATCTACAGAGCTTCCTGTACTCCTGAGGTAAAAGCTGAGGAAATATATATAAGCAGTCAATGTTTGTTTAATAAGTTTTCTTCATATTATTCCTCTTGAATTTAAACGATTCACTGCTGTAATTTATCTTCACGTAAACTTAAATCCTCGATCCTGATATCGTGTGATATCCCATACAGCACGGTGCAAACATACCGGAATTTGTATTCTTGTGGAGTCATTTCTTTGTTCTCGTGTACTAAAATTTTAGAGTTTGAAAATGTAGTTTCAAAATGCTCCTATTTTAACCAGAATTAATTTCCTGGGCTGAAATTCGGACTTAATATCCCTTACATAAAATTCTTCAATTTGCGACCGATCAACACACCTTGGAAACTCCTAGTTTTTGAGTAAAATCCATATATTTCGTGATAACCTTGTGGAGACGTATTCACCTATAGAAATTGCCCTGTGGAGATGTATACAATCTTCTGTTTCCTATTATGCACGTGTCTCCACAGGGTACCGTGTATCCGATCTATATGCACTCCAAGTATCACACACGCTATCACACACACTTGATGCACACGCTATTCTTGCTGAATTAATGTGAAATAGAATACATAAACAACTGAAAAGTGACCACAGCATACACGTTACATCTTAATTTTGCATCAAGTTTACATGAAAATGTGATACATTATTCCATGTTCCACTTACAATTGTGAGTTAACTTATAAATTATGGTACCACACACTTATTTCGTATACCTGAAGTTGCTTCCAAAGAAATATCACCGTACTGACATCCCTACAATATGACTTCCAATACAGGGACAAAGAGAGTATGACCGCCACGGAAACCCTGGATTCACTGTCCCGCCGCGACCAATCAGAGTACTCCAAGGACCCGTACTCCGACGACGAGCGTAGCTACGACAGCCGGCGCTACGGTGACCGTCGCTATGACGACGATGGCTTCAGCGACCGCGCTTACAGCGACCAGTACGACGACAGCGAGCGGCGGCCCGTCACGCCGTCACGTCGTGAACCGGGATCCGGGTACCACAACGCCGGGTACCGACCACCGTCCTACTCGGCCAGCTGGGACAGCTTTGGTAGGTTTCGTTCCTCACAGACAAATTTCATGGAAACATTCAAATCAGGGCCCAATTTCATAGCGCTGCTTAACAGCCCAGTTTGTGCTTACCGAGCCTCAATCTATTTCATAGAGACCGTAAGCGGCAAGCACAGCACAAGCACGCTTAACCCCACACACGTTTACGTTACATACCTAGTGTGGACTTTCCGTTGTTTTCGTGTAGTTAAGAAAAACCTGTGAAAAAAATAATTTTACTCACACTGTGAAAACTCTTTCAACCCAAATTTTTTACTGAGATTCCCTTGCGTGTTTGTCTTCATTTTGCGACAGATAAACCTAACCCCAAAATGCCTCTAAACCTGTTTTCCAGAGAGGGGGAAACACCTGTTTTCCAGAGAGGGGGAAACCTCGTGTGGACGTGGGCAAGTCCACACAACGTATCTGCAAACTGGTTTATGTGGAAATCGTTTGTTCGGATGTTCACACAGTTAATGTAATGTTTGCACAGACAAAAAAGTTGCTTAAATCAGTGATGTAACAATAGAAATCTCCAAGCGCATGCAGCCGTTAGCACCAGGAATCCAACTTTTCCTCGGATCTGCTGATTTCCTCGTTTTTTTTACATTTCATGAATGCCATTACAAATTGAAAAATACTTTACAAACGCTTGCGTGGTTTGGAGTTCTCTTTTTTCTAACTTCCCAGTTGCATGCCTGTAGTACATCCACGCCATGAAATAGTGCTTAAGCAGCAGGATTTTCTGGTATAAGCGCAACTTTTTTGCAAACAGTTTTTTGCTAGCAGTGCTATGAAACTGGGCCCAGAAATTTGTTATGCGGCATTTTGTTATTACAAAAAGCCAAATAAACCACAACGGGAAACTGACTAGGTGCATGCACATTGAATAATTATATACAAATATTGAATGCTTCGAGTGGCTAGTTTTACTTCACCATGAGATAAAGCATTCAATATTTGTTTTATTACACTTTACCCACAGATTCTGCTTGATTTTAATATTTTAAATTATGTAAATCTGAACACAGTTGAAATAAACTTCAATTTCAATACATAATTGGTGTGAAATGTATTTCTCTCTTCCAAACTACCCCTTCACGAAATGTTTGAACCCAAGTCCGCGGCACGCTCTCTTTGGAACAATACGCGCAACGCGCACATCAGCATCCATTTACACACAAATACCGCGCCGTAGAAATAGTACTTTGGTTGTTAATGGTATAGTACTTTGGTTGCTACGGGTATAGTACTTTTGGCCGTGCACAGAAAGACAGCAAAATTAGAAAGTAACATGTGACGCGCTCTCGGCCAATCGCGACACAGAATCTGTGGGTGAGGTGTTATATTATTTTTTATTTCATCACACCTCCCCCTCCCCCCAGCTCGTACCCCGAGCGTCATGACCGACCTGATGAGTGAGGATCAAGAGGAGCGCGACTACGCAGACCAGCTGCGACGCAAGCAGGCCCAGCTGACCTCGGCCCCGCCCTCCACCGGTAAACCCTACGAGTACCAGTCCTCGGTCACCCCGAGCCCGGTACCCAGCAGTCTGGGTAATTTCGTCCAGCTGACCAAGGCGCGGCCTGCTGATAGCCAGGCCGGCAGTGAAGAAGGATTCCTGGTGTGATGATGATGATGATGCAGAATTTGAAGGACGGAAAAAGCTTATTTTTTAGCCTATGAGGGCGCTGTTACAACAGGGGGGGGGGGTGTTAAACCATAGATTTCTTAAATGGACCGTTCCATTAAGCCCTGCCCATGATGTTTTGACCAATCACAGCCGTGATTAATTTCGACATGCGTGCACGTTTATCCGACACGTGGGATATAAACTGGTCTTGGCCAAAGACTGGCTTGGGATGTGATCCCCCAATACATCAGCCAGTCCCTGACAAATGTGGTATCTGATATGGTGGTCAGTGCCATAGCGAAGGGGGGACCTGGGGGAGGGGCCCCCCACAAATTCCCCATGTGCCCCCCCCCCCCAAAAAAAAACCACCCCAAAACAATTTGCCGCTTGTCAAGCGTCTTTTTAAAGAGTTTTTTTTTGGAGTAATTAAACGGAAGAGGAATGTAGATGACAATTTTTTTTACTTCCCCCCACCCTATGTTTTTTTTAAAATGTGAATAAATTGGTAAGGAAAAAAGAGTGCCCTCTAGCGTCAAAAGAAGTCCCCCCCCCCCCCAACCCCGTATTGAATTTTCAGCACTTGCCTGGCCAGTCGCTGCCTTGGGAATGTTGGAAAATGTTGTTGTTAGGTCCACCCTTGGTGCTCACTATTTACGTGCTGGCGGCCGATTATTTCGTGGAAGTTTACATTTCTTCCCAATCTCACCCTGATTGTATTTCATTTTATATATTAATACCTGGGGATGGCTTAACAATTTTTTACAATTTTCCGCATTCACGATGACATACATTGTATATTTTAATACTTGAAGGGACAGTATTTCTTAATGACCAATTTTTATATTGTAGGAAAAACACACTCTGAAAGACAGGTTTGAAAAAATGACCAATAAATCAACTAGTTTTATTTATTGAAACAAATTGATACAACACAGTTCTTGCCTTGAAAATGCAATAAAAACTCTCTCGCACAATCTTCAAACTTGCCATACAGTATAAAAATCAGGGGCGGATCCAGGAATTTTCGCAGGGGGGTTTTCATCAGCAAAAAATTCTGAAAATGTAGACAGGTTTTTTTCCTCCGTAAAATCAAAAACTGGGGGGGGGGGGGGAGCTGGTACCATTTTTCAATAGGGGGCGTTGTTCAAATTCGACGATTATTAACACTAGATTACGGAATGGTGTCCCGTATTTTCAACAGGCAGACATTATACCAGTAACAATTTTATTGGGTGTCACAGCAGGGGGGGGTGGGGGGGTTCGACTTAGTTTTTAGGAATTTGTATGGAAAAAAAAAATTTGACAAAGCTGGGGGGGGGGGGGTCTGACCCCCAAAAACCCCCTCTGGATCCGCGCCTGAAAATGTTTTTAAAAATATGCCTCACTTTGTGAATTTATGCCTTGCCTTAGAAAAAGCATTCCAGTGTTTTAAGATTCGAAATGGTGTATTCAAAATGGTGTACAAAGTTTGATTTCACTTGGTGCAAATGCGTTGCCATGATATTTAATAACTGCATGTAAAATTAAAATCGCTTTCCCCGTGCTCTTCAACGAAATAAATTATTTTTTCTCGTTATAAATTTTCCAACTTGTACAATGAATGTGTTTGGGTTTTTTTTTTTAACCCCAAAACTCCAATTTTTATATTTTGGGCGTCTGCAACCCTCTGAAAAAGGTTGGTTTTTTTTCGGGGGGGGGGGGGGGCCACAAACTGATAAGCCTTGTGAGCAGACTGGCTCCCGGAGTGTGCATTATTAATACGGATTGTGGGGCCGGAACCAGCCCACCCCGCATGAACGGGATTATTGGCCGTTTGCAGATAATTCCAAATTTGTGAAGCGATAATTCAATAACTAAACGTGGGCAGATTTTTTGGGGGGGGGGGGGGGTCAACGTCTCATTGAAAAGTGAATAAATTTTGTATTGCTAGGAAAAAAAGAGCAATGTACAGGTAGATGAAGTAATGTATTTTTCGGGATAAAAATAGCATGGGGAACGCGACTTAAATTATGTACACTGTCTTAATATACACTGTCTTAATATACACTGTCTTAAAATACACTGTCTTATAAATATACCTTTGTACATAAACTATTGTTATTCAGCAGTACAATCTATCGTACCAATAATTTTACCAGTAACTTTCACTGTTAATAATATGTTTCACTTTTGTATTTATCAATGATTACGCCTTATTAAATTTGTTTGTAATGTTAACCCTAACCATCCCCAATCCTCCAAAATCCTTTTTGCAAATTGGAGGAATTTGCAGGATTGAAGTTGCACGGCAAAAGTGCGTTACTGATTTCGGAGTACGCACTGTGTCAAGGTCTTGGGCCAGACCTTGTGTTGTTTATGCTCAGCTGTGCATAAATTTAGTCCTTGATTATACATGTACTTGAAATCCTCCGCACTGCTCCAGGATGTCACTGCCTCTGCCTCCGCCTATTGACAGTCATAGCCGGAGGATTTTGCAGGATTCAGGCAGTGGTCACCCCTCCATGGACCATATTCAAGAAATAACGGAGGGATTTGCAGGATTGAGGCTATATGCTTTTTTTCCATGAGGCCAATTGGAGGATTTTGCAGGTTTGAGGCTACATCCTAGCAAAAAGGCCTAGGGAGTTAGGTTTAATACATGTATTTCCATCAAATTTCATTTTGTGCACACCTACTGTACAGGTAACTTTCATTGTTAATATATATTTCATTTTTTTTGTTTCATGTATTATGTTATTCTTAAAGTTTTTGTAACATTTATATTTTCTTTTCTTTTTTGTAATTTCATGTATTGCATATTTTATATAGGTTTACCCTATCAGGACGAGGGTATTTTCCGTATGTGACGGCCGATTTTCATGAAAGTTTGCATGTAATCTTTAATAAACATGACGTCATGTGGTTGCACTGTGGCAACCACAAGACGGCGCCCTGCAGTCAGTCACGTGAGCATGAATCTCAGTCCACAGTTGATACTTGATAGGTTCGGGCAAAGAAAATGCAGATTTCCATCATTTTATTCAAAACTCACCAAATTTTATGATTAGTAGTGTTTTATTTTTAAAATCAGTTGCCATGCTAACTATGAATATCCTACAGAGTTTGCTTTGGTACCATATTGACCCCCGATAAATGTTTGGAAAAGCCAACAAATTTCATGTCGATCGGCAAAAGTTTTCCCGAGCTATTACAAGACGTTTCATAGGGGAGAGGGAACATTGTAACCCCACCCCCCCCCCCCCCAAAGTCCTGATAGGGTTAAGATCTTAAACCCAAGTAGCCCCTACTTATCTTTGTCTTTCTTGTATTATTTTGAAATAATCCTTTATATTTCTTTAATATAATTTTCACGTTGCACTTCAAATACTGTTTAGTATGTAGAATATCTTTAGTGACTTAAAAGCAATTATTCTCATCAATATACAAGCACCAGTCTTGTATATTTTATTCACCGGATTTGGTGCCCAATGAAGTCATAATCCACAAAGCGAGGGAATTTGGAGGTTGCAATGAGGTTGCCTGCACTCATTTCCTAGGGAGTTATTGCCAATATTTTTAAGTATTTGTAAGATTTTTGTATACATGATAACAGTACAAATAAAAGAGGAAATCTCAAGCTTTGTGAATCTTCTGAACACCTGTATCAAAAAGCCAGTTCGGTATGTCAACTACGCATATGCACAATGATATGGGTCACGGGTCACTCGGGATAATCAAAGGCGTATGAAGTTACGCGCGCCAAGGCCAAAAAAAAAAAAATATTCGGTCTCTGGTCAGACCAAAGTTCCGGAATTGATGCGCGACGCTTTTTGTTGTTGTTGTTTTTTGGAAGCTTGGATTGTACAGACAAGGTGGGTACTATTTTGCTTTTTGTGTCCTCATATACATTGGGGACCTCCATAATTTGCCTTTGTGCCCTCCATGATTTGCCTTGGTGCAATTTCCCCATTCCTTGGTACAAAAATTTGAGGAGGTGCGGCAATAGAGGGCGCTGCTGTAGCTACCGCGGACAATTTGAAGAAAAAAAAAGGTTGACGCGTATGATTAAAATTGACATGCGCGCTGACCAGAGACCGACTTATTTTTTTTTTGGCCTTATCACAACCAGAATGGGGTCCGCGTAACATCGCATATCATCACGTCAGCGATTTTATCCTGAATGACCTTTGACATGAACTACTTCATCGAGATACTGAACTGGCTTATTGTATTAAACCTGGGTTACATTTTAGACTCGGTGCATTGCCAGTCGAGGGCACATTTTTACCACTTCCAAGCGCCCCAGTGTGAGGGACACACCCTGGCGCACACTTGTTCGTGCACGTATTGGGCTATAGGGCTTGTTCAATGACGGCCATCTCTGTAGGAGAACTGCAGCTGTGTATTTTACATAACAAAGCACGCATTGCGCAGTGTTGAAAATGTTTCAAACACGCGTGCTTGTTGTTCGCAATGTGTTCGAAATACGACGCAGCGGATGCGCGTTATGCAAGTTGACGCTCAAAATGCCGGTGCACGTGGCTGGTCTGTAGGAAATGACGTCATTTGAACGAGACCTATTAAAGTACGCAACACTTATTTTGATCTAAATGTACACAAGCCCATAGCGTCTTCGCGTGAGTGTCAGGTGTCATCAGCAATGCGTTTGAATGTCTCTCCCAGTGGTCTTCCCCAACTCTCCCTCTCTCACCACTGAGGGGGTACTTGTGCACGGAGCCCACACAGTTGTTGTCTGTTGCAGTGTTGTAGTAGAGTCCATCACAAGTCCATCACATGTCCATCAAATGTCCATCACAAGTCCATCACAAGTCCATCACAAGTCCATCACAAGTCCTCACAAGTCCTCACAAGTCCATCACAAGTCCATCACAAGTCTATCACAAGTCCATCACAAGTCCATCAAATGTCCATCACAAGTCCATCACAAGTCAATCACAAGTCCATCACAAGTCAATCACAAGTCCATCACAAGTCAATCACTAGTCCTTCAGTCTCAAGTCAAGTCACTAGCTATTCAAATGAACTGTTACAACAGCATTTCTCTGTTATTGTTCATCCAGTTACTTGTGACTGGACTTATGAAAGGACTTGTGACTGGACTTGGACCACAACACCTGTCTGTTGTGATGTAGACTTCATGGCAATATTCTTCCCAAAACACTCTCTTTGGCAATCTTGTAGTCCAGTCCATCACACGTCTATCACAAGTCCTCCAGTCCCAATTCAAGCCATGAGCTTTTCAAATGAACTGTGACAAAAGCATTCCTTTGTTGCTCACCCACTGTCACTTGAGACTGGCCTTGTGAAAGGACTTGTGATTTACTTGTGACTGGACTTGTGATGGACCTGTGATGGACATGTGATTTACTTGTGACTGGACTTGTGATGGACTTGTGATGGACATGTGATTTACTTGTGACTGGACTTGTGATGGACATGTGATTTACTTGTGAAAGGACTTGTGACTGGACTTGTGAAAGGACTTGTGATTTACTTTAGAAAGGACTTGTGAAAGAACTTGTGTCTAGCATGTGACTGGACTTGTGAAAGAAGTTGTGAATTACTTGCAACTGGACTTGTGTCCGGACTTGTGACTTACAAATTGGTAACTCTTATGCCTCGGCTTCTGTCATCTTGCCACAAGGCCCATTTCCTCCCGTAATAGCTCCAGTACTCCCTGGTGTATCCTCGCGAGTCGGTCTTTGCTCAGAGCACGATCGCAGGACCGATACTCCAGCCGGTAGCACCGACTCGCATCGCCTCGGGTCTGATCGTGATACACCTCCTTCAACCAAACTCGCTGGAGCAGCAGTCCGGTGGCCCGAAGCAGCAGGGACACGAAACGTAGCTCATCAAATCCACCCTGAACCCAGAAGCTCACATCACGGACATACAGAGGCGGGTATCTGCTTCTTCCTATTAGCTCAAAGTCACCAAAGTTTACAGATTCCTTGTTTCCGAATCCGACCGTGGCAGGTTTCTTGCTACGCTTGTCCTGCATTGTCACATCTGTGGACCACAGCATTCGAATGTCGGTCACGTTTAACAGGTGCATGACGAGCTGGTCTAAATATAGAACTACGATGTCATAGTTTGTTGCCTCTCTAGTTGCTGTACCGCACAGACCAACAGTGGCCCAGTTTCCAGACGAATCTTTGAGTTGTATCGCTTCGTACGTTTTGACCCAGTCTCGCAGACACACACGGCAGTGTTCAAATTTCTTCTCGTTTTCCCCTTCACCGCTGCTTGGCTGGGCACCAGTTTCTTCCATTCGACTGTGACTTCTTTTAAACGACTTCGCACTTTCCATGTTACCGGCATTTTCAAGTGATTCGTTTGTCTCATGGTCGGTGCCCTTGCTCTGTATATGAACGCAGCAATGAAGATCTGCTAAAACCTTTGCGACTGAGTCAACTGTATTTTGACCGCACGGGACGGCCAGCAGCAAATGGTGCATGATGGGAAATGAATCCGGTGCGACGGCACAACGGTGATAGCTCTTGCCGAGGAGGACACACCCCTCATTTGCATGTCTGCCAATCAGACTCTTCACGTGGCAAAGGAGGTGTGGTCTGAGCAACCAAGCACCACTGGAGTCCCCGGGCTCATGAATATTCAGCAATCTGTAGACTCCCTCGCAGCCGTTTTTGATCGTCTCCGGCACCACACTGGCAAAGTCGCATTCTTGCAGTACCGTCATCTTAGGGTAGAGCGACTGGAATGCGGAGACTAGACTCATTTTAAAGATACTGAGGGGATGACTTGGCTCTGACAGAAGGTCCCTGAAAATAAAAGAAAAATGCATCTGAATTAATTTCAACACTAGAAGGTTTAATAGTGCTACTGGCTGATCCTATGGGCTCCGTGCGCCAACAAAGAGGGCGCCCTTTTACCTAGCAACGACATCCCATGGGCGGGACATTTAGCTGGTTGATGCGCACTGTTTCTTGTGTGTGACGCACACCAGGGGATTTGTATTATGTACACGCAGTGGTACAGCCGCGCGTCGCGGCAAAATTGCAATCAGGCAAGATGGCGTCAGTCGGTCACCCCCAACTGTACTGTCTTTGCCGGTGAGGGGGCACTTGTGAACGGAGCAGATAGGTCAAGAGGTTGGCCACAATGTTAGTTAAGTAACGGCTGGCATTACTCCTTACCTTTTCATGCACGCACCAATGTCTGGCGGGCACTGGAATTCAAGAGTGTTCCCGTCAAGTTTCGCTGACAAAGTCGGCGCTTCGACAACTTCAAGAATCAGTCGACTTCTCTCGAATACGTGCGTGACGGCACGGTCGGTCAGAAAACCTTTGTCTTGATTTCTATAAGAAAGAAAAGGAGTATGCATTTTTTGTTGTTCAGCATTGTTCAGTTGTTCAGTGCCAAATTTCCGTGTTTGGGATTGTGGACTTGCCACATTAGGTTTCGGCTTTGGGCCGTGTCGGAAACAAGCTCCAGATAGAGCTACGATCACGCCTACCGTCAGCTTGGCCCCCACATAGCTGCAATGAACGACGACATAGACAAGACCTCTGGACGAGCGATTCGGACGTGGCCTTGGCCTTATTGACATATGGCAGTCACAATAGGAGCACGCGATTTGATTCAGATAAATAAAACAGAATTGTCCTAATCCACACAGCGCCCTCCGGTCATGTCCGCCTGATCTCTAACATGTCCGCCTGATCTCTAGGCAGCTTTACTCCTGTTGTAATTTGGCAGATACTGAAGGTCCATGCAAAAACCAAGAGCACTATCTCTTGGGAAAAGTTGAAGCGTTCTGGAAAGTTTGTTCCAGCAAGATTTTAAAACAAGCAAGATCCTTTCCTTGTTGTAGGGTGTTTTGGTTTTTTTTCGATTGAAGCAACAAAACTACTAATAAATCTTAATAAGTGGAACGCACAACAACTTACATGTGGAAGTTTCAGCTCAGTGGATACTACACATTTTGAGAAAACGGAGAAAACCTATGAACAATTTTTTGGGCTCGTAACTGGATTCTGTTGCACGTGGGCACACCTTTTTAAAACCACTTTCAGTGATTTTCTTTCTGAATGCTATAATTTCAGGTCTAATAATTTCACAGGGTATATTTTGCACGATCCCTATCTTCACTTCGGGCAACGTTTTTCTCATTACGCCGGTTGGCTCGTTTCTGGGTATGTATCAATGTTCTTATGTGCCTTTAGGCCAAAAAAAAAAAGTCTCCGGTTTCTGGTATGCGCGCGCGTCGCCGTAGCCATGCGCGTCGGCAAAATGAAAAAGTTTTTTTTTCAATGAAAGATGATGTCTCAAAACCGCCAAACTCACTGGTTTGACTGGAATCCTGCTGCTGCACAATTTTAACGTGTTTTTAGATTGGGTTATGGTCGAAAATAAGCTTTATGTGGCCTCTCTGGACTCCCATATATTTGCACTAAGTTTAGTCGGGCACCATTTGCAGTCATCAGCATGCATTTGAAGCAAAAAAATCAGGTAAAAAAAAAAAAAAAGCTGCGTCGCCACACCACTTTTTGGGCAAGCTCCATACCAGAAACCGGAGACTTTTTTGGGGGGCCTAATACTGACCTGTACCCCGTTGAGTTATACTCCTGGTACTCCCCGGCTCGAAACGGCAGTGTGTCTGTCAGGATGAGGTCACCGTAGGTTGCCATGTCGACCACCTGCCAGGAATTCTGTTTCTCCCTCTGCGGCTGGTCGGCCGGAGTGCCCCCCTGACCATTACACAGGGTCACCAGGACTTGACCGGCCGGGCTGAGTTTCTGCACGCAGCTGCGAATTACATAACAAAACAGTGCAATGTGTTAATGGCAGTGAGACTGCCCTCTATTGACCTTGATCCACATATATGGCAGGCAGATTTATAAAAGAGATTACAAAAGGCAAATTTTCGGACAAAACCAGCTGGAGCCAGGCCGGCCGGGGTCAATTTCTGCACAGCTGCGGAACAAGATAAAAGCACAGTATATTGATCGTAGTCAGAGCGCCCTCTGTTGATCTCAGCCCTCAAGTGCCGACAGCCATGTTTATCAAAGTGATTTATGTTAAATTTTGGACCAGCATAGTGAAAAACAAAGGAAACAAAAAGTCAGTGAAGTTTCACTGATATCTAGAAGATTTTGGGGAATAAACAAAGCTGGTCCTGAGTAATTTTGGTCTTTGAGATGTCTAAACAGACATCAGAATCACATTTCTAGACATAGGTTCATTTAACAGGTCAAAGAACATAAACAACCCAAACATTCTCGTGATGACCGCCATATGTTGACAATGGTTGGACTAGAGTCGTTTGCACTTTAATATTACAGCTCATGCGCACTGTTCGACACCAACCAACCATAGTTGCCTGAACTTGCCCTAGGCTGGCCCTCTAGGACCCAACACAAATTGACAAACAGTTAAACTTTTAAAATCAGGTCAAAATCACAAAACCGAGTGAAAAGCAGTTATATTACCTCTGGAAGAAACCTTTGAGAAGCTCCCTGTTCTTGGCTATATTGGCCTTGCCGGGGACGTGGGGGAAGTTGAAGATGATCCCGTCAAAACTCTGCCCCTCCAACGACTGGCTAGCATGGATCCTGGTCGCGTCAACGCCAAATAGACAGGTTACATCTGGTGAAGCGGTAACAAAAGAATGAGGGCAAGCCAAGTATTTAAGCTGCATGGTTCCCAGTATGTACTAAATTCTATTCCGTTGATTCAGAATGGCTGTTCACTGGAAGTCTTTTCATGCATCTGGTAATGTTATAAACAATGGACTGGATTTAGCCCATTCAGAAGAGTCATCATACGGTAACCCTATACAACAGCACTGCCCGACTCACAAGTTAGTCAGTTAGTCATATAGGTACAAAGAGGACACTAGGCTGACCACTTGGACCAGCAAAAATCCAAAGCTGTTGCCACTTCCGGCTCATTTTGCTGGGCTGAATCACGTCGGATCAGCCCAAGCCTGGAATAATGTCAGCAGCGTTCAGATTTTAGACTTTACCTTTCTCTCTCAATGCGTCCACATTCTCGCGGCCGTTCTTCCTCTTGCCAACCCCCTCCTCCTCCTCAAACGACGTGGCCACCACTCGGACGCCTCCGCCCAGTTTCTGGTTGAGGGACCTCGCAAAGGAGAAGTTTCCTTCCCCGAGGAGTAGGACAGAGGCACATGACGATGACAGGCCGTCCATCTCACTTGTCATATTGGTGGCTTTGTCTTTCTAGTATAGTGCCACAAATGAATCTAAATCGTCAAATGAAAAAAAAATGAAACACTTTACACCCACCAAAAAGAAATGCTAAAACAAATTTCAAATTAGCTATTGATTTTGTTAATGTGGTATTTTATTTTAAAAACTACAAGATCTTGGGCATTAGGCCAAGTAAATAAAAAGATCCCTCATCCAGGCTTTTTGGGGAAAAAGGGAGAAATGGCGGATGGATTCTTTCCATAAGTTCTGGACTTGTTTGCTCGTTTGCTGACACTTTTGTGTCCAAAGGGGCTAAATTCACAGCTCTACCAGCATGAGCAGATATTGAACTTTATGTATATATACCAGTAGTCAGTACTGGCGGTAGCGACAATTTTGCTGTAAACAAAAAAGAAGACAGATTTATATTAAATTGCATGATAATGGCTTTCTCTATGGTCAGAAGAAAAAAAGGAGACGCATGGGAATTTTTTTTTTTACTTGGCCTACTTCTTGGGCCTTGTATTACTACTAGCATGGTACTGAGTAGTGAGTATTAATTTGTATATAAAAAAAACCATAATTTTGACAGCTCGGACTACGCAGCTAAAAAAAAACTATATTTCTTACCTTAATTGTTTGCTCAATTTCTAGATATAAAGTTCATGTTTTTCTAAATTAAAGGTGTTTATTTAATTGCAGTCTCAGGCTGTATACCAATGGAGCTAGCCGTACTGTTTTCAATTTTAGTTGACACATGAAGGGATGAGCTTGTGACGGCATTTAGACCAGTTTTGGAAATGCCTTGTATTTTACCTTGCCAAAAAGATCCATTATTTCCCTCAAAAATCAAAACATTAACCCCTTACCTGCTGATACATTGAGGCAATAAACATGATAAATATGCCATCTACCATGAGTGGGTAAAGGTTTACTGTACTACTCGCCTAAGATTAAATTTTAATTGCCAATTATTATGAAGGATCATGACATGACTGAGTATCATGACTATGACTATGTGCCTTTTGGCATTTAAATTTGACAGACATCACAAAGCAATGAGACATGAATTGACAGGGTTTTCGTTAATTATTTAGGGAAGGGGTCTTAAACTAACTAATTCCATTTCAATTATAGGTATCTTGCTCTAATCATGGATCTATGCTCTAAATTAGAAAACAAACTGAGACAAACAATTGTTTACTCAAAATTTCTGCTCGCGATCGCACGTGCCACACACAGATTTTGTTTTAGATTTTAATCATAGCGCCCTCTATTCTCTTTAGCACGTGTTCTTTCAACGTCAAATCTCGCGAGATTTGCGCACGGCGTGCGAAAACGGCATCTCGCATGCGCCCTCTTTTTCCCACGAAACCGTTCAAGGTAAGACCGTGGGTGACAAACTTGGGTCAGAAAATGATCCAAAAAGTACCCCCTTTGTCCTTTTTTTCTCAAAAGAACTTTAAAATATGAGGGTTTACATAGCAGGGATATTTAAGTGTAAGTTTTATTTTTAAATTGTGGTCGAAAGGGGGGATATTTTGGCCGTGAAAAGGGGGCATTTTGCGAACATGGCGGATAATGAGGAACTTGTGCATGTGTCGCATACGGAATGTACGGTGAATCGTCGCATACACACGCTGCACTGTGGCGCCCTCATGGTCATGATGGTTGCTGCGCGCACTTCGATGGGGGTTTTCACAGTTTTTGTTAACATTTCAAGTCCCATGTTAGCAGGTTAGGGAGGCTAGGTAACATTGTTATTGTTGAACATGTTGAACTACATTTGGTTTTGATGTGGTTTTGTAGAAAAAACTAGAAAAAGAATGATCTGATGATATTCCAATTACCATGTAGGCCCTATACGGACGTCGGGAAAATTCGGCCAACCGATCACCACTAACTTACCTGCCGCCAAACATCCAAATTTTCACTTCACCTTGTGATTTCAACCAAGAGGAATCCAGGAAAGAGTGGACATGCGAAAAAAAATTGGTAAAAATGTGTTTTTGGAGCACATTTTGCATGCACATGTAGTGCAGATCTGAGTTGAAGCAGCCGGTCAAAACTGATTGAAGTGTCTGGAACAGCGGTACGTTATACGCATGACATCGATAACCATGATGTCGCATGAGACGTCGCATGAGCCGGCCAATGATAGTGCAATACGTCATTATGAATATTTATTTTCTCATGAATATTTAGTTTATTTCAATGGATACTTCAAATACGTCCAAAGATTGATCATTGCAACAGTGATCGTGCGCGGCCTAGCGGTTAGGAGTCTCGTGTATCAAGCAAGCGTCCGAGGTTCGAATCTCGATGAAGTGAGTGACTGATTGATAAATAGAAATTAAGGAAAGGAGGGGGTGAGAGTAGAGGAGGGAAAGTGGAGGGAATAACCATAAAAGAGGTAACTTTTGGCGCTAGAAAATTAATTGAAAAAAGTGGTGATCGGGTAGCCGAATTTTTCCCGGACGTCATTTGACACCTTGTGTACATGAGACCAGTGTTCTAGCCAGGCATCAAATAGCGCTAGCACCCGCTACGCTTTCGGAAATAAGCACTACGCTTAAATCGCGCCGCTACGCTACCGCTACGCTATAAATTTTGGTTGCGAAAAAAAAATATCTGCCGTTTGTTCGTATACAAGCGCAGTGACTTTGAGCATTGCGCACTGGCCGTACGACACAGCGAAAAATAAACAACGATCCCACCGCGCGTACCCCGTACGATACCCCTACCGTGATGCTGCGCCACACGCACTCGCTATGAAAGCAATAAGCACATGCTGTTTTGTGCTGCGTTGATACAGCGCTCCGTACGGACGTACGTGTCACCAACAGGTCACGTACAGAGCGCTCTGTGGACCACACCATTTTGCGGTATCGGGTGTGCTTTCCTAAGGTCAATATTAATTACAAGCATTTCAACTTTTAAATTATAAATAATACTTTTTATCAAGTCCGAAACATGTTACTGTTTGAAAATAAGTTCTTCAACGTAGGAATATAATTTTTGTAAAGGATTTATTCGAGAAACGATGTCCAAAGAAAGGTTAAGCACCCCTACGATATCAATGGATCCGTCCTCAAAGATGGCCGCACGTGAAGAATTCTTCTCGAAGAATGTCGCTGTCGAAAATTTGGATTTTTGACTACACTTCTCGTTGCTGATAATAACAGTTCAATAAGTTTGGTAGTAAAAACGGATCTGTTTGTTTCTAAGGACAAAACCAATCAGCAAGTATTGCAACAAAGCAAGTTTTTTAGCGCTCCACGAATGCGTAAGCTTTCTCAAATGCTGAGGGAAAATTTGGTCGCGTAGTTCGCCGGCGTAGCCGGTGTGTGGGCTGGCCCGCGCCCGCACGCGGGGCCGGCCGGGGCCGGCCGCGGCCGGGATAGGAAGCAATTCCCGGTGATTATTTCTCATCGTCATTATCTACAATTCTATTTTTTAACATAACAAAAATGAGATTTCTCCTTCACATTGAGTTGTAGCATATTGAAACTGCAATTTCCGACGACTTTTTCTGTCTGAGACCTCCAAATTTGAAATGTTCATGCGATTTGTTCTCGCACTTCAAGTTAATATTGACAAAGTAAATCCCAATTTTTTTTATAAAACATTGAGGAACTACTAAAAATGGTTAAACATCAGAAAGCATCGATCTTGGAACAATTTATACATTGTAAACATAATCTAAAATTTCAAAACAGAAGAAACTTTACAGGAGCAAGAGTACCAATCATTGAAACAAATAAAACAAAATTTCTTATAATTTTAAACACTTCTGCTAAAAAAAAATCCGGGGAAAGTGGCAGGGAATTGCCTCAGATTGCACCAAAGAGCATCTAGAGTCCAAAATTTTCCGGGGCCCTTAAGCGGGCCCCGGACCCCACGCCGTAAGGGCTTCGCGCTACGCGCTCGCATTAGTCGTCGAACCAAAATTACCCCTACGCTATAATTTCACCCTGGCTAGAACACTGCATGAGACTGGTCTGAAAAATTATGTGTGTTCTCACTAAATGTTTGAATATTTTCCCTGCTAAATTTCACTTTTTAGGACCTACCGCTTTCTGATGGCTGATATGAAAGTCATTGTGAGGAATTCTTTCCACAGTTTAATAAAAGTTTAGATTCCGTCGGAATCTGCAAACCAAATATGCCAAAGAAAAGAAGGAAAAAATAAAATAGGCCTATTTATCGTGTTTATGGTGAACATAATACAATTAAATGTCCCTACCTACATAATTTTTCCAATACTTATTTTGTAGGGGCAATTGCAAGAAAATTTTGAGTTAAATTTTCAAATGAAGCAAATTTCTTGATTGGAATCCTACACAAACATGATAACAAAAATTAATAAAACAAACCTTTTATTTTTTAAAACTAATTTGGAAACCTTGTCCCAAACTTAGTCCCGTTAGTATGGCCACGCACTGGAGTAAACTCCGTACTAATGGCCATACTACCATGTGCTCAAAAATTTACAGAATCGATGGCATTCATGGGAATCATTCGGCCTGATTCTCGGCGTGCGGGTTCACTTACCCAAGCATCCAACTCTTTCGCCAAAATTAGGGCTTCTTCATGGTTCCTTCTTGTAAACATTTGTTCTCTTAATTGCCAACCGAAGTGGAAGTTCATGCATCGATCAGGGTTCGTTTCAATATGGCGGACAAAGAAAAACCGGGTTTTTCAGTACTATGGCTATGTCTTGTGCCCGTGTATTTGCATCTGGCGAAGACGTAGACGTGAGCTCCAGACCAGAGGTACATTCACGTCGGTATAGTCATTTCTGCGCAGGCGCATGCAGCTCATGAAATGCCGCGACACGAAATACCCAACGGCAGAGTTCGACATTCATCATTTGTAGGGCAAGGCCACTTTGGCCTTAGAGAAGTCAACTATTCCTAGGGTTCCACAGCCAGTGATGACGGCACCAACTGACCAAGGCCAATGACTACAGAGAAGAAGTCCACAGGATCTAACTGTGTCATATACCCGATGGAGCCTGTTGGATTGAGCAGTTAACCCCTTGTGTACATTCCTGATGCAAAATGTTGGATTCAGCAGGCAATGGAACCGCATTATAACGCATTGTTGGACTTCATTGGATTCAGCAGACAACTGAAAATGAGGCACAGTGGGGTTAAGAACGAAGTAATTACAACTGAATGGGGGTCATCTACCCTGTTGCTGGCTACGTAGCTACCGAGTGGAGTTCATCAAATAGGGATTGGGGAGGGCCAAAAGAGGATGCTGTTAAAAAAATAAAATCAACCGAGAGGACAATATCGGTAATGACTTAAATTGAATGGGGACTATTGATTGAATTCGAATGTACACCCACAATTTAATGGTCGGTCGGTTACCTGGAACACAGCTTTTTTTAATATATTTTTTCCTAACCCCAGTATTTTGGTATTTTTTTCTGTTCTTGACAGATGCCTGGAGGCGGTTGCACAGTCAAAGATGTGGACCAAGGCGAGTTTGTCAAGGCCCTGGCCGCCTTCTTCAAGTCCAGCGGCAAGATGAAGGTGCCAGACTGGGTGGATCTGGTCAAGCTGGGCAAGCACAAGGAGCTGGCGCCGTCCGACCAGGACTGGTTCTACATCAGAGCGGGTAAGTCTAGTCTGGTACCCGGAAGTCTTTTGGTACAAAAGCTTAAAGTGACAGTCCACATTCCCATGATAAATAGAGGCTGTAATTTGACCTCAAAAACCTGTGAGATTTGACGAGAATAGCAGGTAAGACATTCCACATTCCCATGATAAAGAGAGCGTGTAATTTGACCTCTAAAACCTGCAAGATTTTACGAGAATAGCAGATAATATAAGGGGTCAGAGTCCTGCCACTGGCTGTATGTTGTGTCCTTGGGCAAGCCACAGTACCCAGATTTGCGTCTCTCAATCCAGGAGTATAAACGGGTATCAGCCGGGGACTAACCTGCAATAAACTGGCATCCCATCCAGGGGGAGTAGACATATTCTCAGTCTTTATCGTGCCGAGGAAACTGGAGATTAATGCCAGACTATATTGGCTCGGAACAGACTTGACTAATTTTACTTGTAGAAGTATACTTTTAACAAGTTTTTAATTTTACTGTATTTTGTTTTTGTTCTTGACAGCTTCGACAGCCAGACATCTGTATTTCCGCGGAGGAGTGGGTGTCAGTGCCATGAGGAAAATCTACGGAGGTGAGACCGCCAAGCATGAACTCATATTGTCAGAAATCCTTTGACGAGAAACAAGTGTTCGAAATTCACACATTAGAACTATTCAGTTAAATTTGAATTTTTCTAGCAATACAATAGTTATAAATTCCAGGGTTAAGATTTGTCAGGATTTTGTCCTGATTTCCTGGAGGGGTTTTGGTCAGGATCCGATTTTTTTCTGATTTCAATACATTGTACTTTCAAAGGATTCCTTTTGAAATCTGGGAAGTTACAAAATACTTCTAGTTGTAATCTGTATCCTATTAGTGTCCAGTATTTGTAGTGCTTAATAGCATTTGGCACTTGACTGCAGCTTATGAAGTATTTTGTAGCACTTGGTACTTCATTAAAAGAAATCCTGTCGGCATTCCAGGGTTATGTACTATCCATGAAAGTGCTTTTCAGAGCTCAGTTATTGAACCCGAAAACATATTTTTCGAATCTTATTAAAATACATCCATCATCTAGTGATGGTCAAGGACATTGCAGACTAGGAGTTTTGGATCATTTATCGTAAGCATTAATTGGACATCGTGGTTCATTGGTTCAGTCATGGACTTTTGCGCTTACTTTCGAGATTGAAATAAAACAAAAAAGTTGAAAATTCTTTTGGAGGGAAACAAAAACTGAAATTTGTTGACGAGCACAGACAGTACAGCTTTAAACTGACGACTTCAAATTTTGCTAGACGTTAACCTAACTTAACTTGGATTCCCGTCTCCGTTGTGTGTCCTTTGCAGGTCGCAAGCGACGCGGCACCAGACCGAGTCATTTCTGCAAAGGGTCGGGCTCCATCGCCCGCAAGGTCCTGCAATCTCTGGAAGGAGTCAGCATCGTCAAGCGAGAAGGCAACAGGTAAGACAAAGACTGGCTGGCCTTCGATTGCATCCAAGGAAATGATTATCCCATTGTTTCAACCTTCAAAACCGAGTTTGCAAACCCTGCATCAGGCATGCAACTTTTCCTCGGATCTGCTGATTTCCTCGTTTTTTTACTTCTCATGAATGCCATTACAAATTGAAAAACACTGTACAAAGTCTTGTGTGGTTTGGAGTTTCCTCGTTTTCCCTAATTTCCCAGTTGCATGTCCCAGTTTTACGTGACAGTTTGGAAAATTTTCTTGAGTGCCAGATGAAACCGTAGTCACCGCCAAACCCTTGATTTCGAAAATGGCTCATAATGAAATTTCTTTCCTACTTTTTTCCCCCTGTGCAGTGGACGGCGCTTGACCAGCCAGGGAATCCGAGACATGGACAGAATCGCTGCCCAGGTCCATGCCAAGGCCAAGGGACCCCCCGTCGAATAGATCCGTCAGGGTCATGACCTCAACCAACACCGCCCTCTGTCGGTAGTGAACATCCCCAATAGAGTTGATGCATCACTTGGAAACAATTTTTTACTAAACTGTGGATACTTCAGTCGTTTTATCCAGTCACGAAAGTTACATCAGCTGTGAGGCACAGTATTTATTCCCAGAAAATGTTGGCAATGAAGTAAACTCTAAAAGTTCCCTCATTGTTTTAGCAATTCCAAATTTCGGTCAGATTTCCCTAAGGCTGTCAATAAAAAAAAAAGGTAATTTTCGCTGAGTTCCGGAGATTTATGGAAGAACTGTTGCACTGTAATAAAGTAGTGCCGATGGCGTGATAACAAAATACAGCTTCATGGTACTTTGTGGTTTTTTTAATTTCATGTCCTTTATAACACACTGCCAACTAGTGTTATACGAGTCAAATGGGAATATGAGTGAAATTTATTCTCCAATTGCCTCAGAATGTAGGAGAAAAAATCATAGATTTCAAAATTCTACAAGGGGGTGGGGAACATGCCCCTGGATCCCACTAGCTGGCTGTGCCTTCACTCAAATATCAACACCCCCCTCCCCATTTCCTGACAGCTGGATCTGCACCTGAAACAAATATTCACTAAGTTGTGAGGACCCCTGTTGTTTCCTTCTTTTGTTTCTGTTTTAGGACTTGAATGTATTACTTTCTTTGACATGACCAACAAGTTTTGTACACAAGTACAACCGAGGACTTGGCCACAGGGCCCAATTTCACGGCGCTGCTAAGCACACGATTTTATGCTAACAGAGCCTCCGGCTATTTCATGGAGACCGTATTAGCATAAGCAAAGCAAAAGGCACGCTTACCTCAGAGGAAAAATTTGCTGAACTCGGTGATGTAACAATAGAAATCTCCATGCATGCGTGACCGTTAGCACATCCTCGCTGTGAAATAGTGCTTAAGGTTAGCAAATTTTTCTGCTATGCTAAACACAACTTTTCTGCTAACTGTTAAGCAGCGCCGTGAAATTGGGCCCAGGTCCTTGGGGGTTTTGTAATCGCAAGGAACTCTTTGTTACAAGTCCTGAGTCAGTAACGAATGACCTGTATGCCTTGGTTGTAGGTTTTGTGCACAGTTAAATGTCCCAGGCTCGGCCACTATTGAATGCATATCGGTACATCCAAGATGTACAAAACCTCAAATCATGGACCTCTCATTGCCCTCAATATGTTAATACTTTACATTTGCTATCTTTAGAAGAATCGGCGTTGGTTTAACACAATTTTCAGCTGTGGATTTTCAACTGTGGACCTTCAACTGATAATTGACTCTATCGCCCTCTATTGTTCAAGGTCAAACCATTTCAAAGTCTTGTCCCATTGGCTGTTTGGAGTACAACCAAAATTTTAACCGTTTATTCACACGACCATTTGCTGATTTTGCCCCCCCCCCCCCCCCCAGTGTGTCATGAGCCTTTTTTGTTCTTCCAATCTCATTACCCACCCCTCCCTCCACAAAACAACCAAGTACAACCAAAGATACAATTATTTATTGTTTTCCTGTGGAACTTTATTGCATTTCTCAAAAATTCATTGCATAATAATTTTAATCAAAAATTCAGTACTTACAAGTTGCCAATGTACACACTATTAACAAACAGCTCAGAAATGTAAACTTTGAAAATACAGATGGAGACCTCAAATATTGTCCTGGCCACCATCTTGACCCCAAAAAATGGAATTTTGCCACTGCATACTCCATGTATATTAATTATAATTGACATTTCATTTTAGGCATTATTAAATCTTGGAATGATTTAGTAGAGGTAAAATCCGCTGCACAATTCATAAATTAGTTCGGTTGATATTTGACATAAAATAAAAAAAAACCAACAACAACAAAAAACCCTGAAGGTTTGCACAGTAGTATGAGAGAACTGTTTTAACAGTAGTGCTGTAACTATGGCATCGTCCCAACTACAGTAAGGATTGTCCCACCCACATTATGGGACAGTCCAAACTATAGTTAGGACCATTACCATAGTTTGGGTATAAAACGGCACCCTTGCCAAACCCATGTCATGGTACACAAACTACCTGTCATGTACAGCATACAGATGAAATTCCAACATTTCGGGGAGAATACAAAATAAATTAAACATACAGCAACTTGAAATTGACCCGTACTGAGAGATGCTGCGAACGCTCCGCTGGAACGCGCAATAGAACGCGTGTTCCCGACTGTTCTCGCAAAGGGATTTTGCCGGTCCAACGGAACGGTCCCATGTTCCCAATGGAACGCCGGAGCGTTCCACTCCGGGAACATGCCATTCCAATGAGAATGTTCTGAGCGTTCCAACTTATATGAGACGCTCCCTAATAGGTCCACATTTTTTTGTCCTGTCCCTGTTGCATCTGACATCTGTGATTTCATAATTCTGATGCACTCCTTAATGCAGTCGTCCTCCAAGAGTAATTATGAATAACAAACTACCTACCTAACAAATTTATAATAAATTGTTTGAAGTCATTCTTAATACTTGAATGGCAAATTCAAAAATTCACAGGTAATGGGGACAGGAATATGGTCACACATTGGACCCAAAATTTACAGAATAACCCACATGCAAAACTGAAAGGCCTACCCCGTTCCAACAACTAAATGTAAACTACATCGTTTTTCACAGCTTCAAAAACTGAAACCCACTATAGACCCTTTGCATGGCAGCCATTTTGGATGTGCAACACTTTTGTAATAGACGAGATGAGTTAACCTTTTGAGTGTTCGTTGTTAGATTAAAATGACAAATGCCCTCAAGATTACTACCGTTCAGAGCGTCTCTTAAAAATCTAACTGTCACATTCTAATGCCCAATCTTTTCAAGCAGAAACCATAAACACATCTCTATTTCTTTTGTATGCAAACCTTTATACGCCATTTATGTTTCATGGTCAGTGGTTAAGAGTTATAACTCAAAGATTGTCACACACTTGTTAAAAAAAAACCAGTCTTAAGTTAAATATACAGTTTAAAAAGATTACAATATTTCTCATTTGGAATGAACAAAAAGGCACTCATGGGGAAACGCTGTGCATTTTCAGAGAGACGTCATTACGTATTAACATTAACAACATTGCCATGAACATTTGTATTCAATTAATTTAAATTAAGGCCATTTCATACTCAGCACGAAAGCGAATGCGAACTTGTGGCGTCGGGGAAAAATTTGGCACCGCGAATTCGCAAAAGTTGAATTTCACAGCAAATGCTTTGTGACGTCAAATTCGCTTCACATCTGCATTAGGTATGAACCGGCCTTTACGCAGAATTGTTTTCGCCAATTCGGGCGATTCACAATGCAGAGCGCCACCAAGAGTCTGCCACGGAGAGTCCATTTTTCCCAGTGCATTGTGGGAGATGGTCGACAAATTCGCAGCGCGGGACATTTGAAATTGTTATTTTTTTTCCAGTCAGTAGCTTCGTAAAGCGTATGATTCGAGGATCTGTTTGCCCTTTTCTTTTCTTCTTATCAATATGGTGTTTTTTGTAAGGCAGCAGAATGCTATGCTCCAATCTATAACATATTAGCTCAAGTTGTCTTCTGACACTCATTCAAATGGACCATGCTTTGTTGACCGTAAACCTGAAAAATAGACTCTCCATGGCAAACTCTTGGTGGCGCACTGCATTGTGAATCGCCCGAATTCAATTTAAATTATAGGGAACTATAGAGAAACTGGGCATTCAAAACCACCTTCCTGTTTTACACTGTAATAAACTGTATTGAGTTATTTTCCATTTATAAATACCTGAGAGGTTTATCTGTACACCAGTCCGCCTGTTGTGAAGGCCCCTTCAATGGATAAAGCATTGTGCTAGCTTTTGTTCAGATTGTCCATAATTGCATAATTGAACAGTTACTCTGTGCAATAGCTGTCGCAATGCTTTAGCCATTGAAATGGGCCTCGTGAGTGCATAGTGATCATGTGCCTGGAATCGTCTCTTCCTATTGGTTGAGAAGATGGGTGGTTTTAAAGCCAGAGTCCATCATTTGCAGCTATCCAAAAACTAACTGGCGTAATTATTGTTGAAAAACATACTTGGTTGAAACATAGTAAGGGGACTAAACTCCCTGTGAAATTATTCTTTCTGGCAAGCTGTAATTTTGAAGAAATCAATGAATGAAGGCCTTTCCAACGGTGCGTCTTAAGAAGCACCGTTGGAATTTCCGTTAGTAGTTCATTTTTTTTTTATTCAGCGAAGCGCGCGCAAGTGTCGACACGACGCACACGCGCGAGTGGTCAACACTATAATACGTCGGATCGGTGTGCGACATCATGTAGCTGCAATTGGCTCAGTGAGAACGTGTTTCGAATGCGGAATTCAGGGCTGATTCAAAACATGATTCAGCAAATTTTGATTTGAAATCGAGATCCTAGAATGTTGTTTTCTCGAAATATACTAGCTGAAGCTGAGCTGAAACTTCATCAGGTTAGTTGTTCAGTATCCTTCATTAGAATTTGAACACTTTTGTTTCTTCAAATGAACAAAATGCACAAATTACAAATGATGGACTATACCTTTAAACCGCCGTTCAAAAACAATAAAACGCAGTGTTTGAAACTGGTCACGAGACCGCACCTCATGCGCGTAGTACGCGCCGCGCGCGCTGGCTACAACCGAGCGCTTGAGGACCACTGATATCATCTCCATGTCAGGAGGTATTGAGCACATCGCGTACACTGCATGGAAACAGCACAAACATGAAGTAAAATTGGTGGAACAAAATCGCTGGATTTTTTTTGGCCGAAAGGGTATGTAGGAACGGCGTTGGGCTTGGGCCCTTATTGGCAACCGGGCCCTTTCCCAGTTTTGTACATCATGTTTACGACAGGGCCCAATTTCACGGCGCTGCTAAGCAAAAAAATGTGCTTAGCACACAAAAAAGTCTGGCTTATAAAAGCAGTTAACCAGCCAAAACTCCACGTGATTTCCAAGCTATAGCAAACAACAGCTCAATACTACTCAAGAGCAAACTACATCACATGGAGTTTTGGCTGGTAACCTGCTTTTATAAGCCAGACATTTTTTTGTGCTAAGCAAATTTTTGTGCTTAACAGCGCCGTGAAATTGGCCCCTCCATTACACTGTTATCCCCACAGCCACATTACATGCAGAAACATCTGGCACAGAATAGGTAGTGGAAAAAAATCCTCCGAAAAAAAAATGGTGAGTTTCAGCCACGTGTGTTTATTGCATTCATTGATGGATGTGTTACCCTGTCATACGGTGCAATCCTCATACAACGCATGCAATGTGTCCATGCAGGGCTGCAGCATGGAGTTCACGCGGCTGGCTTTGACGAATCTAGACACACAGAAATATAATAATTGTAAGAAAATTTATTCGGCAAGGTAGCATACATCGAGACTTTGGAACATTCTCCATTCAAACATCTACTACCTCCATGTTTTCTATCATAGAAATACTCCATTTATGACTGGTGAAAGAGATTTTATAACTACGCTCATGATAGGGGGTACGTGCCGTTTTCATCGACTTTTCATCGACTTTTCTTCGAAATTACAATTTAAATAAAATCACATCTTGTGAACAAATCGTAAACAAAATCAACTTCTGTGGGACAAATCGTTAACAAATTGGAAATTTCATTGGAAAAAGTCAAAAAGACGGTATTCTGATTAAAATCGGAAAAGTTTAATCTCTGATCGTTAGATTTCGAACACTTTTGTTGCTTCAAAAGAAACAACTGCACAAATGTTCTACTCTACCTTTAAAAGACTTCTTCAGAGGGATGCGGACGCCCAAAATGTAAAGCGCTATTAAAGCACCAGCCTACTATTATCATTATAAAGACGAAAAAATCTTGGCTACAACAATATTACATACCTGGGTCTGAGTTGGGCTAGTCTGTCCTGGTCTAAGTCACCTGATTTCAAGGCTTTGGAGCAGAAGACGACCAGACTTCTCAGGCACTGGCCCCGAATGGTGTTGTGTGCTGGGTTCTCCCATCTAACAAAACAACAACAAAAAAGTAAACACGTTCGTTAGCTTTCTGCGCTGATGCAGTTCCAGGGCAAACGTGCAGCTAGTGGAACCGAGGTATCTGGCTACAGCGTTACTGTTTATACTTACAATGGTAGGTAGTTTACCAGTTGCCATGCCAACAGAACGTAGTTGACGAGAGCTTCCCATGCCTGGCAGTTGGCAAGATGTCTGCCTTGCTGGACGCAGAATTTCTGGAAAATTAAAAAAAAATGATACATTTTTCTCACTTTCATTTCAGAAACTACAGGGTTATGTTCAAGGGTGTTGCTGGGGGGTGGGGTGACGGGTGGAGGTGGGGGTGACACCCCTAATTTATCATTTCTGTCGGCAAAATCATCGTCCCGTTCGCAAAATTGTGTTTCATCTGGCAAATAGGCCGTGACAAATTCCGCATTCTATTGTCCAGTTGTGTCAATTCACATTTGTCTGATTCATCATTTATAAACTCAACATGGAGCAACAGATCCATGACAAAACAAGTCAGGTGTGTTTACAAACACAAATGCCCCGCAACAGTGACAGTTCCCATGACATAACAACACTCTTTTAACATCAACTTACATGTACCTTGGTCACATGGAACATTCATTGACAGCATTAGTGTCTTCTGTAGGTTTTATATGAATTAATCCCTAATCCCTATAATCTCAGAATAAATACATGATTTCTATTGTTTTAGCCACTGTGAACTTGACCCTTGACCTTTTGGCCCCAAATTCAATAGGCTTCTTAGGATTACCAAGAACAATCCACAAACCAAATTTGAAGTTCATATGTTATGTATTTCTCAAGTTATCGCGCTGACAAGATTTCTATTGTTTTAGCCACTGTGAACTTGACCCTTGACCTTTTGGCCCCAAATGCAATAGGCTTCTTAGGATTGCCAAGAACAATCCACAAACCAAATTTGAAGTTCAAATGTAAAGTATTTCTCAAGTTATCGCGCTGACAAGATTTATATTGTTTTAGCCACTGTGAACTTGACCTTAGGCCTTTTGGCCCCAAATGCAAAAGGCTTCTTAGGATTGCCAAAAACAATCCACAAACCAAATTTGAAGTTCACATGTAAAGTATTTCTCAAGTTATCGCGCTGACAAGATTTCTATTGTTTTAGCCACTGTGAACTTGACCTTTGGCCTTTTGGCCCCAAATGCAAAAGGCTTCTTAGGATTACCGAAAACAATCCACAAACCAAATTTGAAGTTCATATGTTAATTATTTCTCAAGTTATCGCGCTGACAAGATTTCTATTGTTTTAGCCACTGTGAACTTGACCTTTGGCCTTTTGGCCCCAAATGCAAAAGGGTTCTTAGGATTACCAAGAACAATCCACAAACCAAATTTGAAGTTCATATGTTAAGTATTTCTAAAGTTATCGCGCTGACAAGATTTCTATTGTTTTAGCCACTGTGAACTTGACCTTTGGCCTTTTGGCCCCAAATGCAAAAGGCTTCTTAGGATTACCAAGAACAATCCACAAACCAAATTTGAATTTCATATGTTAAGTATTTCTCAAGTTATCGTGCTGACAAGATTTGTCCGGACACACACACACACCCACCCACCCACCCACCCACACTTGTTTCACATGACTAGTGTGGACTTTCCATTGCTTTCGTGTAGTTAAGAAAAACCAGTGAAAAAACTCATTTTTCTCAAACTGTGAAAACTCTTTCAACCCAATTTTTTTTCTATGATTCCCTTTAGTGTTTCTCTTCATTCTGCTACAAATAAACCTAACCCAAAAATGCCTCTAAACCTGTTTTCCAGAAATGGGGAAACACTGTGTGGACGTGGGGTAAGTCCACACAACGTCGGTGCTACCTACATTATGTGGACGTCTTTTGTTCGGAAGTCCACACTGCGTATGTAAGACAAACTCACCCACCCACCCACACACCCACCCACCCACACACCCACCCACGGAAGGACAAGGCGGAAACAGTATGCCCCTTCGGCTTCGCCGTGGGGCATAAAAATGAAATTGAAAACTGACCTTGAATTCTAAGAGGTGAACTTTGACCTGTCGATAGCTCAGCGCCCCCCGGGTCGACGCTAGTCTGGTGCGGGGAAGGGCGCGGAAAATATTGTGAAGAAGTTCCGATAATCTCTCCTGGCACTTGGATAAATCGGGCTGTGGTAGCAGGGCTAGTACTTCCTGGATGGGGGTAAATAACGTCATTGGGATAAATTGGGTGGTAAGCAAAGTAGAATGGGTTGAATTGGGTTAAGGGGTAGCAGGACTAATGCTATATATATGGGTAATAAAAATATCACTGGGTTGTACTGGGCGGTAAGCAAGTAGAACTGGGTCGAAATGGGTTGCTGTAGTGGGACCAATGCTACGTAGATGGGTGATAATTATGTCACTGGGTTGTATTGGGTGGCAAGCAATGTAGAACTGGGTTAAATCTGATTCAGGTACATGCAGGCAAGACTAATACAGTGTACTTCTACTTCAACATAAAAAAATTGCAGACAAAGACGACTGAGTAAAATCAATGTTGGGTTTAGGTAGTGGAACTGATACTTCATAATGTACAAAAAAATGGGTACAAACTTGGTGCAAAAGCACCCCCCCCCTCCCCCAATGGTTACAAATGGAGAGTTTGGGTAGACCTTTTGGAGGAACATTCAAATGCATTGCAGATGACTCTTGACGCTCATGCGAAGAAGGTGCGGGTTTATGCACATTCAGAATAAAATAAGCCACGCATACTTTGCGCCATGTGTGCGTGAATCAGTACCTTTCACTGGGATTTTGAAATGGTCAGAGAAAGCAAACTTCTACACCTGCACATACATGTAGTCCATAAATGAAAGTGTCCCAAGATTAAAGTTGTTCCGTGCTCTTTTCGACTTTCATCCCGAAAACTAGATTCCTTTTCTGAAAATTGCTATTTTTCTAGCAGCACAAAAGTTATTCACTTTTGAATGAGACATCGACTGAAAAAAATCGGTCCATGTGTGAAGTTATTGAATTATTATTTTATTATTATTATTTCTAATTATTGGCTGCCAGACAATAATTCCATTCTCGCGGGGTAGGCTGGTTCCCACCCCACAATCAGTATCGATAATGTACAGGCTGGGAGCCAGGAATCTATTTTTCGGGATGAAACTAAAAACTAAAAAAAATAGCACGGGGAACGCATTTTTTACTCACTTTGTGCATATCGGGATATTTCTCCACCAGTCTCTCAACCACCTCGACTAACTGCTCGCTGGTCAGGCTGGCCAGCTGTTGCCCTAGTGATGCCCAGTCACCTAGCGACAGCATCCTGGGCCGCTTGGCTGGAGCAGGTTCAGCGGGCTGCAACGAGATGATCACCGGGGAGTCACCAGGGCTGTCCAGATGTATTGTGAAGGGTAGCTGGGCGCCGGGCGACGTAGGGGTCTCCAGGGTGCGTTTGGTGGGCGACTTGTGGGTCGACTTGGGCGTCTTGGGTGGGGTCTCAAAGTTGAAGTCGAAAGCTCCGGCTGAAAATGAAACAAAACAATTTCTGACTGGTTCTCCATTAAACCCCGAACTTGAATTTGCTTAAATGCAAACTGTTTCACTTGATTCTGCCTGACTAACACGGCTGCCCACCACTTTTTGCATGCGCAATCTAAACAGGCCTACATGTACTAAACTTGAGAGCGCTAATGAGGTTAAAATCAACGCATTTCCACAGTTTCTCTTCTCTTTTTCCAGTTTGTTTTTACGGCTGGAAAAAGCAGAATTTTGTGAGATTCAAAAAAAAAAAACGGAATTCAGGCTTAAACCGGAAAAGTGGCATCTCTCTTGGTAGAAAAATTTGGACCTTTCTCTTTCACTTCCTTACATGATGGCTCATGATCTTGTTCGTCGTTTTTCGTTGTCTCCTCGGGATCACTGGGTTCAAAGGTAAAACTCCCAGTAGGCAGCTGTGGGGACGGAACCTGCCTACTGATAGGGGAGAGATCAGCATAGGTCACCCTGGGGCGAGGTCGCAGCGTCCGACGGCGCAGTATCCCAAGAGTCCATGCGTCGTTGACCTCAACGTTTCCTCTGGAATCTATGGCTGCATGTGGAAAATAAGATGAACATGATAAGCCAAGGTTTTAGAAATGTACTGGTATACCGCAACACTGGTACCCCTTCTATCACTTTGTGCACAAATCCACAGTTGTAAACTTGTAAACACAATATGGCCATTCCAAATGTGGAAGACTCTGGTGACGTAATTGTGCTGAAACTTCGTAATCAGGCAGATCGTATAGCACCCTCATGCATACATGTGTATAGATGTAGCTTATGGAAAGAATGTTGCAACCTGATGCTACTTCAGCGGTTGTGTACAAAGCCTATGGAGAGTAAAGAAAATTTTGTAAGAATTTCCTAACAAAATTGCAAATGTTTCTCAGTCCCAGATTCATGTCTTATCATCATTTTTGCAATGACTGACCTTCATTGAGATGATATGTGAAGAAAAAAGCAGTGTCAGGTTGCAACATTCTTTCCTAGCCTATTATTACCATGTAGGCCCCCCCCCCCCCCTATTAACAGATAATAAATTGCCAACTCGAGCGAGCGCATGGCCTGGTGTAGCGACTAGCAGACTAGTGGATAGCGCGTCCACCTTGCAAAACCGCCGCTCAAGCATGTCGAGTTCAAGTCCCGGAAGCTTTGCCGTTGTTTTTTAATCCTTAGTTTTTGTGTCTCAAAAAGTGAGAATTGTCTTCTTTTATTGTTTTAAATCAGATCAATTTCTTCTGATGCATCGCTCCGCAGGATTTTTTTAAAAAGGGAAGTAAAGTGCGAAATTGCATTAGGTCTGATTCCCATCGTGTAAATATGCATCACAATGGCTACTATGCTTGTAAGTGCGGAACCAGACAAAGATTTCTAACTAGGAAATGTACGTCCCAACCAAAAGGCAAAACCGTCACTGCGCATGTTAATTAAGTGCCGTGCCGTCCATCACAATACCATACAAAAACAAGCGGGGACCAGCTCACGGTCGATCAAACATACACTGCCAATATTTTTACAAGTTCCCTAGACATGCTAGAAGTCATGAGAATCGTTATGTAGGCTAGGCCTACAATTTGTATTGTAATAAACCAAAAAAGGTACAAAAACAATGCAATGGATAAATCATCTGAATTAGTGAATATTATTAGTTAATAACACAACTAAACAAAACATACATACACACATAGAGAAAAAAAATTATATTTTTATAGAGTTAGCCCCCCCCCCCCTTTTTTGCTCGAGCCCACGCCCCTCCACTTTATTATATAATGCTATCACGAAACACAAAATCACAAACCCGAATCGGGAATGCTGATCTCTCTCAAAACGCCCCGTGGTTCATCCTCAAAAATGTCGTTAATAGACGCTGCCATGACTCTAAAATCTCCTCCTCGGTGATTGAAAGTTCCCTTTTTCTATATCAGACAAATAAGTTTCATTTCGTTCGTGGTAAAGTTGGATTCTGAGCTCGAGTTTCGATGCCGTTCTTGGAGAAGTGGACGTCCCGCTGGAAAGCCCGCCGGTTGTTGATCTGTGAATGCCCCGCGTAAAATGCAAATTATCTAAGCGGGAGTTTACTCGGAGCTGTACGATTGGTCCAAAGAAAGTCTTGATGAATATTCAGATATTACTGGTCGAAGATTATTATATCAAAACAAAAAGGAAAATCGTATTCAACTTAGAATCATGTACCTATCGATATTGAAGAAAAAAAATCATGCAAGATTTTACAGAAGAAATGTGTTAATATTCGCAAAAACTGTACATTATTCAATTCACATCACCGCTACAAATTTACATATTGATCTTTTTGGTCAAACGTCTTTTCATTGGTCAACCACACTTCATTGGTTACTACACTTTAAAAATGGCGGCCTCCATGAACTAGTATGAACTAGTGCCTGATGCAGTGGTGATCAATAATGCGTAAGAATTACAAAACAGCCCCAGATGTTACCCGATGAAAAACATACTGTTAGCTTGTGGGAGTTTTTCAATGCTTGTGTTTGTTCCAGCCAATATTTTATTTAAAATCCATTGAAGGGTGAAGAAAAACATCTTTTTTTTGCACGTTAAATTGAATGCCCAGTTTCCGGACAACTCTGTCAAGTCGGCGTGGCTGTTCGAACGGAAAGAATGTATGGCCTAACGTTAAATTAGTATGCAGACGCCACTTCTCCAGCTGTGTACAATTTACAAAGTCTATGGAGAGTCGAGTGAAATTTTCAAAGTATTTTCTAACATAGTTGGAACTGTTTTTTTCAGTCCCAGATTCATGTCCTTTTATTCATTATTGTTTTCAAATTCAAGTTTCATCATGAACGTCCATGCCAAAATTGTAAAGGGATGCTGCTAGCCAGATACAGATACAGACTTCCCTTCGGAAAAAAACGTTGCAACCTGAATTTCCTGAAATGACGCAACTTTTTTTCTTCATAGGGGCCTAGCCCAGGTTGGACGAAGTCTTCATTGCAATACGACTCCCTCCGTTAAGTAGGGAGGAAAGGGAGTCCACCTGGGCTACATAGGGGCCTAGTTGAAGGTCATTCATTGCAAAAATGTTGATAAGACATGAGAAATATTGATGATTACGGTAGCTTCTCCAGAAAAAAACATTTACCACGTCTGTTGTGCGTGCATGTTGTGTACTCACCGCACCTGTGTTATGGCCGCATCATATGCAAGGGAAAAAAATCGCATTCAGGGATCTGCCGAAGAGCGCACCAATTGGAGCTTCAGCAGATCCCAGAATGCGATTTCCCCCCCCCCCCCACTATTTGATTTTGCGGAGGCCAAGTGTTGGAGAAAAAAACGTGTCTACATTTCAGCACGGATGTGCAAGTGCCCTTTTCAAGAAATGTTTACCCCCCCCCCCCCAATAAAAATGACCGTGCTATGCCACTTTTATGAATGGGAAAAAATATGTGCTTGGCCAGTATTAAACAAGTACATTTAAGACCCAGCTCAGGGGCCTGGTCGCCGATAATGTCCCGAGCCAAATCTCAGCGTCCAGTCCCCTGGGCCAGTCTTAAACCGGCCAAGCACATATCTATTCCTTTGTTAAAAAGGAAACCAGCCAAAAGAATACTATGGCAGAAAGTATGCAGGACTAATTTTATTCTGAATCTCAAAATTTGATTTTTTTAATTTTATGTCTTTCTGGTAATGAAACCAAGGATTCCTCAAAAGTGCCCTAGGCACTGTAGCTCGCAAGCCTGAAGAAACCTATAGAGAGGAGACAATGAGAAGAAATTACAGTTTTAGAGGTAGGAGGAAAAACCCAGAAGAATATTCTGGGGAAAACCCACAGAATCAGGTAGGGACTGAAAACCCAATCCACATATTGGCCCAGGCGGGATTCGAACCCGGGTCACAGCGGTGGAAGGCGAGGAAAGTACAGCTACGCCAACTTGACTCCCCCACTCCCCCATCAAGCACTAAGGGCAATGTGTGTAAATTTATGTCCCTTTCACTGGTCTCCTCCAACTTCCTTGTTAACCATTTAGGGGGTAATTGTGCACAGAGTCTATACCAAAGTTCCTTTTGATCTTCTACAGAGGCGGACGTTAATACTGCAATGGAGGGCAGTCCAGAACACGAGGGACATCAAGGTGGTATGAGGAGTTGGAGTTACGTTCCAAGAAGACGGAGAATTCTTCCAGGTATTAGGCAAAGAAAATAAACCAGGTTCCCTTCCCATCTGCCTCTGTTTTCCTGCCTGCCTCCTTAATTTAATCATAAAATTATTTGGAATTTTGGACACAAAAATATGTTTACGAGTGCACTCATGAAATTATGCTTACCATTGCACTCATAAACATGCATAAACAGTCATTGAGTTGCAAGTCAATTGACAGCCATAGTAGTATTGAATTATTCAACATCTGAATAAATTTCCGTCATCTGATTGGTGGGTCATTGATCACATGTCATTGGATTATTCGTCCAACCCCATGGCCCAGCCGCACTGCAAAAGTAGAAGTTCCATTCCATAGTAAATAGAAGTTTCATTGCATGGTCACACTATTGGTGGCTCTGACAATCCGATGATGAGAATTTATATTCGGGTATTGTATAAAACAAATAATTAATGTTTATGAGTGCAATGGAAAAAATACTTTCATTTGGTGACAGATGGAATGCTTCGCCTCTTAGAATCGAACGCTCAATCTGTCACCGAATGAAATTATTCTTTACATTGTACTCATAAACATTCATTATGTGTATACTGTAACATAGCTCATCCCCTGTTAATTGTGACCCTTACTCATGCTTTGACTTGTCATTATAACTTGCTGATTGACCTGACCTCAAATTCTGCTGACTGCACTTTTGACATTACTATTTTTTTTCTCTCTCTGATTTTCAGGAGATGATTTCTTTGAAGATGGAAATCTTGAGACGAGTCTGGCACACAAGCAGATGCCGGTGGAAGACCTTGATTCAGAGGAGCTTCTTACAAGGTTCTCTTCTATATAGCCCCCTGTTTATTGTTACTGTGACTGGTCTTGCGATGAATTGACTTGAAATGACTTGCGATGTACTCGTGACAGAACGTTTGATGTACTTGTGTAATATCCCAATGTTGTTGTACAGTCTATCACAAGTCTATCACATGTCCTCACAAGTCCTCATCACAAGTCCTCACAAGCCATCAAGTCTGCGCTCAGTTCGTAAGCTGTGCTGTCGTTCATCCCCTGTTAGTGTTGTTTGTGACTGGACATGTGAATTACTTGACAAATCTTGTGATGTGCATGTGATCCGTCGCTGCGTTGTTGTAGAGTCCATTACAAGTCCTCACAAGTCCATCCCAAGTCCTCTTAAGTCCTCACAAGTCTATTACAAGTCCTCACAGGTATGTCAAAAGTCAGCCAGTCTCAGCTCAGTTTGTAAGCTATGCTGTCACTCATCCCCTGTTTGTGTAGTTTGTGACTGGACTTATGAGTTCCTTGTGACAAATCTTGTGATGCACTTGTGATCCATCGCTGTGTTGTTATATAGTCCATCACAAGTCCTCACAAGTACATCACAAGTCCACACAATTCCTCATAAGTACATCACAAGTCCACACAAGTCCTCACAAGTACATCACAAGTACATCACAAGTCCACACAAGTCCTCACAAGTACATCACAAGTCCACACAATTCCTCATAAGTACATCACAAGTCCACACAAGTCCTCACAAGTACATCACAAGTACATCACAAGTCCTCACAAGTACATCACAAGTCCTCACAGGTCCTCACAAGTCCTCACAGGTCATCCAATCTCAGCTCAGTTGGTAAGTTGTGCTGTGTTTCATCCCATTAGTGTTATTTCTAACTGGACTTGTGAATTACTCACGACAAATCTTGTGATGTACATGTAATCCGTCACAAGTCGTATAACTACAACTCTGCAGGAAAGACCGGTGTAAAAGTGTGCCAGTTATGCAAACCAAAGACTTTTTTGTGTTCCTAAACAGGCACGAGGATTTCAAGTGTCACGTGATCGGTTGCGGCCAATCCTTCACCACCGTCCAGTCTTACGAGATCCACTACAACGGTGCCCATCGTAACATCTGTCGCGACTGCCGACGGTCCTACCCATCCAATCACCTCCTGGACATCCACATCCTGGAGTCACATGACTCGCTGTTTGAGGTCATGGCTCAGAGACAGCCCATGGTAGGGGTCAGCCATAGAGGGCGCTATATTCAATGCAGTCATGCCAATTTCATGGCTCGAGATCTGCTTACTGTGGCCAATAAGCCTTTTCGGAGTTCCAACTGCGCGCATTCGTAACCTGTGACAACGCACATTGTTTGTCTCAAATGCCCTTTGACAGTACCCACAATGCACAAACAGCCTTTTTGTAAAGTCAGTGGTGCGATGATGTCAAAGGCCATTTGAGACAAACAATGCGCATTGTCACAGGTTACGAATGCGCAGTTGGAACTCCGAAAAGGCTTATTTCATGACTCTGCTTACTGTAAGCGGAAAAATGCCTGCTTATTGTAGCAGAAATTTACCGTTAGCGTATTTCACGGGTTAGCAAAGAGTTTTTGCTTATGCATGCATCTCGTTACTTTACATGGTCAGTGCAGAATTTCGTTGCTAGTGCTGTGTTAGCGCAGAATGGTGAGCGTAAGTGCAGAATTCCGTGGTTAGCAGAGCCATGAAATTGGGCCGAGATCTCTGTATACTGACTAGATCAGTGTTTTAGTCGTAAAAATCATAAGACCAGACACAAGACCAGCACAAGACCAATCATAAGTAACAGGGCACGAACAATAACAAAGGAATACCTTTGTTGCAGTTCATTTGAATAGCTTGTGACTTGAATTGAGACTTGTCTTGTGATGGTCTTGTGTTGGTCTTGTGATGGTCTTGTGATGGTCTTGTGTTGGCCTTGTGATGGTCGTGTGATGGTCTTGTGATGGTATTGTGATGGTCTTGTGTTGGTCTTGTGATGGTCTTGTGATGGTCATGTGATGGTCTTGTGATGGTCTTGTGTTGGTCTTGTGTTGGTCTTGTGATGGTCTTTTGATGGTCTTGTAATGCTCTTGTGATGGTCTTGTGATGGTCTTGTGTTGGTCTTGTGATAGTCTTGTGATGGTCTTGTGATAGTCTTGTGTTGGTCTTGTGTTGGTCTTGTGATAGTCTTGTGTTGGCCTTGTGATGGTCTTGTGATGGTCTTGTGATGGTCTTGTGATGGTCTTGTGATGGTCTTGTGATGGTCTTGCAAGGTCTTGACTACAACACTGGACTGGATAGCTCATGTGAACATAAATGTGAATTTGTGACATAGCAAGTTTCACGCTGCAAAATTGCAAAAGTTGAACCCATTTCAACCCGGGAGGAGTTTTGCAGCGAATGTTTTGTGACGTCAAATTCGTTTCGCGTTTGCTTTCACTGAAGTATGAACCGGCCTTTAGACGAAATTATAGTCAGTGACCACCTTTACTAAAATTTAGCATATATTAAAATAATTGTAAGCTTAAATATGTAAGGAAGGGCTTATAGGCCCAGTTAGCCAGTGCATTACTTTTCTCACTAAAAAATGTATTTTAGTTAGTTTAACTTATTGAAACACATTTTTTTCATTATGAAAGTGAGTTGCTAAACTGCAGGAAATGAATTTATTTTTGTGAAATCCCAATGTGCATTTAGAAACTAATTTAATAAAAAAATCAAAAGGGAGCTTCAATCAAAGATATTTCAACTTGTATTCCCTTGATTAAGTTTGTCCGGAATTTTTAAGAGGATTATAGTTTCCACCCTCCCCCTCGGCACGCTACAATACTCGTACCTTTTCACTCTACTCAATTTCCAATTTCTTTCTGAAAATTTCACAGTACCAGTGTCTGGTGGAGAGCTGCCAGGAGAAATTCAACAATTCCCAGAATCGCAGAGAACACCTGATTAAGCAGCACCATTACCCGGCGGACTTCAGGTTCCAAAAAGGAATATCCAAACATCGGTAAATTGAAAGAAATTTTTTTAATTTTTTTCCAGTGTTTGAAGTTGAGGTGTTTGTGGTGTACCACAAATTCATTACCACATACTCGTGTTCCGTAACGTGGCTCACTTGACTAAAATTCGGAAAATCTCAACTTAACATTTAAGAATATCTTTAAAGTTGATAAATTCCAATAAACCATTATGATCTGCACTTACATACCCAATTATAAGCTTGTCAGGAAAATAATTAATTTTCAAAGGGTTCACTGTGCACTTCGAAAAAAAATTGGGAACTCACGCCAAAATGTCTGTGCTAACTTTGTGACACGTAGATGAACTCACAATTTATGAGCGGGAATTTTCAGAGCTTGATGAAATTTGAGGCCAAGTTCGGGCCATTAGTCGACTAGTGGTTGATTTGTGACGTACCTTACGCCTGCGCACTGATAGCAACGTGCGAACGTCTCTAGTCAAACGCTGGTCAAAATGTCATCGCAAAACTTCTGGATCCTGGCTCTCTGCTAGCGTTATGAATGCGCACGGCTATTGGTTACCAGCGAAGCAACCAACCCCAGTAGGCTGGTTCCAAATAGTCGACTAGTGTAGTCAACCACCGTCGACTAGACAGAGTTCGGGCAAACGTTAGTTAACCATTGGTCAACTATAGTCCTTGTGCGAACTTGGCCTGAGTTACTGTGAAATTTCTGGGAAAACTTTCGCTCAAGCAAGGCGCTAGAGGCGAAAAATGCGCCACGTTAGGGACCACACGCCACGTTAGGGTACATCAACAATACAGATCCGTGGATACATCCTAAGAACTCTCTACTTGCGCTTGCCAACAGGTCCCAGGGAAAGCCCAAGCAAACTAGCGACGAAGCCATGGAGACTGAAGCACCAGGAGATGGGGACACGCGCAGTGATACATCCCCTGCCACGCACGGTGACAAACCACAGACAACATGCCACCCAGCACCAGTTGAAAACAGACAACGCAGGTACCAGACTTTAGATGTGCAATTTGTGAGGCGTTTTGGCAAAATGAGACGGAACTGGGCACATGTTGTAGTGGAGAAAAATGCCCCAAAAAATGAAATCCCTATACCGAGGGGTGAATTTGCCCATAGTTTTGATTTTAGTAGCGCAGATCACGAAATGCTCATGTAGTAAAAATCTGGTGGTCTATGGTTGCAGACCAGTAAATAAACTTCCATAGACCCCAATGATAAGTGCTTCCACTTCAGAAATTCAGGAAAAATACTCACAACTCTCCAAGGTGTTTGAGACACACATCAAATTAAAGCTTATTTCATCATCGTTCATATTCTTTTCAATTTTCGGGGGGTCAACTGATGACTGTAAGGAGAAATTTCCATCCGAAGATGATCACCCCTTAATATAGTCCTGAGGCCGATCGCCATTTTTGAAAAACGATGCCTACACTCCATTGCAAAATAGAGCGCATTTAGGGCCCCAATTTCATCCAACTTGAATGGAACTATACAATCTCACAGTCCTGTGCACAGCTTCCACCCATATTTTTTACAAACCCTCAAGTTCATGGCCCACAGTTTGCTCAAATATTGAAAATTTTGAGGGCATGCAAATCGTGATTTGGCCGGTGTAGGCAATTTCGGACCGATTTACTGGCCTGCACCCCTATGCGGTTATATGTCTGTGATATACATTTTGGAACATAGTACCCTCTAAAGTCAGATGGTGTCCAGCTACCCCTGTTTTTGAACTTCCAAGCTGTTGCCTGGTCCCCCGTCCCCAAATGTTGACAAGAAATCTTGCTGCTGATGATATATCATTTAAGAGAGATATTGCACTGTAATTGACTTGAGTTTGTTCATGATGCTTTTGTAGGTTTTCCCAATTGCTTTATAAGTTAAGTTTACTTGTACATGTAATAGTTTTTGTCAGGGCACCAGTTAATGTATCAGTTTGCTTCTATTGCCCTTTATGTATCAGTTTACTTTTATTGCCCTTGTGTCAGGTACCAGTGAAAATTACAAATTGCCTTTCATTATTTTTTTTGTCAGGGTACCCGTGAACATTTCCTTTGGAAGAGGCGGGACACGGTCATTTCAACGCGCCGCACACCCCCAGAAACAACAAAGCAAACCGAAGAAGCACAGTGGACACGCCCACAAGCAGAAAAGCCACGCCCCAATCAAAGATGAACCAATGGATGCAATGCTTGGGGAGGCAGATGGGAGATCAGAGCGTGATGTCACGAATGTTAATGAGGACAGTAATGAACAGGAATCAATGAGTATCAGCAATGAATATTCATGATGTCTGCATTGGCCAATTAATGGCAAGCTCAGGCTCGATCACTTTCTCATCAACAGTTTGTGTGTGTTCCATAAAGAAAAGTAGCAACAAATTTCACATACATGTAGGTTTAAACGCATGACCACAGACAGTAATTTTACATCTTACTTTTAGGCCCCCCAAAAAAGTCTCCGGTTTCTGGTATGGAGCTTGCCCAAAAAGTGGTGCGGCGACGCGGCTTTTTTTTTTTTTTTAACCTGATTTTTTGGCTTCAAATGTCGGCTGATGACTGCAAATGGTGCCCGACTAAACTTAGTGCAAATATATGGGAGTCCAGAGAGGCCACATAAAGCTTATTCTCGACCATAACCCAATCTAAAACACGTTAAAATTGTGCAGCAGCAGGATTCCAGTCAAACCAGTGAGTTTGGCGGTTTTGAGACATCATCTTTCATTGAAAAAAAACTTTTTCATTTTGCCGACGCGCATGGCTACGGTGACGCGCGCGCATACCAGAAACCGGAGACTTTTTTTGGGGGGCCTTATAGAAAACTTTCACACTACTGCAGTACCGGAACCTGAAAATTGTTTACTGCTTTTTAGCAGATTGTTACCACACTAGTTACAACCACATGAGTTGTGCTTTTTTGCTTCAAAGAGAAGAATTTTGTCTATGTAATAGACCATGGCAAAAGCCATGCGTGGTCTATTATGCGTAAACAGATTCACTGATTAATTAGGCAAGACCCCGCCTCTTTTGACCAATCAGCAGGCCATTTCTATATCGGGCCTTCGGTCATTCACCCATTGCGCGTCATAGACAATGGATAAAAAAAATTTGACACGCGCTCTGTATCATGTTACGCGATATCGCGCCCGGCTGTTTTTGTATAACAAAACACTGCATTCGAATTGACCAATCAAACCATTTAGTCCTGATTTAGGAATGAAATGACGTCACAATTTAGTAAAGTCGACTCTGATTCGCTGGCGCGTGCAGCTTGCATATATCTGCATGTCTAGACATATCAGACGTTATGAGGACTTGGCTCCGTGCATAAAGGGTGATACTCGGACTAAGGAGAATTAGGCCCGTTTATGAAACGGATTCACAACAGCCATAGCGAAATTGTGTTCACTGTATGAGTCTTTGCAGTGCTCGTCGCGAACCAATAACCAATGGTTGCACCTCGAGTTGACCTCTGAGTGACATCATGACTATAGGCAGCCTTAAAATGAGCCAATAAGTAATAAATATTACCCGCATATATGCTTAATTTTTTTCCAGTTGATTATAAGCCAGCTTGAGGCCTTGTGTTTAAAATGAACAATAAGAGTGATTTCCCATTGGATATAATTAAATGTTTATGTGATGTGTTTATTAAAGGGAAATTACAACATTTGCAAGCATCGAAAAAGAAAACTACCAAGTTTTTATTAAATACCTTACAGGATGTTGGTAAATGACAGTCTAAAGCAACCTGTAAAATTATGGCACCTGGTGTGAAGTCATTTTCAAGTAAATGGTATTTTTGTATACATTTCCAACAGTGGTCGGCCAACCACCATTGGAAAAACCTATATTTTTCAACTGCTTCTCCAAATTTACCATTTTTTCTTCAGTCCAAATTTTGTTTCCTATTGGTTGCATGTTCATGAATGGGGGCAGGCCAGCTAGACTGGTTCCCTTACCATGCAATTTTCCGGCATCTATAAATTGATCCATTTAATTTTCAGTGGAGTCAGGGAACCAGACAACTTGAACATTTTTGGTTTTTCTTGGTTTTTCCAGCATTTCCGAACACAGTCAGTGTAACAATAATTTGATCTATTATATACTAACCCCTCAAATAGTTAATTTCTGAAAATTAAAGCAAAAGCAAATGATGTACATTCCCTTTCAAGATATCTTTGTGCAACTGTTACTGCAAATAAATAACATCTCTTAATTAGGCCCCCAAAAAAAATTATTGGTCTCTGGTCAGACCAAAGTTCCGGAATTGACGCGGCCACGCGGCTTTTTTTTTTTTTCTTCAAGCTTGGATTGTACAGACATGGTGGGTACTATTTTGCTTTTTTGGTGTCCTCATGCACATAATTGGTGTCCTCCATAATTTGCCTTGGTGCTTTCGATCATTTGCCTTGGTGCAATTTCCAATTCCTTGGTGCTCTTTGGTAAAAAAAATTGAGGTGCAGAAATAGAGGAACATTTTGGAGGAAAAAAAAGATCGACGCGCATGATTAAAATCGACGCGCGCGCTGACCAGAGACCGACTTATTTTTTTTTTGGCCTTATGTTACTCTTTGTTGAAATGTTTTTGTTTACTAGGCGTTAAAAGCGTAACTATATTCAGAATATTTTACAATTTAAGATATTATATATGTAATTGATTTAATTAAAAAGCTTGTTTAATTTATTGAACATTTGGAGATGTACGTGACTGTTGAAAGTTGTATTGTTAACAGGGTAAGGTTTTAGGAAATTTTTCGAAATTGAGTTTGACCAAAATCTGTGCATTAACATACCCCCCCCCCCAACCCCTCATATGCCCTCTGAAAACCTCAGTTGATCCCCCAGCTAGTATTTTTTGTGAATGAAGCCAACCCTTTCTTGTTCAAAAGTTAACATCATTAGTATCGGTTTTTTTAAATGTGGGTACGTGGCGTAGCTACTAGGGTTTGATCGGTCTGGGGTTCGATCCATTTGCGCTGGCCATAATTATGTATGTGTCCTTGGGCAAGCCACATATCACTAGCACTTGCCTCTCTCCACCCAGTAGTATAAATGCCAACTTATATTGTCCGTGGGATTGGTTAGCAAATTAATATGACATTTAACCCCCCCCCCGGCTCTTAAGCCCCGCCCTTTTTACTAAATTTACAAGTTTTGAACCGGAAGCCAAACACCTGCACCGCGCGCCACGTGACTCTGTGATCACATGATATTGAGAAATGATCAGGGTGACCGTAAGGTTATATCAAAATTCTGATAGATGCTGGTTAAAAATCTGCTAGATTTAACAAAATCCTGCTAAATCCAGTATTTATATCGCGAAATACACTATCGACGCTAATAGACTCACACACAGATGTTTAAATTTCCTTGGAAAATAAATCGTAAATTTTCCTTGGGAAAAAAATACATGAAGAAAACATTTTAAAAAAAATTCACATTATGTCTGGCAAGTTGCAATAATTTTTCTCAATGGGTCTCAACATAAGTCCTGTAATATCACGTCAGGGAACCTCAAATTGAAGGTTTTTTTTTTTCAAAACTAATCAGCTATGTTGTTGAAATCTGCCATAATTCTTTCAGATCAACAAGTTACAAAATTCTGCTAGAAATCAGCTAAAAATATTCATTCTGCTAAATTATTCGAGCTCGTTCCCCCAGGCGCGGTTCTAGAACCAATATTTTTGGGGGGCTAGCACGGTGGATCCAGAATTTTTTCAGGGAGGCGTGCTGAAATGTTGACCGGTTATTTTTTCCAGACACTTAGGCCACCGAAAATCAATAGGGGGGGGGGGGGGGGGGGGGGGGGGGGGGGGGCTTTTGCCAACACAATTTTTTTGGGGGGGCCAAAAATTTTTTTGATCCCCCCAAAAAGTGGGTCAAAAAAATTAAGGCGTGGGGTTCGGGGCCCGCTTAAGGGCCCCTAAAAATTTTTGGATTCTCGATGCTCTGTGCTGCGATCTGAGGCAATTTCTGACCACTTTAACCAATGTTTTTTGAGGAAAAGATGGTGGTGTACAGTGTACTCATTGCCTGCCTTTATTGCGATGTCACATAAAAAACAAAATTGGTTTCGTTTTTTTTTGGGGGGGGGGGGGGCCATGGCCCCCTTTGGGCCCCCCCCCCCCCATCCGCCCTTGGCTCATGCCATATTTTCAATGGGGAGCGCCAATAAAATCCTAAAATCATTCACACTTTATTAACTAATGCACCCTCGTCACGGCTTTTTCTTCTTTAGGGGGAGACCGTTCGCATGTACATCACAATCCTTCTTTTTGCTAATGCATTTTTTTTTTTACGGAATTTATTTTGGGGGGGCTAGACCAAATTTTTGGGGGGCTACAGCCCCCCCTAGCCCCCCCCCCCCCCCCCCCCCCCCCGTAGAACCGCGCCTGCGTTTCCCCCCCCCCCCCCCCCCCCCCGCCCGCGCCCCCCGAAAACTTCTGTCAAATTTAGCCGAAATTCGGTTTAAAACGGTCACCCTGAGGCCTGAGTCAGAAATCTGCAGTCAGCTGTCGATGTCGAGGCGACGAGGGTCGGAGAATGCTGAACCTATTTTTCATGAAAATCCTGCATACATGTACGTATGAATTATTTCTTTGGATTTACGGCTTTTGTGAAGGTTGCCTGTATGTATGTATCGCGGTTTTTTTTAACGAGTTTTTTAGTTGGACAACGGACGGGCATGACGAGTTGGACATTCAACAACGGACGACTTGACTTTTCCTGTTGAACGCAACGGGGAATAAACCGGTCGGAACACAGTTGTTCGATCATTCATCATATCTCCTCGATCGATCCTCCTATTTCTGCGCAGATAAGGCTTTGCAACCCAGTAGCTTCAAAATAGCAAAGCAACCACTTTTTTTCTCAACAAAACTTATATTGCTGGCTTACGATCATCCACCGTGCCGATCAACAAAGCGAAATATCTTTACTTGTGGCAGCAAGCGGGGAATTCCTAAGCGTGCAGTTTTGGCGTCGTAGAAAAGAATCCTGCCTAACTCTGCGGCTTCAGGGGACGCGTCATGAAAAATATGTGCTGTTCAGGCCATGTAACTCAATATGAATACTTTTTTTAATAACTTAGACTTGTTGGCTTCAGGAAAATATATTTTCCTGAGCTTTTCAAACATTATTTCTCTCTTTTTCTTTTCTTTTTTCAATGTCAATACACTTTTCGTAATTTCACGATTATTTTCAATATCCTATTTTAGAGATTTATACAAAGCCTAAAGGCCTATATATACATATTTACATAAATAGATTTTATACATATTTACCTATTAAATGTAGATCCCAATGACATTGTTATTCTGATCATCCCAATCAACAGAGACAGTTTTTAACATGTCGGATTTAAAAACTTATAACCCAAAAATTTCCAAAATAATATAAGAAATGTGTCTTTTTAGTTGCACCGTAAGTTTTACACCCTTGTAGAAACTGCAAATTATTACCTATGACATCATAACTATAATACTGACGATATTGGGAGACCAAGAAAGGTCACCTTTTGGTCAGATTTTCGCCTTCTGCAGGCCCGGAAGCATCTGCCTGCATTTGTACTTAGTAATTAGCTGTAAAATGCTGATGTTTTTAATTTTTTGCCTGAATTCCTGGTGAAGCCTTCAATTTCCACATTTTTTTGGGCTGCTGGTTAAAGTTCGTACATCAAAGTATACAATCCCGGTGAAAGTATGTCATTTTTTAGGATGCACGCCTTGCAAAATATAACTTAAGGCCAAAAAAAAAAAGTCTCCAGTTTCTGGTATGCGCGCGCGTCGCCGTAGCCATGTGTAACGAAGAAAAACGGTTCACTAAAGAAAATATCTGTAAAGGCCTGGTTCAAATTGATAAGTCGCGAAAAATTTAATAGAAAACTGGGACAAATTAAAAAAAAAAAAAAAAAAGACAGACTGAATTGGGATGGAACTTCACAAAAAAAACTATTTAATCCAGGATTAACTGCAAGTTTGACATTCACAAAAAACAACCTTGAAATGTGACCAAAAAAACCTTTTGGGAAAACAAAACCAGAAATTAATAAATTTGGAAAAAAAATCAAATTGGAAACAAAAAGTAATTGGAAATGAAAAGTCAATAAACCCAACCAAAAAAAAACTAAAGAAGACGAAAAGAAAATACCAACACAGAGCGTCAAAATAATGGACCTTAAATGCACTCTGACTGAAACCTAAAAATCAAGAAAAGACAAGAAAAGAAAGAATACAATTAAGAAATATATCAAAAGAAAAATAAATTGGTTAAATAGCGCAGTCTAACTCTATTATGTACAGCATGTTTATAAACAAGGTCACTAATGCCCAACATACACAATGGCAACACAAGTTTCTGGCTGAATATCTAATGAGTACTAATCCATGGCTCTTATCTGTTCCACATAACTTCTAATTAGACTTCACCCAGTCTAAGACAATCAAACTAAGCCTCAATGTAAACAGGTGGTAAAAGTCGATTTAAACATAAAAGAAAATGCAGTGAAGGAAGTGGGACTAAGACAAGTCTAATTTCATGAATAAACATCTGGTGATCTTCTAAGAAAGGAATTTATACACTTGGGTCTCTAGATCTGTGGGAAAGTCAAACCTCCTAGCTTAAACAATGGTAGAGATACACTAAAAAGTCATTCAATCTACATGTTCTAGGGGTAAAATATGAATCTTTCTCAACAAAAAAAATCAATTCTCCAAGCAAATCATGTCATCTTTCAAAGAGGAACCAAAAGTTATAAAACAAAACTCAATAAATGCAAACTCATGAAAAACATTCTTCCAACCTGTAAAACTATAGTCAAAGAAACTTAACTCCTTTAAAAAAACAATACTCATCCTTACCCCATGTATGTCAAAAAGGTAAGAAAGAAAATATAATTGTGCAGAATCCAAATCATAACCCATCATGGAACAGTAAAATCTCAAGCTTCAAAATTAAACTTTCACAAAAACTTTCCAAAGACAAAAACACACTTTAGACCATAACTAAGTAAAAACCTTCCAAAAACTGCACTAGAACTCAAAACATGATTATACAATATAAAAGAACAACAATTTCACAATATAACTCACCAGGACGTGACTTGAGCAGATAAACACACAGGGCAGGCGCTCCCAAGAAAAGGGGAAGAGTGGATATATAATACGCAGTCCTCTCTCTACCGCCGCTGGTCTGTTAAGTGAGGGGCTGTGGACTTGCAGGGTGGCAGAGCACATGGGTCTTATCAAAGGGGCTATTGTTCTAAGGGGTCATGTTACTGGGGAAGAGGGAAAAGTTAATCAGGGGTACACACTTCTATGAAAGGGTACGGGACATCTAATAAAAAGGGGTGATTTATTCAGGGGAGCTACACCTATACCTAAACACTAAAAGCAATACAGTAAAAACTACAAGTTCAATTTGGCCCTGCCACACATGCGCGTCGGCAAAATGAAAAAGTTTTTTTTTCAATGAAAGATGATGTCTCAAAACCGCCAAACTCACTGGTTTGACTGGAATCATGCTGCTGCACAATTTTAACGTGTTTTTAGATTGGGTTATGGTCGAGAATAAGCTTTATGTGGCCTCTCTGGACTCCCATATATTTGCACTAAGTTTAGTCGGGCACCATTTGCAGTCATCAGCCGACATTTGAAGCAAAAAATCAGGTAAAAAAAAAAAACAAAGCCGCGTCGCCGCACCACTTTTTGGGCAAGCTCCAAACCAGAAACCGGAGACTTTTTTTTTTGGCCTTAGTAGACAAACGAAGGACGCTCACAGTGGGAACGGAATGATAGAAATGCGTTAAAGGGAATGAAACGAACTCCAGTGATGTGCACTGAATGAGACACAATAGCATGAATCTGGCAAAGGGACAGAGACAATGAGCATACAGGATGGAATAATACTTTATTTATTCAGATTAATTGGTAAAAACACCTGTCTCCCAAACATACAACTATCCAATTAAAAGTAGTATACCAAATTTGATTAAAAACCGTCCAACAGAGTAAAAATACAGTAACAACAATAATTCCCTTAATTACAATAATTCCCTGAATAATATGAAAAATCTGTGCGACAATTACATGTAGTCGTGTATATTATAATTATTTTGAGTTGCATTATAACAGTGTGTTAATTATCTCAAATTTCTGAAAGATTAACGAAATACAAAGCCAATTGCAAGACTGAGCAGGAAAAAATATACCAGAAAAACTGCATAGTTATATTTCTACTGAAATTCTATTGATAGAGGATAGTCGTTGTGTTTTCCAAGCTTTTGATAGCATTTTTGAATACAACCATTGAATGTCAATGAATCGAAAAATAAAAGTTTTGAATTTATGGGACGGAGCAGCTTTTTGTGCATTTTCACTTTGACGTAGGCCATGATGACATTTCATGCCAGATTGACTTGAGCAGCCTTCGTATTTCTTAGACCTCATGGGTAGACTTTATGCGTATAGCGGCCATCTTATAAGGCATCCTTCGTTATTTTAATTCAGTAACAATGAGTGCTTAAAAAGGTTTATTTCTGGTATGTCACAGCAAGGCAAATGTATTGCCTTGATGACTGCTACCTATAAGGTCCATATACGCCTTTTTTGAAATATTGTGGGCAAGAGAGAGCGCCTTTTTTTCAGTGGGTGACCTCTCTTGTATATTCACCCCGCAAATGTATTATATTATGTTATTCATTTTTAAAAAATTATTTCATTGAAAATAAAACATGACAAAAAATAAAAAGCCCCGCTTCCTCCTTTTTTTGCAAACACCCGGACGAGAAACATGTTTTTTTTTATTCTGCCTAAGGAGCCAGCCGACAGGTTGCTTGTATGAGGCTGCATCCTAAGGCCAAAAAAAAGTCTCCGGTTTCTGGTATGCGCACGCGTCGCCGTTGCCATGCATGCGCGTCGGCAAAATGAAAAAAAAAAATTTCAATGAAAGATGATGTCTCAAAACCGCCAAACTCACTGGTTTGACTGGAATCATGCTGCTGCACAATTTTAACGTGTTTTTAGATTGGGTTATGGTCGAGAATAAGCTTTATGTGGCCTCTCCGGACTCCCATATATTTGCACTAAGTTTAGTCGGGCACCATTTGCAGTCATCAGCCGACATTGGAAGCAAAAAAAATCAGGTAAAAAAAAAAAAAAAAGCCGCGTCGCCGCACCACTTTTTTGGGCAAGCTCCATACCAGAAACCGGAGACTTTTTTTTGTTGGCCTAAAAATATTCATTCTGCTAAATTATTCAAGCTGTCTATGGTAGTATGGACGTACACCATATACATGTACATACAAACACGTACGAGAAGCAGGGGCCGGGACATGACCGTGACCTGCATGACCTGTGTCCAAAAAAAAAACTCTGCATGTAGATCAAGGGATGCACCAACGACTGTACTCTTGTACCGCGCCTTGTCATGAAACAGTTTATCTGTTCTTTTTTTTCTACAGACACAGATGCTTGGCTTGCAGAAATATCTGAACGCTGATGTTCATCAGAAGATTCCAGTTAGAATTGTGAACGCCTACACAAGGCGATGAACAGCCTTCCAGAAACATGATCGGCAGCCAACATCTGCCGTTTCATTTGTAAACAGTTTCTGTGGCTGACGAGTGGAAGCAAAACTTTTGAAGTTGGAAGATTTTGTAGATCTGAAGGAGTATCAAGATTGCACTTGTACATGGCACACGTACACGGATGACTTGTGAAGACTCAATCTGGCAAATTATGCAAATTTAAAAGAATTTGAATGTTATAGCACTGTTCAACTTGGCAAATTTCTTTTGAAAGAGCACATTTTGCTATAAATGGTAAAAAGGTTGTTACGAGGAGGACATTTGAAATGGCTATTGGGCGAGGTTTGTACAAATATGTGGCCACCGAGCATGTACTGATTGTGTACATGTTGGCCTATAGCCCCATCATCCCCACCCAGACGCAATACATTGAGAAGCGAATCATAGAGCAGCTGGGAGTCATTAACTTCACCCAGTCCAAGTGTGACGCGAACAAGTCCAGTCCTGAGTATAGACTTCGGGAGAAGGTACAGCAGGAGTCCAGCGTATGGTCCCTGTACCTCACCGCAACCTTGGCCCTCGCTGTGATATTCTCGGCAAACATCTGGGGAGCGCTGAGCGACAAGTACGGCCGCCATGTCGCGCTCGTCATGCCCTGCGTTGGCCTTGCTGCGAACAGCGCCGTCAACCTGCTTGTCGTTTACTTCCATCTCCCCTTGTACGTTCTGATCTTTGGCAGCCTAGCGCAAGGGATCGGCGGCGACATCACGACCTTCATCGTCGGCTGTGCAGGGTACAACTCGGACGTGACGATGCCGGAGAGTCGGGAGCGTACTATCCGCTTCATCCTGATCGACGTCTTTTACTGCTTTGCGGGGAGCATATGCCAGTTTTCGCTGGGGTTCATCATCAGAACATTCGGCTTCGAGGCGCCCTACCTGTCTGTCATCGGTTTCGTCGTGATCACGGCAGGCTTCATAATCTGTCTTTTGCCGGACCGACGCGTGGCTGACACCGTTACTTTCGTCAACTCCCGCGAGGAAGAAGTCCCCTCGAATCCACTGAACATCGTTAAGAACGTCCGTCGCGTGTTCACGCAGGACAAACTCCGTGGTTGGCTCCTGGCTGGTTTTAACTATATCATTTTCTCCAACATACTGGTTTCTGTGGCGTGGGTGGCTATCAGTGTGCTGTACACTACAGGGGAGCCGTTTTGTATGGATCCGCTGTATGAGGGATACTACCAAGGCACTATGAACGGTATTTATGGGATAGGTATGTGAACTACGGGTTTGCAATATTTGAGTTGCTGTTTGTTTTTTTTGGAATACAACAATAGGTCTCGTTCAAATGACGTCATTTCCTACAGACCATCCACGTGCATTCGCATTTTTGAGCGTCAACTTGCACTACGCGCATCAACTGCGTTGTATTTCGAACACATTTCGAGCAACAAGCGCGCGTTTTTGGAACATTTCAACACTGTGCAGTGCGTGCATGATTGCTTAAAATACACAGTTGCAGTTCTCCTACAGAGATGGCCGTCATTGAACGAGCCCTATTAACAACAAGCGTGGCAAGAACTTTTGCCGTACACATGTAGCTATTAACCAGTCAAAATATCCATGATTTGTAGCACCTTCTACTTGTAACAATGTTGCTATAAAGTCAGAAGGTGGCAAAGGCTAGCCATCTGTTGCTACTAACATGTAACAATTAACAATTGTGGACTGCTGTGATGTGGGATAAGATGTTTTGAACACCCGTGGGGGGGGGGGGGGATTTAGGACTATGAAATACGGACTCAGTGGTACTATTGCGCATGCCTATGTGTGCATTGTGAACGTTCAACCAACAAAACGGTAACTAAAAGGCACCGGATTTCAAAGGAGTCACAGTTTCATGTGTGACACTGGAAAAGTGTTAAAGACCAGCCAGCTGGTCTTAATCAGCCGTTTAAAACCGGTCACGTGACGGGCTCTCGACCAATAGGAATGGGTAAACTTGTCTTGGGTATTTATGAATAAGAGTTCAAAACATAGATGAATAAAGATTGCACCCTTTTTAAACTGGCTTCCAAGAGCAGCGGCGAAATATAAGAAGTGTAACAGGTCGACCAAAAGGGATTTTTGGTTTCATACTTTATTAAATGTTGTGTAGTTCTTTATTGACTAGCAACAGCCACTTGTTTACATTATGTCACCCCAAACTGTTTCAATTCAGTTTTGTCCCAAGTGATTGTACAAAAAACAACTCACGTGGGATTCGAACCCACGACCTCCTGCGTACTTGTGCAGACGTCTTACGACTCGACCACCAAGCTTGCTGGGCTTGGCTGGGTGGTTCCAATCCGGTTCGAGTCCCTCCTGCGTACTTGTGCAGACGTCTTACGACTCGACCACCAAGCTTGCTGGGCTTGGCTGGGTGGTTCCAATCCGGTTAAAGTCCCTCCTGCGTACTTGTGCAGACGTCTTACGACTCGACCACCAAGCTTGCTGGGCTTGGCTGGGTGGTTCCAATCCGGTTGAGTCCCACCTGAGTATACAGTGTTTAAAAACAATACATTGTTGAAGGGCAAAACCCAAAATTAAATGTTCATCATTCCGACTCAAATTTCATTTTACGAAACTGTTTCAAACTGCGAAATTCTCAACTATTTTATTCAAATCTTGGGAATAATTTGGACTGCAAGTCTAAACAGGTTGACTGGCCACATTGGTTGATTTGATATTTTAATGATTTTTTGCTGGTTTTTTTAAATTTTGTTTCATTTTGTAGGTGTTTTATTCGGAGGAACTGTAGTCTGCAAGTATCTGTCCAAATTTTGGTCGATGCATCTTGCCTCTCTCACCATTGTCGCTTCCCTGGTGATCACGGCCGTCGCCCAGAATTACTTGACACTGTACTTGGGTAGGTTTTACTATTTTATATCGGGGGTGTGAGTGACCACTGATAAAAATAGCTGAAAACAGCTGCAAAAAGGTGTAAAAAAGCTGAACTTTGGAAATCTCCTATACCTTTGTACACAGCAAGTGAGGGAAAAAGCTGAAAAAAAGCTGAAATCCAAAAAAAAGAAAAAAGCTGAAATTAGCTTTAAAGCTGAGATTTCACACCCCTGTTATACAATGTATGGAAGAATTTTTGCATTGGGTAGATTCAAACATTCTTGCCCGGGGGGGGGGGGGTCGGATGGCCGGTTGGAATCTGGGCCCAATTTCTTGGCTCTGCTTACAGTTAGCGAAAAAAATCCCTGCTTACTATAGCAGAAAATTCTTTGTTTACGGTACGCGTATTTCACGTGATGGGAGGAATTTTGGCTTCTGCGCATCCGTACAACCCGTAACTATGGATTCTGTGCTTAGAGGGTTTTAAGCACAGTATATTTCTGTTAGCGCGGTTAGCGCAAAAGGGTGATCGAAAGTGCGGAATTTTGTGGTTAGGAGAGCTATGAAATTGGGCCCTGACGAAGCAGCTGCTACTGCAGTCACTTGCTAAATCTGCTACACAACTGTTAAAAACTGGCAAGCGGCGTAGCTGGGGTTCAGTTAAACTTTTTCTGGAGGTGGTATTTGTTCTGGTATCTGCATAAGTGTAGCTTCAGGGAAGTGGTAACTTAAGTTGAACCAGATAACCCAACCGCAGAAAAAAAGAACACGATGGCCAAAGGTCAGAGCTTTGGTTTCCATTCAGTCTTTATTCCACGGTGAACTGTAATGAAAAATAAGCAATGCCAAATTTAATTGTCGTACAAATCAAACTCTAAAATCATGAAAGTGACCTTAGTTAGAGCAGGTGTAGTGTAAAATGAAGGGAAAAGTCAGTTCCAAACAAAGGAACAACTTATAAACGAGTCTACAGTGGTTTTCTCAAAACCTTAAATAAAGGGATGGCTCCTAGGTATGAGTGTACGGAGACCGTAGAGCTGTATGACAGAGCCGGCTACAGAACCTAAATACAGGGATCACTCCTACTCGAAAATTTGGCGTGGAAACGTCTGCGGCTTTAAATTTCTCAAACGAGGGTTTATTATCTACCCAGAAAACGATATAGAAATACTTAGAATAGAACTGGGATCTAAAATCCAACTAGAACTACTTTAAAACCGTAAAACTAGGGCTGGCCGTGGGTGACGAAAATGGCTTCTTCTAAAATGTGCTTTCCTCGCCTCGAGTCAGTGGCCAAGATTGAGTGCGCCCTCTCGTGTTGAGAAAAGGTAGGCGCCAGAGGCCGCTACAGTATTCATTTTAATTTCTTTTTCGGACAATACTGATGTGGGGCGTGCAAGCACTGGTGGGGGAACCCCTATGCCACTGGGGGCAAGAGGGGTCAAAGGCCTGGAGCGGGGGACTGGAGCGCACCTTACCCTGTCTACGCCTTTTTCCAATTCAACTCCAATCTTACTTCAACAGATTCTTTTGATTCATTTATTTTTTTTTAGGTTTGGCAGCCGGATTTTTTACGTTTCTGACGACCCCGCTGTGCAGGACAAGCATGGCCAACCTGGTGGGCCCTAATCAACAAGGTTAGTTCCTCACAATCTGTGTTTGCATTGAAGACTCTTCTTTTCGGGGCAATTTTATTGAGACGATAGTGGAAATTCTAATGGTTAAGTCTTAGTAGTGTCCCCACTTGGAATTTTGAATCAGGAAAGAGTGTGGTTACAGTAAGATTGTGGTTGAAGTAGATAAGCAAGGAAAATATTGTTTTCTGAATTGGTTAATTTGTCTACATCTCAAAATGGAACCTGCAAGGGATGGCTCCTGCAGGGAATGGCACCTGCAGGGGACGGCACCTGCAGGGGGATGGCACGGCACCTGCAGGGGGATGGCACCTGAAGGGGGGGAATGACACCTGCAGGGGGATGGCACTTGCAGAGGGATGGCACCTGCGAGGCATCTGCAGAAAAAGACGGAGCAATGACCTACTTTTCATCAATAGACCGTTTCATTAGGCCGTCCCCATTTGACTTCTGAGCAACTGCACATGTGTCTCTTCAGTGTAAAATCTTTATGTTGCAGCCGCATGTGATGTACATGCGTGCAGGCATGATGGACTTTTGTCCAAGCCTGTTGGACCTTAACCCTCATTTTGTTTGATCAGTCACAGACAGTCAAAAATTCAAATGCCATTAGTTTGCACAGGCAAGTCACCAACAATCGGACCGTATTTCTTGTATGGACTGTGACAGTTAAATGCCTTCAATAGACAAAAGCAGGTGAATAATAGGCCCAGCTGGCTTATCAATCTCCTACAGTCAAAGCATAGCAATCACAGCCAGTGAATCCTGCTTTATGAGGGCAGGGAGCACTCAACTGTTAAAAGAAAAGTCACTTGATTTATTTTCCATTGCTGGGCTGGCCTTGTTGAAAGTGCCAGCCAGAGAGGGAGGGTTAGTCTTGGCAACAATAAGCCTCAGTACCAATGACGTCACACTTTGTTTACATGTGTGCTTTCCTATGGTGCTCAGTGGACCGTGGGCCTCCACTGGTTCCATAGGAAAGTGCACATGTAAATAAAGTGTGATGTCATTAGTACAGAGGCTTATTAGTCAAAGTGTCATGAGGCAGAGGCTGATGTATTGGTCTTTCGCCGTTCGCACAGTTTTCATGGTCAATTTCGTGTACCCGATTTCACGAAACTCATCGTAACTTACGATGCGTCGCAGCGCTGCGACGCATCGTATCCCTAAGATGTGTTGCAGCTGCGACGCGTCTTGCGATCCATTTCACAAAACAAGTCGTAAGTGTGACGCGTCCTACATGTATGTGTATTTATAGCACAACTCGGTGACTGTTTTATGTATGAAGTCAGCGTTCAGTAAAGAGTCGTCTGGTATTCAATAAAGAGTCGTAAGATCTCCGCTCGAAATTTGTTAAAACGTAGGACAAAATGGCGGCCGTGCGATGCAATTTTAAAGGAGAACAAGCTCTCAGTGGACTGTGTAGCTACTTTGAAATTTCAACTGCAATATTCTAGGCTAATTCATAATTATTCAATGAATTTTCTATTTACAGCTTCACACACATTGCCTCGGTATTATAATCTCGTTTATGTAATGCTTATATGGCACAAAACTGGCTAAAAACGGAATCTTCTTATTTTGCGACGACCACTAGACACGTCGCAACTTGCGACGTGTTTAAGCCGGTCAACGAACTTAAGAAGCGTTCAACTCAATGCAACTTTCGTGAAATGGATTATAGGACGCGTCGTGAGTTGCGACGTGTTACACGTAGTAACTCGAGTTGCATCGCAGCGCTTCGTGAAATCAGGTGCCGATCGAAGAGTAACCATCTCCATATCTTATAACTTTTCACTTCGTTGTTCCTTTCCATAGGGGTTGTTTTTGCCTTCAGCGGTTGCCTAATGAGCCTGGCTGGTTTCCTGTCTCCCATCATCTTCAATGCCATCTACAGCAGCACTCTGCATTTCATGACCGGATTCGTCTACCTGACCATGGCGCTGCTAGTCCTGATTTCATGGGGCGTCATTGTGTGAGTATTTTTTTTGGGGGGGGGGGGGGGTTGACTTATGACTACAGAAATAAAAATGTTTGGATTGTTATTAGGCTATCAGCTTTGGTCCAAAAATTGGGCCGCCAGTATCAAATGATCGAAAAGAGCAATGTTCATAGCGATTTTTGGCAAGGTATACACATGTAGAATTGGAAAATGTGTGATAGCTTTGTAGTGTTAGCGGTGACAGTGTTTTTGGGTGTTGTTGCTTAAAAAAAAATTTTCAATAATGGCCGCCGAGCTGTTGCAAAAAAGTTATAAGTATAAAAAAGGGGGAAGAGGAACAACAGAAAATCCTCGATTTACACCATAAACAAATGTGGGTATTCCCGTGTGTGTGGTGCAAAGATCTGTTACACGGTACCCTCTGGAGACGTGCACAATAGGGAACAAAAGATTGTATACGTCCCCACAGGGCAATTTCTATAGGTGAATACGTCTCCACAAGTTTATCACGAAATAGATATATGGATTTTACTCAAAAACTAGGGATTTCCAAGGTGCGTTGATCCGTCGCAAATTGAAGTATTTTATGTGAGGGACATTAAGTCCGAATTTCAGCCCAGGAAATGAATTCTGGTTAAAATAGGAGCATTTTGAAAGTACACTTTCAAACTCGAAAACTTTAGTACACGAGAACAAAGGAATGACGACACAAGGATATAAATTTCAGTATATAGTCGTGTTCCCTAACGTGGCGCACTTCGAAGCTTACATTGAGAGGACTGTATTTTGTCTAAAGATGTAACAGTCTGTAACCTGACCCAAGACTTGCAAATAAAAAAATAATAGTAGTAATTACTTGCTCTTTAGGAATGGACATAACACATTTCAGACAATTAGAGGTTCATAGTGTCAGGTACATGCACTTTAAATATAATGCAGATTTTGTTAATTATTAAGCACTACAAAATCGTTTGGTTTTTTTCTAGGTTACTTCATATTTTTGAGCCCAAACGTCGAAACTGCTACGTCGCAATTGATGGCCAAGGTAAGTGTGTGTGTGGAATTGTTTCTACCAAGAGTGTAATAAAAAGGTGTTGTATAACATGTAAATGGTCAGTTAAAAGGTTGTGCCAAATATACATTGAATATTTCAATATTCAATCATCCACCGAATAATTAGTAGAATATTGGAATATTTGAAAAAAAAATGCAGGTGGTGGTCTCAATACGAGGGAGAAAACAGTCTGTTATATTAGTTTAGGCCAAAAAAAACAGTCTCTGGTTTCTGGTATGCGCGCGCGTCGCCGTAGCCATGCGCGTCGGCAAAATGAAAACGTTTTTTTTTCAATAAAAGATGATGTCTCAAAACCGCCAAACTCACTGGTTTGACTGGAATCCTGCTGCTGCACAGTTTTAACGTGTTTTTAGATGGGGTTGTGATCGAGAATAAGCTTTATGTGGCCTCTCTGGACTCCCGTTATATTTGCACTAAGTTTAGTCGGGCACCATTTGCAGTCATCAGCTGACATTTGAAGCCAAAAAAAAAAAACAGGTAAAAAAAAAAAAAAAAACACGTCGCCGCACCACTTTTTGGGCAAGCTCCATACCAGAAACCGGAGACTTTTTTTTTTTGGCCTTAAGGTATAAGTTGCATGGTCCAAATCTTTCAAAATTCAGCTAGTTGACTACTTTGTAAAAAAAATTAAATTGATACGTATATACAGTGGAAGGCTGCTATAACGAACATTGTGGGATCCACAGAAATTGTTCATAGTAGCAATCGTTGGGTATAGCGATTTTCAAGCTGCCGGTGCTCCGGTACTCACTTATCAATAAATAGCGCTCTTCAAAACTTCCCTGGTAGTTACTGAAAGATGACTTTGAACAAGTGCCGACTATTGACCAATGTAATTACACAGTTTTTGAGCTTACTACCTGCAACAACGGGTGGCGTTTCCCTTCTATTCCTTGGAGAAATAATATACAAATATTGAATGCTTCGAGTGGTGTAGTAAAACTAGCCTCCCGAGGTGATCCATGAAGTATTCTAGCCGAGGGAAGATAGAATGCTCCATGGATCATCGAGGGAGGCTAGTTTTACTACACCACGAGATAAAGCAGTCATTGTTTGTTTTGTAACACCTCTCCCATAGATTCTGCATTCACGTTTGTTCACAATCCTTTCGTTCTTCGTCCTTTACAGATGTTGCAGGTGTCAACAGCGACAAGTGTGCCTGATGTATACAGTGTGTGATAAATGCTTGAAAGTCCCTGGAAGGATTTGCCTTTTGTCTTTTTTTGTTGGTGCTTGAGTCGAACAAGATCCGTAAAGAGTCATTTCATTAACCCTAACTGCCCTGAATCCTTCAAAATCCTCTTTGCCAAAGTGGAGGCATTTGGAGGATTGAGGTTACGTGGCAAAAGTGCGTTACTGATTTCATAGGATGCACTTTGTCAAAGTCTTGGGCTGGACCTTGTGTTGTTTTTGCTCAGCCATGCATAAATATAGGCCTGGATTATGCTTGAAATCCTCCGTACTGCTCCAGGATGTCACTGGCCAAGCCTCAACATATTGACAGTCACTGCTGCAGGATATTGCAGGATTCAGGCAGTGGTCACCCCTCCACGGACCATATTCAAGAAATAATGGAGGATTTGCAGGATTTAGGCTATGTGCTATTTTTTCATGAGGCCAGTTGGAGGATTTTGCAGGATTGAGGCTACATCCTAGCAAAAAAGGCCTAGGGAGTTAGGGTTAAAGGCATATAGGATCATCATGCATTTTGTTCGTGTCCAATCGTAAAACCACTCAAAATCCGAAGACGAATGTTCAAAATCTAACCTGTTGAAGTTTCAACTCAGAAGCTACACTTTCCGCGAAAAACAGTGAAAAACCATCCACAGCCTCTTGATCAAGAATTTACGATTGACTGATTTTGGGAAATCACTTACAGTCCTTGATACCTTCTAACATGCCAGCAAGCCAGACGGAATAATTTCACGGGGTGTTTAGTACCAGTACACTCTTTAATCCAAGTAAGCTTTTTGATAATGATTCGGTAGGTTACTATTTGGATACTACAATGCAGATGCAAATGATCCTATATGCCTAGATATATCAGGGAAAGTTGCAGACAAGCTTATTCTCAGTAAAGAATGGACCTCGTTGTAATAGTTGCTGGATTTTCAACGAATTTCCTGGAACTAATCCCTCTCACCAAAGTTCAATGTGAAAGTACAATTGATTATATTTTTATTGTATTTTCACTGACTTTGAAATGAACTTGTATTAAAAAAACAGTTGTGTATTAAATATTTTTGCTAAATTCACTAACTTTAATCTAACTGACATTTTTTTAACAGAAGGTCCTCTATTTTTCAGAAATTCGTTTTTTATAACCTGGGTCGACAGTTGTTCAGAAACAAAAATCAACAAATAAATAAATCATACACATGCACACGAAGTTCTGATAACCATTTTCAACAACAATGATGTGGTGCTTGCATGTATATAACGCTTTATACTGAAGGTCTCAAAGCGCTTCACAATTATTACCCCTGATCATCAGGCCATGGGAACAGTTTTTGCAGCAGCTCGAGATCAGCGCATTCTGGTCTTTACCCTCACAGGTACCCGTTTATACTCCTGGGTGGAGAGAGGCAATTGTAGTAAAGTGTTTTGCCCAAGAACACAATCACCATGTTCCCCCATCAGGGTTCAAACCCACGTACCACGGCACAACAGTCGGACACAGTAACCATTGGACCAGGCATGCAACTTTTCTTGGATCAGCTGATTTCCTTGTTTTTCACTTCACATTTCTGCCATTAAAAATTGAAAAACACCGTGAAAAGGCTTGGAATTTACTCTTTTTGGGGGGTTAGCTCCATTTGCATATGCCTGATATTTAGGGTAAGGTATTTTTAAACAGAAGTGCAATTTGTCTAATAACGGGTCTTTCGAATGTGTTCAGTTCGTTATTAAACATGTCATCCAAATTGTACTGTACCAGGGTCTAAATATTGACAGTGACAAAGTACGCAGATCCGACAATTAGAGTTGGAAGTTCGCACTGCTCAGTTTTATGAGCTTACCGTTGCAATACAAATTAAGAATGACTTTTTTATAGTGCAATACAGTGGAACGCCGCTATAACGAACATCGTGGGATCCAAAGAAAGTGTTCGTGATAACGATCGTTCGGCATAGCGATTTTGAACTGCCGGTACCCTCTTTTGACCAATAGTGAAGTCACTGAACTGGCATTTCTCACATCCCGCGGCCGAACGAGGAGTTGTCACAAACGTTTAGCAACGGGTGGTTTTCCTTTTTATTCCTTGGGGAAATAATAGCCATCTATCGCTCTTCAACATTCAAACACAATGTAACCATGGGTGGTTTTTGATGTTCGGGAATTAAAAGTGGCCCAACAGTGTTTAATAGGTGTACAACCGGTAGGTTTTTTTGTTAATCTGTTGACTTTTTTAACAACGATGTTCGTTACGTTTTGTACATTAAAACCGGGAGCCAAGGATGATGTTCGGTATAGCCGAATGTTCGGTATAGCGGCGTTCCACTGACAAGCAAGCTAGCACGCGCTAATAAAAACGCATATTAAAGACTTCCTTAGGCACGCTGACTTCCCAGCAGCACGATCTTCTCAATGGTGTACATTTGTATTTAAATAAAAGTTTTTTAATAGTGCTATTCCTGTATATCCTGGGTCACAGTTTAAAGTAACGATGCCATTTTCTGAGTTCAAACAGTAGAAAAATCATGTTTATTTAAGCACTTGAAATAACTTTTCTACTAAACGATAGGAATATCATCTGTGTATAATTAGGGGAATTAAGTATTTTTTCTTCAATCTTAAATGTGAAGATATAAATGTGTGTGTGTGTATAATATCAGTTTGTAATGCCAATAACCTTGGGTTTATTAAGACTGTTTGTATCCTCATTAAAGTACTAGAATCATGTGGGAAGTTGTAATATTAAAATGTTGGCAGTTGAGTCGGCCATGAACTTTGTGAAGCTGCCTAGCTAAAATACAGTCGACTGTACCATTACTACAAAATCGGCAGGACCTTGCAGAAATGTTCATTGTATTCCGTACAGTGGTTTCCCTTACATTGTTCACTAATACCATAACGATTTTTTACTCTGTATATCAATAATAACTAATGTTGAAAAACTATGCATGTAAAAGTTCCAAATGTTTTTGAAGTAACATTTTATAGTAATGGAAATTGTATACGTGTGCATGTATCATGCATTAGAGAAACAATTCACATTTAAAAGGTACAAGGGGTGTAAAGTGTTTTTAAAAGCCAACTTATACGCTCAATTTAAAATATGTTTAATGTTTTAAATAATGTAAAACAAAATAGTCTTCCTTTTGATTATTATTATTGGATTGTATCGGGGTGCATAACCTTACTAAGTAGAAAGCACTCAGAGAGCGCAAACCTCCCCCAAGGCTGAAAAGTTTCCCCGTCATATTGTCAGTACACCCAAAAGACATACTCGCATATCCACTAGACTTTTATTGCACATTTAAAATGTCAGCAGGATTGCTCATACCTTCAAAACGACTCAAACATTTTGTAGTCTACATGCGTATGCCTGTGTCGGTCTACCTCTCCTCTCCCCCATTGTATAAAATGGTCTAGTCCATTGACCTGTGTGGTTAGATTGGTGGGTGATATACATACAGGGTCACCGGGTCAGTGCACGTATATGAAGCTGCTCAGTTGTACATTCATGGTCTCCACACCTAACATACACCCAACCAAAAAAATAAAGTCCCCCTTAATACTTTTTTAGTCCAAGTCAAAAACTAATGGGCACATCTTGGTCAAATTACGACTGATCAGTACAGAAATTCCTTAGCAATCCAGCCATACTCTTTGTTTGGCCAAAACAGTGATAATGTGTACAACATTATGCAACTTATGAGAAATGGTGCCGAAAAAAGTTGCACTTTTGTATATATGCATGGTGAGTGTGAACCACAACTTGCACGTATACAAAAATGCAACTGTTTTCGGTACCATATGTCATTACATTGCATAAATTCGTACACATTATCACTGTTTTGGGCCAAATAAAGAGTATGGCTGGATTGTTATGGAATTTCTGAACTGATAAGTCGTTATTTGAGCGAGAGCTGCTCAGTAGTTTTGAGTTAGACAAAAAAGTATTGGAAGGGGGGACTTTCTTTTTTGGTTGAGTGTATTACATGAGTGATTCGAATGATTCTTGTACTAAATGAAAGCTTATGAATTGGGCTTCATTATCCTAGATTTTGAAAGTGCTACATATGCAGAACTTCACTAAAACAATGGGGCCGACATATGGGTTTCGGTTTTTTTTTACTCACCCGGTACTTCCAAATCATCCTTCGACATTCTATGTGGCGGGTCCAACGGGTTTGGGGATAAAACTAATTGGGTGTGTAATTTGCTTATCAGCATAAAGAAGATGTATTTGTTGAGTGCCGTATTGCTATGGTCAAAATCAGCTGACTTACGACATGTACGAGGAACTGTCTCGCGATATAACAAACGTCTCGATCCCGCCTAATCCCTCTCGTCCACCCTCATGAACATGCACACCCTAATCCTCTTAATCATGGTATTGGGCGTAAATCCCGCCGGGGGATGGGGAGCTTGGGGATATTCCCCACTTCTTGACCAGGGTGCGTTGGGGATCATCTCCCGGCCCCGGACCCATTTTTTGTGTGGTTAATGTCAAAACAATGCCCGGATTTTTGTTCAGGTTGTCTTGTAAGTTGTAACTTAACAGTACAAATATTTGATAAACGGAGAACAAACCTCTACAAAAGCTTTCAATGTACTTATGACGCGAAGGCTATAACATTAATTGCCACACGTGTGTGCCTTTACCATCTCGTGGAGAACGCTTATGTTTTTCTTAAAAAATAGTTTTTCTTAAAAAATTGTTACTCGTAGAACATTTTGATGAAAATAAAATCACGATTATCAGTGTGTGCACACACTGATAATCGTGATTTTATTTTCATCAAATGTTCTACCAATTTTTTTAAAAGGCAGAATTCTGGTTCATATATAGTTTGCACCTAATTGCCACAAGCTCTTCAATGCAAGTTCCACAGGGCTCCTAATTAAGAGGAAAATTGAGTCATAACATTTTGATTTGGTCGACGCGTAGCCTACACTAGCCCTTAGTCAAGTCCTAGCACGAGCGGCGAAGCCGTGAGGGCCTTTACTATATCTCGTGGATCTAATCACTTATTCATTTATTCACGCAATATAAATCAAGCAATATAAACCAATCATCTAACGGTGGTTTGCGGTTACCAGCAACAGCACACGCGCCATCGCGCGAGTGCTGACTGGCGCGCCAGACGACGGCTGATTTACGTTAGTAATTCTGCTGGCATTTTCATTGGTCAATTCACAACAGGTAATGCACTATGCATGTCTACCAAATCGGTAGACAAATGTTAAGAAAAACATAAGCGTTCTCCACGAGATGGTAAAGGCCCTCGCGGCTTCGCCGCTCGTGCTAGTCTTTTTACGTGCCAGCATCCGGGGTGTGTTACGTGTCCGGATGGTCCGGGTATAGGCGCGTGGGACTTGACTAAAGGCTAAGCCTACACTGGTCCGCAACCTATACCGCCCTCTTGCGGCATAACTCTTAAGCTGCTAAACTTCAGGATTATGCACATCAAGATCAAGCATATTTCACTTATTTTTTTTTAATGTAAAAGGTAACGTTTGCGAAACCAATTGCGTTACCTAATTACCTACTTTAAATCAGTCGATCATTTATTTATTGAAAGACACAGATTAAAAGTAACAAACTTTATTAAACTTCATGAAGTTCTAAGCCGCTATGATTATACGAAGTGTCTATGGCTACAGTGTTACTTGGCCTTTGGATATCTGAAAGTGAATTAAGAGACGAAGACATAGCCGTTAGAAGGGGAAATCAGGACGCGGCCTATGACTCATGAAGTCTAGTTTCCGCCGCATTTTCTAATGTGATAATACCAAGCCCTTGAAAGTTAGCCAGACTAACGGGTTCAACAATACAATGATAATAGCAATCTGGTACCCAAACTCGCACACGTGTAACAAGACGACAAGTGAGAATGACTGAATGGGACCCTGTCATGCCAAGCTCAATCACTGAAAATGAATGATGCAGTGAATAATTATATACCATTTCCGGGTACAAAAAGTATCCGATTCTAAGAAATTTGCGTCGCAAATTTGGCCAGATATGATGAGGAGGGGACAGTGTGGCCAGAATGGATGACCTAAGGTGGCGTTCTGGTTGGATTCTGCTGGTGGTTTTGGTCCACAATGGGGTTAATTTGGCCGAATGCCGTCCGGTCGAATCGAAGGAAGGCGACTCGTTTGCGTCGGCGGGTTTGTTGACAAAAGGTTTGTTGTGGATGTGACTCACTCAGTCACTGTAGTGCCGTGGCCACTGGCCATTGGTTTTTTTTGTACAATACAACCAACATTACTCTAATAGTGGGGAAAGAATCCCATATACGGACGCCCCTTTGTTTCAAATAATTTTGAAACTCAACACAGGATTTTAAAAAGGGCAACATTCATTTTGGCATGTTTGGGGGGTTGTTTTAAGAAAATAAAGTAGGCCTAAATGTTTTGAAATAAAAATGCACAATATTTTTAATTACTAACGACATTCATGAGCCCAAATTTCAGCCTGATGTGATTCTTCGGTACAACTATAGAATGCAGGGCCACTTTACTCTACATCCACGCCTCCGTACGGCTGCGTGGAGGCGTGGAGCCGCAGTCGACCTAGTACCTACCTCCGAAAATCGATGTGGAGTCGTGGAGCCGCAGCTCAGTCGATATCTCCGAGAATTGCGCCCTCTATCGGTGCGCGTTTCTGCGACTCCGCGCCTCCGCCACTCCAGTGCCCCGCGTCTCTGCGACTAGACTCTGCGACTCCCAGACTCCGCGCCTCCGCCACTCCAGACAGTGCCCCGTCGCCCTTCTCCCTTCCTAATTTGCGAGCCCATTTAAAATGGATACGGATGCTTCGTTCTCAAAAAAATTCCGCCGAGAATTGCGCCCTCTATCGGCGCGAGTCCTGCGACTCCGCGACTCTGCGCCTCCGCCACTCCAGTGCCCCGCGTCTCCGCGACTAGACTCTGCGACTCCCAGACTCCGCGCCTCCGCCATTCCAGACAGTGCCCTGTCGCCCTCCTCCCTTCCTAATTTGCCAGCCCATTTAAAATGGATACGGATGCTTCGTTCTCAAAAAAAATCCGCCGAGAATTGCGCCCTCTATCGGCGCGAGTCCTGCGACTCCGCGACTCTGCGCCTCCGCCATCCCAGTGTCCCGCGTCTCCGCGACTAGACTCTGCGACTCCTAGACTCCGCGCCTCCGCCACTCCGATCCGTACCGTGCCCCCAACACATTTACAAGCACGCCCTCCCTTCCGATCCTTCATGAGAAGCTTAGAAGACAAGTGCATTCGCTGTACTTAGCACTTTTTGCAGGTTTGCATATCTATTACTCCTATCCATCCACGCCTCCAAGCAAAATAAAAAACCTTGCTCCGGCGTGGCCCTGCATTCTATAGTTGCTCCGATTCTTCATTTAGAAACATTGGCAGCACAAAACCTTTCAACTCGATTATCTCCAAAAGTGCTTTTTGCGTGCCTGGGCTGCTAACATCCTTTTCCTTGGCACACGATGAATTAGTATTTAATAAATTACATTTTCATGTATTTATCAATTAAATATTCACAAAAGATGCATTGTTATTAAGTAGGTTTCATCCAAACTTGATCGAAAGGCTAACCATCTCATGTTGGATCCCCATTGTGCACAGTGTTTCTGTGTATTACGTTTTATACAATTAGGCAAAATTTCTTTCAATTTCTCTGTACAGACACGAAATTGACGCACAACTTGGTGTTGGGGTTACTGGTTACCGCAGCTACCCTCATCAGTCTCATGATTGCGCTGATGCTGTGCGCGTGCGACAGCATGCCAGAAAGGTGAGTTGGAGTAAAACTGAAAGTTTCCTGAAACCCATTTTTTTTTCAGTAACTCTTGGTTCTTGGTTGGTTCATCTCCTAAATACTCCGCGTGGGAGTTTATACAGGAGACCAGAAACACCAGGGCAAACCCCTTCTCTTAGGGATAAGTGTCACTGGGTTCTTTATGCATTGGATTACACAACACACGGGACCTCTGGCTCAACGTCCCATCCGAAGGACGAAGCAATAATGGTTAAGTGCCTTGCTCAAGGGCACAAGACAAGTGTCCACCCGGTGGGCTCGAACCCACGGCCACTGTTGCCTCTGAAACACCAGAGCATGAGTCTGGTGTTCTTAACTGCTAGGCCATGTAAATTCCCGTCCAACATTTTGAAATGATTGTCTTTAAAAACCGTGTCGTGAAAAGTGGTGGGCATTTATGGGTAGTGCGGGAACGGGTGCATACCTATGTTCTCCAATACCGACGTTCCCCAAAATCCTTACCATACACCCTAATCCTTAGGATTTCGGGGAACATCGGTATTGGGGAACATAGGTATTGGGGAACATCGGGTAGATCCCTACGGGAACTGGGTACCCTTTTGGAGTAAAACATGGGTATTGGGTACTTGTAAAGAAAACCCAAGCCCAAAATTCAAATCCTGGAAGTTGTCTATATAGGGACACTGCGTCCTGGAACAGTCAATCCATACACATTAAAGGGCCCATCAAGTGAATATTTCTTAGGAACTTATTTTGTGCTACTTTCTAATCCTAATTAATATTCCTTTTTTAGTAAATTTTGTTGAAAAGTGCATTTCTTTCAACATTTAAAATTGTCCACGCTTTTCCGGACAACTGCGGGCGCTGTTGTCGTGATGTCATTTCAGGGAGACGCTGTTCATATTATCTCTTTCAGCACCCGTGAAATTTGAAAAGTTTAACCCTAAAGTGCCCAACTTTGAGCGTTTTATGTAATTGTTCAAAATTCCATAAAAAAAAAGTAAATAAGTTTTACTCACTAAATTTGTTGTTGTTGCTCTCTGGTATAATCCTTGGTATATTGGAAAGTCAGTATAGTCACATACATAGTGATACACCCCTGAAACACTGTTCTGCACACAGGGGAATTCTGTGCTTTTTGCAGAAAAAACAAGCGTCAGTGCTGCGCCCTCTCGCAGGAACTCGAATGAAACAAATAAATACAGGTCGTACCTGAATGAAAATGATATTATTAGAAAGAGCGAGAGCGCCCCCTTGTGATAACATGCTTACTCTACCTCGTACATGTACGAGGTTTGGCGATTTTAAGTACGAACATTACCTCCTACATGTACGAGGTTGGCACTGTCGAACTAACAAATATACGTCGTATATATACGACTTGGGCACTGAAAGAGTTATTAGGTGTTTTTCTGTTGAAAGAGTGAACCCAAAAAAATGCTCCTTGAAAACATTTGTGAGAAAAGTTTGCTCTTACTGCCATGAACTGGCACAACAACGAATCACTAATGAAAAGAAACTTTACGACAGCGAAATATCCAAAATTTAGGCAACTCTCTGTGCATAAACTAATTGCAACATTGAGGTTTCTGCCTGATATGACATCACACTTTTGCTCATGAATATGGAAATTCGCATTAGCATAAAAACCAAAAGTGCACCAAAATACCCTTGAAAGTGTCAAAATGAAAATTGAAAATAAGGTTAAAGGGACACAAAGGTACATTTTCAAGGATTGCATTAAAAAAAATTACATTTCATGGGCCCTTTAAGAATACTTACACTCTCTTTTTGCAAAACTTATCTATGGGCTCCATGCGGAGGGCGCCCTTTTACCTAGCAACGACGTCCCATGGGCGGGACATTTCCCTGGTTGACGCGCACCGTTCCTTGTGTGTTACGCAAGTACACCAGGGGATTTGTACTATGTACACACGCAGTGGCCGCGCTTCTTGGCAAATGAATTGCAGTCAGGCAAGATGGCGTCGGTCGGTCACCCCAAACTGTACTGTCTTTGCTGGTGAGGGGGTACTTGTAAACAGAGTGGATAGAGTCTGAAGGTGTAGTAAATACTCTACACAATGGTCTTGATCCCATCTCATTTGGACACCCCAGTCCAGAGATACAGCTAATTAAATGAAAGGACTTGAATTCCAAGTCGGGCCACTTGGTATCTAATGGTAGGCTTCACATACCAAGAAGGTGAAGAAAGTGGCCCAAGCAGATTTTGACAGTCTTCACAAGCTGTGCCGTAACCTTTAAACAAAAAGGTCTAAATCACACAGAACACAAATCCTGTCAAGGGTAAAGAAACACATCTCATGGTAATTTTAAAAAAAAACACCATTTACTTTTCTCAGAAAAAAATGTTGTTCGACTGCTACTTTCTTTTTGCCGACACCCTGTCATGCCTGTATTTTTTTCCCCGTTGTAATAGGAAATAATATAATTGACAGTCTACCACAGTTTAGGGATCATATTTTGATGAAGAAGATGTACAGTGTACGTTCACTGGTACAGGAAGCAAAACTAGATTAGTCAGGAAATGCAAATTAGGGCATCGTGTAAAGGGTGTATTCAGGAAGGAAACATACATTTAAAATGGTTACATTTTAATAGCGGAAAGTCTGCAGAACAGCCACACAAATGTATACACACACACATTTGTTTATGGTGTAAATCGAGGATTTTCTATTGTTCCTCTTCCCTTTTCCTTTGTTTATACTCTAACTTTATTGCAACAGCTCTCATTGGTTTTGTACACGTTTTCTAATCGAGGTCGTCCTCGATTTGGTTCCTGTCCTCGATGATGTTGCACGTGTGTGTCCTCGATTTACACCATAAACAAACGCACCCAACTGTTAAAGGGTTCATGATATGATTTTTTTCTTAGGAACACATTTTGTGCAACTTTCTACTTCTCTTAAATGTATGAAAGCTGTTTGTCATCTCTTTTTTGTTTTATGTTTTTTGAAAAGTGCACTTCTTAAACATTTAAAATTGTCCATGCTTTTGCGGACAACTGAGGGCGCTGTTGCTGTGATGTCATGTCAGGAAGACACTGAATATGCAGAATAGTTTTTATTACACATGTGACCTGTTACCATGAAATGAGCTTAAAGTTATCAACTTTATACAAGTAGACCCACTTTTTGACCGGGGGGGGGGGGGGGGGGGGGTGCAATGGGTCATTGAATCACCCTCAGTTAATTTTGCTGAATTCAAGCATCGTTGTGGTTGTGGAAAAACAATCTGTGAATAAATACAAAAGACTATTCAAGCCACACACATGTTAAATTAAAACTAGAGTATTTGCAGAATATTCCTGGCTATTTATTAAGCACTCGACAGATTAGTACGAGTTAATATAAGCCTTTCTTGAGCAGTCTGGCTCAGTGAGGTCATGTTGGGATATAGCTGTGTGTTCACCATGTATGGAGGCAGGAAACCAGTCCTGTCTTTTTCTTTGTGGGTAATAATTAACAACTTTCAGTGACTCAACGGTTTTGTACTCAGCTATTTTTTTTTTTTTAAGTGATGTCATACGAACAGGGAGGCAAAAGCAGTCCTTTAACTGCTTTTGTAGCTGCATTTCCAGTCAGTTTTGTTTTGCTGTTGTATATTTACTGTAGATCCATTTTAAAGTGTCCCGTGGTAGTTCAGCAACTGGGCAATTCCACGGTTACCGGTACTCACGTTACATTTTTGATGTACTTTTGAGTTTCCTTGGGCTGTAATTACCTTACTGAAACGGTTTAATAACTGTTATCCTGTAGATAGAGTAGACCTAGACCTACCTAAGCACCAAAGATGACATCCAGAAAAATGTGTTATGTATGATAAACAAGCACATCAAAATGTAACGTGAGTAACCGTGGAATTGCCCAACTGACACGAAATGGGCTGAATAGGCACATACAAGGCAGCGTTTTCCAGTGTTCTGATTATTTTGTTTCCAACTTGTACTACAAAAAAACGATACGAAAAAACATATTTTGTCCAGATTTGCCAAACTATTTCAAAATAATTTTGTTGTTGTTGTTGTTGTGGATCTCAACTTTCTTGTCCAAAGTGTTCTTTATTGTCCGTTAAGTGGTCTGCCAACATCAGTTTGCAGTCAGTCTGTTGCTGAATACTCTAACCATTTTCCATGTCTCCTCTTCTGAAAAACAAAACTACCTAATTATTATAAAATACTTAACTGGAGTGTTAGTGAATGACAGTCTAAAGCATCCTGTAAAATCATGGCACATACCTGGTGTGCTGAAGTTTTCAAGTGGCCCTTTTCAAATATTGCCCCCAATTTTAGTTAGTCCGTATGTTGTTTGTAATGGATTACACACCTATGAACGGGTACAATCAGCTAGATTGGTTCCCTGACCTTACAATTCCCTGACGTCTACATATGTACATGTACCGGTATAAACTGTTCTGTCAGGGAACCAGACCACAGGAATATGATTGCTTTTCTTGGTTTTTCATAAAATAAAAATAAAATTTCAAACAAGTCAGTGTAACAACATTTGCTATAAAATACGGTACTAACCCCCAAATTCATCCATTTCTGAAATTACAGCAAAAGCACATTTGTTTGTAGGCCTTATATTCCCTTTTAAGTGCAGGGGTGAGATCTTGTCCTGAAAGGATATTTCCTGACATCAGGAAGTTTGTGTTGTCAGGAGTTTTCCCGATTTCGGGATCTTACATAGAATCTCGTTTAATAGAAATCTGGAATTACTGAGGTCCTACCTTAACCCTAACCGAACTCAACCCATCAAAGTTCAACAGCAGGTTTTGTTTAAATCTGTTGGGATAGGTACAGTACCCCTAAACTGATGGTCTTTTACACTGGGTTGTATTGGCATACATGAACCTCCAGAAACTAAGTCCAACAGTGTGTGTGTACAATTTCCCATGTGGGTGTTGGAATTTGCCAGAATGGGTAGGCCTATGGTTCCTAGTAAATTGTGACCTGTTCTGTCAAAATCAGACTTTTCTGGGCATAAAGTCAAAAATGAGATTTTTGCATATTGTTAAAATATGTTCTGTTTCCTTTTAATAGGTGGTTTAATTTTTGAAACCGGTCATTCCTGGGCAGAGTTATGCTATTTTGAAGTTCATTGTGTCGAAAAGTAGAAAACAGAGAAAATGGCCACAAACGTCAAAAACCAGTAATTTCTTTAACTGATATACCTTAACAAATCATCAAAAATACTATAATTAGAGATCAAATTAGGGTTTCAAACTTTTATAGTATATTTTACTATAATTTTAGACATGCTCAGGATTACAAATATATGCAAAAATTAGAAAATGGAAAAAAATCACCCCCACAGCATTTTTTGGCCCTATCTCAATTTCAACCTCTGCCCAGAAGCGTCTGCTTTTGACAGAACAGGTCACAATAATGCTAGGGAGTTACATGTAGGGTTGAAGGTTTTTATGTTTAACAAATGTATAGAACAACAGAAATGGATATTTTCAGGGGTGCCTTTATAGGCAAATCCCATAGACTCTACAGGGGCCCACTGTGATCATCAAACCCTTTGCCAATTATTTTGTGGATTTTTCATTCCCCCTGATCTCGCACCCGAAAATGGCCATGCAGTACCTCATCAGGCAATGGCTCATAACACAAGCAAAAGTAAAAGCAGATTTTCTTATTATGTTGATACATAGTATATACATTGTACATGTCTTTCAGGAATGATCAAATAGAAGTTGCCACTGACAATGGCGAAGTCGCAGTAGTGGACGATGGAGTACCGGCGGTGAGTCATGTCAAACAACAACATTTTGCTCAAATCAAAACTTTGTTTCCCCTGGAACTAAGAGTACGTCTTAGGCCAAGTAAAAACAAAGAAATAATTTCTCGTCCTTAGGCTTTTTGATAAAAGGGAGGAGGGGCCTTTTTTTTATCCCCTTAACCCTAATCCCCATGAGGTATTCTTGAGGTACACTACTAAATACAACAATATCCAACACAACTGAAGTGAGAACCATGCTAAATGCAACAAAACTGCAACAGTGGATTCCGTTGCATTTTGCAGTGAACCCAGTGCATACCAGCCTTGGCACCAAGCAGTTACCCTGCTAAACGCAACCAAATGCAACAGTGGATTCTGTTGTATCGCCTTGGCACTATGAGCAGTTACCCTGCTAAATGCAACAAGATGCAACAGAGCACGGGCACTTGAGTCGGCTGCTAAATGCAACAGTGATGTGCAACAACTTTTTACCATTGTTGCCTTCTGTTGCATTTAGCATGGTTAGGGGTTTACAGGTGGCAGATTTTCCAAGATGGTGGATGGATTCTTTCAGATTTCTTGGCTCTTTTCCTGATAATTTGTGTCCAAAGGAGCCACCACCAGATTTTTGAACATGCATATTTACATAAAAATGTACATGTATACTTTTGCTGGGGAAAAAAAGTAAAGACAAAATATTCTGCGATTGTATGGTTTAAAAAACAACAACACAGCTGTGGATAAGAAAGTGGTTAATTTTTTTTACTTTGCCTTATTATTTCACCTCATACAATTTATGAACCAAACATGCTTCATTCATTGATGGATGTTTCAGCATGTAAGAGCGGTAGAAGTTGCTACCCTGCACGCCTACACGCAGGGACTGGTTGGTTCCTAGACTTGTAAAATTGGTTCCTAGACTTGTAATTATGCAACAGTAGCAATGGCATATGAGGTTGCTAGTGGTACCGGTACCAGACTAAAACCTGACAGTTGAGTTATTAATACAGGGTGACCCCCCCCCCCCCAAAAAAAAAGCAACCCTAAAACATTTGCCTAAAAAAAAGGGATGGGTGGATTTGTATGTTTTGGGTATTATTAAAGCTGAGAGCTTTTTCTTTCAAATACTGAAAAAATTCATGAAAATAGCACATTGGGTTGTTGAGAAAAAGTCAATTATGTAAAAAAGTAGTCATTTTCATCCATTTTTTGGTGTTACCCTGTACCTGAATCTTTTCATTTGAGAGGGTTTTGTGGAAATCTGTCAAATTTTGATATATGGAGCAACAAGTTAAAAACCCAAACATTTTGTTATTTTGTGTTATTGTACAATGTATACATGTCTGAATACATACATGTCGACCAGTCCATGGAACTTCGCCCCATGATTTTTTGACCAATCACAGTCATGTATGCGCAAAAAAATGTCCAACAAAAGTTTTAATGAACATGTATGAACATGCACTTATGCCTGAGTTCTGCAACTGAAAACAGGCACCCCAGCATTTTGCAAATGACCATTCAAAACAATGATCGTTAATGCACAGAGTCCGTCTCCAGACGCCCTTACGGCTCCAGTCCCAGACCCCGCACTAGCAGTCCCAGCCGACAGTGCTCCCAAGATGCGCACGGCATCCGCTTCCTCCAACAACCCCGGCCACTCCGACGACCCCCTCATCCGTTGCTCCACCATCGACCGCCGGCTCCCCGAGCTGCCCCCTACCCCTATGCCGCCGGTCACGCCCACAAATGAAGATGAGGAGGATGATTATAACCGGACTTATGACGTCATTGGAGAGACGAAAACCAACGCCGGTGCGACGAAAGATGACAAGAAGCAGGAAAGCTTTCCCGAGGACGAAGTCGAAGACGAGCAGTATGCCTCGGTGAGCGACAGTGCTGCCGGGAAGCAGAACCGCGGGGTCAAAGCGGAACCCACGGCAGATGCCGACTACAACAGCATCAGTGTCACGAACAGTGGCGTTGGGAATGCAGAGGAAGGCGACGAGCCTTACGCTGTTGTGGTGGTGCCCGGTGCGGAGGCCAAAGATGTGGAGAACGCAAACTACGCCAGCGTCGGTACTGACAAAGAGGAGAAGGAAGGCTACTCGCGGCTGCGCAGCATCCAGAAGCGCACCAGAGAGGAGTCGCCAGAGGGCGGGGAGAAGAATGGCTACGCCCGCCTGCGAGACATCGCCGTGGACGGTTCTACTGCAAGCGGAGCTGTGGGCGGGGCCATGGGTGGGGCCATGGGTGGGGCCGTGGTTAAAGAGGAGGATGAAGAGGTGCCGCCTGTGCCGTATAAACCACCTGACCTCCAGAATGAGGATGAAGAAAACTCACCGATTCCAAGGTGAGTGACATTTGGACCTTTACCCTTGACCCAAACTCTCACCTATGGCCATATCCCACATCACAGCAGTCAACATTTGTTCAGGCACATACATGTAAGTGAAACAGAAGTGTAGCAAGTTTTCATGATTGGTTAGGGTGGGTTTGCCCAATTCTTTTCTTGGACCGGGACGTGCTGTACTGGTATAAATACATGTCATGTTTTTGACGTCATGACATCATTTCTTTTTTTGAAAGAATATGTTTTCTATTATTGCCAAACCAGGACTCCCAGTGTGGGAACTGCAGCTGGTGCTACTGTGAATGGTATCACTGTTAACATTGATGGAAATGCACCAGCAACAAAGAAGAAAGAACCGCCATACACACAGGTAAGGGCCGACAGACATGGTGATAGATGGTATGACACATACTGCGACAGACACAGAGACAAAATCCATTTCTGGCATTGGACAATACGTGAGAATCCGGTGTACATAGTAAAGGGATGACAGAAATGGTGACAATTGATGTGACTAATATTGTGAGCGACACTAGACAAACTCAGATACTGGGTAAGATGTGAGAACCCCGTGTACATAGGAAAATGGGTTCATGACAGAAATGGTGACAGATGGTGTGACGCATACTGTGACGGACAGTCGGACACGAAACAAACTCAAGTACTGGCACTATACAAGATGTGATAATCCCGTGTACATCGGAAAGGGGTGACAGAAATGGTGACAGATAGTGTGACGCATACTGTGACGGACACAGAGACAAACTCAAATACTGGCACTACAAAAGATGTAATAATCCCTTGTACATAGGAAAGGGGTGACAGAAATGGTGACAGATAGTGTGACGCATACTGTGACAGACAGAGACAAACTCAAATATTGACACTGGACAAGATGTGAGAATGCTGTGTACATAGGAAAATGGGTGACAGAAATGGTGACAGATGGTGTGACGCATACTGTGACGGACACAGAGACAAACTCAAATACTGGGACTATACAAGATGTAATAATCCCGTGTACATGTACATGCATGGGCGTCGCCAGGATTTTTTCTAGAGGGGGGCAAAAACATTTTTTTGCCAAAAAATGCTTGTATTTCTCAACACATTCTCGATTTATCAGTTTTAGAGGGGGGCAGGGACATTTTGCCCCCCCCCCCCCCAACACATGAAATTTACACCACTTTGTCTTCGCGCCTCTTTTTCTTTTCTTTTTTTTCTTTTTTTTGTTTTTTTTTTTTTTTTTTTTTTTTTTGCTTTTCCAGGGGGGGGGGGGCAAGTGCCCCCCCTTGCCCCCCCCTCGCGACGCCCATGTGTACATGTACATAGGGAAATTGGTTCACGACAGAAATGGTGACAGATGGTGTGACGCATACTGTGACGGACATAGAGACAAACTTAAATACTGGCACTGGACAAGATAAGAGAACCTCTGTACATAGGAAAGGGGTGACATACATGTATGGCGACAGATGATGTCAAACATACCGGGTACTGTGACATACTTGCTCTATGATTCCACGGGCATGACGGGTACTACAATGGGCATATTGCTCTAAAATAACCGGGTACAGCAAACTCTTACCGGTACCTTCTAATCTTTCTTTCCTAGGTGTCGGCCAGGGAGAGTTTGGAGGTGGTCCGAGCACGGCAACAGGCTGAGCAGAGCGCCCGCCAGGCCGCCCATTACCAAACCATTGAAGAAGACCAGAACCTAGACGCCGACCATGACGGCATCTATGAACCTGTGGATGACCAACAGCTGGACGGCCAGATGGTGTTGTCTCCACCTCCCCTGCCTGGGGATAGACAGGTAAGCACCGCCCACCTAATGAATATTCTCGACACATGTACAATATAGTTAACTACTGGTACCTGGACTGTCACTGTGAATTCTGACATTATAGGCCCTATTGTATTGTCCAGCCAGCAAGGGGCTTGTGCAAAGTATTATTTTTCTACTGATCTTTATGTTTCAAGTTGCATTAATTGCTTGATTTCGTGCCAACATTTTCTTAGGCAACTAACCCTTCACCCTTAAATTTGAATAGAAGGGCCCATGATATGAATTTTACTTACATTGTAGAAACACAGTTTGTACAACTTTCTACTCTTAAAGGGAATGTACAACATTTGCTTTTGCTGCAATTTTCAGAAATAAATGGATTTGGAGGATTAGTATGGTGTATAAAATATTGTTAAACTGACTTGTTTCATGTTTTGGGCTTGTAGATGCTGGAAAAACCAAGAAAACCTATCATGTTCTTGTAGTCTGGTTCCCTAAACCCCACTTACAAGATGAAACGAAGCAATTAATACACTTTGGGGAATTGTAAGGTCAGAGAATCAGTCTAGCAAGCATGTACCCCTTCACAGGTGTGTGATCAATTGCAAAGAGAAGTCAGAATAACTAAATATGAAAAATTAAGAACACTTTTTGAAAAAAGCCAGTTTTCTCCAAGGCTGGTCGGCCGACCAGCGTTTGAAAAATGTAGTTTTTCTTGAAAATGTCAGCCCACCAGGAGCCACGATTTTAAAAGATGCTTTAGACTGTCAGTCCCTAACAATTCAGTAAGGTATTTCGTGATAATTTGATCATTTCGTTTTTTGATGTTTGCAAATGTTGTATTTTCCCTTTAAAGTGATGAAAACTATTTGACATTCCTTTTTGGTTAATCTTTTTGAAATAGCACAGCTTTAAACATTTCAAATTTTCCATGCTTTTCCGGACAGATGAGGGCGCCGTTGTTGTGATGTCATTTCAGGAAGACACTGTTCAGTTTAGGGGTTTTCCGTTCAAATTGTGAACCCAAGATATGCTGATTGAACACATTTGTGAGAAAAACTTTTTCTCATTAGCCTACTGTCATGTACTGAAACAACAAATCACAAAAGAAAAGAAAATTTACGACATCAAAATATCCAAAATTGGGGCAAATTTTGGTGCTGAAATAGCTTGTGACATTGAGGTTTCTGCCTGAAATCACATCACGCTTTTGCTCATGAACATATAGGCTATGCATTAGCATGGAAAAAGACACCAAAATGCCCTTAAAAATTGCAAAATGTAAATTGAAAATGAGCTTACACACAGGTGCATTTTCAAGGACTTCATTACAAAAAAAATTACATTACATGAGCCTTTTCAAGTTTCCAGTATAAACTGAATGTGCAGCTATGCACATGCATTGTGTAAAAAGCTTAGGAAAATTTCTTCAGTTTGTTCAACCCAAGATTTGCCCATATAGAAAACCTGTACAAACATGACAAAAGATAGGTTTGTGGTTTCCCTCTTTCAAATTTTTGTTAAAAATGCATGATTGCGTATGAATTGCCATGCAAAGGTCAGCAGACAATATGACACAAATACCGTAAACCCACAGCTATCGCATTTTTTAGCAGGAAAAGAACATGTTTGGACAAATCGGGGCTTTTAGCCACCAAAGAAGGAAGCGTCTAGCTGCATATTCCCTGGGACTTGTTGCGTTTTCGTTTGGCAGAGAAATCAGGAAGTTTGAATGTTTTTTTTGGCATCCTAACCAGGAAGCAATACGGGTGTTTAAATTGTAGAAGGGAATTTTTCCTGCGTATCAAGGGCCACACATTGATATCATTCATGTGTAGCTGCACAGTTTCGTATTGACTCGTTCCCGGTAAAAGAAAAACACAAAAAGTGGAACTGTTTTTACTGCAAGTGGATTAAACATTTATCCATGTATATGTACGTCATTTTACGAGTATTTTCATTTTCACTTACAACTCGTTTCTGTTTGGATTGGCTTTCATGTTTGCTTTTAATATTTAAAAAAAAAAAGAGGCATTTTATAAGAATACAATTGTGTATATGCATAAGGGACAGGTTCGATGCTGAAATCAAATTTGATTGTTTTAAAGAGTTGTGAATATATACAAGCAAATTGTTCATTGTTTACATTGTCTAAATGCGTAGATCCTTTTGCAATCAAACCAAATGTGAAAACACTGATTAGCTGAAACTTATTACGAGAAACTGCGTATCATGATCCACTGTTGGCTGATGGAAAAAAAAAACAGCAACAACCCAAAAACCCGTAGATTTACCACGTCAATAGTGTTTCTTAGATGTTTGAAAAAACTTAATTCCTGGACAGAATCAGAATCAATTCCACAATCACCAAAAGCCTATTGTACATGGTGAATCTGACTTCCTTTGACGCCAGGTGTCATGTTTTTTTTTCCCCTCGTGATTCATCGTGCCATCTTCCTCGCTGTTGTCTTAACCAACAATTTCCTGTTGACAACTTTGGGATTTGGGGCCCCGAAGGTTACAACACCGTTGTCTTTGAAATATCCTGACCCTGTTCGAGCAACAAATCAGGTTTGGCCCTGACTTGTGATCACAATTTGCAAAGGCTTATTGTTGTTTTGTTTTGTTTTTTCAGAAGGGGTTGGAAAAGGAAAGTACAAACTGTATGTAGAAGGTTGAATGATTGAAATAGAACGGTGAAATAAAGTACAATATTGTGTGAGAAAAAAAGTGCTGTAAGGCAAAAAAAAAAAAAAACTCGGTCTCTTGTCAGCGCGTGTGTCGATTTTAATCATGCGCGTCAACTGTTTTTCCCCTTCAAATTAACACGGAAGCTACAACAGCGCCCTCTATTGCCGCGCCTTCTCAAATTTTTGTACCAAGGAGCACCAAGGAATGGGGAAATTGCACCAAGGCAAATGATAAAGGGCACCAAGGCAAATTATGGAGGACACCAATGTACATGTATAATGAGGACACAAAAAAGCAAAATAGTACCCACCTTGTCTGTACAATACAAGCTTGGAAAAAAAAAAAAACCACCAGAAAAAAAAAAATGCGTCGCCGCATCAATTCCGGAACTTCAGTCTGACCAGAGACCGACTAATTTTTTTTTTGGCCTAACCCTAACGCCCGTTGCAGGGTCCCTATGAACCAAATTATTCCTAATACTAAATTTAAATTTGACTTTAAAACAGTTAGGCAGGGGTATATGTGGGGGGGGGGGGTGGGGGAAGAGTTCGAGGGGCGAGGAGGGGGAGGGATATTTTTTAGGGATTTGTATGATAATTTTTTTTTGGGGGGGGGCAGAGCTGGGTTTTTTTGTTTTTTTTACCCCCCCCTGGATCCACACCTGCTGAGCAAATACAACACAAGGTCCGGCCCAAGACCTTGCCAAAGTGCATCCACGAAATCAGTAACACACTTTTGCCATGTAACCTCAATCCTCCAAATTCCTCCACTTCGGCAAAGAAGACAGTTTATTCTTCCTTTCTTAATGTTATGAAAAAAAGCCAAAATCACTCAAACGGCAAGCCAGCAGTTATGTATGTGTTGCTAGCGTATATTTCTGTGACGTTCAGGTGTGTATGCATGAAACAATGTGGGTCCTCGGCGTGCACGTTCTTGCAAAAACTCCTAACAAAGAAATGTCTGTGTCACAGTTAATTTGAAAAACTTGTGATTTGACTTGAGACTGGAGAACTTGTGATGGACTTGTGATAGACTCTTCTACAACACTGAGCACTGGCTTATTGTGACTGTAGATACCGGTATGAAATTGTTCTTCTTTCCTAACCTCACCAATTTCTTTTTTTCTGTTTATTGTCACCCAGGGGACCACCAACGGACCCTCAGCCAGCAACAACTGGCAGATGACGAGGGCTCCCCGTGTCTACGAAGAAATCACCGACGAGACTAGGCCCAGGCCGCCCAACATGCTGGCAGCTGCTGCAAACGCACAAGCAGGTCAGATTCTCCCTTTTTCCCCAGAAATGGATTGTCTCAAACCTCAGAGCAATCCTGTTCTTTAACCAGTTTGCGCCGGATGATGTGTGTGCCCGCAGCGGTTTTGCGTTATTCAAAACGGGTGACGGATAAACACGCAGGGAGCGAGGCCGGAAATATCTTTCGGCAAACCGCTCGCAGCGAGCGAGGCCGGAAATACGAGTGTGCTGGCCTAGGGTGGTGGCTTCAACCGGCCTGGCAGTGAAAAGTAATCCCGCGCCTCGTTCCGTTCTTGTCGAAATAATCCTGGTGTGAACTGGTTTTAACCCTAACCCCTAGGCCCTTGTTGCTTACAACCATCCTCAATCCTCCAAAATCCTCCAAAATTTTTCAAAATTGTCAGACAGTCCTGCCTCAAAACGCATTCATCCTCAATCCTCCAAAATCCTCCTCATCCCAAAACTTTGCGCTCGTGTTTAAATGAAGGATAACCAACGCCAAATCCTTCAAAATCATCAGACAGTCCTGCCTCAAAATGCATTCATCCTCAATCCTCCAAAATCCTCTTGTGCTTCATTCACCATTCATCCTCAATCCTCCAAAATCCTCATGTGCTTCAATCACCATTCATCCTCAATCCTCCAGAATCCTCATTTGATTCAATCACCATTCATCCTCAATCCTCTAGAATCCTCCAAAACCGCCAGGAGGATTTTGGAGGAGTGAGGTGGGTTAGGGTTAAGGGCACATAGGATCATTTGCTCTTCGTGAATTTTGATTGTTTCCAAAAATAACACCACTCAAGATCCAAAGCAGAATGTTCACAACCTAACCTGTTGAAGTTTCAGCTCAGTGGATATTACTCTTTTTCGAGAACACAGTGAAAAACCATGCAAAACCTTTTGATCATTAAACACGATTTTGTTAATCTTTAATATTTCCAAATATCAGACAATTGACTGATCGTTGGAATCAGTTCTACATTTCTTGATTTCTTCTAAACGACAGTAAGCCAGATGGAATAATTTTAATCGGGTGTTAAGTTCCAGTATGATCGTTAATCCAAATAATCTTTTCTTAATATAATTTGTGAGGTTACTTTTGAGATAAGTGCAAATGATCCTGAATGCCTTTAAGGGGAGAATGTGAAATTAAACAGGCTATTAAACTCAAGGTTTAGCTCACGGTTTTATGAGGTTTTATGTGATACCTCAGGTTACCAATTTTTTAATTTTGCATTCTGTCCTAAATTACCCCTCTTCAAGGGCGGATCTAGACCACAATTTTTGGGGGGGCCAAATTTTTTTTTGCGATCTGAGGCAATCTGAGGCAATTTCTGACCACTTTAACCAATGTTTTTTTGAGGAAAAGATGGTGGTGTACTCATTGCCTGCCTTTATTGCGATGTCACATAAAAAAAAAAAAAAAAAAAAAATTGCTTTCGTTTTTGTTTGGGGGGGGGGGGCCATGGCCCCTTGCCCCACCCCCCCTGGATCCGCCCTTGCCCCTCTTTTGGTTCAGTCATGTTGATTCCAGAGTACATGGGCTAATTAAAAAAAAATTCACTTCATAGTGAAGCTATACATGAACATTGTCACCATTTTGAAGAACATGGTGAATATGTATGAGGATAGTAAAACAAATATGCAGCTTCACCTTGGGAACAAGTTTGTCAACTTCCAGTACCCCAAGGAGCTAATATTGACTATCCACCCTCAAACCGTGTGATATTTGTAAACTACTTCCCCTCAATCGGTGATATATTTGTACATATTTCCCTGCACTGGAGGACCTGGAAAAGTACTTAAGTACAACACTTGCATACAATAACATTGTATTCTCTGTTAGAATTTAAAACAATACATGTATGTCAACAGGTGGATGGTGATTGACACAAACCTTGATACACATCTGGTGTTTGTTATGTACACGTACATGTGAGGCTTTTGAAACATCTGTACAATACATTTAAATACACTTCGGTCAGTGTACTTTGCTGATGTTTAGACCACAAAAAACGTATGTTTCCCATTAATGGTGCACACTGACCTCACAGTAATGGGAAAGTGGGGGATAACATACCATTTGGTCCCCCCCCCCCCATTTTTTTTCTTGCCCCCAAAATAATTTTCGCATCGATTGATGCTGATTCATTTATCGTTACTGCTGAGCTTAGCGAAACTAATTCCATCCACACTTGAAAGGAGTTTTAGTTGTTGATCAAAACGTCTATGGATACCCACATGTTCCATTGGTTTGTGTACATACATGCACATGTACATGACCTGGGGGGGGGGGTAGTCTGAGTATCACCTGTTATACTCGGAGCCCAGACTCCTGTCTAACGTCTGATATGTCAAAGCATGCAGATTCATGCGATCTCGTGCCTCAGCCAATCGGAGTCGACTTTACTAAATCGTGACGTCATTTCATTCCCAAATCAGGACTAAACATTCGATTGGTCAATTCGATTGCAGTGTTTTGTAATGCAACAACAGCCGGGCGCGTTATCGCGTAACATGATAACAGAGTGCGCGCGTGACGCAGGGCTTTTTAATACATTGTCTATGACACGCACCTGAGACCCGATCAGAAAGCGCCCGCTGATTGGTCAAAATCTAGAAAGTCAAGAGGAGGGGGGGGGGGGGGGGGGGGGTTCTTGCTTAATTAATCAGCGAATCTGCTAACATTTCCTAGACCCATGGCATTCACCATTGGTCTATTACATAGACTAGGGAGGGTGGGGTTAACAACCAGATCGAAAATGTTGATTTTTGCGGAGGGAGGAAAACCCGTGAACTCAGAGAATAATCCTGGTTGCACAGGAGAGAATCAAGGTCTCTGCTCATATAATGGCCCGAGGTGGGGATTGAACCCAGGGCCCAGCGTTGAGAGGCGAGTACTTTACCCCCTGCGCTACCCATGTCACCCAAATGCGATGCATTCCTGCCAACCATTTCTTCATAGAAGAAGATTGACTTTTTTTTTTCATGCCTGCAGAAAATGATGACGACATTGAACCCTATGCTGTCACGGAGAAGCGACCCAACCCAGCCGACATTCCCACGTACTCAGTCGTGGACAAGAAATCTAAAGTCCACTACGCAAAAGTCAACAAGGCCGCCACGAACCCGGATCAAGCCAACAACAACGCAAGGACAGAAGTCAGGTCACCAGACCCCGGGTCGTCGTCTCCAGTGCCAACGGACGAGGCAGGCCTGCCGCTGTATGCCGTGGTGGAGAAGAAGGGTAGAAGTAAAGAGTCCGAGACGAAGGAGGACGCAGCGGAGTATGCGTGGGACGACCTGACAGCATCTACGAAGCCCCAGGAGGACGCGTACCAAGCGGTGGAGGATAACTACCAAACTGTGGGCGACATGCCAGGGACTAACGGTGACTTAAGTGCCGCGGCCGTCGCTGGCGGTATGGTCCATGTCAGCCAGCGCGATCCCCCCAACGACCTCTGGACCAAGAAGGAGCACATGTACATTGACGTGGAGACCAACCAACCGAGCACGCCGCCGGCTGGAGCCGAGCAGAGGTCCCCGGCCGGCCCACGGACCAACCACAGCTACGAGTCGGTGGAGGTGGTCCCCAAGCCCGCCAATAAAAAGGAGAAGCAGAAACAGGCCAAGAAGGAAGCCAAGCAGGCCAAGAAGGAAGCCAAACGGGAGAGGAAACACTCAAAGGGGTCCAAGGGGGCTAAGGAGAAGGACAAGGAAGGCGAAGCCAAAGGAGCTGCGGGCGAAGACACAGTCTGGCAGCGACAAGAATCACCCGAGGCTAACGGCAACAGCAACAACAACACCGATCCGTCTGACGACTACGAAAACGTGGCTTTCCCTCTTCAAGAGACCAGGCTTTAGAGGTTCTACTCAAGGCAGATCCTCAATTTTGTCCCCCTGTCCGCATCTTTCACCATAGGGCTGATTCACACTCAACATGGTAATGGTTTCTGCGTAGGGAAACAAATTCTGCATTTTGACCATTCAAGGCATGGGTGTGCATGGCGTTGCAGAGCTTGGCCTTGATGTTGCCCTGTAAACCTTTAATTAGTTTGCGTAAAAAAAACTGGCATGGTTTTCCGCCCCTGTGTAAATGTATCCTACCTTGCAAGTATGCTCACTTCTGTGTATTAAAGTTGGCCCTCGTAATTATGTTACATCTCTTCGACAGTTTGAACGTCTTGCCAAATTCCTCTCTGAGAAAAACCCTCTTGTGGGACACCACAATGTTGTGGACAAAATCTGCGGTGTTCAATAGTCAAATCTCTGTGTTTGAAAGTACATGCCGTTGGTTTTTTAATTTTATTTTTTAAAGTAAATCATTCATAACAAAATCCTGGAATAAGGTTTTTTTTTAAACTAATGTGGAACTAGCCAGAGGTTCTGTAGTTGAGAGCCAAAATCAATGCCATTTCATTATTTTTAAATGTTAAAAAAAATCTCAACAGAATTTGTTTCAAAAATATTTTTGGAACGATACGTTCTCTTGAAAAAAATTTTCAGTACAGCTATTTTACAGAACTGTCTGGGCACAGAGTATGGCCAACTCACAGTTTTCATAATTTTTTTGGCCATAACCAGTAAGTTTGTGAGAACAAAACAAAAGCAGAGCTGCCAATGCTCCCTGATTCTGCAGAAAGTTCCCTGAAAATAAACTAATCTTTCCATGTTCTGATGAACAAATTTGAAAATCTCCCTGATTATGGAAACTTTTTCCCTATTATGCTGAATGTAATTCTAAATATGTCCCTGATTATTGTACAAAATCTCCCTGATTGCAAGATGATAATGTTGGCAGCTCTGCAAAAGTATACTTGCAATAAAATCTTACTTAACTTGTAAAAAAAAAACATTGTGAAATTGGCCGCAGCTTTCAAGACGGCGACTGATTTATGTTGTATGTTGGTTTGTGGATTGGTCAGCAATATTTGTTATGGAGTACCGAAGTGTGACGTCATTTAGAACCAGAAAGTGTAGTCCAAACGAATGGAGTATGTGCGCGTGTTGGTTCACGGGCTGAATCAGTCTTTCACACACATTTTGTGCGCGTGACGTATTCACTTCGGTACTCCATTGTACATGTAGGCAATTTACGAAATCTTGACTTTTTTTCAGAGACTTCAAATCCTGTTGCACAAATCCAATCACTGGCGTGGATTATTATAAATCTTAGTGCAGGAGATGAAGGCGAAGCTGGAGACAAAGTCGGGGTTTCGTAAACACCTCTTGCATGAGAATAGGTGTTGTTCTTGAGCAATGAGGGCGCTATAACAAGAACATTGTGGGGAGTAAACAGGCGCCAATTGCACGGCGCTGCTTAGCACAAAAATTTGCTTAGCACAAAAAAAGACTGGCTTATAAAAGCAGCTTACCAGCCAAAACTCCACGTAATGTATATTGCTCATGATTAGTATTCAGCTGTTGTTTGCTAAGCATGAAAATCACATGGAGTTTTGGCTGGTATTCTGCTTTTATAAGCTAGTCTTTTTTTGTACAAATTTTTGAGCTTTGCAGCGCCGTGAAATTGGGCCCTAATCTGAGTAGGTTATTGAATTGCAGTTGCTCAGGAGAATAATTTGTCAGTCTTTGATTTTAAGATTTAAATCAAGTTAGTATAATAAGTGGATTAAGTTAAGTGGTTGTATCCAGAAAATGATGTTACAGTTGACTTGTTCAATCAAACATTGCATAATGAATGCTTTGTTGAAGAGAATGCTGCACTCTATTGAACAATTATAGAGAGCCTATCTCCATTTTGTTCTAGTGATGGTTTTAGGGTTGATGGGTGCACCCCAGTTAATAGGCCAAAAATCATTCTATATCAAGACAGTTCCGAAAGCCATGGAATGGGGAATTGAAGATAAACATGTATGGCACCGTACCTCTGGCCTGGACTCGAGAATAAATTCCGAGCATTTGGGTCCGAAAGCGTCGCGTCAATGCTTGCGCGCACTCATTCACGGATTCGCCCAAGTATAAACCAACTACTAACGGATATTTCCAAAAATGTTTCACTTGATTGACACATCCTTGGAAATGACCTTCTTTTATTGTTTTCTCAAATGTGACAGCATGCCAGAAGGAATAATAAGAAGTTTAGTGTCATTACTTTATCTTTAAACCAAGTAAAGGTTTCAACAATAATTTGGTCGGTTACTTTTTTTGGATCGCTGCAAATGATCTACTCTACCTTCAAGCTCTTTTGTGAAATTCTTGATCTAAAACGGCCAACTTGAAATATTTTGAGCAAAAAAATAAAAAAAAATACTCAGAATTAATCAGAATTAGGTATCAATTTGATATTAGTTGTTTTTTGATACAAATATTTAATCTGCCCAATGTACATAGAAAAAAGTATATATTTTATGACAGTTTTTAAGCTTGTATACTGCAATGCGGAAATTGACTTAATACATGTACATGTAGTTAGCATCCACATTTTTAGAAAAATTATATTGTATTCGGTAAAGTTTAGTTTAAACATGATCCTTTTTTTTATTTACTTGTGCTTTCGAAGTCCCAAAACGTATGGGTACACTAATGTACAAGATATTCACATTTCATGTGCAAAAGGCATTAAAAAAGGTGTAATTTTATTTAGTTAATAGTTAAAGTTTTAGTTTTTAATTGGACATGACAATGAAGGATATTAGAAATAAGGATGGCATTTTTTTTACTTCTGAATTTAATTTTTATTAGTTAGGGGAGACCACTAGTCTTGATCCAAGGCTGTTTTGTTTTTTATGCCCCTGGTACAGTTACTCTGTGATAAGCAGGTTGCTATCAACAAGTTTAATCAAATATGCAGTCTTGGCAATATTGGCAGCGCTACCCAGGAAATTCCAAGCATACCTGATGTGCACTGCTTTGAAGCTAATGTATGCACATGAGGTATGCGCGTGAGGTATGCTCGGCATTTCCCGGGTAGCGCTGCCAATGTTGCTAAGACTGTCTTAGGTTCATCTTGTTGATAGAGACCTCCACTGGCGCGGCAACTTTACTGCATTGTCACGGGACTGGCTGCAAAATAGGGGAATGAAAAATCAAATCCAATCTTGAACAAAGACTAGGAGACCACTGGCTGTAACAGACTTTGGAGCGCGTTACTGACTTGTACCGGTAGATCATGGGTGTGCACTCTCTTAAAGATATAGTCCATCATTTGTAATTTGTGCATTTTGTTCGTTTGAAGCAACAAAAGTGTTCAAAATCTAATGAAGGATACTGAACAACTAACCTGATGAAGTTTCAGCTAAGCTTCAGCTGTATATTCCGAGAAAAACAGCATTCTAGGATCTCAATTTCAAATAAAAAAATACTGAATCATGTTTGAATTGTTTTGAATTGCAGCTATACGCGACGTCGCGCACTGATCTGACGAATTATAGCAACCGCGTGTGCGTCGTGCCAATGCTTGTGCGCGCTTCGCCGAATAACAAAACGAACTACAAATTTAAATTTTCCTACAGTGCGTCTTAAGACGCACTGTTGGAAAGGCTTTCTTTCGTTGATTACTTCAAAATGACAGCTTCCCAAAAAGAATAATTTCACAGGGAGTTTAATTCCCTTACTATCTTTCAACCAAGTTCGTTTTTCAACAATAATTACGCCAGTTACTTTTCGGATGGCTGCAAATGATAGACTATAGCTTAAATAAAACTAGACTTGCGTTTTAGTCCACAAATCACATTTTTTATTTTACCCACATTGATCAAGTGATGACTCAAGATTGTTTTCCTGGATTTTCGTCGCCTCTCTTTACGACATAACTGTTTCAAAGTACACTGTGCTAGGGCTGTGCATCGGAGCCGGGTACCCGAGTACCCGACCATTGATGTCAGGAACTGGTTCCAGATTATGGAATCAGGTACCCGTAACCAACTTTACAAATTACTTAGTAATTTCAGACAGTGAAAAGAAAAGGTTTTGAATGCCATTTGTGGGTGATTTTCAAAATGAAAACCAGGCTACATGGGAAAACAAAACAGATTTCATGTTTATGACATGGGTCCGAGTCCCACCCGAGTGATTTTTTCCTTTACTCGGGAGGTAACACACTGAGTATACAGTGTTTACACGTCGGTGAAGGGCAAAACCTAGTTTGATTTACATCACCCCGACGCAAAAATTCCATCTTATGAATAATAGTTAATGCGGTACCCGCTGTTATATACATCAGATTAAACCGGCCAACCGATCCCGTTAGCTCGGTGGTCGAGTGGTAAGACGTCTGCACTAGAAAGCAGGAGGTCGTGGGTTCGAGTTCTACCCGAGTGATATTTTCCAAATTTCACTCGGGAGGTAACACACTGAGTATACAGTGTGTATACGTCGGTGAAGGGCAAAACTTAGTTTGATGTTTATGACGCTCGCAAAAGTTGCGGTTTACACCGTAAAGCTATAAAGCTCACTGTACACACTTGTATCTTGCTGTATTGACGCACAGATGTGGTAGTCATATTGTACGGGCCTTTGTGAACAATCTGAACAGCAACTTCCGAGATTTGAATTTTGGGGTTGGGTTTCTTTAACGGGTATCCGGGTACCAGTTGTTTTTTTCGCAACAGGTTACCCTGTGTCCGTACTACCCGTCAATGCCCACCCCCACAAAGTACAGTCATCCAAACAAAATAATCATTTGTACTCGTATAAGAAAAGTAGCTTTTTTGGGGGTTCGTTTGAATTTGACTTTTGTTTTTTGTAATATGATGTAAATAGAGGTGTCCACCTACAGGGTTGAAATGTGGACTGCATTCAGACGGTTAGAGCATACTGACCGGAACGTTGAGTTTATACCTCTGGTTCTTTTCAGAACCATTCTCTTAGTTGAGAAATTATTCGCACATGGTGTTTCCGCAAACCTTTCATTATTTAGTATCTCCACCCTGCAAAGCCTCAAATCTTACTTGCATTCAGTAGAAAGTTGAACTCCTGCGTAGTTTGGACAAAGAGTTTCAGAAACTTTTTGGGACGCATCAATTTTTCAAGCCCCATTGATGGCATTATTCGTTGCTCAATCTATGTTCCAATAAATAGGGGAGGGGAGTCAGTGATCCCCTCCCCACACTACACCGTTCTGACGTTACTAAAAATACTTGTTACTTGGGTAATTTCACTCTATAAAGGGGTACAAAAGTGTGACCAAATAAAAGGGAAGATTAGCTTTATTCGAGTGACAATTTAGTCCCATGGACTGAAACTAGAGGCCAGACATTTTAGATGGTGAAATTCATTTAACTGAATAGATCACTTTTTGATTGGTTTGATTTCTTCCTTCAAGTTATTTGAAACCAAAATTTGAATCATTTGCACCGTTAAAGGGAATGTACATCATTGGCTTTTGCTGTTATTTTTAAAAATGAACTATTTGAGGGGTTAGTATAATAGATCAAATATTGTTTCACTGACATGTTTGAAGTTTTGTGTTCGAAAATGCTGGAAAAGCCAAGAAAAACAAAAACGTTCAAGTAGTCTGGTTCCCTGACTCCACTAAAGATGAAATGGATCAATTTATAGATCCCGGAAAATTGTTAGGTCAGGGAACCAGTCTAGCTGGCCTACACCCGTTCATGAACATGTAACCAATAGCAAAAAAAAATTGACTGAACAAAATGGTAAATTTGGAGTAGTAGTTGAAAAATAGTTAGGTTTTTCCAACGGTGGTCGGCTGACCACCGTTGGAAATTTATACAAAAATACCATTTTCTTGAAAATGACTTCACACCAAGTGCCATAATTTTACAGGATGCTTTAGACCGTCATTAACCAACATCCTAGTGAGGTATTTCGTAAAAACTTGGTAGTTTTATTTGTCGATGTTTGCAAATGTTGTATATTCCCTTTAATCGTCAGGTCCCTACTTCAACTCTTTGAAAAAAAGAAAGTGGAATTTTTTTTGTAATTGTTTTTAATGGACGTTGCTACTGTACCATCTTACAGTTCAACTACTACGTAACAAAACAAGACATAAGTTGCCAGTTGACAGTGATAGGAAAGTAGACTTTTAAGCCCAGCAAGTTATTCCTCAGTTTGATAGAGCTGGTCAAATTGGAGACATGTGGTCGTACGCGTACATTTGCATTGCTTGGAATTTTACGTCTACTTTGTAGGTTATTTTGTACATATTTCAACTTTGTATATAATTATATCCATTGTTTTGCGTAATGTCATCCACCATTGTCAAACAGAAAAATTGTGTAATAAGTTTGCATTAATACATATTTCTTTTTTAATTGCCAAATGCGTATAAATATTCAATTATTTTAAACAAATATATTTTCATTTTGTTTTTTGATTTTATGAAATCAGATTTGTGTACCTGTAATAATTTTAATTTTTTTTTATCGTTGCTGCTTGGTTAAATGGAAGACTTAAACATAAAAATGAATTTGTTTGGTACCTGTAACCTGCTCTTGTAAATAGTGACCTTAGTCGTAACCCCCCCCCCCCCCAATTTTTTTTGTAAATATGGTTGAAAAATTGAAATGCCTCGATATGATTTTTCTTTAGGTATATATGTTGTACACCCATAGCGTGCACCGTTCATGTTTAAATACAAGAATCAATTTGACAATAATGTGACGCTAATATAGCACTTTAAACAAAAATCTCAAAACGCTTCACAATTATTACCCCTGTTCATCAGGCCATGAGGCCATTCTTAATTGCTTGCCTGAGATCGTCGCATTCTGGTCTCTGCCCTCACAGGTACCCATTTATACTCCGGGATGGAGAGAGGCAATTGTAGTAAAGTGTCTTGCCCAAGAACACAAGCACTGTGTTCCCCTGTCGGGTTTCAAAGCCACTTACTATCACGCATGAGGTGGACACCAGAACCTGCATAATTCATACGTAACTTACAAAAGAAAATTGGAAGGGAACATCGGGAAAAGATTATTCACTTCAAGAGTGTGATTAAAATGTGGAAATTTTTTTTAAGAGTATTGTCAAAATCATCCTTTGAGCTAAAGATGCAATCAAGAACAATAAAGAAAACCTTTTTTTTTTTTTTTTTTCCCAACAGGTTTTTCCAACCTGGGTTTGTTGAACAGCCAATTATGCGCATAAATTTGCATAGCGTTACTTAGGTTGCCTTTGCAAGAGCAGGTACATTTTGTTTTTACTTTATAGCTATATTTTGATCTTTCAGAAATGCTATGTTTGTATTGCTGTTCATGTTTGTAGCAAGATTATTGTTGTCAAGCAAAAACTGTTTACTTTCATCTTTCACCTTGTAAATTCTGTGTGCTTTGACATATACTGTATATTTGCAACGTTAGGAACTTTCTTTATAAGACCAATATTAGTTTAGACTTAGGCAGAGTTTCAGCAGAAGATATTGAATCTCATTAAATTTGTTTGAAGTCTGACCTGTCATCACCAAATGAACATAAAGTTGGCCCCGCCCTCCCAGCGGATGTCCTTGCCCCCCCCCCCCAGGTGCATATCCAAGGGGGGGGGGGACCAACCAGCTCTGTCAAAAAAAATTCATAGAAATTCCTTAAAAATAATGCAACCCCCCCCCCCCCCCCCACTCTGACACCCCAAAGAAATGATACTGGTAATAATGTCCACCTGTGCACAAAATACGGACAGAGCCAGCTTTGTTACGGGGTATTTGTACACTATTCTGTAATACAGTGTTAATAATTGTTGGATTTGAACAGCACCCCCCCCCCCCCCCCCCCCCCCCCCCCCCCCCCCCCCCCCCCACACACACACACACACTATTGATTTTGTTTTTCAGAGGCCAAGTGTCCGGAGAAAAAAACCTGTCTACATTTTAGATTTTTTTGCTGATAATCCACCCCCCCCCCTCACCCCCTACCCCTTTTGAAATCTCGAATTGAACAGCAATAATCGCTTGCCTTAAGGTGCCCCCCTTGGAACATTTGTGCACCCCTTGGTGCCCCCTCAGAATCTTAACCCTATTTACGCCACTGTTGTCCAGCATTATGTTTTGTTTGTACATGTATCTTCCAAATAATCTAGAGATTTGGAATCCATATTCAGAAAAAAAGAACAGAGCAAAACATTTCAATTATTTTTTAACATTTATTTTGAGCAGCTGTATTAAATTCTGCTTCAAACTTTTTCACTAAACTGTATTTTTTTTTTTAGCTCTTCATGTTTAAATATTAAAAAAAAAATCACCCAGGACGAAGCAATGTAATATTGGATGGGTGCCCTCTGTTGATTTTTCTGAGAGAGTGGCAGGCAAATATGCAGTTCGTTCACAAATGCAAGTTTTGACGTTTGCATATTGCATTTATAATCCAGCACATTTTGTTGTGTACATTTTTGTTGTGGTTGGACTCCATGTATCGATTATCCAACACGCTTTTTTTGGATGTTATAGAAAAGAAATTATAGAAAAATTGCTATATGGAAGTAGAAAGCGAGATAATCAGCAATGGGGAACAAATAAACAAATAAAATTGACAGTAAAGTCGGGCAAAAAGAGAAATGTTGCATTGGCATGCACAGAGAGCATTGTCAATTTTGCCTGTCACTGGCTGTAAAATACCACCAGAGGGCGCTTTGATAAATAACTTGTAATCTTAAGGAACGTTATCAATTCATTGGTGCTGCCACAAAGTACCAGCCTACTTACACATAACTGTACACCCACGCATCACTGTGTGGACTTCCGAACAAAAGAGGGCCACATAAACCAGGTAGAGGCGACGTTGTGTGGACTTGCCCACATCCACGCAAGGTTTGAAAACAGGTCTAGAGGCATTTTGGGGTTAGGTTTATCTGTGGCAAAATAAAGAGAAACTCTAAAGGGAATCATAGAATTTGGGTTGAAAGAGTTTTCACAGTTTTTAACAGTAAAATTAGTTTTTTCTCTGTTTTTTTCACACGAAAATAAAGGAATGTCCACAATATGTGTGTAAATGAAACAAACATGGGTGTGGTACAGATGTTAGTGGTGAGAAAAAATATGGGTAAAAAGGGCTATTTTTTCCCTCAAAATGAGGGATTAGTCCCGGATTACTGTTACGATTTGGAAGATGATTAGATCAAAGCGGCTTGGAATAAAAGAAAAAAAATCATTGTTCCCACCACTAGCTTTTTTCAGGAGAGATACAATTTTTATACTTGTGAATAAATCGTGGCCTTGATTTTGTTGTGTTTGTTTACTTCCCGTAGTATTTGACAGACAAAGTTATGGGGCAATGACAGTAATGCGCCTTTCCCCCCACCCCACCCTCGTGGGCTAGCTGCCCCACCCATGACGTTAGGATTGTCTCTTGTGAACTTGAAGTGACAAAATCCCCACCCCTCGGGCAAAATTTAAGTGGCAATCTCCGACACATACACTTATGCTTGGAAATACTCTTTCACATCAATGCAAGTCTTTGCATAGAGCAAAGAAAATATTATTGTCTTTGCAAGACCAATTTAGGGCGAATGCTTGCCCCCTACCTCCAGTGTTTCTGTGATGGCCGCGCCCCTTTTTGAGAATTAGACGGGCGCCCCGCTTTCGTGCAAGTGTCCATGTAGACAACACATGCTTCGTCTGGGCTTCTGTCATCAATCACGGCCTGTGAAAAAAAAGTAAACATTGGCCGCTACATGCAGTGGACACTTGTTGATCAGTGTTGATAGGGTTTCAGCGATGGATTTTGTGCGGCAGATGTTCACTGAACTCTGATTTGTATAAATACACGTGTGCCTTTCGCAGTGGTGAAAATAATGCACATTATCGATCTGAAATATGGAGATCAGATTTATCGTGTGTGTGCAAAAAGACCGCAGACGGTAGCGTGGGCAGTTTCACATTTTCTCCATCCGCATTGGCATTGTTAATCTGTTAATGCTGCACAGTGCACATTACACGCATTTCAAGTTGGCAGGCCGCACCAAGTTCAATTGCTGACTGCTTTACGTTCATTATTCAACCCAGGCTACTTTTGATTTTTGTGCTACCGATAATTCCTCATTTTGGGTGTGTAGACTCCTTTATCGCAAAGTAAGTAGACTTTTCACTGTAAACTAGCTGGAGTTACCCAGCCCTAAATTTTATCATTGGGCATGTTGGGTTGTCATTTAGGCAACCCAATGATAAAATTTAGGGCTGGGTAACTCCAGCTAACTGTAAACATGGAAAAGTAAATTAATTTTAAAAAGGAGTCTTTTTTATTTATTATAATTATGCATAATTAACGTTAATAATAAAAGTGAAATGTGTTTAAACAAAGTTATGTTAATGCCCCAAAATAAATAAGTGTGTTTGTACTTTGTTCAAAAATGTGATTCACTTGAAAAAAAAATAACTAATGGTAACAACTTTTTCAACCTATTAAATTTGTCTCAAAACAGTACTAGGACGCAACTTGCGTGTCACTTCCGCTGTGCAAAGCTATATAAGCCATTTCACCAATCATGAATGCACGAGATTAGTCCAAGTAACTAGGACTCTACGAATGGCCTTTTTTAACATTTGGACATGGTCGGGCGATAGTAGATCACCCGACCATGTCCAAATGTTAAAAAAGGGGATTCGTAGAGTCTAGTTACTTGGACTAGCATGAGATCTGCTTGACCACTAGTTCGCAAGAGATAAACAAAACAGTTAAATGTACACAAGTCTTTGAGGGACGTGGTAACCAAATCCGCATTTTGCAATTTTTTATCTAATCAAAAAGAAGATGGAAAGTTTTGTTTCGCACAAAGTTGGAGCATACAAAACAACTTAAACCATGGTGCCGTTAAAAACAATCAACATTCTGCATCTACTTCAAAACAAGAACTTTTCTTTGATTTTGTTGGTACTCCGCTGTGATTTTGCACGCATGTTGCGAACTGTTTATCGTTCGAAATTAAATCATTGAATCTGATGTGCGCACGCGCAGTTGAAATAGCGAAAAGGCTTATATGTTCAAGCATTTGTTTTCAAGTTGCCTTCTGCCTATATACTGCAATTCCTCTACTACTCAACATATAGCCCAGGTTGGACGACGTCTTTATTGCATAATGTAGGGAGGTAAGGGAGTCCACCTGGGCTACTGTACATGTAGCCCTAGTCTATGGCCCCGCACCGGAGTAGACTACGAGCATGACGAGCAAAGAGTCTACTCCAGTGGGGCCATAGTGTAGGGCTACTCCACATTGGTAGCTTTACTTTACTTTACTACATTTACTTCTAGAATTACAAGGCAGCCGTGTACCTTTTAATTCTAGAGGCAGGGAAGCCCATAGTTGGCTCATATTTGACTGATCAGCAAGTTCCCATCCATTTCTTCACCATTAATACAACTCTTGGAGTTTTGTTGTAAAGGCCAAGTGGTCAATGAATCACACCCAGTAACATGTGGAGGGCATTGCATGCGGCACCTCACTTGTCACTTTTTGTTGGCTTTGACTGTGAGCTAAATTGGAGTGGAAATTAGATAACCGTTATTCGGTTGGGAACAAAAATTAGGATTTATATCGCGGATTTGGAAATCTCTGAGTTTTCTTACCATTACTTTTGAGCTGTACTCTCTACCATGCCAAACGTCAAATTACATTTGATTAATTTTTTTTTGGTTGAACAAAATCTTCTGACAGCAAAAATGAAACTAGATATCCGTTCGCCCGATGCGTTGATTGTACTGACACTACTGCTGACGTTACTTCGAGATGCCTTTTCCGACGTTCCCTTCCCAAAGGACCAGCGAGAGATCAAGTTTCCACCCGATATTCCCAAGCCTCGGCCAGGCTCCAGCGTACCGACCGGCCATCTCAGACCATTCGGTGAGAAAAAGTGATGAGAAAAAGAAGTACTTTTTGATATCTCCCTCTTCTTTGCTAAGTTTAGTTTAAGTTTTTTTTTACACCATCTCTAAAATGCTTCTTTTGTTTGATCAGTCATAGACAGTCAAAAATCCAATCCTGTTCCCCTGCCACGCCTTTTCACAGGCTAGTCACCAACAGTCAGATCATATTTCTAGTAGGCACTTTGACAGTCAAATTCCATCAACAGGCAAAAGCAGGTGACTGGTAGGCACAGCTGGCTTATCAATCCCCTACAATCAATGAATGGCTAGGTTTCATAACTATCACAGCCAGTCAATCCTGCTTTATGAAGGCAGGGCAGGGTTTGAAATTAGCGGTAGCCCGCCAGCCAAATGCTAGTCAAAACAGCGGCGGGCTAGTCAAACTATTCCTTAACTAGCCCGGCTGGCGAGTGAAAAGTTATTGGGATACGGCAAAGATGAACGTACAGGAAGAAATAAATCATTACATTCAGAAAGAAAACCCCATCAATTTGTGTCTAATTTTATCAGCTGTTTTAAAGGGTTAAATTATTAGATCTGTTAATCCAAAAACACTGTCAAAATAGCCTCAGAATTAAGCCTGAACGTAAGCCATTTTGTATTTCAGATAAGAAAAAAATGCAGGCTAGTGAAAATGCCCGCGGGCTAGTTAAGAGTCCGTTTCAGTAGCCCGGCTGACTAGTGAATAAAAAAGTTAAGGTCGAACCCTGCAGGGAACACTCAACTGTTAAAGTCACTTGATTTATTTTGACAGCTGGGCTGGCCTTGTTAAAATTACCAGCCATAGAGAGAGGATTAAGGAAATTCAGGATCTGCCCTCGGTATCGCAGTCATAACAATTTTAACACTCTCCGTTTTCATATTTCAGGGTTCCAGAGAAGACCAGAGGGTCGCGTTCATGAATACAACCACTTCCTGCATCCCTTTGAGTTCTACGAAACTCACGTGAGTAAGCGGAAACCGGTGGTGTTTCGCCAGACCATCACGGACTCACCGGCTATGCAGAAATGGAGCGACGAGTATTTGAGGGAAAAGTGAGTAAAAGGGGTTTCAGTTCCGGTCCTATAAACTAGGCAGGATTTTGCTTTTAAAACATGGAACATATTTCCCATGCAAAAAAAAAGGTATGTGGAATTTAAAGCTGTCGTGGAAAAGTCATGGAAAGTTGTGCCGAGAGTCATTCCGAGGAAAAGTCATGGAAAGTCATGGAATCCTGTACAACCCATACGTGATGATGCATGCATGTATTACTTGGATACGGCAGTCATCAAGTTCACGACATACTTCCTCTTTATGCATGCTCTATGGAGTACCGAAGTGTGACGTCATTTAGAACCAGAAAACCAGAAAGTATAGTGCAAACGAATGGAGAGCGCGCGCGTGTTGGTTCACGGGCTGAATCACACGCTAATGTCTTTTACACGCATTTTGTGCGCGTGACGTATTCACTTCGGTACTTGTTTAACAGAGCCTGCAAGCTCCTACACATATGCCGCAACAACGTCTAATATATGTGAGCGTTCAAATTGTATGCGAGCCCGCGCGACAGCCAATCCGAGTGTGTGGTCATTCACAAAGATAAGCCTGGAGCCGTAGTGATCAAAATTACGGAAATCTGTAACCCTCCTGCTATTTAAACAGTCACAGACAGTCAAAAAGTCCATCCACTTCCCTTGCTACACTTTTAAATAGGCCAGTCACCATCAGTCAGATCATATGTCAAGCAAGCACTGTGACTAGTCCAACTCAGTCAACAGACCATGAACAGACAAAGCAGGCAAGTTGTGGGCACAGCTGGCTTATCAATTACCCACAGCCAAAGCAAAGCTGTATCGAGTTCCATAAACAGTCACGGCCAGTCAATCCTGCTTTGTGTAGGCTGGGAATTCTCAACTGTTGAAAACAGTCACTTGATTGATTTTGACTGAAAGGACAACTTGGCACAGATTGTATGTTTGCCTAGTTGAGCAAAACCCACTGCATATATGCACAAAGTATTGTTGGTTTTACGTAGATATTTCTGTCATTGCCGTATTTTAAGATCGAAACTGGGAGCAGAAAGCAACTCCCCCTTCCTCTGTAATATACTAACCAACCCCGCCTCCCCCTCCCCTCCATAAAAGGGCTTTTTCAGGTTGAAGTCCCCAAATCACCCCATTCCATATATTTATGATTTAACAATTTCTTTCCTTCCAGTTATGGGGACCTGGACGTTCTTGTGGAAGTCAAAAAGGAAAATCGGGAATTGCGGCCGAAGCGCATGAAGTTTGCCGAATTCTTGAAGCGCTACATGACGGACAGCGTGTACATTGTGTCTTTAATCCCGCAAGAAATGGCCCACGAAGTTAAAGTAAGTACATTTAACAACTTACATAAGAAAAAAAGTAAGACTGCTGCAAACTGCTTACTGACTGGATGGACCTGAAATATATAAATCTAAAAATTAATGTGGCCTGACGTTGCGAACTTAGCAAGTTCTTCTTCAGAGGCTAAAACAGAAATGACAGAGGTACATACATTAACATGGGGGTGCACACAAACCATGTGTTAATGTATACCTCTGTCATTTCTGTTTTAGCCTCTGAAGAAGAACTTGCTAAGTTCGCAACGTCAGGCCACATTAATTTTTAGATTTTTAAACTTACATAAGAAATATTTAGATACCTTTTTGGAATCAGAAATATTGCGGGCCACTTTATAGCTGGATACGATCTGCCAGGCATCTACGATTTGAGTGCTGTTACCCAAGTGCAATGTGCATGCGACATATCTTTACCGTCCATCCAGAGTTAGAAAGATTGACCCAGGCAAAAGCAGCCTTTAACGCACTGCCACTGTACGCTTGGCAATCAGACAATGCAGATGCAACGGGTTACTGCATGTTCCGATTAAAATTAGTCAGGTGTACTTGGTGCATTATGTATGCGAACCAGTACATGCCACTGGGCGTTTTAAAGATACCAGTAATATACAACATTAGCAAAATATGAAGAAAAAAAAACTACCAAATTATAATGAAATACCTTACTTGACTGTAAGTGAATGATAGTCTATAAGCATCCTGTGAAATTGTGGCAACTGGTGTGCTGTCCATTTCAAGAAAAGTGGATTTTTTTTATCAATTTCCAACGATGGTCAGTCGACTATTGTTGGAAAAAACTGACTTTTGTAAAATACTGCCCCCAATTTACCAAATTTAGTTTAATAGTTACCAAATTTAGTTTAATAGTTACCGAATTTAGTTTAATAGTGACACATTTTTTTTTGCAATCGGTTACACATCCGTGAACGGGTGGAAGCCAGCTAGTCTGGTTCCTCGACCTGACAATTTCCCGAGTTCTATAAATTGTTCTGTTTTGTCTGAAGTAGGGTCAGGGAAGCAGACTACAAGAAAAGTATTTTTTTTCTTCATTTTTCCAACATCCATTGATACAAAGCTTTAAACGGGTCAGTGAAACAATATTTGCTATAAAATACTAACCCCCCAAATCCATCCATTTCTGAAAATTACAGCAAAAGCGTATGTTGTACGTTTTGTATTATCTTTAATACGGTAGGGGTCAAAAAGAGCCATGTACTGTTCATGCATGGAGATCATAATCTGGAATCCCCAAAAAAAATTCTGCAAGAAAAAAGGAAAAAAAACAAAACCAGAAAAAAACAGAAAAAAAAACACGTGCTTGGGTTGAGACAATGATGTCGTGTCAATATCCTGACTTGCCACGTGTATTTATCCATTTCTGCACCTGTTGTGTTTTGTTACCGTGGCGATAATCAATAATCACTGCATGATTAAAAGAGAGAGTTCGTCCACAGCTGTTATTAAAATTGAGTGCACACGACACAGACATATTACAAGGCAGTTGCTTATTAAAGGGAAAATACAACATTTGCAAACATCAAAAAATAAAACTACCAAATCATTTTGAAATACCTTGCTGGACTGTTAGTGAATGACAGTCTAAAGCATCCTGTAAAATCATGGCACCTATACTGTCATTTTCAAGAAAAGTGGTATTTTTATATCAATTTCCAACGCTGGTCGGCCGACCAGCGTTGGAAAAAACTGGCTTTTTTTTCAAATACTGGCCCCAATTGACCATAGCACTTGTTTGCAATCGATTACACACCTACGAACGGGTACAAGCCAGCTAGACTGGTTCCCTGACCTTACAATTCCCCAATGTATGTAAACTGCTCTGTTTCTTCTTATATGGAGTCAGGGGAACCAAACTACAGGAAAATGATTGTTTTTCTTGGTTTTTATAGCATTTTCGAACCCAAAACCTCAAAAAAGTCAGTGTAACTATATTTGCTATATATATATTTCCAACCCCCCAATTCCATCCATTTCTGAAAATTACAGCAAAAGCAAATAATGTATATTCCCTTTAACAGTTGTGTGCAATCCAGTGACTGGATTAGTGCGGTTCTAGAAATGTCCTACTGTCGTATGACACGTGGATTTGTTCAGTTTTCCAACTGCATGTGTGCACATCCAGCTTGTCAATCTGGATTCGGATGAGCAATCAATCTTTAAGCATGCAAAAGCATTGAGGGTAATGAAGTTGGAAATACTAGAATGTATAGACTAAGGCCAAAAAAAAAAAGTCTCCGGTTTCTGGTATGGAGCTTGCCCAAAAACTGGTGCGGCGACGCGGCTTCTTTTTTTTTTGGTACCTGATTTTTTGCTTAAAATGTCGGCTGATGACTACAAATGGTGCCCGACTAAACTTAGTGCAAATATATGGGAGTCCAGAGAGGCCACATAAACCTTATTCTCGACCATAACCCAATCTAAAAACAAGTTAAAATTGTGCAGCAGCAGGATTCCAGTCAAACCAGTGAGTTTGGCGGTTTCGAGACATCATCTTTCATTGAAAAAAAAATGTTTTCATTTTGCCGACGCGCATGGCTAAGGCGACGCGCGCGCATACCAGAAACCGGAGACTTTTTTTTGGGGCCTAATCCGGCGAACCAAATTTGAAGCATGAGGTAGCACCATGTTTGCACTCATGCCGCACGTGTTCTTACAGACCTTTATCATGGTGCCACCATTTCAGTCATGTTCCCTGTATCCAGTAACAGTACTGGATGATAATGTTCTTGTTGTGCAAAAAGGAACCGAACTATTTTTTTCTTCCAGCCTTGTTTTGGTTACGTTAATTTGAATGGGAAAAAAATCAAGATGGCCGCAACATGATAATGGTCTATTAGTTGAAGGAGCCACAACGGAGTGCGTGCATATTACCTGACTAACCTGAGCACGACTCGCGTGAGCCTGCTGCCACCTCAGAAAATGGTTTAGTCTACATAAAAAAATCCAAAAATGTTGAGATTGCTTCAGGTTTAAGCAGTAATGTCCAATAATTTTCACCAAAATATGCCTTGTAAAATGAATTTTGTGAATTTAGAAGTTGGTTAGTTGTGTTCATCCTGTTTGTGTCTCCAACTCGTTTTGAAAGATTGGGCTTAAAAACTACTGTTTTTTTTGTTGTTGCAAGATTTAGTTGTGAAAATTACAGGGGTTTGTCTATAGTTAACGGAGTAGTCCCAACAGCGTTATTTGCCTGCCACTATTTGCAAAATATCAAGAGAGGGCGCTGTATTCTTCACGTGAGCAAATTGGCTTTGTTAGATAAACTTTAGGATTTGGTAACTTACAATGTACTTGGGAAAAGTCTCAACGGCATTTTTTCGCCTGCAACATTCTCTGCAGAAGTCATCTGAGGATGCTGTCAGGTTTTTCTTTGCTGTTATAATAACATTTTTGCCTGACACTGCCTGTAAAAGTCAATAGAGGGCGAGCTCATTTCCTTGTTTGTGCTCCCAGGTTCCGGAGAGCCTGTTGTGTGGGACGTTCAGACGGCGTCTCCTGGAGACCAATCTCTGGATGAGTAGTGGCGGGACAGCCTCTGTGATCCACTATGATGCCGATCATAACATCCACTGCCTGCTGGCCGGACGCAAGGACTTCATCATGATCGATCCCAAGTATTCCAAGGAATTGGAACTCACGGAGGAGGTATGTTAGATCGGGGTTCCGTTTGCCATTATCCTCATTCAGGCCGGTTTGAAACCGGCCAAGCATATATTTATTTCCTTATTTCATACATTTTTCAATGACCAGTAACTATCAGGTGCGTCGACCATATGGGCAAATCCATGGTGACTCGCATTACACTTTTTTGCCTCCTTTGACATTCTGAGTGCTTTGACCTTCGCAGTGCCCGAAACTACCTGCCTGTCACTTAATAATAATCGTAGTGCTTTTATAGCACTTTCCATCGTATCAACAATCTCAAAGCGCTTTACAATTATTACCCCGTCCATCAGGCCATGAGACCACACGGCAGCCGATATCAGCGCTCAATCGGTCTCCGACCCCCATGGCCGGGTACCCATTTATACTCCTGGGTGGAGAGAGGCAATTGTAGTTAAGTGTCTTACCCAAGGGCACAAACACCATGTTCCACTTGCAGTGCTGCCCCAAACCACCCGGGCACTCTATGGTTTTATGGATTCATCAGTGAATAAATACAATGTAATACAATGTAATACAGTGTAATACAATGTAATACAAGGTAATACAAGGTAATACAATGTAATACAATGTAATACAAGGTAGTACAATGTAGTACAATGTAATACAAGGTAATACAAGATAATACAAGATAATACAATGTACATGTAAAACAATGTAATACAATGTAATACAAGGTAATACAATGTAATACAATGTAATACAAGGTAATACAAAGTAATACAGTGTAATACAATGTAATACAATGTAATACAAGATAATACAATGTACATGTAATACAATGTAATACAATGTAATACAATGTAATACAAGGTAATACAATGTAATACAATGTAATACAATGTAATACAATGTAGTACAGCTGCTGATGGGTTAAAGTGTTCTGTGAAATGTTTAAACAATACATGAACGTTTCTATCCTTAATTTAATGTAATGCCGCACGTGCATTGTTTGTTTTCTGCTACACAGCACCACATGACAGGCTCAGGTTATTCCAAGCTTGACGTGGACATGATCAATCTCTTTGAGCACCGAGACGTAGGCAAGGTGCCATGGAGATGGAGCACGTTGAAGCCTGGTGACTGCATCTATATCCCTGCAGGTGGGTAGAGTGTACAGCTGTGGCGTTTATGGGTATTTTCTTTGTGTATTAATAACAATACTTACAATACCGGAGTTTTATAGAGCGCACGTATCTACCAACAATTAGGTACTCAAGGTGCTGTCAAATATGTCTATTTTTAAAGACAGGTAAATGAAGTTTATGAGAAATATGAGACCCATTATCTAGCACCTTTATAAAGGGTACACAAGGTGCTTCTCCTAGCGAATCCCTGTACCTCTGCAAGATTTACCGTCATTTAATTAATTTATTTTTAAACTTGATTTGCCCAGGCCACTTGCACCAAGTCCGTTCCTACAGCCGCAGCCTCTCCGCAACAATCCTGTTTGCCTCTGAGCCGACCTTCGACCAATCAGACTGTGCAGATGCGACCTTCGAATACACTGACCTGACCCAGGTCAGGGTAATGTGGACCTACAAGAAAGGCGATAAGGTAGGGTCCTAAGCCGCATCACAGCTAGCTGTTTTATGGAGTATGGCTACGACTACATATAGGTCTTAGATGGACATGTCTGACAGTTACTATCCATAGCCATACACTAAAATAGATGCCCGTTTTGGACACAGCACATTTGAGGTATACCGAACTTCCAAAGCTGACGACAGAACGTAATATTTTTGTGCCAAGAAGGCACTTAACAGACTTTACATAACTTTGAACAATATTTTTTACTTCTGAAATATTATTACTGAAATGAAAATAGTTCAATATGGGAAACAGTTCCATATGTTGCAAAGATTGCAAGCGCTCCGTGGTCACCAGAGAAGTTTGCATGAGCAAGAAAAGGCCTCTCCATGGTAATTTCTTGGTGATGCACTTTATTGTGAATTGATCTTGTAATACTACTGACCCCATTCCCAGTGGAACATTCCAAATGTTTATCACATTGTCAATATCATTGTCAGTCACATGGCAACCACATGTTGATCACACATCAGTCTACATCCATCACAAGTCAGTCACATGTCAATCACATGTCAATCACAAGCCAATCGCAGGTCACCTAAGTCTTAATGCAAGTCCAGAGCTGTTGAGCTGAGCTTTGACACAGAAACATTCCTTAGTCATTTGTCCATCCCACATTATTTGTGACCTTAAAACTGTTTATAATATGAATAAATAAGTGGTGCATATATAGCGCTTTATACCCAAGTTCTCAAAGCGCTTTACAATTATTACCCCTGTTCATCAGGCCATGAGACCAGTTTTTGCAGCAGCTCGAGATCAGTGCATTCTGGTCTCTGCCGTCACTGGTTCGCATTTATAATCTTGTGTGGAGAGAGGCAATTGTAGTGAAGTGTCTTGCCCAAGAACACAAGCACCATGTTTCCCATCAGGGTTTGAACCCTCGTACCACGGCACGAGTCGAACACCGTAACCATTGGACCACAGCGCTCCACAAATTGATTTGACCTCAATTCTGTTAACGCCATTTAATTTGAATGGACCTGTAAAATTCTCACTTTGTGGCATTTTCAGGTGATAGAAATTGGCTACATGGACACGGAGAACATCCGCAATGACATGATCTCACTCCTGAAGGAAAAGGACAAGTTGTCGGCGCACTGGTTCGGCCATTACTTCAAAGGAATGAGCGCCATGGAAGACGAAGAAGTGGCCACAGAAGACGAAGACATCCCTATAGAAGCATATGAGGTAAGCACAGAGTAGAAAAATAAAGCTTAGGCCCCCCCAAAAGTCGGTCTCTGGTCAGACCAAAGTTCTGGAAGTGCTGTGGCGATACTTTTTTTGAGGGGAGTTGTTACTTCTTTTTTATGCCCCGCGGCGAAGCCGAAGGGGCATACTGTTTCCGCCTTGTCCTTCCGTGGGTGGGTGGGTGGGTGGGTGGGTGTGTGGGTGTGTGTGTGGGTGGGTGAGCTTGTCTTACATACGCAGTGTGGACTTCCGAACAAAAGACGTCCACATAATGTAGGTAGCACCGACGTTGTGTGGACTTGCCCACGTCCACACAGTGTTTCCCCATTTCTGGAAAACAGGTTTAGAGGCATTTTTGGGTTAGGTTTATCTGTAGCAGAATGAAGAGAAACACTAAAGGGAATCATAGAAAAAAAATTGGGTTGAAAGAGTTTTCACAGTTTGAGAAAAATGAGTTTTTTCACTGGTTTTTCTTAACTACACGAAAGCAATGGAAAGTCCACACTAGTCATGTGAAACAAGGGTGGGTGTGTGGGTGTGTGTGTCCGGACAAATCTTGTCAGCGCGATAACTTGAGAAATACTTTACATATGAACTTCAAATTTGGTTTGTGGATTGTCCTTGGTAATCCTAAGAAGCCTTTTGCATTTGGGGCCGAAAGGTCAAGGGTCAAGGTCACAGTGGCTGAAACAATAGAAATTTTGTCAGCGCGATAACTTGAGAAATACTTTACATATGAACTTCAAATTTGGTTTGTGGATTGTCCTTGGCAATTCTAAGAAGCCTTTTGCATTTGGGGCCAAAAGGTCAAGGGTCAAGGTCACAGTGGCTGAAACAATAGAAATTTTGTCAGCGCGATAACTTGAGAAATACTTTACATATGAACTTCAAATTTGGTTTGTGGATTGTCCTTGGCAATTCTAAGAAGCCTTTTGCATGTGGGGCCAAAAGGTCAAGGGTCAAGGTCACAGTGACTAAAACAAAAGAAATTTTGTCAGCGCGATAACTTGAGAAATACTTTACATATGAACTTCAAATTTGGTTTGTATATTGTTCTTGGTAATCCTAAGAAGCCTATTGCATTTGGGGCCGAAAGGTCAAGGGTCAAGGTCACAGTGGCTGAAACAATAGAAATTTTGTCAGCGCGATAACTTGAGAAATACTTTACATATGAACTTCAAATTTGGTTTGTGGATTGTCCTTGGCAATCCTAAGAAGCCTTTTGCATTTGGGGCCAAAAGGTGAAGGGTCAAGGTCACAGTGGCAAAAACAAAAGAAATTTTGTCAGCGTGATAACTTGAGATATTCTTTACATATGAATTTCAAATTTGGTTTGTGGATTGTCCTTGGCAATCCTAAGAAGCCTATCGCATTGGGGGTCGAAAGGTCAAGGGTCAAGGTCACAGTGGCTAAAACAATAGAAATCTTGTATTTATTCTGAGATCATAGGGATTAGGGATTAATTCATATAAAACCTACAGAAGACACTAATGCTGTCAATGAACGTTCCATTTGACCAAGGTACATGTAAGTTGATGTTAGAGTGGTGTTATGTCATGGAAACAGTCACGGTTGCGGGGCATTTGTGTTTGTAAACACACCTGACTTGTTTTTTCAAGCTTTGATTGTACAGACAAGGTGGGTGGCATTTTCTTTTTTTGTGTCCTCATATACCTTGGCGCCTTCCATCATTTTTGCCTTGGTGCCCTCCATCATTTTGCCTTTGTGCCCTTCCCCATTTCTTTGTGCTCCTTGGTACGAAAATTTGAAGCGGTGCGGAAATAGGGGGCGCTGTTGTAGTTAATGTGGAAAATTTGACAAAAAATAAATGATTGACGCGCATGAACAAAATCGACGACTTGCGCTGACCAGAGACTGACTATTTTGTTTTTTTGGCCTTAGCAACTTGTTGTGCTGGGCAAATATGAGCCCAGCACCCGATTTCACAAAGCACTGCGACATGTTGTAACTCGAGTTGTGAAGGGTAGCTTCTAGCTAAGCTTCATACAATCCATTTCAAGAAAGATACGATGCTGGAATGCATCGCAAGTTCCTTGACAGCAGTTTGAAACATTTTACAAGTTGTGATGTGTCTTTTGGTAATCACACAAGTGATACTAAATATTTTAGTTTTTTCGATTCAAATATTTGATAAATGTGAGCGGTTTTGAGGAGATGATAAGAATGCCCACAAAGTAAATAATCGTATAGTTGTGTGGTTTTAACTGTTTGTCCAGTAAGACAATTTTGTTGATAGCAACCTTACATGCATGGTTGATTTTGAGCTTCCTGTAGTAATGTTAGCTCAACTTTCATCTTTAAAATCTGTCAAAAATTGCATTGTGGATATGTTGTCGGTTCCCCATTTTGTCAGTGTCTTTGTTCAAGGGGCTGCTAGTCAGAAGCCATAAACCTGTATATGCCATGTAGCCAGGGATCACGCCTGATGCTGGCAACACTCAATGCTGCAAACCTGGGAAATAGCTATAGATCTATACGATCACACGAGAGGAGGTACAACTTTTTATTAAGGGAATAAATGTGTGCTTAGCTGCGTTTTAAACACTATGTTTAACATCGGTTGGAGTCTGGGTGGGCAATTACTACCCCAGCTGAATCCAGAGGTCGCTGGTTTAAATCCCAGTGAAACTGGGATCGTTGCCGTGATCCCCAAGTTGGAGAGACACGCCCTATTGGCGACAGTGTTTTGTTTCACTTTTGTTCTTCTCCTTGGCAGCCCTGCACTGTCCACGTTCTGTCTTTCGTGTGTAGTGTTTACTTGGTTTCTTATTGTTTGTATATTCTTTTGTTTTAATATCAAATTTTATGTATTTATTGTAATTGTGTGTATATATGTCAATTTGCCAAATAAAATATTATTATTATAACTTTTTAACTTTTCTAAAGTTGAATTAACAACCACCATAGTGAAACACAGTGTTCACGAACGACTGCTGCAGAGCGCACACATAAAACTATGGTTTCACCGAGTTGACCTCCGAGTGACCTCACAACTTCGGCCGCATATTAAATCTCAATTTTTGTTCTCTCCCGACAGATTTTTGCCACCTTCGACACAGAAAACAAGGGGTACCTGACCCGCAAGCAGATCGAAGAGATCGATGTTGAAAAACTCAAGAACTTTGCCCGGGTCCTGGACCAGCCAAGCGGCCCGGTTGTCGTTGAGGTGGAGCATGATGAACTTTAACCTTTGACCTGACCTGTGACCTCATCAGTCACAAAGTCAACAAAAGCAATATTTGAGTACTTATATTTTGCTGCCTTGAGATAATTTTATTGGAAAACCAGCTCAGTACTTATTAAAAACTGTCTATATCGAATATTTTCTGTTCAAGCTTCTTTGAAAAAAATCTAGTATAAGTTTTAATTGATTAATTAGATTAATCGTTAGTGAGCTTCTATTTGGCATTTATGATGAGATGGTCATTATTAAGCAAGCACACTTTAAATTCTATGACGACGTCCACGCCAGGAAGAACAGGCCCACGTACTCTGAATGAAATTGGAAGTAATGGACACCATTTGCAAAAACTGGTGTTTTTTTTGCCAATTCAAGGAGCAACATGATAATAAATCTGAAGCAGGTCATACAAAAACTGGCAACATTTAAGCTCATAGATATACTTTTTTTAGAAAACTTTGAAGATGCATCTTAAATTTTTGTTGACGTAGTGCATAGGTTTCCGTTGCGAGTGGGATGGTTTGATCCTTACCATCACATGGAAATGATGGTAGTTCCTCTTTTCTCGCAAATGATATAGGTGCAACGACCTCACATGATGCTTGATCCCATTATTTACTTACATTTTTACAACCAAGTATAGGATATTTATGATACTTTGACAGTACCTTTTTATAATGTTTGAAAACCGTGTCCATTACAATGCCAGTCCCTTAGTCTGCTTTCGTGAATTGTGGCCAATGAGCAATTCTCATCTCTGTGCACCATGAAGATTTATTTATTTAGTACAAATCAAAAGTGCTTTCTTTGGTCTCATCCGATTTGTTCGTTATATTTTTACAAAGCTGTATGTGAATGATGCTGATTCTGTCCTCATGTCAAATGTTTTTATGGTAAACGTGCTTCCGATTTTTAGACTCTTTTTACAGAAATGATTTATTTTAGACCTATATATAGCCTTTATATCGTAGAGAATTTAAGGTGGAGGTTGCAATAAAGTAGAGTTCACGGGGGAAAAATTACACTAAATTCTGATGTGTTTTCCAAGACACTGCATATGCTTTGATTAAAAAATATTATCAACATTCCTAAAAAACATTCTAGTTTTGTCATGATCAAGAATAGGGAAGGACAGCACTATTGTGTTGAGTGTTGACTACACAGCCATACAGTAAACAATGATAATCATAGTTAAAATAATTTGAAGGGTACATTTTTGCTGTTTTCGAGGTGAAAGTTGTAAATAGCATGGGGTTGAAATCTCAATAAGTCAAACATCAGGGGAATGGGCTCAAATTTTGAGTTAAGCAGAGTTTTGAGTTAATAAATGGATTTTCTTTTCAACAACAAGTGACGGGAATAAGGTCTTACTTTGAGTGAGAAGGGTTTTTGAGTTAACAGGTTTTGACTTATCGAGATTTCACTGTTCCTGTAAATTCCTTTGACACGCTGACGAAGAAATATGTTTGAAATGAAATAATGAATTGTTGCAGAATTAAAGTGATGTTCATGAATTTACAGATTGCAAAATCATTATAGTCTTTTTAGAAAAATCGGCTGTATGTCTTTGCTTGCCAACTATTAACAATTAATCTTATTACTAATTGGGCAAAACTTACAACTATGTCAGCAAAACATTTGGCGAAGTTTTCGACTTGTCGAGATTTATCGAAGTTTTTGACTTATCGAGATTTCACTGTACCTGTAAATTCCTTTGACACGCTGACGAAGAAATATGTTTGAAATAAAATAATGAATTGTTGCAGAATTAAAGTGATGTTCATGAATTTACAGATTGCAAAATCATTTTAGTCTTTTGGAATGAAATCGGCTTTATGTCTTTGCTTGCCAACTAGTAACAATTAATCTTACTGCTAATTGGGCAAACCTTATGTCAGCAAAACATTTGACAAAGTTTTCGTGTACAAAATATATTTTCCTTTTCTTAAATACAGGCCGAGGTTTTATTTATTGAACTTTTATAACTTTATAAACTCCGTATCAGCGCGCTCCTCCCGCCAAATAATTGCCCTGTCGACCTGCTGAGGCTGATGCCGCACTGCACGCTGCAACTAGGCCAGGCCGTGACAAGCGCGCGCAAATATTTTAGGCCCCTGGGAAACTTGTTGCTATTTTTAGAAACATAAATGTCGGTTCCCCTGACTGCTTTACATGGTGAGCTGTGGGGAGAGAAGCCAAACACAGTGGACTCCGACTATTGTGTATAAGCCCGCGATTTAAACCCACGTGTGCGCCATTAGTTTAGTGCATGTATGTAGTGCATGGGACGGGCGGTAGAGTCAGAAACTGCAACGGACAAGTGTAGCTGGAAAAGAACTCCAAAAATGGCCCCAAATCCGAAGGTAAGTCATGTCTTTCATCGCTGTCTGATAGATAGTCTCATAAAACTGTGTAGAGATAGTTTTACGTAGTCGTATGGTTATCGTTACGGCAAGTTTGTCCATTAAAAAATGTGGGTCAAAGTCAAAAGTCAAAAGTGTACATGTGATATAGCCCCATAAATGTGGCCTATTTACTGGACTGCCTCCGTAAACATAAGCCACACATCCACATGTACAAAAATCGTGTCGACGGAGCCAAATTTTGATTTTCACATTTAGGCTTAGTTTGTAGGTTTTTTTTGCTTTAGAAGCATACTCACCCTCTTTACAGGCTAATCAGAAAGTGCTGCCTTTTTCAGATGTCTAATTTTTGTGAAATTTTCATGTTGAAATTTTGATACGCAAACGTGTAAAAATGAATCTGGAAATTTCACGAAAAATATACATCTGAAAAAGGCAGCACTTTCTGATTAGCCTATAAAGAGGGTGAGTATGCTTCTAAAGCAAAAAAACCCTACAAACTAAGCCTAAATGTGAAAATCAAAATTTGGCTCCGTCGACACGATTTTTGTACATGTGGATGTGTGGCCTATGTTTACGGAGGCAGTCCAGTAAATAGGCCACATTTATGGGGCTACATGTGATATAGCCCCATAAATGTGGCCTATTTACTGGACTGCCTCCGTAAACATAGGCCACACATCCACATGTACAAAAATCGTGTCGACTTTGCCAAATTTTGATTTTCACATTTAGGCTTAGTTTGTAGGGTTTTTTTGCTTAAAAAGCATACTCACCCTCTTTATAGGCTAATCAGAAAGTGCTGCCTTTTTCAGATGTATATTTTTCGTGAAATTTCCAGATTCATTTTTACACGTTTGCGTATCAAAATTTCAACATGAAATTTCACAAAAATTAGACATCTGAAAAAGGCAGCACTTTCTGACTAGCCTATAATGAGGGTGAGTATGCTTCTAAAGCAAAAAAATCCTACAAACTAAGCCTAAATGTGAAAATCAAAATTTGGCAAAGTCGACACGATTTTTGTACATGTGGATGTGTGGCCTATGTTTACTGAGGCAGTCCAGTAAATAGGCCACATTTATGGGGCTACATGTGATAGTGACCGTCACATGTTAATACTGGATGGAGAATGAACTTCCGCCGTAGGCCTATGTTTTTTGGGAGCCACACGAAAGGATGGGATAGTGTGTGGGGAAGAGTTATATTTTACGAAGTGGCTATCGTTACGGCAGCCGTTGTTTAGCGCCCTCTACGATACTTTTTTGATACGCACGCAGGTATATAATTATTTGTTTCCCCACGTTTGGAAAAAGTTCCGTACTCGATCGCCACTTTTTTCAATTAATTTTCTAGCGCCAAAAGTTACATCTTTTATGGTTATTCCTCCACTTTCCCTCCTCTACTCTCACCCTCTCCTTTCCTTAATTTCTATTTATTAATCAGTCAGTTACTTCATCGAGATTCGAACCTCTGACGCTTGCTTGATACACGAGACTCTTAACCGCTAGGCCGCGCACAATCGCTGTTGCAATAATCAATCTTTGGACGTATTTGAAGTATCTATTGAAATAAACTAAATATTCATGAGAAAATAAATATTCATAATGACGTATTGCACTATCATTGGCCGGCTCATGCGACGTCATGGTTGTCGATGTCATGCGTATAACGTACCGCTGTCTTTTCAGCCACTACAATCAGTTTTGACCGGCTGCTTCAAGCATGGAGGAATAAGAACACATGGAGTTTGAACGGACTCCACATCAAACGTTCAGGGTAGGCTGCCGCGGTCGTAAAAACAGCGGGTTAGTAAACACCCGCAGGCTTATCTGTCAACTCATTAGCGCGAGCGACCGCTGTCGAGGACGCGCATTCCCCGGATGTACCGGCATCGCGTGTGCGCAGTGCATTCTTCCTTCGTTCAAGATGGCGTCGTACGGGAAGGAACTGCGCAATAGTCGTAGGATGATTTTGTTACTGGTTCTGATTTGAGCGACATTAGTGACTTTTGCGAAGAAAGTATTAACCCTAGCGAACTTTTGGATGAGAATTCCGATACAGAAGATGGCGGTCGTCAATACTGTGTGTGTGGTAAACCATCCACAACGGAGATGATCGCGTGCGATGACGATCAGTGTGCGATCGTGTGGTGGCACATCTGCGCGCGCCGGGCTTTGTTCGGAGACAATCCCAGAGTTTTCATGGGTTTGTGAACGATGTCGCCCTGAAAGCACTGGACCATCAAATACTGCTACTGGTAAGTACATGAGCAACAACAAGGGGATAAGAGTTTGACTAATAATTTAAATACAAACATTAGGCCCTATTTATTTTTAAAATAAAATAATTTTTTTGTGTACAAGATTTTTTTTTCTGGCTTTTGTTTTTGCTTGGGCTATAGTATAATTTTTTGTTTTTGCTTAGGTCTATTACCTAATTTTTCATTTTTCATTATTTTCTTTAGCCATGTCAGCAGCTTCAGCGGATGGATCTCCCTCAAGTCTTCCAGTTTTACCAGTCACACCAGTGTTGCCAAGCACAAGCCAGAGCACAGTCTCAGAAAGCAAGTCCAAAGGCAAAGGAAAGGCTGCCAAGAAAGCTGAAGCCAGTACAGCCGACCCAGCCAAGAAAACAGCAAAAAAGAAACCTCGTAAGCCTGGTATGTAATCGCATTTTCAAGACAATAAAACACTTTTTAATTTTGTTTGTGTTATACGATGGATTCCTGCTCTTAAATTGAACTTGGAAGGTCTCAAGAATTTTGATTTTAATTAGACCTACTGTTTAAAAAGTTGGATCCTTCCATTCCTTCATTTTGGGTAGTTCTATAAACCTGAACTTGAACAATTATAGGCCAAATGTATTTAGTAGATTTTCAAGTGATAAAAAAACTAGATTGTCTTTGTGAAATTAGACGCAAGTAGTAAACATTTTACAAGACTTAATTATCAATTCCATTTTAATTACAGCTGTCAAAAGACCACAGGCAAAATTCACGAGGGAGGATGCCGTTGGGAACGCAACAAGGTATGTGAGGAATAGTCTCCAGCAGATGAAGGAGCACCCTGTGATCAGCGCAAGCTACCCCCTAGCTCTCTGCATGATGGGACTAGTTCTGCAGTTAATCGGCATCGGTGACTGTCAAGAATTGGATGACTTCTGCTCGGCAACCGTTTGCGCACTCTGGCTTGTTGTTACTGCAGGGGACACTAAGAGTCTCAAGCCAGAGGGAAGTGACCTAATGTGGCGGACATTTATTCAATTTAGGTTGAATAGTCAACAGACGTGGAACAACTTCTTGTCTTCCTTGAACATTCACAATGAAGGTCAAGGCGTTTGCGTGTACATCCTGGACTTCAGTAACTTTGCAATGTCTTAAATATGGCACTGAAGTTTGGCACTTCGGCCTATTCCGTCTCTCGTAAATAACCTCACCCAATGACTGTAATACCAAGGTTTAAACTAGATTTAATAGATTATTGAAAGTCACCGAAAATGAAAAACAAATACAATTAAAGTTTTGTAAATGTATATTTTTCTACTACCTCTTAATTGATAATTGCTTCAGTTTCAAATCAATAAGGATATTGCATAAACACATTCCTTTGTGCCCATTTTGCCAGGTAAACACTCTTTTCCTTATTTGATCTCATACACAGCTTTTACATGTGACAGCTTTACATGTGCATTTACTATTTCTTTCATTTTGTACTGCATCATGTTTTGTTAGCCCTATTTTAGTAGCAGAAATGCTGATATTAATTGACTAAAGCTATGATGGGACTTAAGTACATGTATTGAAATAAAAATATGAAAGAAACATAATGTTCCCCATGTCAATTCCTGAATTTTGGTTTTTGGTTAGCACATGTATAGCCTTATACTGAGAATAATTCCCTTTTTCCTTCAGTGAAGAGTGACCACTGTAAATTCAAATCAATGTGGCCACCTTCCCTCATTTCAATCGGTATCTTTACATATGTACATGCATTGCCCTCTATCTTGAATATTTATTTTCTCCGTGGGAGAGGTGTGGTATCCAAAGGAAGTTCTTCCGGTCGACCTTCAAGTCGACAATTGCCCCTCTTAGATGCTTTGATGCAAGTTGATGCCACTTGGAGTGCGAGCATGTTGTGCCCGAATTGCTCTACGGTAGGGTTATCATTGCATCCTCCAGCCCCTCATTGCTTACTGAAGTACTCTTCGATGGGATCTTGCGAGAACTTCTCACTTAAGAGATGTGTCACGCCAGGTAGTTCCATCAAAACTTTTGCCATCTCGACAAAGGAGTACACTGAATTAAAAAAAATAATTAAATAAAAGTAATTATTTATGTATCACTGAAAATTGAGTTGGTCTGCAAGTGCAACATTGAGACAGATTTCTACTTGACGATCAATCAGTCATTATTGCCACAACCTCTTTTTTAACTTGTTATTGTCCTAAAAAAAAAATTAAAAAAATATTTATTTTCCTAATTATAAAAAGTCAAGTCAAAAACATGATAAATCAAATGTAAAAAAATGTGAACAATAAATATGTTAAAAAAACAGCCCTACTGGAAGCATTTCAAATTAAGTGACTCCACAAATATATGTAACTTTTTCAAGAATGAATAAACATTCAATCTTTAAATACCATAACACGATTAATAACAGCTTAAGATTTAATACGAATCCTCAAAAATATATTTCTTGAACATGATGAAACTAATGTCCAACAAAATGTCAAAAGAATTCAGAATTCACAAAAAAATAAGTCTTGAAATTCTATTAAAATGAACGCAATAAGTAACGAAGATTCGTATCTCACCGTTCATGATCGTTTTTGAAAGAAAAAAACAACACAAAACGATCCCCGAAAAAATTTGTGGAACAAACTGGACACTGAAATGGAACACACGAACGGACAAAGAAAAGCCGAACGAACGAAATCGTCGTGTTTTCATCAACTGCCGACCACTGGAAAGCCCCTAAAATTGTCAAAATATGAAATCATAATATATGAAATATGCCAATATATTCTAGAGGCAACAACAAATGTATCTTACCATCGGAAAGTCCGATTTTGGCGAACGAAACACCAAAATTTTTCGCTTTTCGAGAGGAATTCGCTGAAGAAAATCGCGCATGAGGTATATTGACACTGGGTCACTGCGCATGCGAAACGTGTTCTATTCGTGTGTTTAGGTTTATTTACTCCAGTGACAACGAGCGATTCGTTCCTCCACTGTGCATGCACTCGCGGCAGCCAACCCTGTGCACAAAGGATCTTATCGCGGTCGTAAATCTGTCGGTCAGTGGGCGCGCAGCGGGAGGCCTCCATGCCTTTACCACTGGTCAGCCTGGGTCGCTAATTGGTCAGTAAATACCCTGTGGGGCTTGGCGGGCCATTCAAACTCCATGCGTTCTTATTCCTCCATGCTTCAAGTTAGTTCTGCATGACGTGTGCATCCAAAATGTGCTCTAAAAACACATTTTGCCTAATTTTTTTTCGCATTTACACAGCTTCCTGGATTCCTCTTGGTTGAAATCACAAGATGAGGTGCAAATTGATATGTTTGGCGGCAGTTAAAGTGGCGATCGAGTATGGACATTTTCCCCCACGTTTTAGCGAGCAGTGCGACAGCTCAGTCGATAGCGGGTAGGATTTTGCACCGCGAGGTTGCGGGTTCGCATCTCAGTTTTGCACTCGAAATTTTTTCCTTTTCTAACCTGAGGCTTTGGAGGATTTTTTTTTAAAGGGAAATAAAGTCCGAATTTCATAACGTTCAAATTCACTTTTTTTCCTTCTAATTTTATATTTTCTTATGTTTTTATAAAAGTTGCAGTAGGGCCTACTACCGTAACGATAGAAAATGGGAAATGCGTTACGGCTGCCGTAACGATAGCCACTGCGTATATTTTAAGGAAATTGATATCGTGACTTTTTTTTTTGCTGCCGTATATTCACTATAGCCTAGGCCTAGTACTTAGTAGAAACTCACCCAGTTAATCACCAGGAAAAATTAAGGAAAAAAGTTGCAACCTGACGCCACTTCCGCGATTGTAGCAATTTAACTTTTAAGCAATTAAGTCTAGTATTGAGACTCAAGACATTTTTTAAGTGTTTTCTAAAAAATTCCTTAAAACTAAGACGTGCGTCACATGACAACAATACGAAACACGTCACCATGATTTTGCCGAACTCGATCTCGAAAGCAGCTGTCAGTGTCAATGTCTGCAAACAAATTACGTTTTTGTTTTTTGTCATTTGACATTTGCTACACACATGACAAAAGCTCCTGGTTATAGCAGATGTCGTCGCGTCAGTGCAAGAAGGTCGTAACTCCATTCTGCAACAAAGTCGTATCTTGCGCGAATACGCTCCTTGCAACAACATCTCAACGTCCATTGACTAAGTGACACTTAGTGTGTACTGTACTCTGGGTTATTTTAAGTGAGATACGACCTTTTGATATTCTGAAACTCGCATTTCACGTACGGCCCATTTTAGGAGATACAACCTTGTTGCACGGACACAACGATTATCAGTGAAGAAAAAGTTAGATTTCAACTTCAGGAAACACATTTTACACAATTTTTTTTCAGGAAATTTAGCATGCATTGTTGTATGGCTCTACATACTCGTGAGATTTCCCAGACTTTTCTTCTATTTCTGTCAATATTGGGTGTGACACTGAAACCTTTCCTGAATTATTTTTTTCTTCTCTACAGCTGTCAGAGATTGATACTGAAGATGACGTCAGCTACGAGCTGCGAAGGCAGAAAAACATCGAAGAAAACAAAGCCATGGTATGTTTCTCCTGTTGAATTTCAGCTCGGTGGATATCACATTTTTTGGGAAAACAGTGAAAAAAACCATGCACACCTTTTTGATCATGAAATATGATTTTGTTAAAAGTACTCTATTTATTTCCAAAGAATTGGTCAGTTGACTGAATGTTGAATAATTTTGAAATAATGACAGCAAACCAAATGGACTAATTTCACGGGGTGTTTAGTACCAGTATATTATACAAATATTGAGTGGCTCAGCGTGGAATGGGAGGAATATTATCGCAAGGTAAAACTGGTCTTTTCCATTTCATGAGGCGAAGCCGAGTGAACTGGAAAGTCCAGATTTTACCGAGCGATAATATTCCTCCCATTTCACAATTTAAAGCCACTCAATATTTGTTTTAAATAATTTACATATAGATCCTTGTCATTTGATATATTTGAACTTTTATTTCAATACACAACTGGAGGAAAATGTATTTCTCTCGTCCAAACCACCCCTTCACGAAAATGTTTGAACCCAATGCTGTAGCGCTGGCTTTTTTAGAACAATACGCGCAACGCTGAACGCGCACACCAGCATGCATTTGCACACAAATAATGCGTCATGATCCTAACTGTTCAATAGTATTTCCCATTCCCCATGGGCGGATAGTACTTTTTGAGCCGTGGCGTGAATGGAAGCAATAACGAATGTCACGTGATTTGAGTTCCACCAATCAAATGACAAGGATCTGTATGTCGGTTATATAATGGATAATAATTTGGTTGATTAGTTTTTTGATCAATGGAGATGATCCTATATGCCTTTAATCTCGTTGCTACAGCTGAATCAGTTGCTGTCAGACCTGCATGGAATGCCTGGCCTGCCTCGTCGTTCCAACTCGACCAAGGTGAGCATTTTACTGGTGTAGAGTAGTATACAAATATGGAATGCTTCGAGTGGTGTAGTAAAACTAGCCTCCCGAGGTGATCCATGGACATTCTATTTTCCCAAGGCGAAGCCGAGGGAAAATAGAATGCTCCATGGATCACCGAGGGAGGCTAGTTTAACTTCACCACGAGATAAAGCATTCAATATTTGTTTTATGACACTTCACCCACAGATTCTGCTTGGTTTTAATATTTTAAATTATTTAAATCTGAACACAGTTGAAATAAACTTCAATTTCCATACAAAATTGGTGGAAAATGTTATTTCTCTCTTCCAAACTACCCCTTCGCGAAATGTTTGAACCCAACTCTGTGGCGTGCTCTTTTTGGAACAAAACGCGCAACGTGCACACCAGCATGCATTTGCACACAAATACCGCGCCGTGGAAATAGTACTTTAATCGGTTGCTAATGGTATAGTACTTTGATTGCTACGGGTATAGTACTTTTGGCCGTGCACAGAAAGATAGCAAAAATAGAAAGTATCATGTGACTCTCTCTCGGCCAATCAAGACACAGAATCTGTGGGTGAGGTGTTATAATTTCAAAGATACAATGTACAGGAGTGCCTCATTGCTTGATATGTGATCAAGTAAGGATAATTCTTATCTATCAGCACTATACTATAGGCGTAGGGGATGTGAGGATGTGTGTGTGCACGAGTTGTTCACAAGTTGACTGCTCTTGAAGTGGGCGCCTCACCCACAAATCAGGTGTTTGTCAAGAGCCAGTGTGGCCCATCAGGCCGATGTGTATCTCCGGTTTCAGTAGCATGAAACGACTGAGAATATTTCTACTCTACCTGGATGGGATGCTAGTCCATCGCAGGTTACTCCCCAGCTAATGCCGGTGTAGCGTGAATTTACGTTTCTATGAAATTCGGACTCATTGGTAATACCGCGCATGCGTAAGTATGGTATTTAGGAAAGTGACCGGTCACGTGAGAGGGATTAACCAATAATAGGGAAAAGGGGTCCGATTTTCATAGGAGTCGGATTTTCATGTGACACCGGTACCCATTTTACACTTCTGTGTGGAGAGAGGCAAGTGGAGGTGAAGCAGCTTGCCCGAGGACGCAACATTGGCCAATAGCTGGATTCGAACCCCTGACCCTCTGATTCTGTATCTAATGACTCGTCAATTCCTTCACCTCGTTCCCTCTGTGTAGAGATCCCCCAAGACCCGGAAATCCCTGGACTGCAGTTTCATCCGGCGGCGCAACCCTTCCCGCAAGGCGCGCCTGAGCACGCCGCTGTTTGCCCGCCCCTCCATCATCCGGACCCGGGGGCAGAAGAGAAGGGCGGAGACTGGGGAGGAGGACGAGGTCAAAGTTTACGTGGACGACGACGAAGACCTGTTTCCTGTTAAAGAGGGGGAGGTGGGTTACCAAGGTTTTTCTTAGATACATCTTATATTAACTATTTTAGCCTCGGAACTCGGGTACCAAATACCTAATCGCATGTTGTGGTGTACTAGGGCTGTGCATCATCAGAACCGTTATTTACCAGTACCCAACAGAATCCAACTATCTGAATGTTTTCGGTTACCTGCTGACTCCAACAGATTTCAACAGGAATATATACCAGGGGTTTACTGTTCAATCCAACAGGACCCAGCGGGTATCATATGTCATATAGTTGGATCATGTTGAATTGAGCAGGGTTAGGGTTAAAAAAGACTCCCAGTAAAAAGCCACTCTGAATCAATTCATCAGAATGATGTACGCTCTGGGACCAGCTTTATTAGGCTTCCCTCGTCTTTCTTTTAATACTAAGCGGAGCAAGGGTATATGAGTCCGTTGACAACTCACTGGTTTCTTTTACTCATTCTTGCAGAAACTGATCATAAAATTTGGCCCAACGTTAAAGAAATCCTCCCTGGGCTCGGGCAATGATTCTGACTCCGATTTTGAGGTTTACGAGGATGATGAGATGGAAGAACTGCCGACGCCGACGAAACGCCGGCGGCTGAACAACCGCCCTCGGGAGGCGGTGAAGCGACCAGAAGACATCACGGAGGAGGAGCTACGTATGGTGGCCGAGTGCGTCAGGGACAAGAAGTACAACACTGAAGTGGTAGGTCAGAGGTCAACAAGCACCATGGCCCAGTGGGTATTATGATGCTTGTGTTCTTGGGCAAGACACTTTACTACAATTGCCTCTGTCTCTCAAGGGACAAGAAATACAATGCTGAAGTGGTAGGTCAGAGGTCAACAAGCACCATGGTCCAGTGGGGATTGTGGTGCTTGTGTTCTTGGGCAAGACACTTAACTACAATTGCCTCTCTCCATGCAGGAGTATAAGTGGGTACCTGTAAAGGTGCAGGACATGTGCCAATCTTGAGGTACTATAGTGTAACTAATTTCATTGCCTGATGATCAGGGGTGGTAACTGTAAAACAACTTGAGAAATCTTCTGAAAAAGGCTACTTGTTTGGTCTTGTTTTGTTTTGGAAAGATTTCCATATACGAAGTTCACTCAACACCCTGTGTACAAACCCTATGAGATTGGACTGAAAAATTCTAAGTGTTTTCTAAGAAAATGCTTGTATTTTCTCACTGCTCAAATTGCCTTTGATGACATGAAATTGCTATCCGGGGGCTTGTTAGTCAATATAGAGGAAAATTAGTGAACTTCTTATATGGAAATCTTTCCTTTTTTTTTGGTAAATAAATAACATTGCCTTTGAAAATGTCAATGTTTCGTAGGGCACCAGTTGTCACCAGTGTCGTCAAAAGACCATCGATATGAAGACCATCTGTCGTGATGACGGCTGCACTGGGGTCAGGGGTCAGTTCTGTGGGCCGTGTCTGCGGAACCGCTACGGTGAAGATGCAAAGGCCGCCCTGCTGAACCCAGTAAGAAAAGACGCCGGATTTCCTTTTTTTTCCTCTCAGATTCTGCCACCGTCCGACCTGCCCCAACCTCCAATCGCAACCCACCAACCTTCTATATTGGATGTTAGTGTACTGACGAAACAGACTAACCAGGGCCATTAAGAAATAACAGGCTGAAACGTACCCCTGTTTTCGTTTGTGATGCTACATATGACCTGATTGACTCGGGCTGGGATCTGACTTGACTCGACCTGAGCACACTTTTTTAGCTTGACTGGACTTGACCCTGTTGACGAAATATCTCATTTCCGTAGACTTATTTCCGTATGACTTAAAGGTAGGGTAGATCATTTGTCATTTGTGCGTATATTTTTTGAAGCAACAAAAAAGCTCAAAATCTTAAGACAGAAGCTTAGGCCAAAAAAAAAAGTCTCCGGTTTCTGGTATGTGCGCGCGTCGCCGTAGCCATGCGCGTCGGCAAAATGAAAAAGTTTTTTTTTCAATGAAAAATAATGTCTCAAAATCGCCAAACTCACTGGTTTGACTGGAATCCTGCTGCTGCACAATTTTAACGTGTTTTTAGATTGGGTTATGGTCGAGAATAAGCTTAATGTGGCCTCTCTGGACTCCCATATATTTGCACTAAGTTTAGTCGGGCACCATTTGCAGTCATCAGCCGACATTTGAAGCAAAAAAATCAGGTAAAAAAAAAAAAAAGCTGCGTCGCCGCACCACTTTTTGAGCAGAAGCCGGAGACTTTTTTGGGGGGGGCCTTAACTACTATTAACCTGGTGAAGTTTTAGCTCAGTGGATGATGTATACTCCAAGAAAACAATATTTTAGGATCTCAATTTCAATTCAAAAGTTGTAGTGTCATGTTTTGAATTGCACCTGAAATCAGTGCCCGGGACACGTTCTCTTTCAGCCGATTGCAGCTACGTGATGTCACACACTGAATTGACGAATATTAGCAACCCTGCGCGCTTGTGTGTCGTTTCAACACTTGCGTGCACCCATTCACAGATTCACTGAATTACAAACCGACTAACAACAGAAATTTAAAAACATTCGTCACTTAACAAGTCTTTGGAAATGGCCTTCTTTAATTGTTTTCTTCAAAATGACTGCATGCCAGAAAAAAAAGAATTTCACAGGGAGTTGTAGTGCCATTACTATCTTTAAAACAAGTAAGCCTCTCAACAATAATGTTGTCGGTTACTTTTTGGATAGCTGCAAATGATCTACTCTACCTTTAACTTGACTTGAATTACTGCGTTGCAATGAATTGATTCCTCTTGAGCCACAAGATTTCGTTGGCTTGTACTTGGTACTTGGTACTTGGTACTTGGTTGGTTCTTCTCCTAAGGAATTCCACAAGGGAGTAATAACTAGGAGGCCAGAAACACCGGGGCAAACCCCTTCTCTTAGCGATAAGTGTTACTGGGTTCTTTTACGTGCGTTAGGCCTTATACAACACACGGGACCTCCGGCTTAACGTCCCATCCGAAGGACGAAGCAATGCTGGTTAAGTGCCTTGCTTATTGGGCACAAGTGTCCGGGCCCGGGCTCAAACCCACGCCAATGTTGCCTCTGAAACACCAGAGCATGAGTCCGGTGCTCTAAACCGTTAGGCCTTATACACTCTGTAACACCACAGCCTCCAGTCACAAAACTGAGTGAATTGTTACAACACTAAGGGGGCCAAGATGTAACCCCTTGTCCTCTGAAATCGGGGGAGTTTCTCTTTCTAATTGTTCTCTTTGGCTTTTTGTTTCTCAGGACTGGATCTGTCCGCCGTGTCGTGGCATCTGCAACTGTAGTTTTTGTCGCAAGAAGCAAGGCCGTCATGCCACCGGCATTCTAATCCACCTTGCCAGGGGGAGTGGTTACTCCAGCGTTAAGGATTACCTGGAAAAGTAAATATCGCCACCTGTTTCAGATAAAGACCGGCGGATCTAGAACTTTTTTCGGGGGGGGGGGGGGGTGGTGCGTCTTTATTAGGTGCGTCTTTATTTTTGAAAGCGGTCATATGTTGATCCGCATAAAGTTCGGTTGGACACTAAGGCCAAAAAAAAATATAGTTCTGTATCCAATTACATGGCATTTGAAAGTAGGGTAGGTAGGCAGGGAATTTATTTTTTATTTTTATTTTTGGCAAATTTTTTTTTTTATGATCATAGGGAGGTGTGTGCGTGTAGTAAAGGGTGAAAGGTAGTAATTTATGTTTTTTCAGGGTTTTCTCCTTATTTTTCCGAAAAACAAATTAGGGTAGGGGCTGTCAAAATAGGGTAGGTAGGGTAACCGGAAGCAGAACGCTTATTTTCTTTGGCCTAAGGAAAAGGGGGAAAAATGTTGCAACCTGACGCCACTTTTTTTCTTCATATATCATCTCAATGAAGGTCATTCACTGCAAAAATGATGATAAGACATGAATCTGGGACTGAGAAACATTTCCAATTTTGTTAGGAAATACTTAGAAAATGAGCTTGACTCTCCATAGACTTTGTACACAACCGCTGAAGTGGCGTCAGGTTGCAACGTTTTTCCGAAAAGGGTTATGTAGGCTACTGCATTGGTTTAAAATGGTGGTCTGCAATTCGTCTGGTTGAACCGTTTTTTTTGTGTGTTTTTTTTTTGGGGGGGGGGGGGTGGGGGGGGATGGGTTGGTCTGGATCTATCCTAATCTTGGTTCCAAGATGTCCTTAGCAGTGCAATGTTTCAGTATGCACTGATTATTGGACTGCAGTAATTCACCGAAGTGGGAGCCGAAATAACACGCGCCAGTAAGCCTCTGGTACTGATGACGTCACACTTTGTTTACGTGTGTGCTTTCCTATGGTGCTCAGTGGACCGTAGGCCCCCACTGGCTCCATAGGACACTGCACATGTAAACAAAGTGTGAAGTCATCAGTACAGAGGCTTATAGGCTGCAAAGGACATCCTGGGAATTTTATATTTCTGATAAGGAAATTCAGACCAGAATTTCTAATGTGTCTTTTAACATGGCAACTTTTTTGGTTCATTTTTCTTTTTTCATCAGATTTTCGAGGGCTTGAGGACCCGCCAACAGTGCCTTGACTTCAACTGCTGCAGACTACTCAGGTCAGAGGTCAAAAGGTCAAAGCATGGACTTACGTTCCAGCCAAGTTTGAAATATGCACACTCAGAATGTTTTTTTAGGATAACAGTACTCAGAGCCAGACAATAATTCGTAGTTTTTTGGGTTAAGAATTTTTGTTTAAATAGTGGATTTTTTGTAAAAACTGTTGCTAGGATACATGTATTCTTTTGTATTATATCCCACCGATTTGGATTCTTGTATTTCTGTAACTGAATTGATAGCCTGAAATACTTGTTTAAGAGTAATTTCAAGCCGATAAAAAGATTGCCTGTTAGTGTTTAGTTACTAGATTGTTGTACTAAAACTGGAACAAATAAAATAAATAATATTCCAAAATAAAATTGAAGCTTTTCCTTAGATATAAAATGGTAACAGAAGACGTTGCCGTTTTAGAAATTTTTTAATGCTTTGTTTTGGATTTTTTTTAATGTTAGTTATCAAAGAAGTTGGATTAGTTGCACACAAGACCAATTGTAGAGCAAGCACGAGACCATTCACAAGACCAGCCGCAAGTAACAGGGGACGAACAATGACAAGGGAATGCTTTTGTAACAGTTCATTTGAACAGCTTGTGACTTGACTTGAGACTGGAGGACTTGTGATGGTCTCGTGATGATCTTGCGATGGTCTTGTAATGATCTTATGTTGGTATTGCGATGGTCTTTTGTTGATCTTGTGATGGTCTTGTGATGGTCTTGTGTTGGTCTTGCGATGGTCTTGTGTTGGTCTTGTGTTGGTCTTGTGATGGTCTTGTGATGGTCTTGCGATGGTCTTGTGATGGTCTTGCTATGGTCTTGCGATGGTCTTGTGTTGATCTTGTGTTGATCTTGCCATGGTCTTGTGATGGTCTTGTGATGGTCTTGTGTTGGTCTTGTGTTGGTCTTGTGATGGTCTTGGGATGTCCTTGCGATGTTCTTGTATGGTCTCCACTTCAACACTGCTGTTCGGCTGATTAATCCCTTTAATAAGGCCCCCCTCCTCAAGTCTGTGGAAATTGTTCTTCCACAAGCCTGATTTGATTCATCTTAAATGTCTTGTTGAAGATATATGTTGTAAGAATAATGTTTTAAAAGTCCTAAATGATTTCTTGCAGCGTCATTGCATCTTAGCTTGGATTTTTATAGTTTTTGTATTGCCAAAAAAGAGAAATTATTGTAATGTTGCTTGGATTGGTTTTATTTTTTGTACCGCGATCAAAGAAGAATTTATTTGAGAAAAGTCTTTGTCGAAGCTGCTTGGCCATTGGGCTGCTGCTTGTACGGTTTTATTGTAATCTTTAATTAATCACTGCAGTTATGTAAGTTTTGCAAAAAAATATTCCGTGAGGAGAAAAAAGTTGCAATTCTTCAACTTCTAGAGAGAAATTAGTAAATTTTCAGAAGAATTTCCTCTTTTAATTATGATGTTTGTATAGAGGATGTTTAATCAACGATTTTTCAACAAACAGAAACAATGTTGCAAAAATCACGAAAGCCTTTGCGCCATGCATTTACCGTGTCATGTGATTATCATGTGACAGTCACGTGTCAGCTAGTCACATATACCAACAGCCGTCAATTAATCAAGATTTTATATATTCAACTATTTGTTAAAACAATTTATATTTGGGAATTTAAATTTGAATTTGTAATAATATTTGAATTTTAGATTAATTTCGTAATATTTTTTTATTGATAATCTTGTTACTGTTTTGTCTTTTTGCATGTATTTTCAATGAATTGTTTATTAATAAATTGTTTCAAGCAATGCAGCGGTTTCGTATTATCGTTTTTTTTTATACTTTACAATGATGAAGGCATGTGTATGGACCAACTTATCGTTAATTGAAGATAGCCATGTCGCACACCTCAATTTTCCAAAGTTTTGTAAACAGTATTAAGAAAGTTTGGGTAAATATTTTGTTTACACTTCTTGATGTCTGAAAAAGGGATGGCTCTTATACGCTCTGAAAAAAGGGTATGTAAAAACTACTGGACAGTGTTCTTTGCCTGGCAAGAAATGACCTTCATTGTTAATTCACATAATAATTGACAAACTACGGAAAACTTTGCTCTAGAGTAGAAGCATTTGGTATGGGTTGACAAACGATAAGGAGAATACCCATTGCCCATCTTTTTTGTTTTTTAGTGTGTCTTGTTAAAAACTGCATCAGTGCTTCCACTTTTCAAAAGTAAATTTCCATAGATGTGCATATAATTTTTTTTTACCCCTGAGTGAGGTTTCCTACAATTGCCTTTGAATTTTTTTTTGTGGGGGGGGGGGGTGGTTATTTTTTTCCCCTAAATAATTACAACACGAAGTCAACATGGTAATGATGGCAAACACAAATTTATTAAATTAAAATTATATTTTTGAAATGTCTTTGAACTGTCAATCAGATTTTGGATTTTTCTAAAAATTCCCTAATTTTTTATTTTTTTTTTATTTCTAAGAATGATCCGGAGGACGTTAAAAAATTTAAGGAAATCTTAAAATATAAAGGAAATTTCCTTTTGACAACCATATTACGAAAGAGGGCGCCATTGATCTTTTCACTATAAGATTCATTCATTTTTGACGTTCAAAAGTACATTTCGACATTTAACAGTGTGCATACTAAACGTTACAGTGGATTTTAGATTTGAAAAAACGTATCAGTTAGATCCTGCAATGATTAAAAACAAAAACAAAATATTCATCCAGCATTTTGTTTGCTTTAAAGAAATCGGCTTGAGCAGTATGGTGTGCTCAAGATGACGAATGAATTTTGTGTACGTACTCGATAATTGTACAGTTAAGTATATAAACAGCTGAACTTAGGATTGAGCATTTTGAGAAATAAACTTTATTTTTATAAAAAAATACAGATCATAAGCTTCAAAATGAAATACACGTTTCATGTGTGGCATTTCAATTTTTTGAAGTTTTGGCATTGAGGTTTATAAATCCGTGGAAATTCCTTTCTGTTTGTGCTTCGGATTTCGGAATAAAATAAAAGAAATTTGGCGATGGCTCTTTGGTTGGTCGGTATGAATAATGGTCTCCTGGGAATAATCGTTTTGTAGCTTGCGTCGTAAACTTTTGCATATATTTAGGATACGTATTAGTCTTTACTAATAAAATGTATAGGCCCTTAAGCATGGGCCATATCATTCCGCTTTGTCCAATCAAATCAGATTGCACTTTATTTAACCGGCAATTAACTTTAATATTACTGGCTTTTTATATGTTCTCTATGCATCGGTTATGCATACATGAATAATAAAGACAATAATGCGAGGTCAAATCTCTGTTCATGGGCGTCGCCAGGATTTTTTTCCAGAGGGGACAAAGCTAATTATTTCCCAAAATTCGTTTACTTTCCTGTGTAGCATATTCTCAATTTATATTTTGTTTCGGGAGTGGGCGGGGACATTTTTGCCCACCCCACCCCATTGACACCCCTGCAGACGCCCATGTTGTTAACTGTGCATTAAATTAGCAGTAATTATGACTTCGTACCTCGCCTTCTTTTTTCATTTTTCTTCCTTTCTTTCTCCTGTTTTTCTGCTTTTGTGTGTGTGTGTGTGCGTGAGCTTGTCTTACATACGCAGTGTGGACTTCCGAACAAAAGACGTCCACATAATGTAGGTAGCAGCGACGAAGTGTGGACTTGCCCACGTCCACACAGTGTTTCCCCATTTCTGGAAAACAGGTTTAGAGGAATTTTTGGGTTAGGTTTATCTGTAGCAGAATGAAGAGAAACACTAAAGGGAATCATTGAAAAAAAATTGGGTTGTAAGAGTTTTCACAGTTTGAGAAAAATGAGTTTTTCCACTGGTGTTCCTTAACTACACGAAAAGAAAGGAAAGTCCACACTAGGTATGTGAAACAAGTCTGTGTGTGTGTGTGTGGGGGGGGGGGGGGTGTTTTCCGCTAGAGCACAAACAGAACAAAAATCCTTCAAATGCATTTAAGAATAATTACAGAGCGTCAACGGAATTCTAAAAGAGTTCTTGGTCTGCTGACACAAATTAATAAATATTTAATAAAATAATGTAAACCTACAAATGTCAGTTTCTTGTCATTATTGGTTTTTGAAAATTAAAAAGAATTGAAAACCAGTTGCAACATTTTACCACGAAATATAACAATCATAATAGAAAACGTTCTTTCGTTGAAGGGATGTATCTTGATGGCACTTTGACGTCGAGTACAATAACGTACATGTGATGGCAAAACGACGTAGGTTTATTATTACGCCCTCTTGCTTATAAAGTCACATCTAGCATAAAACAGGATTCATCTTAATATACGCCCTTTTATCTAAGAAACTGAATCCAACATGCACATTGAGATATACCTCTTTGCGTAATTCACGGTTAGCCTACAGAACCTACACTGAAAAGTTGCCTGGCCTTGGGTTAATTTTACCAAAGAAAGGGTGAAAACTGGAACTACCCAAACTTGGGTTGTTCTATAACCAATTGTTTGGGTTATAATTTATGTTAAATTCAACCAAAAGTTGTAGTCATACAAGACCAAATTAAATTTGGTCTTGATTGACCACAAGTTTTGGTTGAATTTAGCAGAAATTCTAACCCAAACAATTGTTTATAGAACAACCCAAGTTTGGGTAGTTCCAGTTTTCACCCTTTCTTTGGTAAAATTAACCCAGGCATTTTTTCAGTGTATACGAATTTCTTTTTACACGACCCAAAATTTCTAGTATTCAAAACAATAAGGGTTCCTTTACTGACTGAAGTGAAAAGAAATAATTTCGAAATATTTGGACTGCATAAATTATGCACCATAAGAATTATGCGAACTGTAATTTATATAGCAGCGTTTTCTTCTTTGATTGCATGGAAAATTACCGATTGCACTGATTGTGTTATGAGTGTGCCCATAAATACTTGTTTATATACGGAAAGACACAAAAAATATCCGTTCAACTTTTGATTTGCATATGCATGCGCTGCTCGCACAGGAATTGCCGAAGCCGCATTAACATTCCTACGGAGTTTGCAGAAACGATTATTATGGACATTGTAAATTTATTGAGCTAGGCAGAAAGAAAAGAGTCTCTAATTTGCATTTGTGCGCTGCAATACAACCTGCAAAAACTACTGAATCACTCTGCATACTATATTACGGAGATCAAGTTGAGTTGGTCTGTAAATCCAGTCTTCTGCTGCCGTTAGAAAACCTGTAGATGTTAGTTTTTTCCCCCTCATCCAACATGGCTGCGATGTTGACAATGTCATTGATGAGTTTGCTGCTCGCCCGCGGAGCGAGTGGTCGCGATCGACGCAGTCCCTGGGTCGATGGAGGCAGGGATACGACCTACTCGCACCTGGTAACGACTTAAATTTGCTTTTTTTGTGTTAAAGGCATATAGTATCATTTGCATTTATCCCAAAAGTAACCTACCGAATTTTTACGAAAAAGCTTACTTGGATTAAAGATCGATCTATAGTACTAAACACCCCGTGAAATTGATCCGCCTGGCTTGCTGTCATTTAGAAGAAATCAAGAAATGTGGGTGATTTCCAACGATGAGTCAATTGACTGATTTTTGGAAATAAATGGTGTTCTAGACGAAGTCGTGTTTCGTGATCACAATGTTGTGCATGGTTTTTCACAGTTTTCTCGAAAAGTGCAACACTTAAAAAAAAACACCACCTAAAAAACACACCTAGATTTGACTACAGGGTGAGTCAGAGCAAAGGAAACCCAAATGACAGGACCATTTTCTTAATAAACTTCTGCATGTAGCACTTTCAAAATCTAGGATATGAAAGCCCAAGAAATAAGCTTTCTTTTAGTACAAGAATCATTCAAATCACTTGTGTATTTTTAAGTAGCGGAATTTTGAACACAGACACCGTTTTAAAGTTCTGTCCACGGATCACAAGAAGGTAAGTGTTCTTTCAGCAAAACGAAAACAATTCATATGGACGCATGTGAATTGTTTTCGTTTTGTTAAAAAGAACAATTTGTTTTGGGTGTGATCCGTGGATAGAGCTTTAAAACGTTGTTTGTGTTCAAAATTCCGTAACTTGAAAAGTACATGAGTGATTTGAATGATTCCTGTACTAAAAGAAAGCTTATTAATTGGGCTTTCATATCTCAGATTTTGAAAGTGTTATGCAGAACTTCATTTAAAAAATGATCCCGACATTTGGGTTTCCTTTTTTTTGGACTCATCCTGTAGAGAACAGACAAACGCGCACCCAGCTGACTAACCGAGATATTATTGCTAATTGGAACAGAAGTAGGGCACATGTGAATCAAAGGGAGATATCCTCTGTTAGGGTTGAATCTCCTCTTTAAAATGACACCCTGATCATGTCATTACATTCACGGTTGACTGAGCAGTGACCAATTTGATGAAAGGGTCTATTTAGAGAATTGCGCCACTTCTCAATTGTGGTTTTTGTGGTGTCATTTGTTTGTCACAGACTGAAAGGCTATGGTTGCCAATCAAGGCAGGTGGGGAAAAAAGAAGAAGAAATTTCACCATGAAAAGTGGTGCAATTCTCTAAATAGACCCTTTCATAAAATTGGTCACTGCTCAGTCAACCGCGTATGTAAGGACATGATCAGGGTTTCATTTTAAAGAGGAGATTAAACCCTAACAGATGATATCTCTCTTTGATTCACATGTGCCCTACTTCTGTTCCAATAAGCAATAATATCTCGGTTTCGTGTTTATTTTAATCCACCCTGTTCAGCTAGGGTTAGCTGGGTACAAGTTAAACTATTTCTAGTCAAATTTACTTAGAGCGTTCATAATGTAGCACGATATGAGACGGAGGGAATCCTCTCCCCCTCCTTTGTGTTGGTCATTGTGTTGCCAGAATCTCAGGAATTCTATTGAGATATCTAGGGGGATGTGTTTTGCAACAATAGTCTATAGGATTTGCATAGGGAATAGGGAGATGGGGGGGGGGGTACCCCTTCGTCTCATTTCGTGCTTCGTCTCATTTTCGTGTTTTATTTTTCATAAAATAACAAGTGACATGTGCCTGTGGGAGACAAATTTCAAGTAGTAAATTATTTACATTGTAGGGAGACATTGGTCAAACGGAGACATATTGGTGTCATATTATAATAATTTATGTTATCTAATGTTTTTCGACAGGGATTTTATGTCAGGAATGTGATGTGCAACACAGATGGAACTCAATGCTCGAACACCTACACAATAAATGATGAGGGGCGAGAGATTCAACGTACGTACCTTCCTACTTTTAAAAAATACGGATTTTAGTTTCGAACGGAACTGTCCTCTGAAATATAGCTACTTCATTGCAATGTAAAACAATATGGCATTTTTTGGGGAGGTGTTTATTGGGAAAGGGCGTAATCATTCATGCCGCCACTACATCTTAAGTTAAATGGAATGGAGTTTGGCCGCCACCATGAATGTCATTTTTCCTCAGACTTGTGTTTTCTTAAAAAGAAGCGGTTTTATAGCCGAGAAAATAGCAATGAAGAATCAGTTTTGTGCAAGCAAAATACAGGGAATAATCCGTTGATATTAATATCTTATTGGAAAATTCCAGCATCCTTCCGATACAGTTGCCGCCGTGAATCTGAGTTTATGAAGGGGAAGGAAAATGGAATTTGTTCTCAGCATCAACAGGGCCGTTCCTCATTCTTTACATTTCATGGAATGTAAATCTAATTTGAGGACGAGAGGATCTGCGAGCTGATGTATTTTTTAAGAAAAACATTTGTTCTTCTCGCAACCAGCTTGTAGGGAAGATTTCCGTTTATTTAAGACTTAATTCCCCGGACAGGTGTACATCATTGAACTGTCTAGAGCTTAATATGTGTGAAACAAAGAAAGCCGAATGTTTATTAAAAACAGTTATACCACACAAAATATTAACTGCAACGGATGAGGATTACTGTAATGTTGTTATGTTGAAATGCTAGTAAATGCAAAACAAACGCAGGCACCTTTTTTATGCGTACGGGAAGCGGTCATGGCCGCGGCCGCTAATCCTCATTGGAATGCAGTTGCCAGCTGCGGTATGCCGTAGCACACGGCTAGTGGGTAGTTCCACAGCTGCTGCTTTTGTGCAGTCCCGCTACCACACAAAGGCTGTGCAGTCAAGCGGGCCACTTGCTCTATGTGTGGAGGAATGTCCCCATTACACCCATCCTTAAGGGGTTAATACGTGTACCTAACATCATTACCACACCCCGAATATCGGGGTGCGAACATAAATGTCAACTGGTTTGGTAAAACGCAGTTAATGACCACTCCGATTGCCTATTCGCATTTTTATTTTCATTTTTAATAAAAAAGAATTAAATTAGAATGATGACGCATGAGCGTGTGTACCAACCATTTGCAGGACACGAAACAAAAACGAAAGGCAGCGATAAAACTGTGATAAAAGTTATCACAAGTCAGTGAAAAGTCAACTTCAAATCAAGCACAATCAGTTAAATCGATCATGTATATGTCAAAAAGTCAATCAAAATCAGTCTGCAAGAGAATATAACGCCGTCACACATGACATTGGCTACCACTCTCACACATCTCTTGATCTCCTGCCTCCAAGCTGTTCTGACCTCAGCTAGACGCTTGGTTAGTTGTACAAAGCTCATTCCTGTCCATTCTTTGATGACGACCCCTCCTTTCTTGTTCCCTCTGCCATTCCTTCAATGAGCTGGAGATGTGAAATTCAATTTTCAATTCAGTTGACATTTATTTAGCACTCTCCAATAAACCAATACAAAGTTGGATAATAAATCAAATTAGATGGTTTCAAGGAGGCACAGGTGTCACCTGCATATCGTAGGTTAGAGATGTTTACCTCCTAGAGTTATTCGCTGATCTACTTTAGCATCTGTCATTGCTTTTTCCGTGTAGGCAACAAACATGTGTGGTGATGCAATACAGCCTTACCTTTAAACACCTTGCTATAGCAAACAGGGTGACCGTTTTAGCTGATTTTAGGCTAATTTTGACATATCTTTTGTTTAAAAAACGAGTTTGACAGAAAATTTGACAGAATGGATTTTTTGGCAGATTTTTGGCAGAATTCTGCAAAAATTGTTATTTGACAAAAAACCATTGCAATTTTGCAAAAAAAAGCTTCAATCTTTTCAAACAAACCCTTGCATAATGGGTCAGGTTGGCTGGTCTGGGTGCTGAGGTTCACTTTGAACTAGACTTCGTCGTGACGCGTGTTTTGCCTGAAATTTACGCAATAATTTCATAACATCGTTGTGTGACTATATAGATTGTTTATAATGTAATTGGAACCTTGATTAACATCTGCATATGATTTTAAGTGTTTCAGTATATATTTCGAGCAATTCTGGGATATTTGGCAGATTTTTGATAAATCTGACAGATTTTTGAAGTGCATTTAGCAGAATTTATGACCTTACGGTCACCCTGATAGCAAACACCACTTGTATGTTCTCCCATCTGATTTGGCCCTTTGGTTTACACATAAAGATTTTATGAGTGCAACAAGATGCGTCGGGAAACCCATTTCTATCATTGCAGCAAACAGCTTGATGTGGCTGACTGCATGAGTCAAAGGCTTTGGAGTAATCAATTAACATGATGAAGACTTTACGGTCTAGAGAAATGGCCTTTTACATCAGAATCTGCAGGCTTGCAAGCATGTCTCTGGTGCCCCTGTGTGCCTTTCCTGTATTCAGCCTGTTCTGGTAGTTCTTGCTCAAGTGTGGTTGTAAGTGAAGAGTAATAATTATGATCATCAGAAGAATCTTACTAGTATGACAGAGTGCAATTGAACTAATCACAAATCAACCACACAAATAATCACAAGTCGACAATAACTCAACCAAAAGTCGATCACAATGTCCACCGCATTATGCTATATAATCAATAAGAAGTCACTCACAGGTTACTGTTCAACTCAATCACAATTTATTGTTCAATCACAAGTCATCCACAAACCCATCAAACTATCTAAACGATCTGCACCTGACTTGACTGTTGAGGTGGCAATATGATTGTCTTGGTCTTGTGATTGACGTGCGTTTGTTCATAAAATCTCGTATCATAATAATTATACTGACGTCTTTACATTTTGCAGAGAACTTCACCTATAAGAAGAGTCCGTATGAGTTGGTGTTTGAATCTAGTGCGCACTTGGGCCACATAGTATTGGACATGGAGCAAGGTAAGGAGCCAATATAAATATTTCTTTTTCAGAACGCAGAGCGTTTTCACAAAATATGTTCTTGAATTCCAGGGGACTTAAGTTTGTGTAATCCAAAACATCGCTTCTGAACTCTTCATCATATTTTCAAAGCAACGAAGTGTCTAAACAAACTCAAGTTTCCATTGAAACTTGTGATCGGTTAATTTAGTCAAATTTGAGCAGCCAACACTTTTTTGAAAAATATATTTAGTCGTACATTTTTTCTTCCCCCCCCCCCAATGCATCACCAATTGAGGTAATTTCTTAAGAAGTATTGTCGTCACCGCTTATGCATATTCAAATCCGACCATTACTATTGTTGGAAGATGTAGTTCTTGAACGTTGCCATTCTGAAAAAAAATAATGAGCACTTATTGACAACAAATGAAATATTCATGATGCGTGACGATAGCCTCCTCCTGTACATCGTCACAGCTCATGCATATTCAAATGTGATTATAATGAATGTTGGTAGGTCTCGAACTGTGCCTTCCTCAAAGGTTGGAGCAATTCGAATATTCATGATGCATGACGGGAACAACTGAAGTGAGTCGTCACAGCTCGTGCATATTCAAACGTGATTACAAATGACGGTGGTTCTCGAGATATGCCTTCTATTTGGCTCTTGCCATATCCGCAGGGAACCAGGATCCGTTTCGCATCTGTTTTGAATACCAGTCCACCATTCCCTTGACGAATGGGGGCGTTCACATTCACAAGATGAGACGATGTGTGGAGAACACCTTTGACGGGGTGGATGTGCCGCCTGACTGCCTCCTGCCCATCGCCGCGCAAAACGTGTACGTGAAGGATGGGGACGAGGAAATACGGGGAACGGAGGTGCTGTACTGCGCAGGCGTGAATGATTAAACCGTGATTGGTTGAAAGAGAGAGAGAGAGTCAAGCTTCAGCCGCTTGAACGCGTTATATAGTTTCATACTCTGCTTTTTCATGTGATCAAGAATGGATAGCCCACTGGCCATTACCCATCACCGTACAAACAACTGAAGCTAAGCGCTGGTTCCCAATACCTCTATTCAAATGCTGTACGGAAACCAGTACAAAGGCCTATCACTCCAATCGAATAATACAATAAACTAGAGATGTCTTAACCTAAAAGGTGGGGGTTGGGGACCATCTCACAGCCCTTCCCATGGGGGTGGGGGGTGGGGGGGGGGGAGAGGTGAGGGTGGGAGGGGCGGATTTTCACACAATTTGATTTTCATAACAGAAAGTGTTGGCCCCATGATCGAATGTGAAAGTTAGCACACTGTACAGCAAGCAGTATGTACATGTATATGGGGAAACGTGTTTTTCTTCGTAGGTAACCTCAACTAATGTCGCGCTGCGCGGTGACCCTAAGGTCAATTTTCATAAATTTGGTACCAAAACGTGCGCCAGACTTAAAGCTAGAAAGCCAGAAGAGCTTACAGCGAAAAACGAGTGTTTGGTCAAAATATTGCCAAAAAAAAGTGCAGGTGGCGGTGTGGAATTCGCCCGGTCCTTTTAGGGTTAAAAGCATATCAAACAATTTTCATTGTAAAAGAAATCTCGCCGAATAAAAATTTTCTGGTTATTATAATTTATTATAAATTTAAAAAAAGAAAAGAAATTTAGTCACAAGGGTATACATGGCAATTACATTTTGTTTATGATTCTATTGTTAAGGGGGCGGCAATATGGCGGACGGTGCCTTCACTTTGAACAGCCAATGGGCTATCCAGATATTTTTACATAGTGTTCACTGTATAGAAGACCCTGAGATGGTGGCTTGCTTATGTTTCCTGTATTCTAATTCGATCCGCAAAGGAAAGTAATGGGTTTTGTTTATGGCGAGTAATGGATTTAGCGTTTTAATTTGTAACGTGTATAACATGTTTTAACTTTCATTGTGCATGTAATTATTATGGTCTACAGGTTTAAGAATTCTGACTAGCTAGCGCCCTTTGAACAAAAACATTAACAAATTGGTGAACTGCCAACATAGGGCTGATAGCTCAGTTGGTAGAACACTCAGTGGGAACACAGCAAATCGTTCAAACCCCGCTCCAGTCAATTTCTTTATTATCTCTATTCTACAATATTCAAATAATTACAGATCAGTCACTTGAACGTGTCAAACATTGACTAATTTTTAAATTGAAGAAGGGGAGTTACAGCCGTAAAAAAGGAAAGGCGTGAGCATTTGCTTCAACTGGCCCATTTGGATGACATCATCAAGGTTACGGCTCTATACAATCAGATTACTGTTTATTGTCATACTCCTACACATGCGCATATCGTGTGACAACAGTGTTTGGTCTGATCATGCATGGATGAAAGTCAGCTGTGGATAGCAGCTCAACAAATCGTCATGTCTCTCCGTTAGTTAGTTAGTTAGTTGTCTGTTGCTCCTACATATTTTGGCCGATTTCAACTAAACTTTGTCAAAGATATCGGTAGTCCAGCCCCAACATGTCACATGACCAAACTGGGGTGAAAGGTCATCATGGGATCAAGGTCAACATGGTGGCCTTGGTCAAACATTAACAATATCCATGGTGACCTCTTTGTCTGACCTACAGTTATGGGGTCAAAGGTCAAAATAGGTCAAATTCAAAGAAGCTCAAAATTACAAAAGTAGTGCTGTCAACATGTTGGCCTTGGTTAAACATTAAAAAATGTCCATGGGTGTTCTCTTCATCTGACCTACAGCTATGGGGCAAAGGTCAAAATAAGGTGTACACACAAATTCGTTGGCCTGCAGCTTCCGAGATCAGATCTAGTTTGTTTTATACTTCAGTTGGAAGGAACTTCTTGAAATTTTAGCGCTTTCGCATTGATGGTTACTATAGTTAGAGAGCGCTGCGTAAATATTGTTTTCTTTTACGTCCGCATTAACTGGCGTATAGACTTGAGGAGGTCTATCTTACCTTTCAACAAAGACCACTGCGCGCGGTGGCTTTCAGATTTGCAAGGCTCTTCCCCCGATCTGGCCTCGAAGTCTGTCAAGCCAGCGAATTTTATTTTTGAATATTCATGATCTACGTTTTTAGTTTTTATTATTGAATTCTGATAAGTGATAACTACATAACCATGGTAATGCCGAGAACAATATCTTTAGCCTTAAGATGAACAATGAAATATCGCTTTTGTTTCATCGGTTCGGCATCCTATCTCTCTATGACTTTTTAATAAAAGCCTAATTAAAAACGAAATTTGGGTAAACGGTGTTCTCCTCGAAATTTGACGTTTATTTCCCGGGTAAATACTTCATCTATGACGACAAAAAATGCACAATACCATCTGTTATATCCTGAAGTATTTATTTAAAAATAATTTGGAACAATTATATTTTAAATTAGAGGTAGTTTTACTTACAGTTTTATGAATATTTCCGTTTTAGATATCGTGCATAAACCCAACACGATGGCACACCTGGAAAATTGGCGATTACGCGCCAACGGGTATTAATGCCCGTTAGCACGCGTCTAACCAATTAAGTCCACTGAGTGCATTTTGTACTAGAGCTCAGAACAGTCGTTTATCCTGGTGTCTAGGATCCGTGATTGAAATGGGGCCCAGCCAAAGGTTCTTGGCTCATGTTCGTAGATCTTTAACATGGACATATTTTCTGTTCCTTGACAATAGAAATACACTTTCTTCAACTCAAAACTCCGCCTGCTGGTGCAAGTTTGTTCCCCAAATCGCGGACAAATCTAGAAATCCACATTCTCCAACTCAAAACTCCGACATCTAGTGCCACCCTATTTTGTCCCCCAGATCGCGCACAAATCTAGAAATGCACGTTTTTCAACTCAATACTCCGTCAGTTAGTGCCAATTATTTTTCCCTCCAAATCGCGGACAAATCTAGAAATCCACGTTCTTGAATTCAAAACTTCGCCAGCATATAGCCTACGGTGCGAATTTGTGCCCCAAATCGCTGCGGACAAATCTAAAATCCATGGTTTTTCAACTCATGTAGCTAGCATCGTGACTTTTGGCGTGATCCAAATATAGTTACATGGCATATACCTTTATTGGGAATCCTTTTGGAAACAATTATTTCCTTTCCCATTTTACTTATTGCCATATTTTGTATGATACCATGTTGTATGAGTAAGACTATCACATTAGAAATTTGAAAACATCTAGTAATTGGTTATAAAGTGCATTTAAAATAGTCTTGTCTATATTATCACAACACCTTTCAGGTTCTAATTACTAAGTTTAAACTCCAAATTTAACTTAATTTCAGTCATGTTATTTTATTGTTTAAGTTTTAATGGCATATAATTATATGTAATACGCAAATAATAATTTTGAATCTCGCACACTTTATTGTAAATTGTAAGTTATTAATTACTGTGATTGTTATCTTCGAGGTTCTGAAGATTTCGGTAGGCGTCTGTTAAAACCCTGTGCCCACGTGGGTAATAGGGGTGGTGGACAATGCCAGTGGTGTCAACCCCCCCCCCCCCACCTCCCCCGGGTGGGGGACACGGCTCCCGTTCCTCAAGATCTCGTATCACTCACATTTTTAAAATTTTTTATGAAATTCGACGGGGTTAAAAATTATATTCCTGAAATTCAAAATAATTTGAAATTTCGCATAACATCATATTAAAATTTGAACGGTATATTTTAGGGATTCTATTCCTTACAAAAGCAAAATTTCAGAGTACCCAGGAGCGTCTCCCATAAACGGGTTTCTGGATGCAGTTTATCAAATACCATGTACGACAGACGGATTCTTGGGGTAAAGCCATAATGCATATTCTGCTTTTTTATGGAATTTCTAAATCCACAGAAACCACCCGGTGCTAGCTGCAGTTGCCCGCAATTCATTATTCACTCATTAATTAATACGAGAATATTAGAATTGAATTGATGGTCAGAATCAGAATCGGTAGACTTGAGGGAGCTCACTGACGTCACTGGAGCTTATGCAACATATGATTATCTCAATTTAAAAAGAAATTTACATTTTGTCTTTTGCAAGCATGGGCTTAAATACAATTCTGCTCTGAGATTACGAAAAAATTGTGGCTGCACTGTCGAAATATTAAATTTCTGCATGAATGTACGAATTAAAGAGTCACTGTTGAGATGCGAGTTACGCCGAAAGAAATCAGAAAAAGGACTAGAATGTTAGTATTGAATGCTTTGTGTGATTTTTGTAAAAATTCCTGCATCCTCCCCTGAGTTTATTCTTATAAGAGCTTGGATTTTGCAGTCCCTTGTGAACAAATATGATGAAATTATGTGGTAGCGGTACTATCATTGTAAAGCAGTCGCTTTCTTATTTGAGCCAACAAATATAGTAAAATGTAATAAAATGCTTCAGCTTCCTAGTTATATTAAAAATAAGGGTGGAAGTTGTGCATCTTACTGTTAGCTTGTATTTGTGAAATTTGGATGAAATTGGGCCCTAAAAGCGCTCCATTTTGCAATGGAGTGTAGGCACCGTTTTTCAAAACGGCGATGGCGTCAGGACTATTTTAAGGGTGATCATCTTCGGATGGAAATTTATTTCTCCCAAAAGTCATCAAATTACCCACACAAATTGAAAAGAAAATAATAGATGATGAAACAAGCTTTAATTTGATTTATGTCTCGAACACCTTGGAGAGTTGTGAGTATTTTTCCTGAATTTCTGAAGTGGGGGTATTTATCATTGGGGTCTATGGCAGTTTATTTACTGGTCTGGACCCTTGTGCCGCCGTTAAAGCGCCACCTATGGTCCGAAGGTGCACATGATCGTCTGCTTTACACAGCGCGCCACCATAGAAAGATGATGTCCAGACCAAGTAAATAGGCCTAACATTGCCTACGCTGGCGAAATCATGATTTCTATACTGTCAATGTTTAACTTAACCCCCCCCCAAAAAAAAATAAATAAAATAAAATAAAGAAATTAACAGAAAGTTAAAGAGAACAAATCTATAGCTTTGATTGTATCTGTGAGAGTTGCGAGTACAATTTCCCCCCGATTTTTGAAGTTCAGTATTTATCATTGGAGTCTATGGAAGTGTATTTACTGGTCTGAACCCATTTGCTGGGTACAGAAAAATCCCGTGTATAGACGAATTTCAAATTAAAATTCAAACCGAGGCACTCGGTGCTAAGTAATTTATGAAACAAGGACCTTTCCTTTTTTTGAATCGGGGGCCCTCGGCTTCAGCGCCAATATTTGAAATTAGTCTATTATGTTCCATCGCTGCCTTGTCTTTATTTATATTTGGGAGATCGATCGTGTTTCGTTCAATAATTGTACACTTTACATAAAGTTCTTTGGCCCTGTTTCGTTTCGTTTCAGAACATGATTTAATTATTTTGGTTCACACAACTGCCGTTCATTAATTCAGAACTAGAAAGAACCCCCAAAACAGCAACACATCACAACAACTTTCATTTGTTCGCATTTCATCGGATTAATCGTAACATATTTCAACTACATTGCTATTCAGCCAATAGATTTTTTTCCCGGTCCATACTCCGTTAATCTTTCCCTACCTCCATGCTTACATTGACTGGTTTTCGGGTTGCACCCAGTTGACCCAAGTAAGGGTCAGCTGAGAGCAGTGACGTATCCCAGCGTGGGTGGGGGTGGGGGCCTTGCCTGTTTGTTTAAGACGCTCTTTAAGACGGTTCAGATGTCGTACAGTATATTCGTAATTTTGCCCCCCCCCCATCCCCCCTCCAGCACAAACATAAATTGGATACGCCGCTGACTTGGAGCCAAGTTTGACTATATGACTACAGTTTCTAACAGTGTATAGTTTTGTGAACGCTTAATGAAAACAGAACCCTTTGATCGGGCTCACTGATTGCGATTTCTTTTCAATTTGAAGTGGACGGATATCCCCAGCCTTTCACATCAGCCCTACGGAAGAATTCTTCAGGAATTTATAAAAGCCACATCTTCTCTTGCAAAAAGAATCGGCATCAAATGCGCTCACTTCCTTCCGTTCATTTGCTCTATCTGCTCATCTTGAAGGAAAACAAACGGTCGACAGAGCTGAAGGCCACTGCGCATGCGTCTTTTTCACTAACCCACGTGACTCCCAAGCACCAATGGCGTATCAGCAATAGTTGTATATGTTAGGTATGCACTCGTTGTGTGTGGCAGTCTTATAACTGGTTGTGCTTCGCACACACGCACACAAGAGAGGACTTTAAAGATGGTGACTGGACAGCTCCTCCGGTTCACGCTCACCACGACTCTCACCCTCCTGTCTCTCACCATGGGGACCTCCAGCCTCACCAACGTGACCCTGGGCGGCCTGTTCAGCTTCGGGGGTGCAGGGACGGACTGGGACGGCGGTGCTATTCTGCAGTCCACGCTGATGGCTCTGCAACACGTGAACGAGGATCCTACGGTGTTACCGGAATACCACCTGAAGCTGGACGTTAAAAATTCTAAGGTAAGATTTTTAAAGTTAAATCACCAATTAGGCAAGGACACTAGCTGGGCCCAATAGAGCCTGAAAGTTGACCCCTGGTGGCGCGCTTCCGGACACCTGAAATAGAAAAAGTAACGTGTAAAGCCCGGTTCATACTTCACGCGAATGCGAATGCGAAGCGAATTTGACGTCATGAAACAGTCGCTGCGAAATTCGCCCGAGTTGAAATTTGTTCAACTTTTACGAATTCGCAGCGCAAATAGTTGCCACGACGTCACAAATTCGAGTTCGCTTTCGCTTTCACGCAGAGTATGAACCGGGCTTAAAGTCGGGGTTTTTAAAAACAAATTGGTATTTTGCTTTCTTAAGAAAATCACTCTTTGGAAAAGGCTTTTGTAAACTTGTTACTAGCATCTCAAGTTATGGAAACTGAAAAATTGCATGACGTGAAAGAGAAATATTGAACTCTCACTTCCGAAAATCTAAAACAGGCCCTACATGTGGAATAGTGGAACTCGGAGCACACGAATAAAGATGAAAATGTATGAAATAATGTTGTGGATGTCATTGGGTAAAAACGTTAACTTAAATAGGAGACTAAAATGTTTTTTGGGATACACATTTTTTTGGGAATAAACTTGAAGGACTTATTCGCATTTACAAACAAATAATTTTCATTCTCACGCAAGTAGCTAGGCTACGCGATGTGAAAACAAAAATCCGGATGTGAAAGGTCGTGAGTAACGTTCGTTTTTACCCGTCTTCAATTGATTTCTCATCATTTGTTTTCTTGTGAAAATAATGCCAAGATCAAATTCCACCATGAATGTTTCTCAGGGGTGATACCGGTTAGAAATCGTTGTCAAAAATTGTAGCAAGAGAAAGGGCAACCCCGTGTTAAATGCCCATAGAAGGGTCACGGAGGGGTCCGGAAGCTCAAAGACAAAATGGCGTACTTTCAGGCTCTTTCCCGCTTACTGCAGAGGGAAAAACCTTTGCATTTTTTCAGGTTATATAGGAATGTTGGTTTTTGCACATGCATGCAGGTGTTAGTCGCGAGGCGCGCGGGTCAGTCCTAATGATGTGCATCGGGTCGGGTTGACCAGGCCAAACCGACCCGAAACATTAGAGATATAAACCGAATCAGGACCGAAACCGATCTTACTCCCTCAAACCGACCGACCCGGCCCGACAAAAAATAAGGTAAAACCGACCCGAACCGACCCGAACCCGAATCGACCCGAAAAACGAATATCTGGCTTGGACAAAGTGATTACTTTTGGTGCCTGCCCTTACCCACGTACGTACGTGGCATGAATTCTTTTTTAAAAACCATTACATCGTCTCTCTCTCTCTCTGTCATACTCAGTGGGTTGATCGAGAGTAACTCCGCTTATTGAACAAAAGCATGGTCACCACACGGTATCAAGAAAACTGTTACAGTCTATCTATTTCACTGTCAGTCCCGATCCGACTGGAGAAATTAATACCGTTGGAACGTGTTAGTGCGCTCGGTGGCCACACCACAATGGGTTGCGGTCACAGTGACTGTATTGCATCACCTGAATTTCTCAACTGTTTCGGTTTATTCGGTTTATTTCGGTTTTTTCCAAAAGTTATGGCTAAACCGACCCGACCCAAAAATGTGCAAAACCGACACAACCCGACCCGTAGTCGGTTTGGGGTCGGGTCGGTTTCGGGTCGGGTTTGCACATCATTACACGCGAGCGCAACGCAGCAACAGAGTGAATATTTTTTTTATACACAACGCAGTGTACATGAGCTAGTTTATTTGCAACGCGGTGTATATGAAGTAAACGTTTTTTCACAGTCTGGACACATGGCTGTTCTAAAACAATGAAATAACAGTATCATTGACATAACAATTGGCAAAATAACAATGTAGATATTTGTCTCAGGTGTCCTCCCTTCAATGGATTTAATATACATCACTATCAAACGGCACTTAACAGTTGATGGCGGCAAAATGGCGGCCATTTTAGCCACTGGGCAAATCTGATACGGCCCTATAGACCATTATCATGTTGCGGTCAGCTTGATTTTTTTCCAATTCAAATCAACATAACCAAAGCGAGGCTGGAAGGAAAATAGTCTGGTTCCTTTCTGCACAAATAACATCATTAATAACTGTTGTTGGATATACAGGGAAAATGACTGAAATGGTGGCAGCATGATGAAGGTCTATAGCCAAAAATTCCAATAAGGGTATTTCCAACAATATCCAAAATGTCATGCCTCCATCATCAAAGGAACAATTCCATCAAATATTTGACATTATTTTTATAACTATAATAGCAGTCCTGAAGCCCATCGCTATATTGAACAAAAACAAAGAAGATCGATATCGCTCCTGACCACGCAATTTCACGCAAGTCCAATTTCATCACAAATTTCATAAAAATATAAGTTCATAGACCCGTTTAGAGCTAAAACCTTTTGTTTCTACAAACCTTTACGTTCAGGGACCACAAAAGATTTAGATTTAGGTTGGATTTACATTTAGTTATTTTCACACCAATCGTGGCCCTGAGCCCAAATTAATACAATTAACATTGGCAGTAAAAATACGGATACATGAAATAAAACAGTGGATATTAAACATTTTTTAAGACAAAAACGATAAGAACTATAAACGTTTTCATATTAACACTGAAGAAGTAAAATTAGTTATTGATACATTTGGATAAGTGGGAGATAACCTAATTATCTAAAATGTCGATAAAAAGGGAACTGGATTGTTTTGTAACCTGTTAGTTCTTGCTGGTAACAGCAACATTTTGTTGTTTGACTTAGACATCTGCCACGACTCTGTAATAACCGTGTCGAGGGAACGTGGGGGCTAGTGCGGGGATTGGGTTTTGAGCCCTTTAGCGAAATTATAGCAATGCTGCAATCTCATATCAGATAGGGAATCCAGATTATAACTTTGCAAGTCATCTTTATAATTCCCAGACCTATCACCCAGTGACAGTGGGTGTCAAAGCAGGGGGGGGGGGGGGGTCGCATTTTTGTAGGGATTTCAATGGGAACATTTTCTTGGGGACACAGCTGGGAGGGGGGGGGTTGACCCCCCAAATCCCCCCTGGATCTGCGCCTGCTATGTACAGAAAGCATTTGACAGTATACAGATCGTGAGTTGGCCGCGCCGTCGTAGTCATTTTGGAAAAAAAACCCCTATAATTACCTAGCAACTGAGAGCGAAGAAATGCACGGAGAACTACCAACACACTCTTTGTTGCTTTTATAAATAACTAAATTACTTTTCATTTCTCTCGGGAAAAGCATCGTATATTCCCAACTGACGGTTCAAAAAATAAATAAAACAATTATATTGTCTGCTTTTTTTGTAATATTGTCTACTCTTTTTTTTTCTCTTTTTTCAAATTGTCAAATTAACTTGCCATTTCTTTTCTGGCAGCAACTGAAGAATGACTTTCACTACAGACATCGAACGATGCAATTAGTGACGATATGTTTGACAGAGTCTGTATTCAGTAGGCCCAGACATAAATTGCAGTAAGACGTCGTGCTTATGCCGTGTTGAATACAATTGAATTTAGCACGGTGTAAGCACGGCGGTGGTTTCAAACGTCGAACTTAATTGCAAACGCCTAATCGAATTTAAATAAATCCAACATGGCGGACCAACAGTCACAACAACAAATATGATTTTGTGCTCTAAATCAATTATTAGAGTTTCATGATGCAAAAAATATTGCTTCAACAGGATCCTTAATCAAGTACTTAATCCCGGAGGAAAGCTTTACTGGTGTCCCTTATTGTCGTCCTTTTGTTGTCGTGGCCCGATGAGAACTTTACGCTAATTCCTCATCTGCCTATCTTCAATTTTGTTTTCAATACTCAGAACTCTCACAGGTATTTAAGCTGCAAAGCAAAATGATGATCAACATGTCATCTGTTCATTTCCTTTTAAATTTTTGGTGGGTTGACCATTAACTTTTCGAGAAAATCGCATCCAATGAAGACGTCCCTTATTTTCCCAAGGCGGAAAAGTAGCAATCTTAAAAAACGATCCATCCACAATATTTCAAAATAGCGCCAGTTTCGAGTCCAGTTGCGGGGGCGAGTTAAAAAAAACCCAAGGGCGAGTGCACAATAAGCTCCTGCCGTCTTGCATGAAAGTTTTACATGAACTCTACGCTATTGTACACAGACCCATATAAACAGTAAACTCTACATGTATAGTCACATTGGCGTTTAGTTTGGGAGTTGCCCTTTCATATGCAACACTTTTGATGTATTATAGCGATTTGTGATAATACCACGTCACTATAACATAACTGCACATGTTTTGCCTCAATTTACAAACTTTTCATATAAGCATTATTTCTGAATTGTTACAAATAATTTTTTTTAGTACTTAATATATTTTGTTTGCTTTTATGAAAATTTGATTTTTGGTTGTTATATTTTGTGGGAATCTTAGAATATTTTTGAAGTACTCAATATATTTTATTTGCTTTTTTGAAAATTTGATTTTTGGCACTTGTATTTTGTGGGAAACTTAGGCCTATGCTACGGGGCCTTATTTTGGTCAATTTTCCGGGGACAGCCAGACAGACAAACCGACCGACCGTCCAGCCACCAATTAACATGTAGAAGTTCCTGCCAGAGCTTAAAAAAGAGCAATTTTCAAATGAGTTTTTGTTTTTTGAGCAACGAATAAAAAAAAGCTGTAAAAAGGCATCATTTGCAAAATTAATTGTTTTAAAAATGATGGAATGAGGGACGTACATAGTTTGAAAATGCGTTTCCCTTCCTATTGTCGAGTTGGACCTCTAATTTTTTTTCCAATTGCTATTTCCTGCTACAATGTAACAGTTATTTACTTTTGAATGAGACATGGAACGAAAAACACCCCCCCCCCTCGACGCGTAGTTACTGAATTATATCTTTACAAGATTCGAATTATTGACCACCAGGCCATAAATTGGCTCTCGCGGCGGTTCATTCGTGCGCAAAATTAAAGCCATTTTTTTCAGATGGTTGCAGTCGCTCAAATTCGGAATAGATTGAAATTAAATTCGTCAGGATAAAGACTTGTTGAACTAGAAGAATGGCTACAGTGTTCAACGCAATATCTTTGTTTTATACTGCACTGCCCTGGTAAACATTTTGAATTGTATGATTTCTCTTGTCTGATATTCTGTAGCGTGTTTTTTGTGTATTGATTTGTTTCTGCTCTTGTTTGGTGTGCTCCTTTTTGATCGATTTGTATGCCTCATGACAGCTCTACAAATCAGCTACATTCTAGTCAGCTCATTAAGCTTGACTCAGCTCTGCTCCTTAAAGGTATACAGGATCATTTGCTTTTCATGCATTTTGTTCGTTTCCAATAACAAGACCATTCGAATGTTTAAAGAGGTTGTGGAATGCTCGAAGACATTTCCGTCATTTTTCGGGTAAATGTAGCCTAAGGTGTGATGAAACAAAAACGACTATTGTGTCTGTCATGAAATAGAGTACAAAAGGTACTTTTGAGAGCTGTTTTTCAGGTCCTGTTTCGACCCGAACGTTCAGTTTGTGTAAAAGTCGTCGTTGGGGGCAGCAAACAAAACATAGTAAATCGTGACGTAATAAACAGGACTCCCGATGCAGCGTAGTATAAACGAGTCCTGTTTATAACGTCACGATTTTTCTCATTTTACGAAGAACCCTAAGACTGTTGATTTCAATTATGCGCTCGCCGACCAACAAAATACTCGATGAATTTCAGTTTTATAAACATATAAACGCACATTACAAAAGAATGGGACTTTGTCATTGTGAAATATATGGGTCTACTCTACAATAAAAAAAAATATAAAAAACAAAACGACTTTCAGCATTCCACAACCTCTTTAAAACCTAAACTGTTGAAGCTGCAGCTCAGTGGATATTACACTATTCGAGAAAAACAGTGACAAAGCTATTGCACAATCTGTTAAAGCCAGAGTCCATCATTTGCAGCTATCCAAATAGTATTTGGCGTACATATTGTTGAAAAACATACTTGGTTGAAAGATAGTAAGGGGACTAAACTCCCTGTGAAATTATTCTTTCTGGCAAGCTCTCATTTTAGAGAAATCAAAGAAAGAAGGCCTTCCAAACGGTGCGTCTTAAGAAGCACCGTTGGAAATTTCTGTTAGTAGTTCATTTATTTTTATTCGGCGAAGCGCCGCGCACAAGCGTTGACACGACGCACGTGTCTCGGACGCTGAATTCAGGCCCAATTCAAAACATGATCCAACAACTTTTGATTTGAAATCGAGATCCTAGAATGTTGTTTTTCTCGAAATATAGAGCTGAAGCTGAGCTGAAACTTCATCAGGTTAGTTATTCAGCACCCTTCTTTAGATTTTGAGCTCTTGTGTTGCTTCAAACGAACAAAATGCACAAATTACAAAAGATGGACTATACCTTTAATCGTGAAACACTATTTCGTCAATAGCACACTTTGTTTCCGAAATCAGTTACATTTCTCGATTTTTGTTGTGTCAGCAAGCCAGACGGAATAATTTCACAGGGTGTTTAGGAACAGTATATACGATCTTTAATCCGAGTTAGCATTTTGATACTTATTCGGTAGGTAACTTTTTGGATAAATGCAGATGATACTGCAACGTCTTTAAACACTGCTCTCCTCCCCCTTCACTCTGCTCTGCTAATCTTCTACTATATGTTCTTCTCTACCATGCAATGTTCGTTTTCTACATTGTTCGTTTGATCGTTTCTGCTCCGTTCGCATATTCTCTTCGTATTTGAAATCGTGATTAGCTACATGCAGCCGGAGCCCATACCGGAACCGAGGTTTAAAATAACCCTCTAAATCTGAGCTTCGTGTCTGTGTCTTGTTTATAGTGCCGTCCGGGTGAAGGCATGAAGGGGTTCGTGGACCTCATCAACGAGGAACCAACGAAGCTGATGATCCTGGGAGCAAGCTGCTCCGTGGTCTCACAACCCGTGGCGGAGACGGGCCAACACTGGAACCTAGTGCAGGTAAGTCCGAGCGGCCGAAATAAAGGGAACAACTACAGGGCCGAGTTAGCTCGAGAACCAATGGTTTACCCAGGCCCAGTGGTTGACTCGTGGCGTATGTTGCACCTCTAGGCAAACGTTGGTATCAAACGAATATCACAGAACTCGGTCCTGGCTTCATAGGCACCTTCAAATCTCATATAGGCTCCTTGCATCATCAGACGTCAAATCTGAGGGCGTGTTCTGGGTCTTTGTACATACCTTGCACATTCATTTGTTAATGACTTTAAATAATTAAAATTGTCCTCAGTGAGGGCGCCCGGTACGGTGCGAGGGGTCCATTGTGATTCGCGCGGCTATTGATCATAAACGATTTGAAAACAATTTGGTAGACCGATATACACCGATGATTGTTACGAGTGATATCGTAAAATTCATGAGCCTCCCAATGTGATCACGTTAGTCAACCCTTCGCCTATTTTTTGGCCCAATTTACGGGCACCTCATTTCCCCTTTTTTTGGTTTGTTTTTTTTGCTTAATATCAGGATGTTCTCATTGTTCACGTGATGTTCCATTTACTTTTGTTAAGGTTATTGTGCCGGTAAGTAACTTTGTGAATTTGAAGCTCATGTTATTTAAGTAAGGATAGGCCTATGTAAGTAGAATCCTAAAGGTACACTTTCAAAAAAAATTAATAAAAATACATATAATACCCAAACAGAGAATAAATATATTACACAGCAGGTATTAACGATTAATGCAAATAAGATGGCTAAAAACTCAAAATTTCATTTGGAATCCGGTTTTATCGGAACAGTATATACCTGAATAATGCCGAAAAGCCTAGTTCCCAATTTTTACCCAAATATGCCCCTTAATTCTTATTTACCTTTTTCCCCCAGAAATTCCACCAGACTAAAACGTGACAAATGACCCACTATTTTGCTTGAGATGGTGCGTTTTTATCGACAGAAAATTCCTGCCATCGACAAATTATATTTGCACTACCAACTCGGCGCTGCCAACAGACCTATGGGAAATATGAAATTCTACACCCAAACGAGCGCAGCATCCGATTACTTACACGCCCACACGATACGGCAATCGGTCAAACAGCTGATAACGCAAGACGTCAACATTAGACGGATGACTTGAGTGCCATGCACTTTAAATGCACATTAATGACACTCATCGTACGAGCACAAAGGCATCATTAACGCTAACTCCCTAGGGGGTGTGCAACATAATATTAAAATTGGAGGATTCGGGACTGTAAGGGTTACAGATCCATGCAGTGTCATTGTTTTAAATGCAATCCTTGAAAATGCACCCTTATGTCCCATTTAATCTTACTTTGAATTATACATTTTGCCATTTTCAAGGATACTTTGGTGCCTTTTTGATTTTTTACGCTAATGCGAATTTCCATATTCATGAACAAAAGTGTGGTGTCATTTCAGGCAGAAACCTCAATGTTACAGCTATTTCAGCACCGAAAGTTGCCAGAATCGTGGATATTGTGCCGTAGTAAATTTCCTTTTGTTTTGGTGATTCGTTGTTGTGTCAGTACATGGCAGTAAGCCAATGAGCAAACTTTTCTCACGAATGTTTTCATTGAGCAAACCTTTTGGTTCACAATGTGAACAGAAAACTCCTAACCTTGTCCGGAAATGACACCACTGTAATCGCGCTCACATTTGTCCGAAAAAGCATGGAAAATATTATTTATTTTTTAAGTGTTTAAAGAAGTGCACTTTTTAAATAAAAAGAGCTAACAAGTAATGTCAAACACTTTTCATAATAGGAGTAGAAAGTTAAATGGATTTTAGGGCCATTGCGTTTAAACGGTAATATTCTTGAACGGATTGAGCAATTTCAGTATTGTTTTTCATCTAAAAGTAGCTTATGAAATTGGCTTTCCAGTCATTATTATGGTTGGTGCTATACATGTTTGTTTAAATATGAAATATATTTTTTGGGGGGTTGGGTTCCGCGTTTTTTAATGACCCTGTATTTGCATGTCTAGACATATTTGACTTACCCTGTATATGCAAGCCGCGCGCCAGCCAATCGGAGTCGACTTTGCCAATCGGAGTCGACTTTACTAAATCGTGACGTCATTTCACTCCTAAATCAGGACTAACTTGGTTTGATTGGTCAATCCGAATGCAGTGTTTTGTAATTCAACAACAGCAGAGCGCGTGACACATATTTTTTTAATCCATTGTCCATGACGCGCAACGGGTGAATGACCTAAGACCCGATAAAGAAATCGCCTGCTGATTGGTCAAAAATCTATGAGGTAAAGTGGAGGGGTCTTGTTTAATTAATCAACGAATCTGTTCACGCGTGATGGACTATGGCTTTCCCCATAGTCTATTACATAGACTACATGTTTGAATGCTGGAAACCTTTGTTGGTCCAACGTGATTCCAACACAATTCGAAACAGGCTGTAACCCTGCCCAACCCAACAGCTTGGGCAAACAAGACATATTAAAATCACGGTTTGTTTACATGGGCGCTTTTTCCCATGGGAGCCAGGTGATGGGATCGAGAGCCACTATAAGCTCCCACAGGAAATCACACACGTAAACAAAGCGTGACGTTACTATGTCTCAGGTTTCGCAAGCATTGATTGCAGAACATATTCAGCCGTGTGATTGATAAGCAAAGTTAATCTGATTACGTACTTAGACGCTACAATGGAGCAGGGAAATTCATGCAACCCCAAAACATGGCCGTTTGAGCGTTGTTTTTCTCAGAAAATATGCTCAGTATGATTGACATGTTGCATTATAACGGGAGATGAATTTCTAAACTTCATGTCAGTGAAAAATTACCTTCATTGATGCCAAGACGTCAGTACTGGTTACCGGTAAAGCTGACCTTAAAGTCGGGAAGAAATCGTTCGAAAACGCCCCCAAATCTATGTATTTATATCGATTTTTAGGAATTCCCTAAAGTTGTTCTTACACGAGTAGTTGGAAACTCATATCAGCTGGGTATATTCCGAATTTCAGCTTATTCTGTTGTTGCAAACGCTTGTGTTACACCTTGAACTATCGCCAAGGAAAATTTCGAGGAGGATTTTTTTTGCCGACCAAGGCCCACGTGCATTGTTTTCAGCAAAGGCCTAATACGGTTGGCCAATTTCGGCCCGGAAACACAATGACGAAGATCATATTAGCATATTCATTAGCGTCACTCGCCGTGACTTGGCGTGGGTCTTGGTATCGACCAATGGAAGCCGGCAAAAAGGGTGATATTTATCAATTAATAACGCTTTAAGGAGGCTTTTCTGCACATCATAATAGATAGGAACTTTATTAATATTCGTGAGTCTTGAAAAGATTGACAGATATTGCAAACGCCAGTGTTACAACTTTCAACAATGCACGTAACCAGTCCTATTTTTCCAATTTCAACGAAAAGTACTAAACATTTCAAAACGATTGTTAGTACATATACATTGTAGTTGGATCATTTTAAGGGAAATAAAACCTGAACGTTGCATGAAGATACGGTTTTCCAAACGTGAGAAACTTATTTTCAAAGATTTCGCCGGCCAACGTGAGCATGTCTGTGTGCATGTTGTTTCATTCAAAATAAAGTATGACGTAACTTAGAAATCGCAGAAATCGCTCTTCGAAACCACACGGCTGTATTTGCGAGGCCCATCATCTGCCTTGGCTCTTGGAAATGAAAAACTGTTTATGATCCACCATAAAATTTAACTTTTCACACTGTTCAAGTCAATATACAGGGTGAGTAAAAAAAAGGAAACCCAAATTTTAGGACCATATATAAAATGATTTTTTTCATGTAGCACATTCAAAATCTAGGATATAAAAGCCCAGTTAATAAGCTTTCTTTTAGTACAACAATCATTAAAATCGCTCGATCATGTACTTTGCAAGTTACGTAATTTTAAAGGTTGCGTGGACGCTATAATTCACTTAACTTAAAAAAGTAATACACTTTGGAAATAACACCAAGTACACGATATAAATCCATAATTTGATGTTGCTGCATCGAATCTGGATATAAAAAAACACGTTCCCCCGGGGGTACTATTGGAGACGAGGTTGAAAATGAAGTAACCCTTGAGACGAGATTAAATCCGGGTCACATTTTTGACAGGACTGTTGTGGTGGTACCTTTGAGGGTCAAATGACACCTTTCGGGGTCGAAAGTTAAACTTCGCTGGTTCATTTTCCTCGGATCGTTTTAAACCGCAAACATTGACAAAAATGTCATTGTAACCCAGAAAATTCTCATTTTCTCCCTGAAAAGTATCACGTAAAAGACAACCCCGATTCTAAGTCAAGTCTGGAGTTTTTACAGTGTACGTATTAAAGCCTGAGGTGGAGTTGGAAATGAGCACATCGTAATCGGCCTAAAGCACCGTTTCTTTTACATGACTAGCGGGATGCCGAGTCATATACTAATGTTTACTTCGACTTTAATTTGCACTTTGACCCCAAGTGGGCGTGGTAAGCCTTTGCGAAGCGATTTGGCCACATTTTTCATCATCAGCTGTATGTTTTGCGTAATAGCGATATGTTTTTGAGTATTTACATAGATATAATGTTATATTTAACTATTGAAAGTCTAAAAGAAAGACATCTGCAAAAAAAGCAAAACACAACAAATAAATCATTTTGGCATGTATGTGCGTTCTGGAACTTCAGAGGACAGTGAATTCATAGCATAGGACCTCCATAATCTGGAGAGCTCTCCATCAGCCGTTCCATCCTGTAAACGCTCATAAGGCCATTTACAAAAAACAAAACAAAAACGTGACAAACAGACTGACAGCAGATACCGTATATTTGATGAAGGACTTTTAAACAATATCTAGTAAAAGGAAGTCGATCCTCACTCTGGAGATTAATTTGTTTCTTAATTTGATATTGATTAAAACGTACACGTTATAGTCAGATTCCCTTTGTGGTTCTATAATGGGGGGTTACGCAACTCGATTAACAGTATTCTTCAGTTACAATCAAATTAAACGT